AAAAAAAAAAAAAAAAAAAAAAAAAAAAAAAAAAAAAAAAAAAAAAAAAAAAAAAAAAAAAAAAAAAAAAAAAAAAAAAAAAAAAAAAAAAAAGAAAAAGGAAAAAACCGAAAGAAAAGAAAAGAAAAATGAAATTCAATGAAAAAATTTCTAAACCAAGGAAAGCCAAAAGAGACCCATCCAAACCTTGAGGGTCACCCGAGGAACTGGTTCCTATTTGGAGATTGAGAAAAGCCCACACTGGCTTTGGGTCTAAAAAAGCAATTAATATTAGTTCCTCATTTTTCTGAATTATAAAAAAAAAGGAAAAGGAAATAAAAAAAATATTATTTGGGTTTTATTTTATTATTATGAATGGTTATTATTTTTTTTTTAACACTGGCGCCGTTTCGAAAGCCTAAGCGGCCCAGAGTAACGATCTGCAACCGTCTCCGGGACGTCGTCAGTGGCACTAAAAGCCCATCACCAACACACGGCAACGACAGGGCTTCCCTTCGTCCCTGCACTCCATCACTCATGCTGCGATCCTGTATTTGCTCATAAGCTTCGCCGATCCCCTTCGGGCCCTTCCCCAGACTGTCTTTCATTCTTCCTATCTGTCGGGTTTCAGGGCCTTTCGATTCCCTCTCTCGCAGTCTCTGTCTCTGGACCTATTTGTTTCCGTCTCCCTCACTATTTACTTCTGCTTCTCCCTTCTTCTACTCCCCTCTTCTACTCCCCGCTGATCGCTCTCAATTGATCTTCATCCTTCTTACTCCCCTTTCTACCAGATCGCACCCCTCGCCGTACCTGTCAATCATACACACGCTCTTACACTTGCCATCTGTGGTACGATCGTCTTGTCCTTGATCGTCCTTGTCATCCACGTTGGTTTGGAGTGCTGAGGGGATATACCTGATCCTCGGCAAAGCCAATCGCAAACACGACCAAAGAACAAACAAGTGCAGGGATAACATCTCGAAAAAAAAAAAACAAATCTATTCTCCATGACGATGGTCATTGAGAACCAGAACCGTCAATACGGCGGGATGGGTTTTGACCATGTTTACCAGCATAACATGCCGCATCACACTACGCCGCAGTTCACCGACCCGTGGACTGCTGCCCACACCACCTCGCATTCGACGCCTCCCGTTTACGCGACTTCTATGGCCTCCAGCCAAATCCTCAACCACCCCAAACAAGAGGAAGTGAGCCGGCCCTCCCCCCTCTCCATGCCCTACTCGAGCATTCCCGTGTCCGCGCCGTCGATGGTTACCGGCAGCAACTATTCGACCACCCCTGCGACAAGCTACCCGGCACCGGAGGTGATGGGTTTGCACCACGATTTGCCTCGCACGTCTTTTGAACAAGCTCCTGCCTACACTACCGCCCCGTCTATGAGCAGTTTCGCACCAGCAAACTATGCGCCACTAAGCTACGGCCCATCTCTGCACCATCAGGACAGTCGCCGGATATCTCATGCGTAAGAATCGCCTCTCCCCAACCACGAACATTTTGCGCATTTTGGAATTTGGAACTGTACGCTTACGATTTTCCTTTTATATAGTGATCCTCGTGCCAGCCAATCGCAGCCTTCTTCGGCCCCTACCTTCGGTGACACCCTCGATGCCAGTCGCGGAATGATCGCGCTCAGCCAGGACCTGACCCCTCGCAACATTTACGGACCTCGCAACACCCGGGGCTCCGCAGATTCATATGGATTCCCTTCAGCACACTCGTCCGGCTCTTCTATTTCTTCTGGTGGTAGTTATCCTTACTACAGCGCCTCTGTCGCATCCGTCGAGTCCTCCGTGACCGACTACAGCTCCACGACTTCTGAGTCCTATGATAACGGCCATCTGTCTCGGACTCTCCCTCGCCCATCCAACCTTTTGACAGGTAGCGCCCCTCCGGGCCCGCAGTCTATGATGAGCCAGTTCAGCTCCAAGATGCCATCCAACACTCAGAAGAAGCACAAGTGCAAGGTGTGCGACAAGCGCTTCACCCGTCCGTCATCTTTGCAGACCCACATGTACAGTCACACTGGCGAAAAACGTAAGTAACTGGCAAATCCGGTGCGTGTTACACAATCGATACTAATGATGTGGGATGTAGCTTTCGCATGTGATGTGGAGGGCTGCGGTCGACACTTTTCCGTTGTTTCCAACCTTCGTCGGCATAAGAAGGTCCACAAGGGCGAAAAAGAAGGCGTCTCGGGCGAGGATGAGGAATAGGCTATTTCCATCCTCTCCCATTCGTTCTACACTTCTTTCTGCCCTTCCCTTGAGCCTTGTCCTGGAGCGACGCAACGAAGAGTCTCGGATTGAGATACTCAACAGTTTGCATTGCGCAACCTACTTTTCTTTCGGATTGGGTATATCCCTTGTACAACAACTTCGATTTTCGTGACTACTCTTCTTTTTACGTCTTCGCGGGCCGCGGAGAATTGATACCCCTTTTTTTTTTTTTTACTTTGTGCTTTTCAGTATATCATGGATTGGCAGGACACGGCACAGGGGCAACGGGGATTTGCAATGATGTCTCTTGATTCCCCACGTTATGACCATAGAGGTACTGGTTGTTTTCCGGATGGTGATTCTTCTTCCTCTCGCTTAGACTAGGGTTTTTGTTTTGATTTTCTTTTCTTTTGCCATGAATCTTCAGATACCAACTGGTTGTGACATGTTTCGAGTTTTTTTCTGCGTTTCCGTGGCATTCCTTGTTTAAGGGGCCCGGGCAATATTCGCAGCGGGCAATCGTTTCATTTTCTTTGTCCTTTTTCTTAGAGTATTTCCTTTCTTTTGCTTTCTCGGGGGGGTAGCTACGATCAGTAGCTAATTGGCTCGGGCTTTTACATATCTGTCCGGTGAAATTGACCATGAAGGAGCTGATACCCGTTGCAATTGAGCGGAGCATATACGGAATGGAATATTGGGGGTTTTTGTTTGGCTTGGATTTCAGCATAGACACGATGTGTCTTTTACGGTCGCTACTACTATACCTTATTGTCTAATACAGATTTGATCTGAAAATCAGGTAGTCTTCATCTCTACATATCTAGATTCATTAGATGTATATCCACACAGATACCCTATACAATTCAATTCAATCAGTCCAATTCAAAATCCAGTTTAAAAGAGAAAGAAACCCGAGCCAACTAAGTCAGAAGATCTACATACCCGAACCCTTGTCCCGGTAGAGCAGATCGTTGTCACGAGCCAGTCAACATACCAACGTCCGATTGAAACACCCTGAGTATGCATAGTCGTTACAAGAGAATGTCACCCACCATGACTGAAAATGAACATCCATATTATAGAATGTATCTGTTCGGATAGGCGTATATCCATAAGGGGTGAAAGGTATAGTCTGTTTGCGTACTGAGGTACTCCTGAATTCTTAAGGTCTGCAATGATTGATATTCCCTACGCTACCTGGTTTACACTGTTAGGAAGTGTTGAAAAGGGAAGAAGGGTGTAGCACAGGTGAGCGTGTCTTTGAATATATTGTACCATGTCTTCTAAAGCTTATGTTAATTTCAGATTCAATCACTTTTTTTGACCGATAGATGACGACAGTTCCTAGAAGATTATTGCTAGGACCTGGGGCCTTCTTTGCTAGGACGTGCGCTTCCGAGTCCCTGATTTTGATATCTACTTATTTGTCAAATTTACTGGCACTGTTTGTTGGAAAAGGTCATATGGAAGGTAAATCGGGAAGGATTATCACTGCTTTTGTATGCAGCCCACTTGGAGAGAGGCTGAGTGAGGTTGAGTGAATGAGTATAGTTGGTGATTTCTAAACGCGCAGTATCATAGAATACTGGTGCTTTAAGCCTAGACTACTGTCTTTGTACCTACCTATCAGATATAGCCAATCGCTCCACTGAAACTAGTACACCAACACAACTAAAAGAAAACAAACGACCTCTTTTTCAAGTAGGATTTTAATCGACGTGCAAAAAACGAAAGAGAAAAAAGAAAGATATGCTCCTTCAGGGAGTCGAACCCTGGACTTCAGCTAGTCGCCATGCAGAGTCCGGAAACCGGAAAACTACATAAGAGCCACGCCATAACCACTAGGCCAAAGGAGCCTTATCTTACCTAGTGGCAAATTTAATATGGTTTATGCTCTTTAAAATAATTATCGGATATGGTATATACTCTGTATTCTGTGCTTCTTGGTGAGGATGGTGGTGTTGTTGGGTTGGGAATTTAGGATTTTTATTACGTGTATACGTATCAGATGTAAGAGTAATTAATACAAATGTATTGGGCTCATATAGGTAGGTATGGGTTTGTTATGAAAGACGTGTATGGAACTTGGTTTGTTGCTTTCGGTTTTTATATAAAAAATAACTGTCAGGGATATGAATTCTGTTTATTTGTTAGCTAGGAGAACGGTATAAATATAATTGTGATGATCTTAGTTCTACCCACTAGTGACATGTTTCTGAGGTTGAAATTGGGGACATCGAGTCTATACAGCGGTTATGGAAGACTCTCAAGTTGCATTTTGGATAGGAATTGCGTCTCATTCAACAGCTACATTCTACCGCAGCTCTGTAGCCTGAAGTATTAAAGAATTATTGGGTGTCTCCTCTGACGAGCGCGCACTCTGGTCAGGCAGCCCCAAAACAGCCGTCTCGTGTTCTTCTGATAGATGATGAGCGCCCACAAAGAGCCCAGCAATAAGACTCACACCCGCAAAGGCAACATACTATAACGCAGTCAGTAAACATCACCCACAAGAAAGGAAACCGCAAACCATAATCCATGTAGTCCGCAACGACTCAAATACCGCCTGCCGGACCACCTTTCTCTGACCCGACGGAAGCGCCCCGATGAGGTGTATGTTGGCCGTGACATTCGCTCCCCCTAGCTGACTAGCGAGCTCTTCACCTAAAGCTTGTACAAGCCTAGGACCTTCGCTAACCATCTGGTTCTGGAATACGACTCCTCCGATAACCACCGAGATGGCCGTCGACATGGTCCTCACAAACCCGATCGTGGCTGTGGCTGCCGCGGTGTTCTTTACGCCGACGATTGCCTGCAGTGCGAGCAGTGGCCCTTCGAAGTTCATACCTACCCCGATTCCAGAGATGATCTGGAATCCGAGGATCTTGCCCCAGGCTGCTGTAACTTCTAGGTTGATGAGAAGGCCGACTCCGAGGGTCAATAGACCAAGGCCGAGCCACATTGGAGGCACGTATTTACCCGTCTTCTGAATAAATAACCCGGTAAGAGCTCCTGAAAGTGAGCAGGCAATAACAAAAGCTAAGAGATAAACCCCGGACATGATCGGGCTGGCGCCGAGTACGGCTTGAAAATAGAGCGGCAGATAGTATGCCTCGCCCATGAAGATGAATCCATGACAGAAACAGACTATGAAAGAAGCAATACCGGATCGATGCCGGAAGAGGACAAGTGGTATCACTGGGTATTTGGTGAGTCTCCACTCGTTCAGCACAAAGAGACTCAGGGCTATGATACTGAAAATGAGTAGGCAGATGACTGTTGCTGAGTCCCAGGGATGTGTGACGCCGCCGAAGTCTAAAGCAAGAAGCAACATTATGCTGCTACCAATTACAAACAATGAGCCTATCCAGTCGACAGCCTTCAGACCGTCCCAAATTGGTGTATGGGGAGTGTCGAGTTTTAGAACTAGCCACAGCAAAAGGAAAGCAAGACCGGTGATTGGTACTAAAGGTAGGGCCATGAATCAGCCAGGGATCTGTGATACATGTTCGCGTTAATAATCGAAGAGTCAAGGAGTAGCATACGGTTGATCCAAAAGCACCACCGCCAACTGTTATGTATCCGGTGGTTCAGCACATGAAGTGTCTAATTGAATAAGGGTGGTACTCACGTCGCTTTCTCAGATAGCACACCCCCTAGAATAGGTCCAATTCCACTGGCCAAAGCCCAAACCACGGATAGAATACCGAAATACAAGCCACGATCTCTGAGCGAGAATAAGTCACAAATGCTAATATTGACCAAGGTGGTCAAGCCTGCAGCACCTAGACCCTGTATGACACGGCCGAACAGAAACTCAGGCATCGTGTCTCCTACAGAACATATCAGACTGCCCGCAAAGAAAATTGCATTGCCACATAGTAGCAGCGGCTTCCTTCCCCAGATGTCAGACAGTTTGCCCCACGACGGGACAGAAGCTGTGTTGGCTAGTATGTAAGCACTGCCAATCCAGGTATATCCCGAGGCAGAGTGGAAATGACCTGCAATAGAGGGCATAGATGTAGTGACTATTGTGGCGTCTAAAGCAGCCACAAAAGTTCCGGCGCAAAGACACGACATGATGATCGAGATCTGAAGGAGACTGCGACTAGGAGTAGTTGCGGCAGCTTGAGGCTCGCTTGCAGCTCTTGACTCGAGCTGGTGATTTTCTGTAGTCATGACTAGTCTTAGTGTTCTCCTAGAACGCTTCCAGATTTCTAAGGGGTTTATTGTCGCGAGGTCATTGATATACAAGAATGGCCGTGAACTTCTCTCAGCTCCTTGAACTTGCTGAGATGAACTATAAGCGGGACGGTCACCGATACGATTTTTGGGAGGCTCTGGTCTGGTTTCCGGGCTGAAAGTTTCGGAGTGAGGTAAAAGCCAATTTGTGCGTATGATAAAAATTAAAGTAAGATATATGCATTGGAAGGTGATCTTCGTTTTGCGTCGTCTAATCAAGGAACCAGATTCGTTGTCGTTGTCGTTGTCGTTGTCGTCGTCGTTTTCGTGTTCGTTCCCGTTCCCGTTTTCGGGTCGCCCCCAACATCTTGCCGATGCTCTGCTTTGCGACATTTACATCGACCAGACTCACGTCAGCTTGTCGCTCTCTAGAAAAGAATCGTGGAGTGTGCTTCATTAAACGTGCTCTAGGTATTCTATATATGCGAGTATAACCGGGGAGACCAGGCCCTTGAACGTGGTCTATGATCTCTGGGCTGCACAGGGCAATGTTGTCAGGGTTAGAGTAAACTTCAGGTTGTCCCAAGAAAGATGGCACCTCGACGGTCGCACAAAAAGTCGCGGAATGGTTGCGATCAGTGCAAAGAGCGGAGAGTCAAGGTAAGATCTACATCCAGATGGAGCCTTTAATATCCACGCTGGATCCAAGACAGATCAGTGGGTCCAATGAATCCTGAATCAATACCCTAACCTGTTCGAATTAGTGCGACGAGAAACATCCAGTATGCTCCAATTGCACTGCTCGAGAGCTCATTTGCACCTACTTGAGGATCCCCCAAGCTTCGGTGCCGAGTCGCACTGCTCATGCAGTGACCGATCACTCCCCAGACCCACTGCCACCCCCTGGACGAGCACAGTCAAGGAGCTATGGTGAGCAACCTATCAGCCCTGTGGATCTAACAGAGCCAAGGTTTGGCGTCCGGGATCTCGAACTGATGCACAGGTACTCCATCGAGACCTACCGTTCTTTATGTGGAGACCAGTCCGACACGCACGACTGGCAGGTCCTCGTCCCGCAACAAGCATCCAGTCATACTTTCCTGCTTCATGGAATTCTTGCATTAGCAGCATTGCACACCGCAGCCACTGCCATTGAGCCCAATCGCGTGCTGTCTTATCTTGACACCGCGCTTCAATACCATAACATGTCTTTCACTCCTTTTCGACAAGCACTGGAGACTCTCACTCCCCTTAACTGCGATGCAGTCGTCGCCCACTCCGCAATAATAACCATTATCGGCATCGCCTTACCACGCCTCAACGCACAGTACAGAGGCGAATGCTCCAGCATGGTCGAAAATATAGTCACTATGTTCGAGCTACTCCAAGGTTCGACCAAGATCTCCCGTCTCAGTCGACCATGGCTAAAGGCCAGTATGCTCTCAAACCACGATTTCTGGCAGATGGAGTCTGGGGAGTTAGGATCCGGGGAAGCCGAGGCTATCGCGCATCTAAAACATTTGAATGACCGCATCGGCAATGCGGATGATGGGAATTGTCGCGCTAACGGTGAGGCGGTCGATTTGTTACGGTCTTGTTTTGCGAAGTTTGCTCGTTCGCCTCATCCTGTTGCTATTCTTGCCTGGTTGCTCTATGTAAACAAAGAGTTTATTGATGGGTTGCGAGTACGCCGGCCAGTTCCGTTGCTTGTCTTAATGCATTGGGGCGTTCTGTTGAATGAGCTCGGGAGTCATTTTTGGTGGGCGGAGGGTTGCGGTAAAGACTTAGTGGCTGAGTTGTTGGCTGAGATTAAGAGTGAAAATCCTGTGTGGGAGCGGGCTTTGGAATGGCCACGACAGGCGATAGGGCTATGAAGATTAAATATTTTGTTATCCAAATGGTAGGATGAATACCAACTTGGTCGGACGTTGTCGCCTTTGTATACGTATGAACGGGAATGTCGGATTTGGTCAAATTTAGAAAAAACTCTCATAGGTTCATAGAAGCTGTAGAGATGGTGGATGCTTAATCGAATGAGTATCTGAATTACAGACAACAAATATGGCTCCATATGGTTCTTTATCAGGTAATCTGTTGCCTGAGGCCAGTAGATCTGACAGAAGACGCCCCATTTCCTTACTGAATCTTGTGTGATATTGTATGTATGCATGCATGGCATGCATGTATGTATGTACATATTTCGATGTATTACTTAAAAAAAAGAATTATAATACATAATTATACTGTGGACTGTACTTGAGCTAGCCCGGTGAAACCTTGAATATCGCTATCCAATGTAACCACATAACAGTTTTCGAGACACCCCATCCCCCAACTACTGACGTTCAATCCACTTCTGAATGACCTCCGCGACCTGGTCACTGTTCTTCTCCAGGAACACCATGTGGCCGTTACCGTGGATGCCAATCTCACCCAGCTGCAGATGCTCTGTGGACACGCCAGCCTGGCGCAAGAACTTGACTGTGCACCAGTCGTAAGGAGCATGGTAGGAAGACTCAGTGGTCAAGACCATAGTAGGCACCTTCTGCAGGTTGACCAACTTGCGGGGGGCGGGAGAGTCGGCCTGAATGACGCAAGGTGACCGAGAAGTGGAGTTGCTGGGGATGACCTGGCGCACGAGGTCCTTCTCGGGATCGGAAACGGCGGGCTCAAAGGTCAGAGGAATGTCCGTGAGACCGTATGGCCGGGAGGACGTGTTGGAGAAGACAGCCTCCTGGAAGGGCGGGCCAGTAGGCTCTAAAGATACGATGGCGTGGACGAGATCCGGGCGCACATCGGTGATGACCCAGGGCATGAGACCACCCTGGGAGTGGGAGAGGAGGACCACGGGGCGACCGATAAGGTCCAGCAATGCTGCACCTGCCTCCTGCACTGTGTGCTGCTGGCCGGTGCCAGATCCGAAGAACTCCACGGTGGAGGCATAGTAGGTGTCGAAGACCTTGTCACCCATCACACCAGTGCCGTTCCACTGGGTGTGCAGCGCGGCCTGAGGCCAGAGCATGTATTTCTTGGCAGCGGTGAAACGCTGCTGCAGGATCTCAGCACTGTAGGTCTTCATGGTGCCATTGCTTGGGTTCCAGGGGCTGCGGCCACGGAATGTCTGGTCGATGAGGTAGCATTCATAACCCTGAGAGAGGAAGTAGGAGGCCCAGCCCCTTCCACCGTCGGGCTTGTTCAGCCAATTCTGTCGGGGCCAGAGTTAGTCAAGCCTTTTCTTCTTGCGAGCAGCATTTTGGAACTTACTGTTCCGGTTTGTGCTTGGCCATGGATAAACACAATAGGATGCTCCTTGGTGACACCTTGGGTCGGAGTGAGCTTCTCCACGTACATCTGATCAGTGAAGATATGTCCACCCGAGCTATCCTGCACGTACTGGCCTCCAACGTACAGATAGTTGCGGTGATAGGCTACCTCAGCGCTGGAAACGACCGGAGTGTGCGCCGCGGCGTTGGCGCCGGTAATTGAGATCAAGATCCCTGTCACGACGCTACTAATTCGCATCTTGGCTGCTTCTGGAAGTTACAAATTGCAGGGGTATAACAAAAAAAAAAAATTCAAAACAAAGTTGGGAACTTAAAAGGGACGACGGAGGATCTTCGGGCGAGTACTATCAGTCCATGGTGCGATGGTGGAGTCTTCGTGTTGGAAGTGAGACAACGGTTCCATCCGTTATACTATGACAGGTAAAGATTGACTTGGCTCAATAACTACTAAGTATCGATTACTGCCTTTCGGTGGGTCCGGGTATGTAAGCCATAAAACTCTCGGTATATTAATTGTACTCCGATTTTAATATGATTCGTTTAGGGTTGCCAACAGGCGGATACAAAACTTCCCTATTCGTAACGGCGTTCGTGATCGTGAGGAACAGTGTTCGACTAACACAGCTAGCAGGCCCTAAGGATTATTAATTGTTCGTAATGAGAACCTTAAGACTTGGTCCCTGCACAGGGGAGGGAGTAAAAATGTTCCAAAGAACCGAGGACGCGCGGGACTTGAGATCTGTTAATATAGGATCGCACCATGGGCATGAGATTTCGATCGGATCTCACACGGACGACATGATGCCATAGTGACATGAATCACCATGGACGATGCGACGCTGATTTCACTATGGGTTTTCACATGGTGCACGGTCGGGTTGATCTCGATGCGCCTGGTGATGCGGAAAATTCGAGGGAAATCCTTCGTCTTGGGAGATTACCTGTCGATCGCTGCGATTCTCTGTGCATTGATCCGGCTTGCACTCGTCCATGTCATGATAATCTGGGGGACGAATAACATGCCCCCTAAAATTCGACATTCGCATCATTTCACCTCCCAAGAGATCTACCGTCGAGAAACTGCGAGCAAGTTCGCTCTGGTTAACCGAGTCTTCTACAACACATAGTATGCACGGCCGTCTCACTCTCTCTCCATACCCCTTTCGAGGGGAAGGCAATAGCTGACTCCCCCATCTCAGTCTCTGGCTCCAGAAGCTGATATTACTCGACACGTACCGTCACTTGCTCCGTAACCTCAGCTGGGAACGCATTACCTTGAGTTCATATCTCTTCGTTTTTGCGGCCACCTATGTTGCAGTCCAGATTGTGACCTTTACGGAATGTGACCCCTTCAACCATTACTGGAGGGTGCTGCCAGACCCTGGTGCGTGCGGCTCTTTCTTCGACGCCTTAGATCCTCCACTAATCGATACGGAAAGGAATTTGCTCTCAAGCACAGTTGCAGTTGATTGTTCTAGGTAAGTAATACACTGAATTAGATGTTCCGCTAGCGTGGAGATGAGTTAACAGATTGGTGTGTGATAGGCGTTCTGAACATCATTACAGATTTCATGTTGATCGTGTTGCCAGTTCCACTGTTGATTAAAGTGAAACGACCTTTTATGGAGTAAGAGCACCTTATAGCCACATCGAGCACTCTCAGGCATTTAGAGTATACTTTTGTTAGTTTCAGCTACTGACCATGGCATTCATGTATCAGGAAACTACAACTCGCGGCTCTTTTTGCCGTCGGCTTTTTCATCGTCGTGATCACCATCATTCGCCTTCCCCAAAATGCCCAACACTCCACGGCACAAGTGAATCGCACCACTTGGGCCTCGGTGGAGCTTTTTGCCGCGGCTATTGTGGCTAATGCTCCCGTCCTGTACGGATTCTGGAGAGGAGAGCGAGAAGCATCTCGATCGAGAACAACTGAGGGAACAACTAGGCAACAGTCCTCATTAGGACGCGGTGGAACGGTCTCACGAGACCGGGAATTGGAGATGCAGCCGTTGCCAGGAGGCCACGTCCGACGGACCTCCATGCTGGGTTCTAAGCGGATATCACGGCCCATGCACGGCTACACCGAAATCGACGAGGGCAGTAGTGGTCATCTGGTCAAAGAAACTAAAGGTGGCGAAGTATAAAATAGGCCCGTCTGCTGCAAAACCACCGGCCATTGAGATAGTACTCTATGCGGTCGAATGTTTGCAGCGTATGGGCAGCACATGCCATCAACTAATAATACAAGATACCAGCCCAATAAATGATATTGATACCCATACAATGATGAAACCCTAGGGCAGATACTCTAGAATATCCTCTAATAATACATTGACAGGAACTAATCATTGAAACATATAATGCCGCAGCCTGGTCTGACGATACATAGTACCTGCTTTGAAACGTCTTGGTATGCAGGTCAACGATAGAAGTGGCTCATTGGCTTATACTGTGCATCGCTGATGATGCCATAAATAGAGCGTGACTTGTTAGGAAACTCTTGTGGTTGTACATGCACGGGTGGTCGATTGCTTATTGGTCTGTGAGATGAATTATGTTCTATCGGACAATGTCAACCACCCTCCGTTCACTTACGATGGCACAGTTGTTCTCCCTTGCAATCTGAATCTACTGTGTAGAAGGTAATTGATTAAATTATTATCTGTAGGCATGGCACGTGTCCATGTACAGCGCTTAATCACCACATGCCGTTGGCTATAATGATCTCTTCGATTCTCCCAAATGTCTCAGCTTCTAGTCTTGACTATTTTTATTGCGCCCCCTTGAATGACCTTGCGGTGAATAATCATTACTGATTTCATTGGCGAGTCATAGTACTCTTAAAGTTTCGTGTACTTCTGTATATTTTGGTGAATCGTACATAAGAGGACGCAGCGGCTAAATATGCTACCGACTCCTTCATACCTGCAATGTAGACCTCAGGATTTCTCTTGGAGAGCCCTTGAGAAGTCGAAGGATCGAATTAGAGGGTGCAACGCCGCACGAAAAGTTAGGAATAATGCCCGTCTTCCTCTAGCAACTGTAGCAGATGCCTCATCTGTACATTGGCCGAAGGATTTCGGACTTGGTGGTTTATTAGTGAATAAGAGCTTTTATAAGGAAGCAGTGTACAGACCCAACAGGCTTGCAGTCCCTCTTATGGAAGACTGTTCTCGCTGCAGTACTTCCAAAGTCAAAGAGCCGCCAAGGCACAACCCGTGAGCTTGTCATTCACTTTGGGTACTCAGTAGGGAACTGAGATGAGTAGTGAGCCTTATGGAAATTGAACTTTAGTTTATATAGTAGGATAATATAGAGCATGAGTGTAGCTCCTGCCATGCCAGTCTCCTCCACTTCCCCCACTCCATCACCTCCTATAAGCACTAAACCCTGGCATTTACTTCTTCCACGCTCCACATCAACTGATCTCTAGGTTAGTATGTTGTTCCTCAATGTGCTTTTATTTTACCTCGCCATACTTCGTGCAGACGCAGCTTTCCTGCCTGATCTCGTCTCCACGTTCGCCAAAATCTCCCTCTCCCTTGACAACTCCCACCTCACCAATTGCTCTCTCGCCGGAACACCCCGCCCACCTTTCAAATCCCTCCCTCCTCCCAGTCCAGGTTTGCATCTCAAGTACGTGACAATGGGCCGGGGAACACAAAACTACACTTGCCAGGAAGACTCCAACACCACAGCGCCTAGGCCAGTGGGCGCTGTTGCAACGTTGATCGATGTTTCTTGTCTTGCCGCCTATAGTATGGAGCTTCTCCACCATTTCACCCCTATTATGAGGGCGATACATAGCGAGACCCTTCCTTTCCTCGCCCTGCTGAGCGGCCAGATCTCTGCACCCGACAATAAGTTCATCTTGGGGAGTCACGACTTTGATGGGGCCGGCATGCCAGTTTTTGATCTACGACTTACGGGCGGTAGTGACTGGATGGCCTCCAGAAAGAATGCGAGTGCTTCGGCCTCCGGAGACAACGTTGTCAACGTGCCTTGGTTGAAGCTCACCTCGGTGGATGGTACTGGTATTAATGTAAGACCTTTATGATATGTGTTTTGTTTGCACATTAGTACTGACTAGTCCCTTTAGGAAGTTTATCGCTTGCATACTGTGGGAGGACAACCTCCAACCAATTGCCATCGGCGTAAGGGTACATTTCAGGTTGAATATGCGGCCGAGTATTGGTTCTATGGTCCTTAAATTGCTGCAGGCTTCTTTTGCCTCATATGTTCCATGTTGAAATTGTTTCTAGGCGTGTGGTTCTTTGAGCTATAAGTCATTCCTTTTCTGCCACTGTATGCTGCTACTATTGCCATAGCTCAATATTCGAGCAGGTGCAACGGTAAGATGTTAGAAAAGATGATTTTGCTGTTGCGGTCATTAAGATATCCATGATAGCTACTCAAACTCAACTTATGGAACAATAAGGTGCTCGACTCCAACCTTGTCTGCCTCCCTATTCAAAGCATCAATCTCAGCCTGAACGAAAGGAATGCCTGTCTCCAACCTCTCCTCATGCGTAATCTGTTCAATCTCTCCAGGGTAGTAAACGCGATCCACCCCAGCCATCTTCTCCGACCCAACAACCCTCCGATAAAGATAGTCCATGCGCTCCTTAAAATCCTCCAACCCCATAAACAAATCTGGCTTAATAGCCACCAAAAAATGGCCCACATCCGCCGGCTTCGAAGGATCATAAGGCCCAGTAACATGACCCGCAAACGCCGACCCAGACAACACCCCAGAAAACACATCCATCATAACCGCCAATGCCGACCCCTTCGGACCCCCCATAGGCAACATAACGCCCTCCAGCGCGCGATTCGGATCCTCCGTAGGCCTCCCCTCCGCATCCAACGCCCAGTCCGCCGGAATCTTCTCCCCCCGCCGTGCAGCCTTATAAATCTTGCCCCGCGCCGCAATCGACGGCGCCATATCCAGGATAAACGGCTTCTCCCGTCCAGCAGGCGCTCCGCACGCCAAAGGCGAAACCCCCATCAACTTCTCCCGTCCCCCCCAAACCGGCAACGCCGGCGACGAATTCGTAAACACGAGGCTCATCATGCCCGCCTCCAACGCCTGCTGCACCACCCACGCCGCCATCCCAAAATGATTCGAGTGCTTCACCGATACAAACCCTATCCCGAACTCGCGGGCCATCTCAATCGCCCGCGCCATCCCCATGTGCGCGGCGACGAACCCGAACCCGTTCGCCCCGTCTACCTGCGCCACGACCGGTGTGATCTGCTTCAGGCTGGGGTTTGCTTTGGCATCAAGGACGCCCTGCCGGATCCGTTCCATGTACGACGGGATCCGATTTATACCGTGCGTGTCCACCCCACGGAGGTCAGCTTGAATGAGGCATTTGCTGATGATTTCGGCGTTTTGTTCCGGGACGCCGTTTGCTGTGAGGATTTTGGTGGTGAAAGTTTGGGCGTTCGTGGCGCTGATGTGGTGTTTTTCGGTTTGGGACATTTTGGGGGATGCTTTTTATATGCTTGTATTGGAGACTTCTTGAAGAAACAATTTTCGATTGGATTCAATTGGATTGGGGGTTGGATTAGGGTGGGTGTCGTTGTCACGTTTATATAGTCTTGACTTTTGGTTAGCGGGTGTTCCGCTTCGGATCTTCCCCGCGTCTTCTCTCTTTCGTGCGGATCCGGTCCGAGATGTTGGGGTTCGGCTTCGGTGGGTATCCGCTGGGACGGGTTCGTCTGTAGGTACGGAGGGATGTTTAGTTTTAATACCGGGGGCGGGTATTGGATTTGGTGATAGGGTGATTATGTATAAGTTGGATATATAATATTTGGCATTGTGAATTTATATGTAATTTATAGTATGTGGAAACTTCGCGGACGATTTATAAAAAGGGGGAACCAACCGTACTAGGCTGTCTGCAATCAATTATTCATTTTTACATTAAGTTCCAAGGAAGCCCAATAAGTGTGTTGCAGTGTCTATTAATCAACGCAATCTAAGCTCGCTCTTATAAGAAATAACTCTATAGTACTCGTTATCCACATGTATGCACATTTTTGATCCACCTGCACTATTTACAACCGTCCCAAGAGGCCAGCTCTTGTCAACGAGATTCAACTATCCATTTTGTCTCTGGACCCGATTTTTCATTCGCCTGGGCTGCTGGTGGCTTCGCGTCTGTGCTGGCCGTGTTTGTCGCATTCTCTTGCAGCTTCTGCATATAATGGAACGATTCAGCGGAGTATTTGCACCGCTTACGAATAGCCGCTCCGTAGCGATAAAAGAGGAAAGGTGCGGGCATGCACAGCAGCGATAGGAACGCAGGGATAGACGGTCCCCAGTGGATACCGACACCCTCATATATATACTTCGTGATAAGAGGGAAGACGGCGCCGAAGATAGACCGCAATATGGCGTTGGCGGCTAGTACAGACGCCGCATAGATGGTGTACGAGTCGATCAAATAGTTCATGACGCCGAGATAGATGAGGATGACGCCGAAGCCGAACGGCGCTGTGCCGATAATACTCACGACCCAGTGGATCGAGGGGTAGTCTGTCCAGGCGAACCAGAACTGGCCGATTGGGATGGCTACAGCCCCGACCATGCATTGGAGGAGTCGGACCTCTGGTGGTGCGAAGCCGCCGAGTCGGTCTTGTATTTTTATGAAGTGCGTATTGGCGGGGACAGTAAAGATGATACCTATGATCATGCCAATCATGATCCCGAGGAAGGCGAGGCCGCCGACGCCGGGGTTCCAACCACGTCCCTGCTCATATACAATTGGGAATCCGGCGAAGAACATATAGAGTGTGCCATAGATGATGGCGATGTAGACGGCGAAGAGGAGGACAATAGGCTCTGTGAAAAGCAATGCCAATGGCCTGGAGAGTGATCTCCGAAGTAGAGTGTCTAACGACATTTTTCCTTTATCGAGCTCGATTTTGCTGCGGTAGACCTTGCCTGTGACGTGGGACAGGCGATCAGCGCGTTGCCGGAGTAGCAGAGGTGCATAAGTTTCCGGAACTGCCAGTGCCATCATGAGCCACACGAGACCTCCAGAGGCAGCAAGAAGACCTTCCACCCATCTCCAGCCAGCGTTCATGCTCAAGAACCCGCCTATAATCGGACCCAGGGCAGGCCCCAAGAATGGGGCTGCAGCATACAAACTAAGTGCCAGACCACGCTGCCGGGCCGAGAACATATCGGAGATCGTACCTCCAGCATTTGTTAACGGCGCCGATCCGAATGCACCTGAGAAGAAGCGCAGGATGATTAAGGTCCAAATATTCTGAGCACCAGCACAGCCGGCTGAAAACGCAGCCATAACTAAGAAGCTGATGAAGAAGGGTCTTTGGCGCCCGAAAACCTCACTGATGGGAGCCCATAATAGGGGGCCCACGGCAAAACCCAGAACAAACAGTGACAATCCTAGGGTAGCTACCTCCGTGCTGACCTCGAAATACGTAACGATATCTCCAACACTGCCACTGTATGTAGAAGACGTCAATGCGACAACCATTGTTGAGAAGGCGACGACGAGTGTGAGGGTTAGTTTCCTAGCAAAACTGAATAACTGAGGATTTCGGGGGTCGTTTGGAATCCAGGACACGACATAGGGATCCTCCTCTGTTCCTGAGCCGGGGTAGTCGAAATGGAGGACATCCTGCGTGACAGCACCTTGATCGATGAGCATGCGGAAGTAGGGAATCTTACTTTGGTAAACCCCGATCGGGTGAACGTTCCCATTGAGTTTGTTTTCTAAATCACCGGCTGTCATTTTGTATATATATCTCAAGAATCATTCATTCAAAAGCTATTATTTTGATCAATTCATGCGGCTGTCAAGGGCATCCCGGTGAAGGAGACGAACAGAGGTTAAGCAAAGCTATAAAATTGGAAAGGAAGTTCTACATTGATAACAAATGGCATGTAGAGATATAGGTTTCCATTGATGACAAGTAAGTGAGGAAATTTCAAGCAGGTTACATTTTCAGCGAACGCAGGAAGTCCCTAATATTAGTAGTAGCACGTTATCAATGTGATAGGCGAAGAGAAAAAGAAGAGAGAAAAAAATTTACAAGCTGAACCGAAATGAACTTGCGTGATGACCCACATTACAAGGTATGGCCCAGCACATCCCTTCCTGCAAAGAGTTACTAGTTGGATACCCGAATCCGAACTATATGGATGCAAAGACTCAACGCTCAATGGAAAGATCCTTCTCCTGACCTCCCTTCCGAACACTCTTTCCAAGATGCCTTCGACTACCTACCTTCTACCCATCACGACAGTCAAGGGAAGTGGAGCAAAAAAAGGCTTGCTTTGAACGTCAGATTAAATTATCGATATCGGGTAACCGGCACGTGGGTCGCTCGGAAACTCTTCCAGGGACTTGCCGAGTTCAACATCGTTCCAATGAGATTCGAGGTAATTACCGATTTGGACCTGTGATCATGGGTCTATCGTGTAAAGATATAATTACATGTCGCTTCGATTATCGTACTCAAGTTGCCGCGGTAGATATGCGCACATTATGCAAGGTCAGCCCCAGAAGTAACGATCATTGCTTCTAGAAAACCAAGCAAATATTATACGGATATTCAGGTGGTTTTGTTTTGAAATAAGACCTACTCCTCTCCCCTATTTGCTATGGTGTATCTGTGGCGCTATAAACCACCTGCTATCAGTGCCCTTGTTACCTAGCAGGGTGTTCTAGAATTATGTGGTTGTGGTTTTAGGATCTGCATAATGCTAAGTGCTACTGATTAGAAATAGTCCACATACACCCCTCAGAAGTCAGCCTCACTGATAAAAACCCAGGGTCTAATGTGTATGTTGGTATTCACACTAGCAAGTGTGCTCCGATCTTTAGATATTGAAAACTAACTGTCGATTAACAGTCCAATGAAATTGCGACTTGCGAGTCCAATACCCCGACAGAGATAAGGGGGTCTAATTTCCAAAGATCGACTCATATCCTTGCAAAGTCCTACGAAATTAACGTGCGAACTGAAGAAATGGCGAATAGGCCTTGAATATCCTGGTATATATGTTTTAAAGGCTTGCATTCTTCTGACCGAATGCCATTCATTGCGAGCGATATCGTAAATAAATATATATAGTCATCCATAGTCAAAGTGATTTGACCGCATATCATGTCATACAGGATTAAGCTCTTAACGAAATGATGACAATTGTAAAGTATCCACCACAGCAAGCAAAGTTTCACTTCATATTTGTGTTCTGACGTACTCTGGACACATTCGCTGTTAAAGGACCTAGCCTTGCACAAGCAAAGCACTTATATCATATGACTATATGGCGAGGTGGCGCAGTGCATGCAGTGCAGAGTTGCCACAGCCACACTTCCCTTGCCATGTCATCTACTTTCTGTTCCTCAGCTATCGACTGTCCGATGCTCTAATAAGCTCAAACTTCATACCCGGAAGTTTCGCCTCAAACGCTATCTTTCAAAAAACCAAGTTCATTGTAGTGTGCTGTCCAATGACTACACCGCTAAATTGGTGACCTGTTGTTATTGGAAGCCATGAGTGGATTTGAGGTTTGGGAATTCCATCCAAGGGACGCTGCCACCAACAGGGATTAACAGATTCTTGTGCAGCCCTATTGCTCCTTTGTTTAGTAACGTTGTATGACCATGGTAGATCAGTCAGCTTCGAAGCTCATTGTCTTGAGGGAATAAACCGGAAATGGCCACCCTGTTGACATCCTCCAATACTCACGTGACTATATCGCCCGATCGGGAGGTCAGCCGCAGATAGGTCAGGTGTCAGGAAGTGCGCGTCAACGCGACAACGTTTGACCTCGACCTCGTCATCCGGCTACACTATCCATTAAAAATTTTCAAGCCCTATTCGAATCAACGTTTTCACTTGTCGCATGGTTTCATGACTGTTGACGAATAAAATATTTTCTTTTCAAACCTGCGCTGGACCCGCGCCATCCGCTCATACCCTCCATCGCCAGTGGCTACTGTGCTCAACGAATCGCCGCTCTCCTTCCACCGTTATCGACCATTGACAACCCATTTCATCAGAAATGGCCACCGACTACAGCAAGAAGACCAATGCCGAGCTAGTGGAGATCCTTAAGTCTCGCTCACTCCCACATACCGGTAAGAAGGCGGAAATGGTTGCGCGTCTTCAGGAGGATGACAACAAGACCCAATCGGCTGCGCCTGCCGCGAAAACCGATAACGCAGAGGACGTTATCGATTGGGAGGATGACGACGTTCCTGCCGCAGAAAAGCCTTCTACGGAGGCTGGTGCTGCTGCTATCGCTGCTGGGGGCCAGGGCGCCGTGTCTAACCCGACTGCGGTTCCAAACCAGCAGCAAGACACCGACCCTGCTACTACGGACGATCTTAAGGTAGAATCTCAAGGGGCAACTGCCTCAGACGTGCAAGAGGGACAGAAGACAGCCACCGCGGAGGCACCTGAGACAGCAGAAACTGCCCAGGCTGAGGAGAAGCCGGCGCCGAACTACTCAATCGGCCTCTCTGTCACCGACATGGAGGAGGAATTGAAGAAGCGCAAGGCACGCGCGGAGAAATTCGGCATCACGGAGGACTCGAAGGCTGCCATCGAAGAGGCAGAGAGGAAACTGGAGAGGGCTAAACGCTTTGGTGCTGCCCCTGAGGAGGAGACGGTTACCGCCGGAGTTAGCAAGTTGGACCAGGCACTTCCCACCGAGAAGGCCCGTAAGAGGGGTCGCGGCGAGAATGACCAAGGCAGGCGTGGAGGCAAAAGACGTGATTTCGGCGGGAGGAACAAAAACCAAAACCAAAACCAGAATCAGAATCAGAATCAGAACCGGCGACGGGGCCAGGGTAGCCGTAACCAAGGTCATAACCAGCGAGGAAATGAGAAGAGCACCAGTAGTGGCTTAAGTGAGAAGGATAAGCTTGCTCTGGAGGCCAGGAAGAAGCGATTTGGGACTGCTGCGTGATTACATCCATGTTTCATTACAACTTCTATTCGTCATTTATTTAAACTGGTTCAATATCATAGGCGTTTTTGAGGGAATCATTATTGTGGCATCTTTCAAGGGATTTTTCTTTTTTCCTTATTTTTTTTTCTTGGGGAAAAGGTCGCCAGTTATGTGGGGAAACCTTCCATATTCAACAGTAATACGAAGCACTTGTACTACGAGCGTGTTAGCAGGCAAATCTCGTAAGGTAACCATGAACTGCTTGGCAGTAAACTAAACCAAACCCATCAGCATGTATTGTAATTTTGAAATTTCTGAATTTGGGACATGGGCCGGCCAGCGTCACAAAGGTAGGTAGTAGCTTATCGGTATGTTTTCTTTTTCTTTCCCTTTTCTTCCCTTGCATGCAACATGTCGTCCGACATGAGAAAAATGAGAGGGGGAAAAAAAAAGAGGGTCAGTGTCAGACTCGTGGAAGTGGCGGAATACACGAATCAGCTGAAAAGTGCAGGAAGTATTCCGTTCCTGCAGCACACCAGCGCCCACTTCGCTCGGAATAGTATCTTGAATAGTAATTTCCTGATCAGATCTGATCGACAAATCGCCAACTGCACTGGACGATCGCTATTGCAGGAGGACAGAAGTACTGGTCTGATCTTTACTTCAACTACGCTCTTAGCTTATTTGGAATGCTCATATCATCTCTCTTCTCTGAAACCAGCCCGGACTGACCAACAGGTCGAGATTTCTAAGTAGTTGGATGATTGGTATTGGTCACATTTGTCTAGACTCCGAGACATGCTGCGGCACAGATAGTACAGATGTTAAAGCATCCTCGCTTTTACCGCCGTCCCCACAGGGGCCGGAAGTATCAGGGAGGCCTCTGCTTTTGTCTGGCGAATCCCTCACCGCAGCTGCCTGTTGCCCATCTATGCTAAGCCTGGCGGATTGAACCCATGTCCCCTCGCGTGTGCTCGTCAAAGTCATCTTCAGTCAATCAGGATGGCCTATGGCCGGTTCTTCATTTAGCGGCGGATCAAGACCCACGGCTCAGCGTCCCCACACACAAAGGACACAGCACGGGGCGATTATTACCTAGGGCCCAGTCTAGTTGACCCCGGGGTCTCAGCTTCTTTGTCTAGGAGGCCTGTTCATGAATATGAGTGGTGCTTGGGGTTGTCATAGAATGTAATCCCCTTGTCCCATCATTTTGGCCCCCTTCGGCCGTGAACGAAGGTGTTATTTTGACGGAGAATTATTGGGGTGTTGAAAGGTTCGGGGCGAACCTTTCGGCGTACCAGTATAACTCTCAGTTATGGTTAAAGCGAAAGCGAGTGATTCCATGGATCTATCCTGACACGACCGATTATAAGAATAGGCATTGTAGAGGACCATATAGAGTGGGGAAGAGTGTTTAGAAGGGCTATCTCGTTAAAGTACCAGACGGCTCACGTAGAAATAAATGTTGAACAAGGTGACAAGTGCGTTGTACATGCATCTCAGTCTCTGTTCTTCTGTTCGGCCTCGCCGGGGACGATCGCAAAGTCACTGACCACCACCTGACTTGATGACTATCAATTACTAAGAAAAGAACTGCTCCAGGAAAAATGTCCGAATGCCATCCTATCACAACCTGCATAATGACACACAGACCAAAGGAGCTTTGGACTACTGCAGTACCTCGTTACCAACAGATTTGCATGCCATCTGGGCGTCTTGCTGGATGAGGTGCTTTTCTTTTTTCTTTTTTTCCCTCTCCTCCTTTTTCGCGTAAGTGCCGATTATGCGCACGACGGACCTCTTCCGCTATCTCACGCCACTCAACCTCATCCCAGCCTGTCAACTGCCATTATCCAGAATACTCAAGCCGTGAGGTCCCATCATACTTACCAGTGAGAGCAAACACACTGGATCCGGGAGTGGACTAGCCCTTGACTTCTCCTGTCGTGCACGTTCCTTTTACGGTTGACGGCTTGATCCACTTTCTAGTTGGGGTCGTGTTTTCAGACCTTTCACGTCCTATTCTTGGCAATTCTAAAATATCCAAGGCTTAATACAATCGATAACAGAGAAACAAAGTTACCGTTCTCGCACCAATGGTCTCCCTTGTCACATCTGCCCGATGTCGATCGCACAGAGCCGTCTAGGATTTCTCGCTGCGGCCTCTATATGGACACTTGCTCTACGAATAAAAATTTGGCCTCCCCGCTGCGCCGGTCTGTCTTGATAGGGCCGAAACTAGCGTTGAACGTATCCTTGAACTTGAAAAGTCCAGATCTGTCCCACAATCTCGTACACCATGGTCTAAAATTCTTTCCAACTTCTTTCCTTCTTCCACTTTCTGCACAGCTGGATTCTGTGTGTTAATATTAAGCGTTATTTTATTATTTCCTTTTTCTTTTGTTTTTATTTTTCGACACCAGTGTCTTCTCTGACGTGGTCGTGCAGACGCAGCTCAACAGTCAATAGCTTTGCATTGCATTTTAGCCACAGTGGACTGTGGCGGAGCGCATGCGAGTTGTCCTGTCACTAAAAAAAAGAAAGAAAGGAAGAAGAAAAAAACACCGCTTTCAAGTACATGATATTACATCATCTCCCTTCGTATAGTGACCAGGGGACCGGCTTCTCTCGAAGATTACCTTCGCTCTGCTTTGTGTGCTCTTTTTGGGAGCTTATATTATCCCACCAATAGATACCCTGACACCCAATATTTTTGACTCTCATACGACGCCTTCAAATATGCTAACCCGGGGTTTTTGATTGCTGGTCAATTATTTAACCTCAATAATATGTCTTAGAAAGGTAGGATAGCGCGGTTTTTATAATGTATCTAGGCATGATGCTCACATATGCTAGCGGTTATTCTAGGAACGGTGACCACCTCGTCGGAATGATTCCATGGCCCTTTTGTCTTTCGCCCACAGTTGGATTACTAGTCTTTGGACTGGAGCTGGGGATTAGAGTCAGGTAACACCATGGCGTCGCACAGGTTCGAGGGCGGTCGAATACCACGGTTAAAGGATCCTGCCTCCCAGTCGCGAAATGTATCATTGCCGGTCACGAATGCATCGGCGAGGCTTTCCAATTCCTCCATTCTGCTGTCATCAACGCCCCGCATTGCAGCACCCACAAAGATTACCAACAGGGGGTCCTCTTTATCTAAGACCGAGTCAAGCCATTCCGCAGTACCGTCAAAGCCTTCCAGAATTCCATCTACGCGCAATGCTCGATCGTTGCTGCCTCCACGAGCAGCTACTCATCCACTACCTTCAGTAGCTCGTCACGTACCACCTGACTTAAATACTGAGAAGAGCTCGCCGTTAAGTGTAAGCGCAGCGTCGCCTTCGGATTTGCTAGGTGCTGGCCAGCAACAGCCTGTTCGTAGTCGACTACGGAATGTTCTTCGAAGAAAGGCGCCAACCATTGGGCAGCATACTGAGAACGACAAGTCAATTAATGACACCACTAAACCAGACAGGCTTAATGTCAAAGTCCCGACCAGTTCTTGCCCGGAGCAAGTCATGGGTGGAGATTCACAACTCCCCACGGGTCAACCTAAGTCAGTGAAAGAAATGCTTTCGGCATACACGCCACAGGATGCAGCGGTGAGCATATTACCGAAACAACAGGCTCACCATGGACCAAAAGAGCTTGCGAGCCTACGAACTACTCTTACTACGCAAAGTTTGCCTCCCCCTACTCCAATTTTTGCCTCCGCCAGTAGCCCGTCAACAAGATATTCTGGCTCTCCGGGCATATGGAGCAGAACATCTACACCTACCTCACTCTCCTCTTATTCACCAGGAATTGTTCAGCCAGCCAAGGTCGTTCCCCGTATCAGACTACCAAGTCCAAGCCATACCAAACTTCCCGTCTCATCACGGCAGGTACAGCAATCACCACAAGGTGAAGCTATACATCTGACAGCTAGTACGCCAACTAGTTCCGGTCCACAGCCAAGCGTAACTGCTTCTAGTAGAGGAAAAGGCGAGGAGTCTCCAGCAAAAGAATATGAAGTCAATATTATCGCTGTACCTGGTAGACTTCCGTCACGGAAACCACTCGCTACGTCCTGCCTCCCTAGAAAGACAACTGAGAGGCCCAACACAGAGTCAGGCTCCTTTCAAACAGTTCAATCACCCGAGAATACCAGAACAAATGCAGCCGGGAGGAGAGAAAGCACTTCTACGCAGATACCTGCGCGGCCGAGTAGAGAGGGAACACACCAGTTGCAATTGGATCCATCACCAGTGGTCCAAAGTAACCTGTCACCTGACACGGTAGCAGGTCACAAACGCCGTCCGTCAGTGGAAAGCACCTTCACTTTAGATAGACCTCCTCTGGGCTCCATTCGATCGGCGTCGACATCAATGGATTCACTACAGTCCAGGAGCTCCTCTCAACTACCGTCCCGCTTGTCGCCTGAGTTTTCACGGAGATCTCCGAAGGCATTGTCAAAGGAAAGGAAGATGCGGCAAACGCCGCAAAGCCCAATAAGCCCATCCAAGAGCCGAAAGTTCGGCCTGTTCTTGAAGAAACCTAAGCCTGAACTGGAAACAAAATTATCGGAAGAGAACCGGCCGGTTCGCAAGGGTCCGTCTGCTGGAACTGGCCACGAAGGGTATGGCAAATACGCACAGCGTGGCCGAAGGACAAGTATCTCTAGTAGTGGGTCTAGAACAAGGTCAACTAGTACTGTGAGGAGTGCCTCTAAGTCAGTTTCTAGTAAAGGCAGCGTGAGCAGTCGTCCAGAGCTGGGGCTTGATGACTTCCTGCTTGATCGTCTTGAGCCTGTCTTTATCAGCGGTGGTGGTATGGACGGCGCAACATTGACTCGAATACAAAGTGGACAAAGTTCTTCCGGCCTTAATGCAGGTTCTGTCTCAAGCTTGGCCCATACGGCCAATATCTCAAAGCCTGACGGGTACTCCTCCGAGTCCTTGGCTTCTTCAACGGATAGCATTAGCAAACCTGCAAAGAGCCAGCAAAGTAACACAAAACAAGCGGCACCCAGTGCTGCTCCGTCTACGCACCAGCCGAAAACTCGCAATATTGAGGGAACTAGAAAGTTAGACCCCAACATTGACGTCAATTCTGAGACACTCCAGCCCCATGCAATCCGGGCTGGACAATCTCACGCAGGCGCTGTAACTTTGAAAAATACAGCGAAGAAGCATGCTCCCACGAATAAACCATTCAAAAAAGGGCTGGGCCTGAAATGGAACCTCTTTCAGAAAAACCGCGACAACGGACACGCAGAGAATGAGAGCCTAGCCTCGCGTCCCCATCGAGTCCAAGCTACAGTATCGCCGGCAGCAGTTCGTCGGCCTATTGCACACTATGCTTTGGTTGATACTGACTCTGACACCTTGGAGGATATCATCCGCAGTGTCGAAGACTCACCCCCTGCTGAGGAAGAGAAGGCCATTCCCCATGTGGAGGTCCCTGCGGCTTTGAATATTAGAAAACCAAATCAGTCTATTTTGCTGCCTTCGCCACCAAAATTGGACGGCGAGTTCACGCCTTCTGGGAAAGTATATTTTAACAGGGATCGGTCGACCCCTAGCTCCGAAAAGCCAATGGAATGCCCAGAAGAGCAGCGCCCAACGCGCCTGGCATCCGTTGGTCGTATTCCACGTGTAGTCTCTAGAAGAGACAGACAGCACCGACCAGCTCTGCAATCCTTTTCCAGGCCGTTCAGTTTGGCCGACTCCCATTCAATAGCAGCCCCGGTGAAAAGCAAGCCATATGAATTTTCACCACCAGGCCTACCTAGACCGCAGGCCCCATTACAAGCATATCATGGCGATTTCCCAAGTTTTGCCTTCGATCTTACTCAGCCATTCGGTAACCCTATGGGCCGAAGCGTCTTGGACTTCATTGCTGGTCCTTACTCTTCCGATCAATTTCTGAAGTTCTCCCCTAGAAAGGATTCAACGGCAACTATGTCAACATCAAGTGGCTCGGAGAGCCTCGCAGCAGTTACAGCTGTTATTCCAGAGCCTGAGTCTGCTCTAAATGAAGATGAGGTATGGGGAGAGTATGACGATCTCATTGACCATGTCCTCTCTCCTGATCCTGCGAGGTCTCTGTGCCCAGGTGATTCCGAAGCTGATGAAAAGTTTGAAATGGCCGCCATAGCTAGTAGAGCTCTTCAGGCTGAACTTAACGGTATCTCCGATCGACAGGCCCTTCCTACCACTACCGAGAATCCTTCCGTGGCACTTACTCCGGCTTCCCCTACCCCGAGCAACGGGTCAATCCATTTGAGGCGATCCAAGATTATCGAAACTCTACATTCCTCACTCGTGCCTTCTAGCCAGCCCTCGTTTAGTGACATAATCGCTTATTATCGCGATGATAGTAGCATAGGTAATAACGATGAGGAGAACGAAAACAACTTGTCAGCTTTAGCACCGTCTCCCGAGCGGCAGTCAAGCTTCCTCACCTCACCTTCTTTAAATCCTTCACCAAGCTTTGAAACCTGTCGGCAGCGGAACGCGGTCTTGTTTGATATCGCTGAGCGGGATCGGGAAGGGCCAACTGCGCAGACTAACATTAGATCTGGGTCCCTTATGACGAGTCGATGGCTGTCCTTCGGGAGGGTTTTATTTAGCCCTGCTCACAATCACATCAAAAATGGTGAAGAGGAGCGGATCCTAGTAATTGATGGACTAGGAAACGATGACTGGTCGTTCTACTGCGCTTTGACGTACCCTAATGCGGAGGTGTACAACCTGAATGACGGACCGGCTCCAACGGCATCCACACACCCGGATGCCTGGCAGCCGCCATCCAACCATCATACTATCTACCATGCCAGCCTTGAGGGTCGGTTCCCATTTCCCAAGCGATATTTCACGGTTACTGTCTTACGGTTCCCTTCAGCTTGTTCTGAACCTGCCCAGGACAATATTATCTCGGAGTGTAAGCGTGTGTTGCGGCCCGGCGGTTATATGGAGATGAGTTTGCTTGATCTCGACATGGTGAATATGGGGATCCGCACTCGAAAGGCCGTTAGAAGCCTAAAGGAGAGAACATACTTATCGGATCCCAGTATTAGCCTCAAGCCTACAAGCGATAGCATACAACGGATGCTGGGGCGGCACGGGTTTGACAACCTACGCCGGTGTATGGTACGGATTCCGGTCGCGGGGATGATTGTGAGATCGTCAGCTTCGTCCTCATCCACATCATCTTCCAACCCGTCAACGTTACTGGCAACAGCCACTTCATCAGCGGCGTTATCGGCTCAATCCAGCTCATCAATAGGGGCTCATTTAAAGGCCCATAGCAAGTCTTCCTCCAATGATACCGACCTATCTCTAGGCGATTTGCTATCTGACCCATCACCTTCCCCTTCCAACGACGAATCCATCCGAAAGATCGTCGCCCGCGTTGGCCGGTGGTGGTACACGAGATGCTATGAGATACCTGTTCTGGCAAATGGCGATGCCGGCCTTAGCATCTGGGCAGATAAAAAGGTACTTCGCGAGTGCCAGAAGCGAGGCACCGGCTTTCGTTTGTTGATTGCATACACGCAGAAGCCGAGCGAGAAACGGAGGACAGCGAGTGTTTAGATTCACATACGGCAGTGCTTCTCACGAAATACCATGATAACGACGACGGATGACGATTTATGATATATTACTCACTAATGCTCTACGAACCGACATGACGTGTGATCCACGATTATACCGATAATATACTATGCTACAGACCGGCAACGGTTAGGGGAAGACAAAACAGATTGTTATCATGCCTTAGCCTTTTGTTTTGCATTTTTGGTTTTTATTGCTTTGCAGATGGTACACGATATCCTCGAATTTTGCATGTGTGGTATCATTTCTTGAGTATTGTTATGTTTGCATTTTGGAGGTTGTCTGAACATTAATATGCCTGATTTGTTGTTCAACACCTTGACGTCTCGTCTTTCGTATAGTTCTTCTTCTGAGATTTGAGGGCTTTCGCTCTTGTTTGGCGCCTCCCTTACTGTGCCTGGAGCATGGGACAAGCATGGGAGTATGTGTGCCGAGTTTTCCGTGAACGCTCGCTTCAAGTCCTCAATCTAGTATTAAATAATAATTTTACCGCTGTACAGAGCCCTGATCTATCTTTCATAGTAAACGAGTTTACATGGCACGACATCCTTTGCCGTAACACACTCGCGACTTTTAAAGCTAAACGTCTCACACGTCTTAGTTGCAGAGCATCGAAGCAATATTGTATAAGAAGTTGTTGTTGACTAGATTATACGACTAGACCACTCCAAAATCCCCCGATACGTGAAGTTTCCGTGAAATTTTAAGTTGACAGAACTAGCAATTCCGGCTATTGCTAGTACATATGAGGAACAACATAATGTCATGAACATGATACGACGTCTACAATCTCGCTTAACTTCGACATATACGAAAACATAGTAAGGTACGTACAGTATTGCATTGCACATTACTCCTTTCCATATTTCTCCTTCTCCCAGAACCAATGATACAAGCTTCTCCACTCCGTCGCCTCATCCTCTACATAGTCTCCTACTAAGTCTGCCGTCTCGTTTCCTTCTGGCAGGTCCATTGCCGGTGGAATACGGCCGCTAGAGGCCATTTCGATGGCTACATTTCCGGGATTATGATCGAGGATAGTAGCGTCGGTATCATTGACTTTTTCAGCGAGGTCCCGGGCCCCTTCACGGGCGGCCTCAGCCCATTCCTCGGCTTGCTGACGGGCTCGTTCAACTAGTTCGTCTGGGGTTGGGTATCGTCTGAGAGTAATGAGGAGAAGGTAGTAGCTCTGCACGATAATGGAGTATACTGCGTCTTTGGCTAGCATGGTGAATCCGTGAGAGAAGAAGCCCTTGAGAACTTCGGCCGGTAGACCCGCGTACAGAGCTGTGATACCTTCCGTGCGGGCTATGCTGATCACATTGGAGATGATGGGCGGTACTAACGACAGTCCCTCATCAGGGTCCTCTTTCTCCCCGTTATTCCCTTTTTTCGTTGATGGGGAGGAGCCCGAGCCAGTAACTTGCGCTCGCGTTTTAGCCATCGAGAACGGATACGTAACCGACGATGCAGCCGACTTGCTGACAGCAGCTAATAGGAACGTAGCGGCTGCTGAGGGTTTCGCACGCTTCTCCCGTGGGAAAAATGTATATTTCAAGAACTCGTTAAGGAAGAATGTGATAGATGGGTTCAGCGTAAGAATGAGCGAGGCCGAATACCCCGACCAGAACCCCTTGATCCCCTTCTCGGCTCGTATCCGTGCAGCTATATTTCTAGTGCTTACTGACGACTTCGAGGTCTGCTTCCTCGCCACGATATTCGCCAACGGCGTGGTGAACAGCTTCGCGAACGCGCCCGCTAAAACGCCGACAGCTAGTTCGTCCAGTATAGGGAGGACAACGTGCTTGCCGCCTTTCCGGGCGGCGCCATACCGGGCATTAATCCGCCGCTGTCGGAAGAATCCGTACGCTAGGAAGAACAGGAATGAGTCGGCGACTGTTTTGGCCGTGTCTTGTGCAAGGCCGGTGTAGAAACTTCCGAGTCCTTCTCGGGCGTAGATCTTGCGCGCTGCGTCGAGAATGTCTTTGTATTCTTCTTCGTCTTCTTCGGTATCATTCTCTGCGTCTTTGTCTTCTTTCTTGTCTTGTTCGCCTTCACCGTTTGTCTTCGGCTTCTTGGGTTTGTGTTGGCTCTGTGTCTGTAGTCTGGCGATAATGAGACTCAGAGGGTAAGTGGCGACGTTGGATATCGCTGCTCCAACGGCACCGGCTACGGCATTGCCCAGGGCAGGAAGGGCGGGACCACGGAGGGCGGCGGTTTTCCAGTCTTTATTTGGTTGGGGTTCCTCGTATCGCTGGTAGAGGGAGTACGTATCCTGCGAACCGACCAGTGTTTAGAAAGAGGGATGGCATAGGACATTACCAATAAGAATGAGTGTCGACATACCAGCTCAGGGTTGTAAGAGACCTCGTACTCGGGCATTTTGTATCACAAAGATTGCTTTGTCGACACAATGCCGGGGACGGATCATTCAATGTGGAGAACTTATGCGGAGTACATCTAAGCGTTGATGAGGATAATACTCATGTCCTGGGCTGTGGGATCGCAATCAAGGTAAAGGTGGTCGGGAGAGGGTTGATAACGAACAGAGATGGGATAGAAAAGGATCGAAGCGTTATCATGCAATGATTAGTCTGAAGGAGTGTTTTGGCCGAGGTTCAAAAAGTTCCAACAGCTTGGGATTGGGAATAACGTCATGCTCACGTGTGGTCCGTGCACGAGACGGTCGCGGCATGTGATCTTAAAACATCATCAACTCTACCCTCTGCACCGTGTCTATGCTTCTCTACCACTCCCAAGTAAAACAATTAGGTAATTGGACTGTGATTGCAATGAATCTACAGACGATCAACTGATTGCTGCCTCCAGGCGAAACTATCCTAAAACCCAGTAAAAAGACCATCCATCTGAATAACAAAACCCGACCATCCAAAACCCCGAACCCATTGGTAATCATGAAGTAGACCCCGTTAAAAAAAATAGAATTGAAAAACATGTATCACTCCGTGAAGCGCTCAGCACCTCCGTCCATTCGAGCCAGCGAGGATCGGCCGTGTGACGACAACCGCCGGTACACTCCGGACGAGGGACAAAACAGAAAGGCACCGAAGGCGAGGCATTTAGCCACCGAAACCGTAGAGGGTACGGCCCTGGCGCTTAAGAGCGTAGACCACGTCCAGCGAGGTGACCGTCTTGCGCTTGGCGTGCTCAGTATAAGTGACGGCGTCACGGATGACGGATTCCAGGAAGGACTTGAGAACACCCCGGGTCTCCTCGTAGATCATGGCAGAGATACGCTTGACACCACCACGACGAGCGAGACGACGGATGGCGGGCTTGGTGATACCTTGGATGTTATCACGCAAGATCTTGCGGTGACGCTTGGCGCCACCCTTTCCGAGACCCTTGCCACCTTTGCCGCCTAGATGATAGGAATGTCAGTTACAGTTGGACGATTATCTATTATCGTCGATCGGGTGGATGTTGAATGCAAGGGTCAATTGAATGAGTGCCTGAGGCTGAGAAGGTGACATCACGTGCCGCCCAGGGGGGCATCAAGTTTCCGACGCCGACGCCGACACTTAAAACTTGCGCTTCATGGGGTGCAGAGAGTACGACGGGACAATACTTACGTCCAGACATATTGTTTGAAGACTTAGGAGATTATAGAGTGATGAAAATTGATGAAATAGGGTGGGTTGTGGGATGATAAGACGCGACGCGTTGCGGGCCAGTTGTTGAAATTAGAGGTTGCGAGAAGGAAAAGGGAAATAAGGAACGTCAAGAACAGCGTGGTCGGGAGAGGGGCTCTAGTTTATATAGGTTTTCCAGGCGGGCGGCAAGGGAAAGGGTGATTTCGCCTGAAAGTTGCCCACACGGTGAATGACTAAGCCTAGGGGGATGTCCTGGATCAGTCAAAACCAATGCAGCGCGTTGATTGGCGGGTGGCGGGCGTGAAAAAGGGCGTTATGAACGACCGCTTTCAAGCCCGTGTTTTTGGGCGATGCTTCGTTTGGCGCATTCTGCGGGAAACACGCGGGCCAGCAGGGCGGGTATTGATCACGTGATATAGGGGCTTGGCATCGGATATCGCAACCTTTCACGAACTATATCTCTATGTACTAGTGCGATCGATCCTTTTTGTTCATTTACTGATTTTCAATAGTGAGAATGGAAAATAATAACAGCCTGACAACATATGCACTTGCATCCTTCGCGTGTGGTCTGCCACGGCCGAGAGATAAGTCAAGTGTGCCATTCTTTTTACTCGCCTACATACTCGAGTGAGAACGCGCCACGGCTAGCAATGCATGATGTATACAGGACATAAAACTTCAATTCGAGGATGTTTTATTCATGTCTCTAGTATCAGGCAGAGTCAGAGAGACTCCAAAATACTATTCCTCATAGTCTAAAATTCGTTTCCCGAGTCAAACCATTCTTTGACTTTGATTGCAACCATGTATTATCTCGGTCAACCATCCACCCGCCCCCCATGTCGTACCGAAAACTCCCGTGAAAGAAGAAAAAGCCCAGAACGGAATAAATCAAATCAAACAATGTAATGAGACAAGTACGAATTCCCAGCTAGAGCGGAGGAGAAAGAAAAGGAAAAGATAGAAAAACGGAGAAACGCACGCGGGAACTCCGCACAACGCTCAAGTTGGAGAAATGATAATGAACAACACGACAAATGCGACGGCGTCTTTTACCGACTGTCGAAATTTCCGTTCGCAAGTCCCGCCACAGAAAACGCTATCAAAGCATGCTGCCGACCAACAAATAGATTACTAGAAAAACGTAACTTCATGATCATGACGAGTAAAAAACACGGTGAACGTATAAGGATCAAGGTACTAACTCCATGTGAGCATGACTTTTATGCCCCTCTCAAAAGACGCAAGGAAGCGCCAGAAGTAAGGGACCCGCGGTTTATTACACATCGCAAAGGCTATACTTCAAGCGTCCACATCAGGAGCAAGAAAAGAACAGAACAGAGGTATCACTAAAGTCACAGATCAGCGCCCATGGCACTGGGACGGAAAGCAGTCCGTCCCACACTACACGGTGCGTCGTAAGAATAGATAACGGAAAATAAGATCATTCAATCTCGTGCCGGCTCCACGAAGAAGGCAGTATGCTGCATGTTGCTTAATAGTAGATGTCATGTTATATGACGAAGTCTGCAACTGGTGGGGAGTGAGAGACTAGGAAAATGCGTCATTGGGGTATAGCTTCGTTCATCCTTGGATAACTGCCGGCCGCTGCGTTTCCTTGAGAAAACTGTTTTGCATTGGCTCGATGTATGAATATCCGAGTGGAGTAGGTGAAGAGTTTCGGGAGCCAACTCCGGTAGTTGGATCCATTTTAGGTGATAGTGCTGGTGAGGATTGAGAGGAGGAGCTAGACGTGCTATGGGGGGGAGATCTATCCAAGACTGGCCTGTGGGGATTACTGCTGGAATCGCTCGAGGAACCGAAGAAACAATATCGGTCAACAAGCTCCTTATACACAGAAGACTCCCGGTGTGGTTTGCTTGATATCAGAGAAGATGGCTTGGAGTGTTCAGGCTGATTATTATGCGGCGAGTGAGTATTGCCGAGAGGTCGGTCAACAATCGTACCTCTTCCCTTTACAGGATAGTACCTCCCACTGCCTGGTGAAGAGACTTCAGACTTCGCCCGAGCGGTTAGCGTCGTCCGGTCGTGAGCCGACTTGGAGCGTCTTGCTGCATTCAAGGATGCTTCGAAGTCATAGCGACTACCAAATACTTGGGAAGATTGTTTGTCCCGGCGGACGGGAGACACCGCATCATCATCATCATGTGTTCCATCTCCATATAAGGGCTGGTCCTTGGCACCTTCCGAACCAAAGGACAGACGATCGTTCATACCCGGAATGCCATCGAATGACAGCGACTTGTCATGGTTTTTCGCGCTGGGGCCAGCGAAGGTCTTGCTTCTGGGAAGGGACACGCGAGGTGCTGGCGTCGGCTTGGGAGGGAGACTATGTGATTCGGATCTTGTTTTAGGCACCTTGACAAACATGACCTGATAATTCCTAGCCTGGTTGTTATCCCAGTATTCCTGTCCGCTGACGTAGTAACGAATGCAGAGAAACATGGTCTTCTTTTCTAGATTTGCCTGCTCGTCCAGCTTAATGCTGAAGCAAAAACGGTCATGCCCATCATGAATCTGCTTTCGGCGAACATCGTCACTGTACTCGGCAATAACCTCCGATATCGTCTTCCAATGGTCGAACGTGAAACGAGCGGCGACATGCTTATAGAAGGCTAGGTTAGCGACCGCCACCACACCAACCAAGGTGCTCTTGTCCGGTGACAGGAACAACCGTTCCAGGCGAACTCGTTGGTGGGCTCGAGTCGAGCCATCCCTCGGGAAGTTCGGAAGTCGAATATCCCATTCGAAGGAAGGACCATCCGACTGATCTTTGTTGAACGGAAAGCCCCCCTCCGCCTCGTAGTCATCTACTGGTGATCCCCCGGCACTCACGGCTTGAGGCTTATCCAACTGTAGGAAGTGACGTATGTGTTCTAACTGGGAGTCAAAGTGGACGGCTTTGGAATAGGTCGGGGTACCAGGCATGCTCGAGGGGCGCCGTCGAGCAGAAGGCGGGCGAAGAGCCGGTCTCACCAGTTCCCCCGACTTTTTGCGTACCATCGGTTGCTTCGGCCGTGGTTCGTCATCCCGATCGCTCTCATCCGGGGAGCTCGTCACTGCCTCCTCTTGCTTTAGACTGATGGAATGTTCCGTGATTGATCGCGAATGAGATATCTTGCGAGCTTCCCTCGAGAGAGGGGGGTGGGGATGCTTTTGTGCATGATGAGTTACCAGCTTTACGCCCGACGATGGCATCATTTCCGAAATCTCGCGCTCCGGAGAAGAAACCCTCCTCTGCTCAATGGACCTCACAGCCGCCTCCAGCTCTTGAAGGCGCAGACTCTCCCCTTGTCTGTATGCAGATTCATCGTCACTAGAGTTTTGGGCAGACTCTGGGGGTGAGATCATTGCCCCAGGGGGGATGGGTGCGTCACTTCGGGGAGGTGGCGATTGCCGGATGGTAGCATGAGAATCTACCGCCTGCTTATGCATGCGCGCATTCTCCGGGGCTGGAAAGACGAAGGACTTCCCCGTTGAGGGGCTCCTTCGATGTTTGCGTACATAAGCGGTCGAAGAATAAGACCGAGAGAGGCGAGGGCGTCCCACCTGCGGGTCAACCAAAGTAGGCGACGTGGGGCAGGACTGGGACTCTGGTTCAAAGTGTTCAATATGCTGCGCAAAAGGCGACGACTTCAGCGGCGCAGTGTATGGCATCCGGCCGGACTTGTGCAATCAAACACAAGAATATCTTAATTGGGCAGCAGGAGAAGTTTGACTGGTTTGTAGAAGAGGTTGTGGAGATTGATTAAGAGACGAGAATCTTGTACAAGCTGTCCCCGTCAATACGATCTTTTTATTTCGTCAATTAGCACGGTGCACTGTGGATGGAGAGTTAAGGCTGGCTGAACCATGAGGTTGAAGTAGAGCAACTATTGTGGCGACAAGATTTACAAATGACAGCGTTGTACAGATACAGTGAATCGAGATCAAAGCAGGATGGTAGAAGATGTTGTGTGCTCAAGAGGTCGACACACGACCCGGCGTGGGAAAAGTGAAAGGAATGGGTGAATAAGAGATTTCCAAGAAGGAGCGTTGGACGTCAGTCCTGTACTCGGGAAACGGAGGCAAAGACCGACGTATCACCGCTCCCACCCAACCCCGGTTGTGATACAAAAGGGACTGGTAAAGGACAAGATTCGAGAAAATCACCGGCGTGACAATCGCAGTGGCATGATAAGAAAAAGGGTGCCATAGAAGGACATTGAATCACGGTGTGCTGAACAGCTGCACGTACCTTGAAAGCTCGACATCTAGTGAGATGAAACAAAGAAAAAAGAAAATGTAAGAGGATCCCGGTGGAAGCAATCGCGTTTCACCGTTTCAAGTGAAGGAGCAAAAGGAATAAAAAGGAAGAATTAGTAAGGCTCAGCCTCGACGTTGAAAGAGAAAGAGAAGATGATCAATCATGGAGGGGGAAGGACATATATGAAATATGTGGAGATGGTGGTGGGACGAGAGGGATTGGAGGGGGGGGGGACCGGAGACGGAGCCGCAGTACACAATATATCAAGGCGATGAGATGATCATTGATAAGAAACCTGAAGGGCGGAGATTTTTGGCTGTTACTTGTTCCTAATAGTTAACAGTCAAGAGGGGCGAAAAAAAAGGAAAGATTTATTCTTATTCCCTTTTCATTTAATCTTTCATGGTCTATTTTATTTCTTTCTTTTGTCTACCCCTTGATGGCAAAAAAAAAAAAAAAAAGATTTACAGACGGTTTCTCAGGCAATGCGTATTTCCTTTTTTTTTTTTTTTTTTTTTTTTTTTTTTTTTTTTTTTTTTTTTTTTTTTTTTTTTTTTTTTTTTTTTTTTTTTTTTTTTACTACTACTCAACAATAACCGTTATGATAAGTTCAGTTCGTAGCCTATGGCTAGAAGTTTTGCCGCCGTACCCGGAAACCGACCAAAACCAATAATCGGAAGAAGGTGGTATTAGCGGTAATACACCCCAACTTAAAATAGGCGATCGAACGGTCTGGGACAGTGGGACGATCCCCCCAACAGACCAGTCAGTGCGTTCCGTCCCAGTGGATCAAAAGAATATAGCTCGAGGTAGTACGGTACCCTGGATATCAATGGAGGGTCTCGGGCGGGAATGGATGGTCAGGTTATTCTAGTATTTGTTCCAGATTCTAACGACGTCTGATTTGCCCCCACAATCTCCCCTCGGCCAGACCACCGTTTGATATTCCTTAAGTAACAGTTTCAATATGTGGCTTGCTCTGTGGCAAATCTAAAAGGGGATCTAATCGGGAAGTATATATACCTATATGTATGTATTATGATATGATATATGAAAAGATAGCGCTCCCGCATAAAAACAATTCCCCCCTCCCCGATATCGCATTGTTGCTTTGCCAGTGGCATTTTCGAAATGATAATACCAAACAACCCTTGCCGACCGGTGTAGTATGTACCGTTATGTATGTCTGTCTATCAGTCTATCAGTCTGTGCATGTGGTTGTCAATGGGAAAGGGCAGGTGATCTTCAAGGCTGCATCTCCGGAATGGAAGGTACTCTCTTAATGGTCCAATTGCCCTCAGAATGGATGTATGTGTGTGTGTATGCATATCCCATCTGCAGGTATTTACACACGATACTTGGTTCGTTGATAGCACCCTGACAAGATCCATCTGGCTGCATGTCTCCGAGGAGGTCGGTTGTCCACTAGAGTGCGTGCGCAGGAATGTCATCAAATCAAGGAATACGTGTCTCCCTGCAGTCCGTGTTTGTTAAATGATGTCGCTATACATATTTTACTCACCTTGGTTGAATTCTCAATCTTCTTCATCGATGTGGAGGGTTTTCCCTTTCTTTTTCTTCATTTCTTTCTTTTGTATTCCTTGGTCCTGGACCACCAAGCTCCCCCTAACTTTACGTGGGTTCAGTTTTATTTAATTTTATTTTTCACTACCACAAAATCTAAATATGTATGATAAGAGATAAGAATGGGGGCATCCCTTGGGTTTGAAGCTGCGGTTGAGGTCGGTGGCGCATCCAAATTGTGGTTACTCCCAAGGTATCTTAGCCAAAGTGTGAGGGTCTGACGTGCTATAGAAATTACACACAGTCCTATCAGTTCCCCACCCCCGAGTCGCCCCTCTTTTCTTGCATTCTCCAGAACCCAATTTAGCGCCTGTCTACTAACCAGGAGCAGCCAATGAAATCAACACGTTGTCTCCCTCGATAGTCCCCAACGGTCTAGATAGAGTCGATGGGCTGAGGCCAGGAGAATAATTGTAACCTCTTCTGATATGAAGTACTTTGACTGCTCCCTTGCTTTTGACACTCAAACCCTCCTAACTAATCATACATACATACATACATACATACATACAGTAGTAGACAGACAACCTTGCCCCCCCATGAATGTCATGCAGATGCAGTCTCAAATCTCCTGACGTACAGCATACTATAGTTAGTTTGGAGACTGGGAATCTTCCCCTTTTGCGACACTCGGTGTGTTCATTCTCAGCGCCATGACGGTCATTACACTTCATGTTGACGAAAAGGAAAAGATTAACTCGAGAAGTTGATAAAGGCACGTATAATTATATTTTATTTCATGTCATGTCATGTTTTTTCCTTCCAAAACCACTAGAGGGACTAGCGTTGTGCTCCCAACAGGTTATTTCCTTGGAACGTGCCACGATGACATCAGATTTGGTCTTTCCAGGATTCTATTCCGACATTCGCGCCTTTTTCCTTTGGTTTTCTTTACTTTTCCCATGTTTTTGCTTTTTCTCTCTCTCTCTCTCTCTCTCTCTCTCTCTTTCTTCACCTCGTAAGCATGGTGGAAGCACGGACGTCCGTCGAGTTTTTCGGACCAAGCCAACTATCCCCCACGCGGTCCTGTCTTGGCAGAGGACTCCCTGATAAGGCATTTGACTGGTCGGAGACCCCCTAATTGCCGTGTACGGCATATACTATCGAGGGCTTGGGCTTTCCGTCGTACAGCATACGCCCTTCCACGCATCCTGATAGGTTGGTTAGGGCTTCGATTCATGCAACTTCGTACGTAAAGTAAAGGATGGATCCCATCGGCAGGAGAAAGGAATGGGGAAAAAAATATACGACGGAGTGGAATCGCCAATTTTCTTTGTCTAACAGAATTTTATATCCGCTGCCTTATCATTGGGTCGGTGTAACGTTGGATGGCATGCATTCTTATACGGGTCCCCACTTGCTTCCATCTAGACCTTCTGCCCCAGTTCATTGGTATTCTCAAAGTACATGCATTAGTATCTATCAGTATATAGCTTCGCTACCCCTGGGTTTTAATCTAAAATCTCATCCTCATCTCACGACGTGACATGCCGGTCATCAAATCCAATTTGCGTTCTCAAGGCACAGTGAATGTTTCACAACAATGAGCTCATCCTATAGCCCAGGTTTCACTGCAGGACAACTTGCTAGTGTGGCAGAGTTTGAAATTGCCACTGGGCACCGCGGATATCTCGAGTAATTAATATATTGCCAGCCCATACTACTACTACTACTACTACTACTACTACTACTACTACTACTACTACTACTACTACTCCTACTGCTATTAATAATTTTCCTATAGTCTCAGGGGGTTGGGGGTTAGGGGGTTGGGGGTTGGGAGGGGGGGTTGTAAGATAATATCTTAGTAAGGCTCACGTCGACCGCCGATTCGGCAGCAGATTGGACCTTGGGTCTTCATACACGCTCCTTCCGAACCCCCCGACCCGATCACAATACCTACTAACTATTGCTCTCGGGTCAGATTGGCACAGTTAATAGAGATGTTATTGCAGACCAGGCAAAGCTCTCAGTGGTGTAATCATGGTTGATCGCCAATCTAAATCACCTGAAGATGATTTCTAAGTTTCAGTACACTTTTGATCGTCTATCGCGCAAACTGAAGAAATGACTTTCAAAGGCCTTTTCTTTCCCCTGACACCACACCACCAGTCAATAAAAATCAAGCAATCACTTTAGTCTAGCGAACAGACTCCTTGAAACCGCACGAGTCTGAGCGTTGACTTTTCATCAACGATATCCCTGTCCCTTCCAAGCGCTCTACTACGAACAAGTTGTCTTAGTTTCTGCGGTCCGTCACCGAGAAAGTCTTTGGGGTCCGAGCGGAACCGGCGCAATACCACTCCTTTGATCGACAGATACCGCCGTGTTCGAGACCCGTCTTTTTCGGAAGCCTGTCGCCCGTATTGATCTCGGCTGTTAGAGTTTTCGCTCTTTCGCCATGACCGGATGCTAAGAATTCTCCGAGCAGCGGTGAGGATTAATCTTCCGTGATGCGCACGTCCTTCCTCGAAACTTTTTCGCCTTTTCTTGTCTTCTGGATACAGTAGTCTAGAAGCAATATGTTCGAAGCACACGATCACCTCTCTCCCTCCCTCTCTCTTTTGAATTTTATTTCGGGCACTTGTGTTTCTCAGACTCTTATCTGTCGGTAAGCACTTTGTGAACGGGTCGATGCATGTAGAGTTGATCCCCCGCTCTTTGAGCGGAGGAGTTGCTACTACAGTAGCTCACGCACCCGAGGTGGAGCGTTCTTGAACAACTGGATCAAAATGCCCCGTGGGGAATTGTGATAAGGAATAGACTGCGGAGAGTGTGCTTACGAAACATCTTTATCAGCTAACTAACCTGGCTTCACTCGGAAGCTTCCTAGAATCAGGAGGTGCTTTACAAGGCAGACGGTAAAGCTCAGTCATTGCTGTCGATAACCCCTAGGCGTGTGGGGGTCTCCAATATGGCTTTGACCTTCTCATTCTGCGAAAGCGATACTATGGACACTGCCTAGGGCATTTGATCCAGTCGCAATTGATGTTCTCGACCGGTCTTGCCCTTGTCACGAGAACCGCGATCGTCCACCCGAAGTTGCATTGCCTTGGGGAGGAAAACCTACCTGTTTCCAAGCTTAGTATCTTAGAGGCAAAGCTGTCCGGTAGTCGGAGTAACTGACTGTTCGAAACGCCTATTGTTGGGCGAGGAAGCCAGTATCCATGAGGGGAGAATAGCGCACATCATCACTGGAAGAGTCCGTGCTGTTGAAAAGTGTATCTGAAAGTAAACGGAGAGTAGATTCAACTAACATGATAGACCAGACTTTTGGTGCTCAGACGTCCGTCCGTGCAAGCTACGAAGTGCAACCACCCATCGGCTATGCTTCCCAGAGCTGGCGCAACGGCACACACTCTAGTGAAATTTAGAGCTTGCTCCAGCGCCAGGACACAGATCCATTAAACTCCACTTTGAGTATGTATGCCTGGCATAGATACGGCGAGGGTCTCAGATAGGCGCCAAAGCCTTAGCATCCGTGTTTAGACGTGTCGCGGGTTAAACTCTAGTCATCTTTAACATTGAAACATTGACGCCGGCTATCTACTAGTAGTGTCCGAAGCTCGCCTCAGTATTAGGATAACTTATTCAAACGAGTCTTGGTCCAACGATGGGGTTCTAGACGTGGATCCACCGAGAATAGCATATTAATGCATTGTGCATGCTAAATTATTCATAATGTAACCCAAACTAATCAACTATATCGAACGTCTATTCATGTCATAATATAAGTCCACAATCTTAATTCATATAACAACAAACAAATACAGCTCGGAACCAGGCAGCTCACATGAACTACTGTCTTCAGATCTTCTCTCTCACTCCCCGCCCGAATCTCAGCCCGCTCCCCCCATTCCTATTAGTCCGGATCTCCAAACGCCGTGTAGAGTACCTATGCATGCAACTGGCCCGGGGGTGTAGCTCGCACGGGCGCTATCGGCCTGGAATACTGACAGTGACTAAAGCAGAGGTATGTACGTGAACAGGACAGCTGATGAGATGATGGGGATCCGAGCGTTGGAGTAGCCTTCTCCCCTCGCCTCTCCTCTCCTTCTTATCTTCTCTAGTGTAAATTCCCCCGCTTTTTTTGATGTAGACCTCAGAGTCGACTCTGCTCCTAGACCTCAATAGGAAAAGAGTTCGCTGAGTAGACCAATATACCACCTACGTATATTGTACCAGGTACACCTGGATCACCTCCAATTGCAAATCCCTCACTGACCCAACACAGCCCAACACTTACCTGAAACTACTAGTAGGTATCACGAACACAGCCACGCGGGGTAAACACCTCATCGTCAACAACATCACCCTCATTATGATTTTCACTGTAGCCTACAACATACCCCAGGATATAGTAAGCTCAAGTCAAGACTGCCAACTCATCAATCTTATCCCGCCTAGTGAAGTTTGCCCTTTCTCCCCCCACCTCCCCCCCCCAAGGTCTGTACCCCCATACCCCGTACCGTGGTTTACCGATTGGTAGCAGACTTTTTATTTCCTTACCTTATGCATTGCAGTAGCCGGGTGGAGACTATTGTCTGGGAAGGTTTCTGCGCTAGGTTGGTTGGTTTGCGGGGTAGAGGCATTGATGGAGGGCTCGAGAGTTGCCAATAAACGTAGGTTTGGATATGGTTCGATACTGTGGCGTCTTCCCCATATGGTAGAACTTAGGCTTCTGTTTTGGGGAATATTCTACGGTGTACTCTTGGGAATACGAGGCATCTTTCTTTGTGTTCTCAAATCTCGGAATGTACTTTTTCCCCTTCGTAGCGTGCTCAATCAATGGACGCTGTGATTTCTTTGACATTTTATTAAGGTATGCATTGGACGGGGGAATTGACCTTATTCGTATCAGTCTGAAGCGACGAAGCCATAGTGGTTAACTTACTTGATCCATTCACGATGGTGATATCCAATGTGGATGGGTGTAGTCGGCTTCAGGATGGGAGAACGTTGATCACAAGGCAGCTTTATTTACATGCTAAATGATGGGACTTCATATTGACAAATTCGATCTATTCCGTTGTAAGAATCACTTCATCGTGCACATTACAACGATTCCCTGCTGCCGTTGCCTTGTTAAGAAATCTTAATAACCTTCGTTCTGTCAGTAGGCTCGTCAACCTTCAAGTGAGCTTCATTTACAGTCATGCGACTATCAGAATCGCTATGAAACAACCCACAACAATGTCAAGAGCGAATCTTATCCGTCCCCCACCGTCTCCAAAGGATGTAAAAATGTCACGTCGCCCAATTTGTTCTTGAAGCTCCCTTGCTTACGTCCGTACCAGGATGTACCAGGATCTGAGTATTCAAGCCTGCCAAATGAAGTTGCTCGCATTCAGCGTTCGAAGTTTCCGACCAGCACAATCCCTATGGAGTATTTCGTCGCCGACCTCATTTCCTAGAGCGGACGACCGGGGATATCCTGAAACTTGGCATCCCTTGACCTTTCAGCATCGAATGTCTTTTGCGCCAATAAGATTCATCCTTCCGTGTCCGATACAGAAGAGCAATAGTGTTCTCGCGAGTCACTCGCTGCAGTGACGGATTGGCACCATTAGAGGGGTATTAACTCTAGTCTGCGATCGCTGTCGCCTTTTTGACAGTCATAGTGGAGGGTGACTATAAACGTTCTGGATGGTTATGAGGTATTGCTCTTCAGTCGAATTATGCGTGCCAGGGGGCAATCCTCATTGATGATGGTTTGATATGTACAGCGGCGGACACGCATGTCGCTGAGACACCTTTCTGCGCAGATGACGGGTCCGTTGGGCAAGATGCAATGGTATGCGCCTCAGGATTTTAAGACGTGAGTCAATCCTATTGCTTCCCTATCAAGGCTCGGGGCGCTGCTAATATCTGTGTCTATCGGCGTTGAACCATCCGATTCATACATGTACAATGAAGATCGTAACATAAGAATTCTGAGATTGGAAACAGGCCATCAGCTGGAAAGGTGAGATTCCCCTTGCCTGGTTTATCAGTATTAGAACTTGGAAAGAAACCATTCTCATATCCCTGCTAGTAACAAGTCATATATCGGTAGTTATACAAGCCATAAATAGGGGAGGTTGCTGCGGTCTTTGTTTCGCCGAGCTGTCATCCCAGTCTGTTTCTAAACCAACCAATGGATTCACTCAGGCTGTCAAGGGAGTCGCGTCTCGATTGAGATAGGTCGCGATGTTGCCCATCATTTTCGTCTGTTCCGCCGCCGCCACCAACGACGTACCGCCTTTCCTCGTTTAGATCTTGCTGCCTAGCAACTATCATTTTTTGCCCTCGCGAGTTTCCAAATTGTCGCAGAATTGTTCCTGCACATCCAGGTTTCACCTCCTTGCCCCCACCCTGCTAATTTCCCACTTAATGTCGCGGTGAACAAGCTTCCTCCTATTATGGCCATACCGGTATCCCTCGCTTGAGCACTATCAGGATCCATCCAGATGGTGTCGCGCGGCCGTTATCGCCGATTAACGGTGCTCTCAGTCTTTCTAATAATATCTCTTGGCCACTTGGCTTTCCCTCGCCTTGTGCTGACCGCGGGCTCACTGGAAGAGCGATACCCTCTACTCTGGCAACACGTGCATACCTTTGAAGGACACGGGGGCGGTAAGCGACCAATTACATACCCACTCACTAGCCGTTTTTCTACCAACGGAGAAAAGCGCCTCATCATGCGACTACCCTGATAGGTACTAATTCGTCACAATACAGTGTGGTATATCCCGCCAGACTGGGTCCAGCCAAGTATCCGGCCTCAGAATATTCTCGAAGCTGCTCAATTGGCTATCCAAGCGACCAATTCAAGTGATGTACATCTTCATATACCGCATTCGCAAATTCCCTTGATCGTGCATCAGACTTGGGGTCATCGGCGCATCGACACTTGGTCGGAGGACTTGCGGCAGAGTGTGGAAAAATGGCTGCAGTTCGTGGTAGAGGGTAGTATGGCGTATTTCCTCTGGGAAGACGAGGGCATGGTTGAGTTTATGGATCACTTCGCGCCTGAATTCCGTGACCAATATTCGTCGCTGGCCTCGATGGTTGAGAAAACGGACGTCTTTCGCATTCTAGCTGCCAAATGTGTTGGAGGGATCGTAAGTACTAACAAAACCCCGTCTCCAGACTGGTGCGCCTGTAACCTAAGTCTGATCTGATCATCTGTTAGTATGGAGATCTCGATGCTGAGCCACTAAAGTCACCCGCCCAGTGGATCACTTCCGAGGATGTTTCACCATGGAAGGACCCCCACACTGGGTCTGTCTATAGCTCGACGAAGCCTGTCGGTGCAGTTTTTGGCATTGAGGCGGATTGTCCACCCGATGGAAACGCCTGCTGGCGTATGGGCTATCCTTATTCTGTTCAGCTCACTCAATGGTCCTTCGCCTCGAGACGAGACCACCCTCTCCTGCACCGGTACCTTGATAACCTCTCCAATCAGTTACAGGAAGTTGCGAACCACTACGGGGGAAGTTTACGCGCTCAAGAAGCTCGTACTGAACTGCAGTCCCTCGATCCTCTGTCTCTCACGGGACCAGAAGCCGTCACTCGCGCCGCTCAGGAGTGGCTCAATGTTTCGGCTGGATTGAGATGGAATGCGCTGACTGGTCTACAAGATGGAGGAAAGGCCAAACTAGTTGATGATGTGTTAATCCTTCCTATCACTGGCTTCAGGTGAGTCTACACGTGATGCAAAGATAAATTAGGCGTAGACTAATATGATGAGTGCAGTCCTGGTCGGGGAAAGTATGGCAATATGGGCTCTAAGCCTATTACGGATCCCACAGCGCGGGTACACCATTACGGTCAAGGGTCATGGAAGAAGTTTGACCTGATAGTCGAGCTTGGTAAATTTTGTCGTACGGTGCTTGGATTTTGTGGGAACTGGTCGACGGTGCCGAGCATAGCATGATACAATCCACTGATCGCTTCCCTCCTTGTTTAATGTATAATATATAATATAATGTTCTGCATGGGTTAGTATAATATCGAGCTACCCGTCTACATTTTGTAAGTGTTCTGTATTTCCATATTCAGCATGTTACGATCACGTCGACCGTAGGAAAAGAACGCTAGTAGCAATGAGTCCAACGCCACTATCAGTCTAGCCAAGACTTGAGCTATACTGCGTAATCACCGCTTGTGATGCGGCGGCAGGCCTGATCTTTATGTGGCGCTTTCTATATACGTAGAGTGTACGCGTAAAGCAGAACGATAAACTGCCGTTTCATTTGTAAATAAACTATGCGATATGCATCCTATGCTCGAAGTTGAGGCTTGGAGATATGTCCACTTTCCTATAAGTATCTTCCAGCAGTTGAAGCTCTCGTTCATGAACCAACATCTTGCATCTTCTTGACGTGGCTCAAACTCAGTATGTGATACCAGTAGCTTCGGTATGAAAGATATAATTATGGAAATACTTGCAGACAGGCGACGGCACCCTCTTGTTAGATATATCTCAATCAACCACGTCGTCTTGCGAACGTTGTAGATAACTTGTATTAAAGACGACCATTCCCGATCCATAATATATTACAGTCCAACTAGCCATATCAGCCCTTACCTTATCTTATAGAGAAAATTATCTAATGGGAGATTCTTCACGTAGCACCCAGTGAGTAATAACCTCATATACCAAGAATCTACGAAACTAACACCACAGCTAGCGAGCATTGATGAATAATCTCACCAAACTAAGTAAAACTCCAGGAAGGCTACGTAGCTACAGCGAAACCCTTATGTGAATGATTTATTAAATGCCTAGGACTCTGGGCTAATCACCAGACAGCCTATTTGCCATGGCTCCAGTAGACTTGAACCGCGTTTAGCATGCACGATGTTACTTCACTATTTAGTACATGGCCCTATCAGACACTGTGGACAACAACCTGAACTTGCATCGCATCGCGAAAATCCACATTCTCACTTGGGACCAATGGTGAGGTGTTCCAATGAACTCGTCCCAAGATAGCGGACGCGTTGGCGGAGTATACTACTAGTAGTAGTGGCTAGCAGTGAATATGATGGATTGGAGTATAAGGGATTACAGCACTTTGCTAGACCTTTACTCATAACTAGTATATTAACAAAGGTTACCTGGGCTAAGTTTGAGAGCGTATTGATATCAGGAGGGAAAGCGCAACACATATCTCTCAGTGTTTCTGTATTGAGATTTATCTGGAAAATAATACGATGCAATGGAAGATATTATATATCTCGTCGTGGTGGTGTACGACATATTTTGATTTCTGTGGAAGCTTGGGGACGACTCCTAGTTGGTCCCATATACGATCCGATTGGACTTGTCGTTTATTTTTGAGGGTCTCGCATAATACATAATCATAAATCCCGCTGTCGAGTATCTCTCCATGTATTTTGTAGGTACAATGCAATCGAAGAGGACATTTAGGATGACGGGGTAAATAACTTATGTAACACTATTAGTTGGATGAATCTCGTGACATCGTCTATTGCTTATATCTTCACCGCAGAACCGCCGATGCAATCATCGCAATTAAATTCTTTGATTCATAGGAGTTCTTCAGACCTTTACATACGACTTGGTATCGAACGGCTGGCTAACGATACTATCCCCCTCATTTTAAATTTCCCAAACTCCGCCGGCCATGGACGAGCTAGTTCGAATGACTATCCAGCAGGCTGAAGCCCTGAAGAAACTTCCGGACGCGACTCCATGGAAAGATGATGAACCATGGGCTCAGCCTTACTATTCTTGGGTCGAAGAAAAGAAAGAATGGCAGCCAGCTGCCGCGCGCGGCGGCTCTCAGGCACATTCTACTAGCATCTCCAATGTAGTCCTGTACAGCTGGAATATCGACTTCATGTTGCCATTCCCCGAAACCCGGATGGATGCCGCATTGGCTCATCTGCAGAAGCTCATGAGCCAACTTCCGTCAGCTCAAAATGCAGCTGTCATGATCAACCTGCAAGAATGCATCCCGTCCGACCTCGTCACCATCAGCCAGAAGCAGTGGGTCCGAGACAATTTCTACATGACCGACATCGACACATCTTCTTGGGCGTCTGGGTCATATGGAACAACCACCCTGATCGATCGCCAATTAGACATATCCTCGTGCTTCCGGGTCCATTATTCTAAGACCCGTATGGAGCGGGATGCGCTATTCGTCGACGTCGTCGTGCCGGCTGTTTCCACCAGCCAGGCCGAGAAACTTCGGCTCTGTAACACGCACCTTGAGTCGCTTGCTCTCGATCCACCGCTCCGACCTGCCCAAATGCAAACCATCGCGTCACATATGTACGCAGAAGGTTCCTTAGGTGCGATACTTACGGGTGACTTTAACGCTATTCAGCCGTCTGATACCTCCCTCCACTCAGACAATGGCCTTAAAGACGCGTACCTCGAGCTCGGCGGAGTTGAGAACAGCGATGAAGGTTATACCTGGGGACAGCAGGCACTGCCGGCGCTACGGGAGCGCTTTGGATGCTCACGGATGGACAAAGTGTACTATCGTGGCGGAGGGTTGAAATTGCTGAGTTTCGAGAGATTTGGCGCTGATGTCGAGGTTCCTGAGGAGGAAAAGGATCAGAGGGATCAATTGCTGTCGCTTGGATTTGAGAAAGCCTGGATTACAGATCACCTGGGGGTCAAGGCTGTGTTTCAACTTGCGAATGACCCTCATTTGTAAGAAGCTCTTGAAAAGTAAAGTCCTTCTCCGTGTTTTGTCAAAGGAAGCTCCTGTTTCTATTCCCTTCTGCATTCTATGTTATGTATGATCAAATATACAACTGTCCGGTGGATCGAAGATTGATAACAGGAATGAATGTCTAGATCTAAAATACATCTCACGCGGTGCAGGTAATGCTTTTTCAGCCTATGGGCCATACTTTCTTTCGTTCATTCGGTTATTCCTGGCTTGCTACCGACGGGGTGTCATCGAAAAGTGCCTTCCGATAATAGCTTGTCTAAATCATCTACACAGAATGTGTTCAGTTGGACTTTCTTCCTAGACGAGACTAGATCCGAAGACAGAGGTCTCGTGATCCAAAAGTGACTACAATCCTTCCTCTACAGAGATAGTGATGCATCTCTTACTTCGTCCAGCTCATTGTCTGATAATTGCTAGGTCAATAAGCAAATATATGACCATGTGGAACATTAATTGGAAGGTATTTAGGGTTCACCTGAATGATTGTCGAATCTGATTGCTGGTTAGATTGAAGGCTCATCGCAAGCCCTAGCATACGTCTCTATGTATGGAGCTTTATTTGCTACGAGAGGATATCGTCCAGAAGGCGATGGCGATCTTCTAGATAATAGTACTTTGCACTAGAACTCCTCTATTCATCAATGCCTTTGACGAGCTCCCGCCAATATTTTTCTACTAGTGAATAATAAAACTCTAGAACTGGAGAGTTTTCTAGAACTGTATATTTTATATATCAATAGTGATAGTACGATTTACTTGAAGTATTGCGAGCTAGAACACATTCTGTGCTGTAGTGTATTGAGAAGGATGAATTCCAAGTATCCTAGTAGGGCTCGTGGTACTCCGGTGGCTAGGGTGGGTTATCCTACGATTTAACTCAGCTTTAACCAAACCAAACCGTGGTAGTACCAGATTTTAGATTAACATAGTAGTTGTGGACCAAAATAACCACTAGTCCACATATAGAACCAGAGAGCTATATATGATATTTCAGAGTATTTTTCAGCCGACAGCAGGCTCAAACCGATGCTAAATTTACCCAAGTCACATGGACTTTGTGGGGACTAGTGTCAGCCTTAGGACTAAACCCAACCCAACCTAACTCCCGCCGTTTATTCATCTCTCAATACACTTACCTCTCTTTGTCGATATCCGCCTTTCACCTACTCATGTCGACTGAATCACCTTCCGGAGGTCCTGGTCTAGGGGACCTTGAGAAAGAACTCACTTGCTCGGTATGTGCGTACTATTTTTTTCCTTCTCTTCATTGCTCCTCTTGGGACTTGATATGCCAATGAGGCTGGAAATTCCGGGGAGATAGGAATAATTCTCCCCGCTGTCGCCGTCGCCCCCTTGCTGAGATTAGTCAACTCTCTTATAAACCTTTCAAGGTGATAATGGAGAATATCAAAACTGCTGTTACTGATTCGCCACCCTTCTTCAGATCTGCACAGAACTGCTCTACCAACCTCTCACGCTTCTCGACTGTCTGCATACTTTCTGTGGCTGCTGCCTGAAAGAATGGTTCTCTGCCCAAGCTTCCCGTCGCCGGCCACCCTCTTCCGTCCGATTCACTTGCCCACAATGTCGCGCTGTTGTGCGCGAAACAAGGCCCAATGCCACGGTCACTACGCTGCTGGATATGGTGCTCACCGCGAACCCCGATCGTGCCAAGCCTGAGGCGGAGAAGGAGGAAATTGCGCAGAGATATACACATGGCCAGTCTATTTTCCCTAGGACTGGTTCCCCGGAGAACATTAACGCTGAGTCGGATGATGAGGATCGACGACTAATAGCGGAGGTTCGTGAACTGAGTCTCCGTGAGAGTAGAGCGCAAACGAGGGAGCATCGATCGGCGCGACCATCGAGAACTCGTCGGAGTGAAAGTGCTGATGGGGACGGGCGGAGAGAATATGATCGCTCTCGACAAGAACCGGAGGAGGAACGCTCCGCACGACGTCACGGCCAACGGGCCGCCTTGTCCGATGCTTCGGAACGTACGAGACGGATAGAGCACCAGTCAAGTCTCCGGTCATTGCTGAGCTTGTCGGATACCGATGCCATGCAGGAAGAGATCTTGCGTCAAATCATGGAAGAGGGGCTGCTGGATGACATCGATATGGATAATCTCGGACCTGCACAGGAAGAGGAGCTTAGTGAGCGCATTGCCGATGCTTACAGACGGAGACATAGACTGCGTTCGCGATCGCAGCAAAGGAATGATACGCAAGAGGCGGCGCATACATCGAGTCGCCCTCGGGCACGGTCGCAGTCAGTGCAAAGATCCCAGCCCGTTTCTGTCTCCAGGCCCTCACCAACGCATCCCCCGGTGTCAAGGCCGTATTTGCTTGAACCCCTCGTCCCGCGCCCTGGTGCCTCGGGCCATCAGCGCCGTTTATCTGATCAAGGAAGTAGCCGTCGGAGAACATCGCCTGTTCCTGTGAACTCCGCTTCCTCGTCGGAGGTCAATTTGAGGCCCGCAGCGAGATCGTCTAGCGACATGATTGCCGACCGTCCTCGGGGCTCCCAGGCCGCACGGATCAGAACGGCAGATACAGCACCGCGGTCACGTCGAGCGACAGCGTCTGAGCAATCGATCCCTAATATATGGGTGGCGGGGGCTAACGATCGGGAGCTACGGCGACAAAGGCCTGCCAGACAGTCGATAGACTCCCCCACGTCGGCTGCCTCGGTTGTGCGCAGCCCCCGCAATGCTTCTTTCTCGTTGCGTTCGGAGCATAACCTTGCAAGCTCGTCTACTACTACATCTCTCGCGCCTGTAATTAACAGTCCTGCTAGGCCAGAAGGACGTTCCAGACCCTCTTCTTCCCGATCTAACGCTTCTCAATCAATAGCCTCTTACATCGAACCATCTATCTCGTGCGAACGATGCGGAAAGTCCAATATCCAGTATGACCTTCACAAAAGATGTCCGCTATGCAAGGATGGCAACTACCATATATGCCTGCGATGCTACCGACTTGGAAATGGCTGTCTAGACTGGCCTGGTTTCGCCATATCTGCAAAGGCAGATTTCGACCGAATTCGCGCGTCTTCGAATGGTCTTCTTGTCTCGTCACAAGAATCACAACATATCCTGTTGTCTTCAAGGTATGACCGGCCATCTGACACAGCTCGTCGAACTACAAGGGACGGGAGAGAGATAACCAACGACAATCCATCCCGACGATTGCAAACGGGGCTCTTTTGTGACATATGCCAGTCCTCAGCAGACACATGCTTCTGGAAATGCAACCTGTGCAACGAGGGCGACTGGGGCTTTTGCAACAAATGTGTCAATGAAGGAAAGTGCTGCACACATGCCCTTCTACCGATATGCCGAGTTACACCGGATAGCCCCATGACTCCCGCGACACCAACTGTTTCAGTCGATGTTGCGAATGGTTCGGCTGCTCCTCTCGCAAGAACTGAAACGCTAAAAGTCCTTTCTTTCTCGACTAATTGCGACATCTGCGCCAACCCGATTCCGGAATCTACTCTTCGATTCCACTGCCTTCAATGCAACGAGGGCGATTACGATGTTTGTGCCAACTGCTACCTAAAGCTGGTAACAACGACCAAAATCCGCAAAGAGGACGGGCACAACGGTTGGCGGCGCTGCTTAAAAGGCCATCGGATGGTGGTGGTTGGATTTGAAGACCATGAAGAGGGCCAAAAACGGGTCATCGTTCGTGACCTGGTGGGCGGGCGTGCGTTGAAAGACGAACACCTTCAGCCTTCCTCCCCTCCTGCCACTCCATCTTCGACACGCACCTTTGCGACAGGATCTGGTTTCATCCCATCTCCTAAAGTTGGAACTGGCGACTGGAGCTGGAAAGAAGGGACAGAGAGACGCAAAAAAGCATCTCGTATCCGAACCCCTTGGTCTGGCACCCACGCCGACCGTATCAACTCCTACTCTGAACCTTCAACGCCCACCACTCCCACTCAGAATTCATCATCTTCTCGTCGCTTTCCCCCAGATGGTGGTGTAGGTCTCGTCGTCCTCGCCCTATGGGCATGGTATCCAGAGGACGGCGTCAAAGACGAGTTGATGTTCCCGCGTGGCGCCGAGATTACCGAGGCCGAAAATATTAATGATGATTGGTATTGGGGGTGTTATGCTGGATCGACTGGGTTGTTCCCCGGGAAACATGTCCATGTTGAGAAGGAAATTGCTTAGGACCTTTTTGACGACTACGATTTACGATTGATGTATACATAGACGATGACGTCGAGACGATCTGATGAATGGTGATGTATGTTCGAGATACTATGAATAGTATCACTTATGCCACGTCATACTACCGCCTTGTCCGGGGAAATTTAAAGTAGCAAATGCATGTAATTAGTTCATCCACTGCTAGGCAGATGCAGATGCAGATAGCCAGTCGATCTTCTAGAAGTTCCCTACGAATCGGAATGTGCCTTGTCTCCGCCTCAGGCTCCACTCAGCCTTACTGCGCCACACTCCTGCCTGCCTATTGGACTAAGTATGGATGACGAACGGGTGTGGCATTGGCATATATATTACTACCAGTACTCCGTATTCTCTTCCACTTGCCAATTTCTCAACCATTTTGCCAGACTCATTCATACTACTTGATCATGTCGTACAATCAACCTTACCCCCCGCCGAATCGTATGTTCCCCTTATCATCACTACTATAGTTCCTCCCGTGGCACCGACGGACTGACTTGATTTTGCCTAAATAGAACCTCCGTATCCTTACGGTGCCCCTCCGGGCCATCCTCACACTCCGTATGCTCAACAGCCGCACCCAGGCTACGGCGGGCCCCCTCCTCCAGGTCAATATAATCGACCACCTCCTGCGCATCCCGGCCAATATGATCGACCTCCACTAGCACCTCCAGGCCAGCCAGGCTATCCTCCGCACGGACACCCCCCGGCAAGCCCCGGATACCACCCGCCGCCTCCATCCCACTCTCCATATGGAGCGCCCCCGCAACAATTCCCTCCCCAAGGAGGTGCAGGATATCCACCGGGTCCTCCCCTGGGGCCTTATGGTGGTGGCCCAGTAGGGGGCTATCCATCCCAACACCCACCACAACAGTTCCACAGCGCTCCACCGCCCCAGCCATCCCCGGGCTACGCTCCTGGCCAGATTGCCCCCGGCGACTTCACCCGCGAGGCAGATGGCCTGCGCAAGGCGATGAAGGGCTTCGGAACAGATGAAAAATCGCTCATCCAGATCCTATCAAGAGTTGATGCGCTCCAGATGGCCGCCATTCGCCAGACCTATTCCAACTATATCCGTCGCGATCTGTATAAGGACGTCAAATCCGAGACAAGCAGCTACTTCCGTGACGGCTTGCTTGCCGTCATTGATGGCCCACTGATGCATGACGTGACTTCCGCTCGCGATGCGGTTAAGGGAATGGGCACAAAGGAATGGTTGCTTAATGAGGTCCTGGTGGGCCGGTCGAATGCGGATCTCAATGCCATTAAAGCCGCATATCAGCGCACATACAGCCGTTCTCTCGAAAAGGATGTCCAGAGTGATTTGTCGTTCGAGACACAAAACCTCTTCGGAATGATACTCCGCGCAAACCGCCACGAAGAATCCTTCCCGGTTGACCCCCGTACTATTGAGGAAGAAACGAAGTCACTGCACTCTGCCACAGCTGCCCGTATGAGGAACAACGTCCAAGAAGTCTGCGGTATCTTTGCTCGGTCGTCGGACAACGAACTGCGTGCCATTAATCAGGCCTTCGGCGCCCGCTACAACACCTCATTGGAGAAACACATTGAGAAAGAATTCTCAGGGCACATGAAAGACGCACTGCTTCAACTGCTACGTGGCGCACTGGATCCAGCCATGCGCGATGCCGAATTGCTGGAGGACTGCATGAAGGGAATGGGCACGAAAGACGACAAGTTGGTGAGCCGCGTTGTCCGGATGCACTGGAATAGAGCGCATAAGGAACAGGTCAAGCGCGCTTATCGCCACCGGTATGGGAAAGATTTGATTGAGCGGGTTCGTGGCGAAACAAGTGGTGATTACCAGAGATTGATGGTTGCCCTGCTGGAGTAGTCCTTTTCGCTTGATGACTGTATGTACTAATGATGATGGGTACGGAATGGGTACGGCTTGGTTTGGGTGGACTTGTGTTTTTCTCTTGTTCTTGACTACTTGTGTCATCTAATGGGTGCAGTTTGTTGATACCACCAGATGTCTGTTCCATACCCTGGACGGCTTCTGCTTATAATATTGTTACAGCTATGTTAATGCAGCAAGGTATTAAATTCAAGTTTTCTTTGACGAATTGCGTATTATGTTACATAAAAGCAAGTCTATTTTCAATAACCCTAGTGAAATATATTGAGCTGCCAAAATATGGATGAAAGTGGCATTCAACAACACTCTGACCAATTTCAATTGTACTCAATTATGTGAAAATTTGAAAACTGAACAATTAAGGCAAGGAACCTCTTACCCAAGCATTTAGATCATTGAGGGCCACGGCCCTACCTGGGCGACTACTCACCAAGCCGACAACCCATTCTTATTCACCAACTTCCCAACATCAGCATCTCTAACCCCTTCCACAACATCCTTGATAAACACACCCCCAATACGAGGATGTCCAGCCCCCATCTCCCTCACCTTCTCCCCCATACCGCCCAATCCCGTCACCAGGAATCCTGGCCCAACCCCCCAGACCTTCACCCCATCTGCCTTGAGCTTATGATTCCAGTCCAACATCAACATATTCAAAGCCGTCTTACTACACCGATACCCGATCGTCTCAAAATCCACCTCCTTCGGCCACCCCGCGGGTAACGCCGGCGTCGGAAAATACGACTGAGCGGCCTGCGTAATCTGCGACAGACCCGTCACGAAAACCAACCGCGGGTTCACGGACTTCAATAGAAGCGGCATAAACGTATACGTCAGGACATGCGTCCCCGCAACATTAACATCGTAGGCCTTGATAAAGCTCTCGCGGAGCGAGACCCGGCCGGCGAGGGCTTCACCGTCAAAATGGGCTTCTGGGTCACACGGAGTATTAGTTCTCCCGCTTCGTTATACTGGAAAACAGGTCAATAAACGTACTGGCATTATTAACCAACGCGTCGATACGGCCATGGCTCTTCCGCACTGCTTCATACGCCGTCTCTATCGACGAGTCGCTTGTCAGGTCTAGGGGGAGTAGCTCGATGCTGCTTTTTGTGGTTGGGACTTCGGTCTGGAGGTGTTTGAGCGCTTGGATGCCTTTTTCGGGGGATCGGCTACCGAGAAGGATGTGGTAGGTTGCGTTTTGGGATTGGAGGAGGGCTTTGATGGTTTCGTAGCCGATGCCGGTGTTGGCGCCTGTTACTAGGATTATTTTGGACATTTTTAGGTGGTGGGTGTTCGAGGTGGCTGCTTGAGCGAGATGTTGACTGATGGTTATTTTGGACTTGGGGCTTGTTTTGTGAGGTTAGTAGGTTAGTAGATTTATGGTGTTTGGGTGGTGGTGTCCTCGGGGGTTTATATAGATACTATCGAGCTTGTAGAGATGCATGGCGTGGTGCGTCTCCACTGGGAGGGTTTGTTAACACCGAATTTTTGAGTCGGGGGTGTCGGTTTCTGGGAGCAGAACTGCTCTGTATGGGGAGGGTGGAATTGTGGAATTGGAAGAAGCTGGACTGATGTCTATAGGAAAAGATGACGGGGATATCTTATCTCCGTGCAAGAATTACAATTAAGCTCATGGCGCTTCGCGGGTTTTGCCGTTTTGAGAAAGGAGCTTGACCACTTATTTTAGACATCTCCACTCTTCAAGTTGGATTCAACTAGTGTTTGCTCGCTTTTTTATGTTGCCCTATACACTCATCGGTAGGGAGTTAGGGGTCGGCATCCGGCAGGTGGCATGGTCATTGCCGCTTCGGAGACTTCAGAGTACTTCTACTGTATGTCACTATTACTTATCATGTGTTTTATGTGGACGCTGAGTGCTACACCTTCAGAGGACTTCTATATAAAGTCTCGGGGATCATAGTATTGCAGATGTTGAATTAGAAACAAGTAACAAACAAAAGTACCTCTGCATTCACATTCCAGTGAAGGGAAAACCTCGCAGGGAAGAAACCTCCACCAACGTACAATATTCAAAACTAAAACCCAGTAACTACATGCGTATCTTTGCAATGAAAATTGCCTATTTGGGCTTCAACGTCAAACGTGACCTCCCTAACGATGAAGTCAGATATCGAACCTCAGATGACACAAGTGGAGAAACATCAATTGCATCTTTGACTTGCACAAACAGATTGCAAAACTGCGAATAGCGCACTGTGGAAATTGACTGGGCCTTCTTATCTAGGATCTAATCCATTTCATAACCAGACACCTCTGGTGGTCATAATTTATTGAACTGTCATCTCAAAGAACGATCGGCTGCCCATTCTGTGCTTTACGATCCCAAACGTCTACCACTTTGTCATGGGGCGCTGCGTTCTGGATCCTGTATCTTCATTCAGTAAAAGACACCCTCCATTTGACATTCACATACCGGACGTAAGCACCCTGCTTGTGGAGCTTTCATCTCAGGAACTGATTTTCTTTGGGATCAAGGTTTGAAGCAAACAATTGTCCGTTGGTCTGAGCAGCTATAGAGAAACAAACCAGCATTATTTTCGAGTGTGAGCTCTCGCGTGCGCAGAGCAATAGGTAGGTAATTGCGTGAAGAATTAGTGATAAAACATACATGGACGGTAGGATGGAGGGGTGAGTATTAAAGGCGCGCTGTCTGCTTGATTGTCAAAATAATATTCGTCCCCAACTTTTTGTACTAGCCATCTCTGTGATTTTCGGCCTGAAATCTCCTTCCTATAGACTTGTTAAAACAGCTCTTGGCTAAGATATAGATTTATTGGGATCCTTCGTACGCCAGCTGGACTTTGCCCCACACTTTGCCGCCCGCCAGGGCCATGTAAAATGGGCTCTGAGCTCGGTGGAGATATAATACACTTTGCCCGGGGTCAGTAGTGCCATGATGGCTCAGAATCAAGGCCGTCAAGGGTGTAAAAGCTGTGAGGAGGGAGAGAAAGGAGAGCCCAGTGAGAGAAAGGCGATGGGGTGGGAATGATGGAAAGCGAACTGATAGGAAGGGCATTGCTCGTTATTCTACTGTTCAGGTAGCCTCCCTCTCAGGATCGAACAAGATCAACTTATTCTGTAAACGTAGCAATAGCTGGGGAGTCGGAATATTGGGGGCAAGCCGTGGTCTGAACTTCCAGGGATCTCAAGCAAATACCGGTCAAGTTTCACGCAAAACCGTGATTTTAGTGCAAGGGGTCTCGAGCCTTGGAAAGAGTTTGGGAACAGTGATTGTCCATGTGGCATTGCAGTTAGATCTTTCGTGATATGGCAAGCTTTCTCTCCTTTTTTTCATACCTTTCCTGACCAAACGTCCCTTATACGACATATCTCCGCGTCTGTTTATTGCCTCCCTCCTGGTGACACGCTCGAAATGAGTATTTTGCTGAACAACACTAAAGGGCTCCTCCCTCTTTCCATGTACAGTTCCCCCGTCGCGGTCCTATTGACGGAGTTGTAGGGTAGAGCTCCGCCACGATGTGTCATAGACCTTTGATTAGACTCATACGCAGCTGACCGGCGCTCTCTGGACGCATAGTGACATCAGGTAGCTGTTGTATTACCTTGTAGCATGTAGAGCGTTGGTCGCATGATTGGCACGAACATCATATTGCGTTTTGTTGCGGTGCATATTGCATGTCCCAGCACTGGGGAAGAACGGTATGGATTACGGATCTGCCACATCGACTTACTGTATCCTTCTCTACCTTTCCAGCCCGGATTAATTCAACTTACCAAGTTTCATGAGACAAACTAATTGGCCCTGTCTGGAACAACGATGGAATCTCAGGGTTTTCAGATGTGGCCGCTGAGCGATATACATTGAACACCAAGAGATACAAAATGAAGGCTTATCTGACTACACAAGCAAAAACAAACATTCTACTGCTATTCACGGTTGCTAGCGCATCGATATGCAGCACAACGTGGCCTACAACGAAGACTAGTTCTCGCCGCCGTTGACTGCAACATATACCTAAGGGAGATAATGGTTGGGCCGCTGAACGGGACTCAGAAATATATAAGCCACTGCGTATAGTGTGGGTCAGATACATTGACAGTGCTACTCAGCCAGCCATGACCGAATCGGCTTTGCATGGAGCAGTATGTGTCTCAACCACACTCCCCTTTCACTTGTCTATGAAGTAACAACTAGAAGTCTCACGTGCTCATTTCTCTCTGCGGCTGGAACTCAAGACAACCCGGCCTGGGCTCAGATGGGCAAAAACCCCACGTAGAGTTGCAGTCGGATGGCGTCTAACGCATTGTATGTTGACGGCATTCAGCGACGCCTTCGTCGGGAGAATATAGAAGCCCTGCAAAAATTACAGGACTCCGTAAAACACCTCTTTTCTTGTGTTTGTCTCGTGAAAGGGAGAGGGAGAGAAAGACAAAAGAAATACAATTCCACAACAATGATCTCAATGTATGGGAAAGGAGCGGAAAGAACAAAAGAAACTATGTCACAAAAGAAAAGGAATAGACAAAAGGAAGGCATCAAAGTTGACTTGGGGATAATCATGTAGTTGAGTATTTATCCAAGTAACTAAGTGGTTTCAATTCGCACCTCCTGTCGGATCCGAATACAGTCAGCATATTGACTGTTCTCTTCATGAAACCCCGCCCCCAGCATCTCTTCATCCCGCACGACGGATGTAGTGGTCGCTAACATATCATCCTTATGCAGATACCCTCTGGAGTTTCTCATTGGCATCTCAAAGCGGCGTGCGCTTTCGCCGTTTTCGTTCGGCCTCTTGTAGCTTTCGGGTGAGTTTTTGGCGGAGGATCCAGGAATGACTCTTCGATATAGGGGTCGGACAGTGGGAATGCCGATGCAGATGAGTGTCACGGCGAGTTCGACCGCCGACCAGATGATCAGGGTGGGGCTATCTTCTGCATAATCAAAAAATATACGCATCAGTCGTTGACTATGTAGATGCATGAGCTGTGACGGTGGATATCACCTGTATAGTCGGTACTCAACAATCCGCCCAACTCAATGGTTCGAATAATACCGCAGATGCCCGCTCTGTCCGTCATTTTTAGCATCGTCCTTGACCCTATATGACCTCAGAACGTACATAAAACCTAGGCTTAAACTGATCGCGATGGTCATCTTCTCCTTGAATTTTATGTTGAGTTCCCAGATGAAGAGCCACGGGATAAGGGCAAAATAAAAGTCCACTACAGTGCACCATACTACGTGCAACCGGGCATTAGTAAGAACGAAGGAGAGCGCTGTCTAGGAAAGGACATACCACCGAGGAGTATTGAAAATGGGGCAACAGGGACAATAGTACGACCAGCAACATTGGGATCGTAAATGGACTTCAAAGGAGAACGTTGGATCCAGAAGACGATCGACGCTAGAATAGACACCACTGAGACACTGACCATGGCGATCCAAATCGTAATTTGATGCCATGATTTGATCACGATCCGAAGCAAGAATATTCCTAGGGAAATATTTGCAAGCGCTAATCCCAGGACCGCAAATGTTTGGCCTACCAAATCCATGTACATAGCCTGTGCGGCGTCATCTATTCCCACGATGTGAACAGGTTTGCCAAGTCCATGCTGCCCAGCAACCGTGCAGAATACAGTATACAGGAGCAGAAAAACCTGCATTCAGCATTAGTTGTGGTTTCGGTCATTGTACCTGAATGAACGAGCAGCTGCATACCCAACCCAAGTTGAAAACATGATCATCCCATTTCAGCCCCCCAAGAATGTAGATTCTTGTGTACAGGCGTAGAGGAACGAAAATGAACGACAATCCAGTCATTGCCCAGAGGACCGAAATGGCCTTGACACGCTCACTAGAGAGCATCTTGAACACACAGTGGAAAATAAGATGTTGGAATTATCCACCAGTGTAAGGCTAACGGTAGAAGCGCTAGCACAAGACAAGAACCCAGGAAACAAGGATTTGATGACCAGAACAAATGCTGTGAGAGAAAGAGGTGCTTATGCGAATAAGTGAACATCATGTTCTTGTCAGCCGTATATCTAGGCCACATTGTAGCTCATTCAGTAACTGTGAGCTATCAATCACTATCTCTAGTTTACACTGTCCCTGACCTTGGCAGCCTGTCCATCCATAACAAACAGGGGAAATATGCACCGATCGTTGGTGGTTGATCCATTTGATAGAACAGCTGAAAGATTCGAAATCCCACCATTGTACCGGGTGAGCAAATCAGCTATGCATATCACATAAAATGCAGTCTTTTAGGACCGATAAGAAGTATTTGAAAGCACTATTTTTGTAGCGAACGCAGGGCGAATCCAATTGACTCCTTATGTAATAGTGTTAGGTAATAGTTTCTCCTTCCCCCGAACTCCCTGAATACCCGTCATATTCTACCCCAAGATTAGTCCAATAGATCCGTCAAATGGGGATTTTATGGGTGTTATGCTAACCTATCAGACGCACCTAGCAGGTCAGAGTCAACTACATGTAGTCTAACAAATCCAGTCCTGCTCCGCGAGAGAGTCCTACTATATCCAGCTTGTGTGGATCCCACTTGCACTGGTTCTCTGACCAAAAGTGGCTAAGATCCTGCGGGACTATACGGAGATATAAGTCGTTCAAAACCAATAGAGGAACATCAAGATGTACTTTGGCATCAGAGACTCGGAGCACACATCTGCAGACATTGACGCCGTCACGGCAGTCAGTGACTGACAGCACACTATTAGTTCCAAGACTCGAGCGGGCCACATTGTATATCCACTGGCCAATCGTACCCGTTGATCGCCCCTAAGACTGCCTCATGAGACGTTTCCATGACTCACGGCTTCTCGAGTTCCATGTCTTCTTAGTTGTTTGCTTGTTCCATCTCCTACTGATGCATCCCCTTCTAGAGCAAGAATGAATGATTGCATATTTGTCGCTTTCGACTATAACACAAGGGGTTTGCTCTCCGCACTCAGTGCGGTATTGAATATAGTTGGAAAAATACGTAGCAAATCTCTTGTACCGTACCTGAGAGAAAGAGTTTGTCGGACGGGTGCATTTCAAGAGAGAACTCTGGGTTCCCTGCGCTCAAGTTGTGACATTTTGTGACATTTTGAGCCTGTGTTTAGTTGGTTGTTGTTGAAGTCTTCCTATAGCATACATAACCCATACAATATGGATAACATACACCGTATCCTGAAGCGTATTGTATTTGTATCCCAACAGGTCATGGTCATTTCGATTTCGACATAACCGTTCTCCGTTTATTTTCCACCCCTATCACAGTCAAGTTCACGGCGGGCCTGGAAGCAGGTATCATTCAATAATCATTCCCCTTGCTCGCGGTATACGAATCTTATGCAGCTAAGTGTTTTCCTACCACCTAATGAAGCAATGTTAGCTCATGAGCTTAGATCCAGAAAGTTCGAACCTGCTCACCTGTGCCCGCACTTAAGGCTGGTATAGAAGATTGCGCTCCCTTCGTCAGTACTACTCATTCACACTTAAGCATAGGTCACATCTTTGGATGGGCATTTGACGCAGCCCTCTCAATTAGGACCAGAACCGATAGTGTCTCGTTTCACCTCTTGGTACATGGCCTCAAGCTGTTTCGAAGCCTCGACGGAAAGTTTTCCGGTGTAGAGATCTGCATATAATGAAGGAATGTATATGTTTGGGTACCACCGGTTAGCTAACATTTATATAGAAGAGTTGGGAGAATTATCCTTTGTAATCCTTCCACAAGACCACACTGTAAACCTCGCTTGGATAGTCATCACGAAGCCCGTAATCTTCACAGAATTGCACAGCAATAGTTTCTGGCCAGTAGGCACAAAGAAATCACCGTTGCCTTTGAGCTAGACGATGTAAAAAGCCCGTGGTAAATGAAAGCCAAAACTTTGTTCGCGGTTCCTCGTTTTATTATGTCACCTACCTCAGTTAGACGATGTATAAGAGGAGTGGAGCCAGGTCCTGTTTATTAGCCTGTTTAGGTATAGTATAGTTTTGGCAATCCACTGCCTTCAAACTGTTGTCCACCTGGTCGCCTTAACATACCAGACAATAAATGCCAGGTACTTTCTATGCTCAATCTCAACGCTCTCCGACGACCACTCCAGCGATTCTCTCATCTATCCTGCACTCGTTCTGTATCCACTAATTGTTCCCCAATTACCATTCTGGGCGTCGCTTTAAACGTGAAGCTCTTGGTTCTTTTGAAGTTGAACGGCTAGATGGCACACATAACCACCCTCTTGCTCACCCTCCGCTTCACATAGCCCTGCGCGGCTTATAGTGTCTCGGTGGTATTCGGCTGTGGGCTGTGGGAGATACAGTTTGCAAGGCAGTAGCTAACAATCTTAATCTTAGATATATCAAAGCAAGTTTTTGTATGTTGGGATGTCGTTATAGCTATAGATCAAAAAAGGTAGAAACCATGAGCGCTAATTGACAGTTGCTAGCTCTGCGACGCTACTCCTTCAGTCTTACAGCAGCTTGCTGAACTGAACTATCAGACTACTGATACGTCGTCCATTATTTGTTCTTTTGTATTTCAGATGCTCCTTCAGCCTTGGTAAAGGCAGTACGGAGCTCCTTGGAAGCCTCCCACAACACCCACAGAGGTACCCAAACCCATAAGGTATTGAAAAAGAACAGATAGAACCACAGGTACACCGGGTTGCTCGTCTCCAGTTGAGAGCTACCGGTAAGCCATTCAGGCGCAAACGTCATGAACCCGCCGTACAGCTCGGCGGTCGCCAGGGCGGGCGCCACCAACCACAGCTTAGCCTTCGCAGCACCCTTAGCCGCTGCACTGGTGCGACTGCTAGAGGCCTTCCATAGAAGATAACAAGTATACAGCGCCGCGGGGCCTCCGAGGAACACGGTCAACAATTCGAGAGAAATCACGTTGGGGTCGGCGGCGGACCAGCGGAAATCGGCCTTTGCATATTCCTGCCACAGTCGCGAGCTGGGGCGAGTACCGTATGCGGCTCCGTATACGCGGTCCTTCTGGTTTAAGAAGTAAGGAGGACGGTTGAACCCGGCAGGGAGGTTTGTGAAGCTGAAGAAACACTCGTAGAGGAAAGAGCCTTCGATGAAGAAGTGGGTGAGGGCGTCATAGGCGTGCCAGAAGAAGAGGATTCGATTTCGCACGTGCGTGGAGGGGATTAACGACCGACCTAGGAGGTAGGCGGTTGGCATGAAGGAAAGGGCGAATGCAATGCACAAGCATGTCGCGACGTCGAGGGTGAAAGGTACAACGGCCGGCATGTTGGGCGTCGCTGCTGTTTAACTCTGGTTGTTTTATCCTCCACTCTCTCGGGGAGAAAACGTCGCGGGAGAGAAAGAAGAGACCGAGATGCGGTTATATAAGTTTTCTGTCATGGACACGTCAGCGGTCAATCCGTGGATTTTGGTCGAGTCTGAGCTGAGTTGGTTAAATGTCAAGTAATGTTTGGCCCCTGAGGGTGGATGATTTGCAAGCGTGACTTCTGCCTGAGGCATTAAGATGGACCCACCGCGATAAGGTCTATTAGATGTGCATGGTTTATCTCCACCTCTCCTGATGCTACTCTCTCAAGCCGTTTCTCTCAATTAATGGAAGGATCATGCTCTTTTGTCCTATGAAACACTCTAGGTCATCTTTTTCCCCCAGGTCACACACGAATGCTGAGAGCCGAAAGCCCAGCTGTCTGATCGCCAACAACTTCCTGCACTAGAGTCCACAGCCACAAAATCAGGGAGACGAGGAGCATTTCATCCCCTGATTGGTCCAAGTACGAGAAGATTGCTTGAATCTCGCTTTATATGAACTACTGGGAAACTTCCACAGGTTCTTATTCGCAGTGGAGCTACGGATATATACTACTTCACTCCACCCCTACACGAAACGGGCGGAAAAAGTCTAGATCGGCTCTCCGATCTTCATAGTCACACGCTCAGTAATCATGAGAGCTGTTGTCTTTGTTCGCTGTTGCAAAACAGTATCCAAGAAAAGCTCCATTTTGAAGTCAACCAGCCGCGGTGACACGCATCTATTGGCTTCCCGGGTTCCCTCTCTGAGAACCCTAAATCTCTTGACTAGATGAGCCTCAAAGGAATAACGTTGCATGGGACAAAAGCTCTGCTAGTCCAATCTGACTATTTTATGCCTTGCTGCGCCTCTGCTTGTATCCTCTTGACAGATGTCGGTTCGTGTTCGTGCCTGATGTTACCACCTTACTAAACCTGCAGGCTAGGTCAGATGAGTGGTGTACCACCTAGTAATTTACTCTCTGCTTTCTATACTGCTCTGGCCAGTCCACGCATTTTGGTTGACGAGTTTCTATTCTCAGCGGATATTCCTTGTGCTACCTTTTTACGCTTAGCTGTCCTATGATCTCTTTCTACAATCATCTCAGCTTCCTTTTTCTGTCAATTCTTGTCCTCCCGAATCAGCAATGAATATCCGGGAAGTCTCTGTGTCGACGATGATGTACTCATGCTAAATCATTCACAACACACTTGATTGTCGCTCCCTGCATTGGATTCCGCCCGACATGGGAACTTCCACCATGGCCCTTCCCCGTGACTCTAGCGCATCCGATATCCTCGCTCTCACGAAGTTGGCATGGAATCTTTACCATAACTGCTACCTTATTATTGTAGATACCTCTGAAGGTTCTAAACAGCTAGTCAACGAACTGGCCTCTCTGCAAGGTGCCCTTAGAGTCCTCCGAGATGACGTGAACTCGAACTCGTCTTTCTTCGAGGTTCTAGAGGAAACACTTTACAACGATGCTTGGACACATGTTCGAAGACTCTGCAGCACTCATGGAATTGATCGCCAAGAATAGACATATGGGAGTGGGTGATGGGACGCAATTTTGGCAAAGGGACAAATGGATCACCCAACGGGAACAGATAGATGATCTGAATCAAAGGTCATGGTCCACACATGCAACCTTTGCTTATGTATGAGCTCTATTGGCAAGTAGGTTACCACCGCCAACCTTTCCCAGCCGGCGACTCACATTTCTAGTTCAACTTTGGCTAGAATCAAGCTGTCTATGGCGGAACCTTTAGAACAAGAAACTTCCCTTCAACCCCCCAAACACTATCCCAAGGGGAGCGTGTTCTCAGAACGCCGCCACTCACAGAAGAAGACGAAGATATCTCAACTGAGGTGCCTTTGCATGTTGACCCAAGAGACATACCTATAAGGATGAATAGCCTACCGAACGCTGATACCAGTGCTCGCATCTCTGCTTCGGAGTCCATTCTTTCCGGTAAATCCGAATGGTCAACATCTACCGCCAACACAACTTCCACATTCGTCTGCGACCACCTGAAACGTTCTATATCCCACAATTACATAGCCAGGCGGACTGGCTCAAGAACATCGGAACCGAGGCATCGAAGATTCCCAAGCTCTGGCGCAACTAGAGATCTACCCTGCACTGCAGGAAGAATCCTTTTCAGATGATCGGTCCGACCCCCTAGCACAAGTACAGGAACTAAATAATACGGCTGTCACAAATGTTATCGCAACCGCTATGCAACAACTTCAGCAGGTACAACTTTGAGAGAAGCTGCTTCGGCCACTAAGATACGAGCCGCGCGATAAGCTTCATCAGCCAGATCCAGAGCCTAAAAGAAAGTTTAATGCTTTAGTGCAGGATGAGTTGGCAATTAAGCGGCTGAACAGAAGTGATTGGCTGCAAGTTGCCGTTTGGTGGCTATTGAAGGTATTTCTGTCTTGTTCTATACTTTCTCTCTTGTCTTACACATCCCTCCCGTGATGACGACAAGGACGACTAACATAGCTTCAAGACTAGAGCGACCCTTGCCAGTTCAGATAGGCTGAGTCACGTCGGCCCTCGCGGCAGTGTGATCCCGCCAACAGAGGCTTGGGCCCCCGGGTCATCAGGCCTATGCTGATCTATCATACATCTTATATGACATTGTTTTAACTAATGCAAGCTCAAATGTAATTCCGACAAATAGAAAGTTAATCTCTGATTTGGTTGAGGTAAGTTACACAGAGCTCGATCCTTTCATCGTAAACTAAGCTTCGACCAGGGCATAAAAGAGGAGTTAGCGCGGTTTACCTCTGTAGACGTCCCCGAATACTCTGCTATCCACTCTCAGAGCCTTAAAATTTGGGAGCCTTTGCAGCCGGAAGAGGCTGTGGAGAAGGGAGACAATTCTATTATCAGCCTGAGCAATGTGCGCTGGGTTACTGTTGATCTGGAGGACGCCGGGGACGAAGAAGAAAAGGTCTTTTATCGAACATTAGTGAATGCTGGGATTGGGAGCAAGAGGCTTCGTATGCGAACGAAAGGTGCTCCGTATATGCTCCTTCTATCTACAAGAGAGGGGGAGAGCGAACCAGAAATACCAATCTGCAATCAGAGTGGCACAATTTCTTTACAGCGAGACTGTAAGTGACTCTGCCGACCCCACAACAGACTGCTCGTCCTACACTGACAATTAACTGGTCGGTTCTTCCCGAGGATCTAGCCCAAATGATACGAGTATGGCAGGCCTCTATTCTGGGTTCTCTGGTTTGAAAATCTCAGAGCCTGTCCTTCTACGGTTCGACACCAGAAGTGTATCCGTCTGCTTTCAACACAAGTCCGATTTGCAATATTTTATAAATTTGCCGAAAGCATACTTTGATGTTGTATGGCAGCGAGAGCCAATGGATTCTGGTCAGTTCGCTGAAACCATCATATTCAAAAGCTCCGTCGAGAAGTTCGAGAAATTGAAGGCGCACACAATGAGATCCATGAATCCACCAATATTCCACAAATCCTGCGAAATGCGCATTTTGGAAAGATCATACGAGAGGCATGGCAATCTGTTCGGCGTATGGCCATCTGCTCTTCTGTAGCCGAGCAGACACTAAAGTGATTTGAGCTATTCATGCCCATGAGCCGTGTCTAGATCTATCGCGGTACAGATGCTGGGCAGGTTCTAGTCAAATGGTCAGGTACGTGCCAAGAAAGGTCAACGAAAACAGATGGCAATTTTCATACTTTATACTCTTATGTGTATGATGAAAATAGCCCAAACATCGGACTCAGTCTGCAGTTCCGGTCCCTAAAACAGGTCGGAGGATTTTGAGAAAGCTATATTAAGCATGTGTGCGCAGCCAAGCTTTTCATGAGACCAGCCTAGCAGCTCTGGCTACGTCTATAATGTTGTAAATTCGTCAGAGAATCAAAAGCAGTACAAGGCCATTTTGCTCATTCTGTCTCGCTTGAACTGGAAGTATGGTAGCATTTACTACGTCTACCGCGACACGGACTACATCTACCACCATAGAGCTCTTCGCGTTCGCTTTCCCCGCATATTTTACACCGACTATATTTCGTCTCATGTTGACAGGCTATACCCGGTCGACCGCCCGGTGTCATTTTCCCACTGTGAGAAGAAAGTCGGGAATATGACCGCATAATTCAATGAAGAGCCCTTCCTGCGCAGCTTTGTGGGTTCACTGGCCAATGGGTACGAGCTCTTGTTATCACGACGCGCCGTCTCCCTTGTGACCAAAGGTAAAAGCCTTCTCGGGCCCAGGTAAAAGTCGAGCAAAGGGGAAACGGAGGTGTAACTATGGAGAAAGAGAGCGGCGATCCAGCTGTCCTCACGGTGGGATGATCACATCACCAAGAAGTAGCTGACTGTTTCGGTACATGATAAATTGACACAGTACATGATATGGAACGACTATATGAGCTTGACTTTCCTGTAAATTAAAAATCAAGAACGGATAAAAAGCCTTAAAAAAAAAAGAGAGAGAGAGAGAGACTGAGAAAAGAGGTTCTTGCAGTAGTAAGGTGAGTATTTGGTTAACTAGGCTTGCCGCAAAAAAAATAGTCGCGCCCGGGATCGAACCGGGAACCATCTCGGATTTTGGTTCACATATTGTGAACGAGATATCATAACCATTAGACCACGCGACTGGTTCTTGATCAGTGTGGAGAGTTCAAACCTTAAGAGCACTGTTGACCCGTATAATGATTATTAGTGGCGGACCTGACCACCCACCGCCTTCGCCGGATGGGTGGTCGGCGGCGTAGAGGCATTTTCACCGTAGAGGCAGATTTTGAAATTCTCATCTTTTTGAAGCTATACAAACCATCTAATATGCCTAAATCATCAGAAATCCATGATGGACGCGTTGATAAGGCCGTTGAAGCTATACAGTAAATGAAAAATCCTAATATCGTAAAAGTTGTGCGGGAATTCAGGGTTCCCTACCGCACACTCTATGGCCGCGTACACGATCGAAAAAAGTCTCGTTTGACTCGCATGCCTGTAAATAAAGCGCTAAATCAGTATCAAGAGACTGCTCTAGTTCAGTAGATTATCAAAATGCGTGATCTTTATCTCCCTGTTACTATTTAACTCCTTCTTGACTGGGCAAATCAAACTGTGCAGTATACTAATCCTGAATGACACGTTGATCAATCATGGGTGTATCGCTTTGTCAAAAGACTTTCTCCTTATCTAAAAATTAGCCCAGAGATACAGAAAACGAAGGAGAAGAAGTGTATAGAAGCAGAGGATGTTGGACAGCTTCAATTCTGGTATAATTAGCTTGTAAACTTGCTTAAAGGGGTCCCCGCTCGCCTTGTGTATAACTTCAATGAATGCGGATTTTAACCAGGTAAAGGAAAGTCCCAAAGCGTGCTTAATACAAAGGGAAGAAAGATCCAAGATCTTCCTAAAGCAGAGTATTCAGATAATATAACTGCGCTTGAATGTATTGCTGTAGATGGTTGGATTATGATGCCGCTTTTTATCTTTAAAGACAAGAAATTTATGGAGGCCTGGTATGATAAAGAACTACCAGATTTCTACACTGCGGTCTCTGAAAAGGGCTATATAAATGACGAATTATTGATTGACTGGCTTCATAAATTTTATGAAGAGACCAAGAATTATACAAGAAGAGGAGAAAAACATGTTCTTCTCTTTGACAGCCATACTGCTCATAAAACACTTGAATTTCTATAACTCTGCGAGACCTATGAGATTCTTCTCTTTTGTTTTAGGCCTTATACAACTCATCTCTGCCAACCGCTTGATGAAAAGCCATTTCTTACATATAAAACGCACTTTCACAGTGCGAATAATCTTATCGCGCAGTGGTGTGGTGTCCCGAGAGATAAAAGGCGCTTTTTAAGTGATATTGTGGCCATATAAGATAAGATCTTTAACTCACAAATTATTTATAACTTCTTTAAAGAACGCGGTATCTTTCCTCCAGATGGATCCTCTATAATTAAAGCTATTCAGAATGCCCTATCTCCAGTGCCAGAGATCTCCGCGCCTGATCTACACGCGTACGGAGAGACTACACCTCCTCCCAATTCTCTTTCTTCAAGCGTTGAAAACACGCCTCCAAAGACCTCTCTACAGGTTGAAAAGAATCAAAAGAAGCTATTTCATCTACTAGATTCTATAGAGATCTCTCTGCGAGTTGAGCACTGCCTAGAATATCTATTTGATCAGCAGAAACTTTAATCTGAGCAACTTGCAGTCATGAACTCTACTTTAGAGTAAATTAAATCAGTCCAGGCAACACAACGCTGTAAATCTACTAAACAAGAGATTCAGCGCCTTGGGGATAGTGATATACTGACCGTACGGGATGCAAATTGATCTATTGCAGATAGAAGAGTCAAAGAGGAGTTAAATAAGAAGAAGAAGGCAAATAAGGTATATAAAGAAGCGTATGGTCATCTCCTACCCGTATCTCCTGTGGAAGATTAAAAACCTGCTTCATATAGTGAAAAGGCAGCAGAATCGGGTAATCAGTTTTATTTTATAGATTCTATAGGATCTAGGCGTTGAAATGCGAATTGCTTCAAAATCTGCCTCTACAGTGAAAATGCCTCTACGCCGCCGACCACCCATCCGGCGAAGGCGGTGGGTGGTCAGGTCCGCCACTAATACCGTTTTCCCCAAAATGGCGGCCTGATGGATTCCTTGCTATCCAGGCATGGTATGCATGCTCACTGCCCTAAAAGAGCATCTCAAGCTCCTGCTAATTAAACGAGACAAGATATTGCCTTCTTTATCAAGGCACTATTGGCGTGTCCTATAATATGTGGTTTGAGATGATCGATCGTCAACAAGTCATCCGCATTCAAAATTAACGTCTATATTCAATCTATAATGTAGGATCAGGGTAACTGGTCGGAGTTTGATACTCGATGGTGATTTTCGCTCTCAGTTGACAATGTACCTACTATCCTAGGATCTACTCCGAGCTGAGTGTCTTCAAAATGACGTCAGAAACGCAGACGCGGTCACAGTCAGGTCAATAGTCAGTACCTATATTTGCAATGTAACACCACACCAGTTGGACGTTGGGCACTGACAGCCACTCGTGCCAGAAGATGGTCCCTGAGAGACTTGTGATGGAGTCCAGCGACTGCAAATCACCCGCTGACAGATACCCCGCTCGCGTCTGGGGTGACGCAAATCTCGCATAGAGTCCGGTGGGCCCTTGATATATATGGAGAGGTAGTTATTGTGAAGTTCGAAAGAAAGGGAAATGAACAAAATAGCCTCGAGGAATGTGAGCTAGAGCTTAAATCTCGGAAGTTATTGTACTACCAGTTCTAGTCCCGTTCCTGCCGAGTAAGCTGCATATTTGCTGCCATTATTCGTCATTAGCCAGCAGCTTCTATCAGCCACCCCGTCCCGCAATGACTCAATTCCTGGCACACTCGTACGCGTACCCTGTGATCAGTCAGACTGAATTGACTATGAGACTTCAAGCCCCGGATCTTCAGTCGCCGGACGAGTCACCTGGGCGATCGTTTCCTACACCCTGGACGCGTGCGCCTTGCACGTGCAGGCCTCATGACTATAGGGTAGAGGCGGAGCTGCTTTATAATCCTGAGTGCCTACGCACTTTTGCTGCGGTTATGGAAAAGTGGCCATTGAATTATGACTAGACGCTATAAGATTCGGGACTTTTGTTGAGGAGAGTTCTGAATACCGGCCTTTTTTAGTTCCTCAACTATTACTCATTAGCGTTTTGGTTCTGCCTAGGCTTGGCTGTTGTTTTCCCTCTTTTCGTCTTCAGTTCACATATAAATTTACCCTCCAGTCTTGAAGTTTTGGTTTGATTTTGCTTTGCTAGTTGAATAGCGTTCGATTTTTGGCATGCCGCATTTACTCCACCACAGAAGACGCCACTCCTGGCCCTACTGCGGACCGGGACCCCGTCGCAACGCAGCTCTCACGCGAGTTGTCGAGCAGCAGAATCAGCTCGAACAGCAGTTCCTCACCCCACTCGTCTCGGGAGACTACCTCGAAGACGACGCCGCATCCGCTGGGATCATCCGTCCCAAAGACCGCTGGTCCCACCATCGCATCTGGCCCCATTCCAAGGCCCCCGTCGCAAGTGGGCAGCTCCCAAACCCTAGCTCCGGGTATAGCTATGGTTCTGGCTCTCTGCGGCGCATGGTACGGCCGCCGTTGGATAAGGCGCGGTCGCTTTTCGTCCTGCCTACGACGTGTACTGCTGGGGAGAATGTGGTGAATTCGTACTGGGTCCCGCAGCAACATCCTGTGCGGCCGATTGCTGCTGATAGGGGGAGGGAGCTTTCTAGCTTACCTAGCCATTTGGATGTTGATCGAAGCCATCGGCGGTGTCATTCGGAGCAGCCGCGGTCTTGGAGGAGGCCGAGTGCGAGTCTGTGGACGCTTACCGAGGAGTGATCTCTGGACACTTGGTTTCGGTTTCCTTATTCTATAGCTGGTCGGTTTGTTTGTTTCTTTATTTATCATTGCCACATTTTTTTCGGCTGGGTTTTTGGTCTTCGTATTCACATGGTTCTTGGAGATTGCAAGGGTGTGGAGTTGAACTGCATTACATTTGGGCGGCAGCAATACTAGTAGCATAATGGGGAGGCGTTCAAATTGCATTTCGAGCTAAACAACTTGGGGAGGTGAAAAGAGAGAAAATATAAAAACAAGAGATATTTAACTTCTTAATGATACAAATCTAGAATTCACACATGATGAGTTGAAGCTATTCGTAATGTAGTTAGTTCTACCCCGGTAACCACGGACCCGACATACCTTCTACTCGGGTCTGGGGTTTGCCCTAGCACCGCACCTATCATCTGTGAACGATACGGAAGGAGAGGACCAGTCCTACCACTCGGACTTGGACGGAACGGGCGTGCCGACGAGTGGCCCTCTTGGCAACCGGGCGCGCCAATCATGATGTCATAGGGTAGAGGGAAGAGCCTCCAGTGGAGCGAAGAATGCTTCTGATGCCTGGGCGGAATGCATGGGGCACTCATTTCTAGTGATGAAGGGGGGTTCCTATCTCCGCGGAAGGTCCCACTGAGATGATAAATTTAGATAATGTTTCATTTCCTGTGTTCCTGGATGAGTAATAGTTGACCATGCTGGGACTCGACCATGGTAACGGTCAGCTCTAAACCGGTCTGGTGTTGCAATCATTTCATTTCAATTCACCAGCTTGTTTACGCGTCAACCAGTCAGATAACTTGCAGTCCGAGCGGGGGCCAAAAATGACTTGATTTGGCATTCTCGAAGTACGCTAGAAACTAGTTCTGGACCGGGCGTTGCCTTAGTTCAGGAATGCATCAGCTGAACCCGACCCCAAGTGAGGGGGAATTGTCAGTGTTCTTGTCCTTGTTATTTGGTTTTTGACTGATCTTCAGGCAGCTAAAAATACGTGATTTCGGGTAGCGACAGATAGGTGTCTTCCACGACAGTTCGTATTCGGAATGGGAAGGAATTCTATCATTGAAAGGCCAGGCAGAACGATTTCCATTGTTTGGACGAGAAGAAAATAAGTAACTTTTCTAGGCAGAAGCGGTGAATTCGAGCCTCTTGATGGGTCGTGCAGGTGACATTCGCACGCTGATTGGCCAAGTCGGAAACCTCATAGGGCAGAGGAGTGGGGTGCCTCAGGACCCTCACCGACTTGAGTCAAAACGAGCCCTACCGATGGAGTCGACCAGCGTGTTGGCATCATCTGATTCGTTGGCCCGGCCATGTCCGACACGGGGGCCGCGTGCCAAGTTGACATTGACTATCGTGATAGGGCGGATGGACGGCACTGGGGAATGAGTTAAACAGATAAACTGTCGTCCGGAGATGATCCCCCTCGAGAACATAAATAACCGTCGATACCCCGTGCTTCTCGGGGAATTTTTCTTCATACTGCACCATCTTGAAACCATCTACTCACAATTCCATATATCTACATCCTATAATACTTCTCTTGTGCTGCCAAGCGATGAATGATCAGAACCCTGCTACTCCTCAAGTAGACATTCAGCAACCACACCAAATCAGCACTGATCCTACCCTTTCTCGTACAAGCACTACTTCGTCCAATTCTTCTTCCAGCCTTCAAGCTCTAGAAAGGCCCACTTCCTCAACTCAATCCCTTCAAACAAAACCCAATCGACTCTCCCTGACAGCAGGAAGACTCTTGCCCTCCCGCGCCCGCTCTAGGTCTAAGTCGCCGGCTCCTATCGACACCCTAAGCGCGATTCGCTCCCGTCGTTCTGACTCGGAGAGCACCTACATCCTCAAACGCGACAAAATGTCTCACATCAACATCCCCCGTCGTTCTGCTAGCCCTACCGAAATGTCTCCCACTTCCGCTACCTCTGACAAAGAGGCCCATGCCACCAAGCGGCGATCGGACTCCTACCACTCCCGCAGATCTAGCGATGACTACCGTCGCTTAAACGGGACTGTCAACCACAAAGGTCGCCACGCAAATGATTGGTTGTTCGGAGGATTCAGCCTCCGCGACACTGTTCGCGGTGGTGTCTATCGCTTGCGCCAGCGTGATGATAAGCGCTGAATGAGAAAATGGCGCCGTCTGTAATGACGGATTTCTTCTCTTAATCTATTTTCCGATATGGTTTTCGATAATCGGTATAGACGGGGTTCTGTACAACCATGACTGTCATTATCTAAGGATTATGGCTGGGCTACTCTACCTACCTGTCGGTCTCGGATTATCTACTTCCCCTTCCGAATGAGAACAAATCAGATCCTTGGTGCTGTATCATAGCGGAGGAGCTACGTCTTCGCGCCGATCGGCTGGACTACCCTTCACCACCGTTTCTTGGGCTCTCTTCGGTTCCCCAGGGACAATGTGGAAACACGTCGCAGTACCCATTTGCCTGTTGTCAGGATTGATTTCTGAGTTATGAATGATGATCCAACGGATATAGTATCCGGAAATAGAATTGTTAAATGAATATATTTTTGTTTTCACTTGCTCGGTTGCACCGAGAAAACCGAGAAATACCTTTTTTTGTCATGGCTTATGTTGACTTGTTTATGACTATAACTTGTCTCGCAAGTTAATGATATCTTTGTTTCTTCCCTATTTATATTTATGTGGCTAATGTGGTTCTATTTTTATATAATTTAATTCGAAACACATTCTACATTTATCTGCAATAATGCCTCTATGTAAATCGCTTCACCACTATGCAAGTATTCTTAGCGTAGTCTAGGTTTGCTTTGTAACTTAGAATCGATTGAGTATAGTATTATTCTATCTCTACAAGAAACCAATACTGTCCTTAGCAGTCTATACCTATCCTACATTCTGGCAGTCAAATGCCAAGAATATTCATCTCGTGCGTTACTATTCGCGTGTTCAACAGCTTGCTTCTAGACCTTCCGATCTGCTTGTCTATCCTCAGTCTGTATCTACATAGTGCGGTCCTCCTTTATCTCGCTTGGAGGGCATCGAAAAGTTGATCTGAGATATTCCGAACGCATTACGGCCCCTTAGCCCTCATTGCAGCAATTCTTCCATGAAATTCATAAACGGGCGGGTGCCGACGACCCGTGAACGATCGAAAGCTGGTTGAGAGACATGGTCTTATCCCTTTGTGAATTCTGTTCTTTCATGAGGAGGAATCGCATACCACCCGACCATAAGTATAGATTACTTACAGTAGGGCTATCGCGAGCGCGGCTTTTCATTCGCGCTCGGCAAGACACGGCAAGTCTAGAATACTAGAATATCCGAGCAGCGTCAGCTAGGGGTTTTAGCCGACAAGTATCATCTGGGGATGTGCAGGTGATCGAGTTACACGACTGCTTCACCACAAACCAGATGTGTGCCATAGATTAAATATTGTCTCCAGCACAACATGGGTATAGGAGGCGCTACTGTTGGGACTATTTTGGGTCGCGCCGATGGTCAAAGACGCCCCCACACTAGCCAGTATTGAAGACAAGAATGATGGACAGCGACGACTGAAACATAACCCGGCTTGGGTGGTGAGAGAGGTGCGACGTCAGGACTTCGATGCAGTTAAGTCCCAAAAGGCATTCAGGCCATGGACTGCAAAGACGTTTGACGTCTCAAAGACCCCCCACGGGGCAGCGAGTTTATAAGCTGCTGAGACGATAACTGTGTACGAAATTGAAGCGGGGTCTAACGGACATTAGTAGTTAATCTGGCTAAATTCAGATAAATATAGTAAAGAGCATCAGGGATCGAATATTGGTCCCGCCAAGATATCGGAGATACCCCTATGTTTATCAAGTTAACCCTAAATTCGCCGTGTATAATATTGTTAAGCATTCTGGATCTTATTCGTTCTTCCAGAAATTAGTTGTGCATGGTAAATCGTCTAAAAATAGTATACTTATAGTACTTTTGTATTCGGTTGAAATAATGCTTGCGCTCAACCCCGCATTTCAGCGTTATTTTACAGCGTTGAAGAAATTTACCACCACGGCTCTGTCACTGGATTGAATACAAACGTTTTCTTGTCTCGTATCGTCTTCGGTCTCTTTTGAGAGTAAACACCAATGACTCTTCCATGTGGATCTGCTGCCAAATCAAATGGCAAACACCGCACCGGTCGATCAGCCCCTAGATCGCGTACTGGCTGTACGACTTCGCAAAAGGAGGGAGGTGAGATGCGACGAAGCAACTCCTGTTTGTAACAACTGCGCGCGACTTGGAGTCGCATGTGCATATTAGCGACTCCCGCACCGACAAGTAGGGGGGCCGTCGAATTCGAGGAGTCACTGGGACTAGCAACATGATAGAGTCGTAGCCAACGTTGCTACCGTGTTATCCTGCAAGATGACGGTGCATTAATAAGAGTCTACCCGGACATCAATACTTCATCTCATTCGGAAAATAGTACCGCATTGTTCTTCGACTTCAATGCGTTCTCACGGAATGCTTTGGATCTCTGGTGCTCTCCGTCGACCGCACTCCCTGATATCTCATTCCCGGAAATATTAGGGACGGAAGAGATCCAGCCGCTGGAGTATGGCCGTACCCGTGACGTTGCGTCTTACGCCCTAAATTCAGACCAGAGGATAACCGTACACCAATCCCCTTCCCAACCTATTTGCTTTTCAGAAGACTGATCTGAATAGACGGATGCGGTGGATAACAACTGTCCCCCAACTCAAGATGGAGGGGAATTCGCGACGCCGGCTGATGGAGCAGGTGAACTCTGTGGTGACCAAGGTGGCCCCGGGCCTGCTACACTAGTAAAGGAAGCCCACCTTTTGCGGGACATTGTTCCCAACTCCAAGCGCATGGCTAACAATATGATATTGGCGCCGTATCTGACTTCCGACGGCGGAGCTGAAGGGAGTATCTACCGCCGGTCTCAGGCTCTAAGCACTTATTTTCAGGTAATACGTTTTTGTGCCTGCTGTGACAACTGTGGATACCCCATCATGGCGTTCTTTGTGCCGTCAAATTTTGATGGTAGCCCATAGCAGCTCCATTGTCTCAAACGCAGTTGTTGCCCTTTCACAGCTCCACTTCATCAGATTCTCTCAGGGTATGGAGCATCCCAGAGGTTCGCTTGCACGATGGAATGGGCAAAATCTCACGCAGTATCTTTACATCTTTGCGAAAGATGCCTAACGAATGGGCTAGACATGCTCAAGCAGAAGCCGTCTCGATCTCTTCAGTTAGAACTCTTAATGGCGCTTTTCCTCCTTACCTGCTTTGAGGTGGGCGACGTCCCTTCATCTTCCTATGGACTGTACATTGCTGACTCATGAAAGCTGATTGACGAGGAGGACATCCATCGAACCCGCCAGACTGAATGGGCAGACTACCTTTTGCAAGAATTTGTAGAAACGGATTCTATGACTGAGCAGATCATTCATTGGCTTATTCTCTGCGACGTTAAGCTTGTTGTTTTTGGAGGAAGCGGAACCATATCCCGACGTTCACCACATGTATACGACCTTGGAAGCTGTAAGCCAAGCCCACAATCAGACGTGGCTGTGGAAGAAACAACCACCCAACACTTTACAACCGAGAATTCTGTATCCCTTTCCCCTGATCGACTACGAGAAGGCGTAAGTCATCGGGAAACTTCAGTAGCGTGGAGCCATCCATGTAGCCCCGTTCTTGTGTTGAAGGAAGGCATTCTCCGTGACGCGGTCGTTTTCCACCGTCGATCGCAACAGTTTCTCCGAAAAATTGCTATGCTGGACCGCCACCACCGGTCTCGTGGTTCAGCACAGGATGAGGCGGAAGTCACTACAACCGCAGGAAGACTCGCTAACGATCTTCATCGGCTCTCGCATGATCGACCCTCCATTATGCATTGCAGCCCAGAAGATCTTCACCAGTTATTATAGATCAAGCTGGCGCGAGATGTTTCCCGAGTAATTTGTGTATTTCGGGCGTGTTTCTGGTCGAAATTCTGTTATCTTTATCGAGCTGCATGGTGGCACCATTCAATTCAAGGCGATGAAAAACTCGCTGCAGATGAAACGTGGAGGGCACTGCGTGGGCAGTGTAGACCAACCCTTTGACAGACTGGGCGATTCGACTAAAGTTACTGTCGACGCGGAGCCCCATTTGAACAGCGCATCAATGTGGGCCTTTTTTACATTTACCACAGTGTTCAGATCCTGTAAAGGAGGCATGGTGTGTGGCTAAGCTCCGACAGCTAAGCGTGGCCAAGCACTTTGGCCCGGGGGGAGAATACGCGAGTATTCATGCTGGCAGAGCCGCTCGCCTTTTGCAAGTAATCGATCGACAGAGGCAGAAAGGGGGTCGTGTCGATGTGCGATATGTTTCGCTTGAGTTATTCGGCTTTGGGTGCCCGATAATCTAGTTGTTATTGGCTCTTGCATTGCGAGACTAGGGTACTTCTCGCATTGCCTCCATAGAGTCAATCGGGTCTAAGTTAGCCTATCCGATAGCGGAGACAGTCAAATCTGGACAAGCTCACAGGTCGTGTAGAACTGGGCGGAAATTAGTTGTCATGTACTTGATGATTGACAAAATCTTTGTTGCAAACCGGAGCCATGAGAGAGCAAGATAGGACATTCATTGTCTCTGGCGGGTAAGTGACAAATCTTTTCGTGAAGTATCATCGAGGCAGGACAGAAATTAATTCATGCAATTAGATCTTCTGGGCTTGGCCGGGCAACGGCAGGAGCTTTCGCTCGCATAGGGGCATATGTTGCGATATTCGACATCGCAGAGCCTGCCGACGCGATCGTGGAAGAGCTCCCAGCCGACCGGGTAAAGTTCTACGAATGGAATATAATATCCACGAGTAATGTTGAAGGTTCTGTGCAAGATGTTATTGAATGGAGCAATGAGACTCATGCACCCTTGGGTGGAATTTGTTGCGCTGGTATGCTATCGCCCGGAAAGGTAAGCCATACACACTCACGTCTGATGGAGCAGGATGATCTGACAAGTGGCAGATCATCAGATCATCTTTCGAGCCTCTGGCTCTATCAACTATTCGAAATGCTATCAACATAAGTCTTGTTGGGACAATCGACCTTGTTCGTCAGGTGGTCACCAGGATCACCCGGCTACTTGAACTAGTCGACCTGAGAACGAAGGCAAACGTGGGGTGTTCATCATGGTATCTTCCGCTGCAGAGTACGATGGGCAACCTGGTCAAGTAGTATATTCTGCTACTAAGGGAGCTATTCGGTCCTTGACGCTACCCCTGGCACGAGATTTGAGTCGGTATGGGATCAGAGCTGTGTCAATTGCTCCTAATATGTTCTCCGCTGCTATGATCGCGAAAGGGAAAATGCCTGAAAAGGCACGCCAGGCGATCGAGCGCCACTTTGTATGGCCAAGACGAGCCGGAAATCCTGATTAATTTGCCTACCTGGTAATCGAAATCTGCCGTAATCGGATGCTCAACGGCTGTTGTTTGAGACTCGGCGGGGCAATGAGATCGCCATCTAAGCTTTGATGCGTGTGTTCGAGAGTTTACTTCAGAGGCAACAACAGACACACTCCAGGCGAGTGGAATCGCAGTATGTCTTTTACGCTATGCCATCACGCAAATCTTTCCAGCTGCTAAACTTTACAAGTTCGCTTCGAAATCTCCATTTTCTAGTCTTATCTCCTCCAAAAGTGTACTGGCCGGCACGAATCTGTTTCTATGGTCATCTGGGAAACATTCTTATGAGAATTACAAGAAAAAAAAGATGTTCAACGTACGATGGATGCTGAGCGGACCGCAATGCTTCGTAGGCCCAGGCCTCCACACTGTTGATTATGGTTCCAGCAGAGAGCATCCGTTGCAAAGCTAGCATCCGCTCCTGTGCAGAGGATGACGAGACTGCATCGGCAAGGATCGCAACCTTGTAACCGTGTTCCAGGATTTCTGTGATCTTAGACACGGACCATCTTCCCACAGTGCGGTTTACTCACCGAGGGCGGTTTGTGCCACACAAACGTGTGTCTCAATGTCGACTAGAGCTACATCTTGGATGTTCTCTTGTTCTAGATACTCCAATACCTCCGGAATTAACAAGGCAGATCTGACCTTGTCAAATTCTGGCGTGCCTTCCGGAAGGCGTGACTTGATGCTAGAAACACTTTGGCCAAACTTGACCGCGTTTTGGGTGGTTAGAAGCACCGGTATTGAGACTAATCCGCCTATCAGAAGCTATTTTAGATACTAATTTCCACGCAATGGGTTTCTAGGTGCCCTACTAATATCACAGAGGCGACGTATGGATCGCTCCCAGAAATTTCAAAGAAACGGTTAGCCATCCTGGGTAAGCGCTCCCCGATCGGATCGCCCATGCACGCATCTGAACTGATAGATACTTGTCTGAAACCTAGCTTGCATATTGCATATACTGCGGTAATAAGTCGGACCAGTATTAACAGAGGCTCCACTAGAAGACGGTGGGTAGACCTGCCACTTACATGAGAATGGATCTTCGATCCCGCTTGATGCTGGCCATTCTCAGATAATGTCGGACGACAGTGAGCACGACTCTATGCAACCAAGTCTTCGACAAAGCCCTTCAATTTATACCTTCCCATGTTACGTAAAGCTCAGTGTCTGAGACCGAGGTTCCCCAGCCAATCAGTTTTATTTTTTTCCGACAGTTATCCTAGTTTAGCTCTTCTTCAGGATATCGGGAGATCCTCCAGGACCGTGCCAATGAGCGTCGTTAGCCGAATTCGTCTTATACATTACTATGTTCGACCCGAGCTGATCCCTGCTAGGGTGGAAATATCCCTGCAAAGAATTGGAGCTTCGTGGGGCGACAGAAACTGCGTGCGGGGAAAGGTAGCAATGTCTCTCTCTCAAGAGGGTATTCAAAGGCCAGATCGTCCGCTTTTTTTCTGCAATTCACCTTCTTTGGATGCCAAACCTTGGTTGAAAGACGGTTGAAGCTATCAATGCCTATGTCTGAACAAAACGATGTTGAAAAAGTGCCCGAGGTACGGATAGACCTCTCGCAAAAAGGTCTATATCGGACGGGGCAGAGCTCGCACTGTACTTCCCATTTTATCTCCAAATTATTCTGAACAAAAGAGATTTAGCTGAGTTATTCGGCAGTGTATATAGGAAAATTGACCTATCCCCTATGCTACCTTGACCGGTTTAACATCGGTGAGCAGACTTCTAGATCTACAACGCCTATTAACCGCTAAATCGTGCCTTGAGAATAGGAAATGCGAAGGTCATGAATATGACCATCTCCGATGACCTTATGAACTCGTTAAACATGTCTGAGGTGTCTGAGCACCAATGCCGGTAGTTTTGATGATATTTCTCGTGGCTTGTTCAGTGTTCGAAGCGCCAAGCAACTTGGCTATGAAGGTCTCTTCTTCTCCGGTGTAAGCCATTGGTTAAAGAAATAATTACTTTTGCCCGTTCTGATGGCTAGGATTTGACAGATGGTTAGCCTTCCTTGTTACCAGTTTTGGTTCACTCTGTGCGGGCATTGGAGGAGCGAAAAATGTCCCAACCCTCATGGCCCTCCGATTACTTCTTGGTGCAGTAGAAGCGGGTGTCTATCCTGGCATGATCTTCTTCCTCAGCTTCTGGTATGGACCGCGTGAGCGAGCAATTAGAATCGCGGTTTTCCTTTGCAGCGCGACCCTAGCAGGAGCATTTGGGGGTATATATCTTTGAAGTAAGGTGTAATGTATGGAGGAGCAACGCTAACATCGCCAAAGGTGCCATCGCCTACGGGGTAGGACATATGAATCAAGTCGGGGACCTGCCTGCATGGCGATGGCTTTTCATTCTTGAAGGTGCCCCCTGCATTCTTCTTGCGATTAGCATCTTGCTCTTCTTGCCTAGTTATCCAGAAAAAGCGAAGTGGCTTACTGAGAAGGAAGAAGCTCTTCTCAAAACATCTTTCGGAGAGAATATCCCCAGAGGGTGAGAGGTCTCTATGAGCTTTGCACATATTGACTACAAGCTGACATAACTTTCACCAGAGACGACAAACCTAACTGGGAAGATGCGAAATCCACACTCGCCGAAGCGCGCCTATAGGTACACTACATATCCTACCTCTGCATCGGCATTGGAGTCTCCTCCCTATCCTTCTTCGCCCCTACCATCGTCGCAGGAATCGGCTACATAGGTCTCGACGCCCAACTCTTCGTCATCCCTCCTTACGCATGCGTATACGTAGTCACACTTGGGGCAGCCTACATGTCAGATCGATACAAAAATCGCGGCCTAGTAGCCGCTGGTTTCTGTGGTACAGGACTCCTCACCTTCCTCATCCAAGCATGCGTCTCCAGCCCGTCACTACGCCTCCGATACTCCATGCTCGTGATAAGCACCTGCTCTGTCTTCGCCTGCCTTCCATCTTTCTGCGCATTGGCCTCTGATAACGTGCACACAACCACAGCATTGTCGCTGGCTACTGCCCTGAACATTGCCTTCACGGGACCCGGGCAGATCATGGGAGTGTGGATTTACAAGAGTAAGCAGGCACCGAGGTATGAGCTTGGGCATGCTATCAACCCAGCTAGTTTGTTTCTGAGGATGGTTTTTGTCGGTGGGTTTATGGTGGTTTTATCGGCAACGGAACGCGCGTTTGGGATCTGGGGAGTAGCGTTGGGTTGCGTGATTGTTCTCCCCATCTATCTTGACGGAAGCATAGAAAGACTTATGCAGTTGCTACAATTCGAAGGGAACTTCTTGTATCAATCAGCTAGGCAATACGGCTAAGCCTTGCCTCTTACCACTCGATTCCTACCTATTATTCATTTGGCGGCGGAGATGTCAAACCCTTTCCCCCCCACCGGAATATTTCACATCAAGGGTAGTAGAATGTCTAGAACCTGACATGTCCGTATGACTAAACCAGTCTAGGGTCTCGGTACAAGCGATTGCATCCGGGTTTGGGGAGCCAAAGCTGAGATCGGTGGCTAGTCTCTGGTTATGGGATTGGGGGACGAGGTGGCTCGGAACGGCGCTGGGTATTGGGTCTAGGTGGTTGAAAGTCTATATGTCCATGGCTGGGGATGGTACCGAGGATTGATCGAGAGATGTTGCGGACCGTTATGCGGGGTGAGGGCTTGTGCGGGTTCTGCCGTGTATGTATAACGTGTTAGGCAATGCGCAGAGGATCGAGATGAAGATACCTATTTATTTGGATGAGGAACTGAGCCAGGGAGATGAAGTGTAGCCATTGCGGGTTCACATGTTTGGTTCTTGTACCCCCAAGTTCTGGACTTTCGGCTATATGCTGGGATGGCAAAGTCGGTAGAAGGATCGGCGACGGGAAAATGACGAGTGGGTTCGGTGGACCGAGTTGTCAAATTGTCGACTAAGATTGCCCAATTAGGGTATAAAAGCGCTGGATTGCGGGTCGGAAGGTCTGGATCACGAATGTGAACTACTCAACGGAAGTAATTTCCTCTATTATACCCTGTCGGCATGATATTCCGACCAATTGTTGATGCGTACTAGATAGATGCCATGTTCCTAGTTTAGGGTTTTATTGCATAGTTGGGGTATAGTTTGCGTCAAACGAATGTTCTAGTTCATTAAGTGCGGGATGATTAATTAATTCCAAGACACGACAGGAGAGAAAGGATGTGAAAAGTGTGGACCAGCCATCAGACACTCCACACTCTGAAGGAAAAGATCATCTCTCCTCAAAGCAAGATTAACAAGCGCTCTATATCGCCTTCCCAGTATCCGTGCTTCCGAGCAACGCCCCTAAAAAATGGAATGGCCGACTGAAGCTGAATGTAGCTCCTTACTCCTCACTCCTCTAGTCCGAGACATTGGCTTGCTGCCAGGCCGCAATATCGGCGGCCGATATGCCAATATTCTCTTGGACGAGTCTTTGGAATGTTGCGACCTGTGTTGGACCTTTGAAAGGTGTCAGAGATGAGGAAACCTTCACTGAAGGGCCCGTGCAATAGATAAGCTATAATACTTACTGGGCCGCTGAGCTCTGGGAGCGCCAGAATGAACAACAATGACGTCCGAATCAACATATGCTCGGGTTGCCACCCCACCCTCAAGAGCAGCTGCCAACATGACCCGTAGTCGGTACCGTCCCGGCTGGGAGATCGTGAGCCCCCTAAAACTGCCAAATCCGCTCATGGTGTTTCCGCGGCGGCTACACACGGTCGCTGTTAAAGTGCCCGTCAGTCCGGCGCAAGGGGCATTTCCTGCCTCGTTTCTCAGCGACACACTGACGCCAAGCTGCTGAACCGGATCGCCTCTTGATGTACCGACGGCTCGAACTGCAACGATCACTGGTAGGGTAAAGGGGACTGCAGGGCGAGCGGCAGCGGGAGGTTGACATTCCAATGTAATGCCGTATTCACGGCTAGAGCTGCCGGAGTCGGGCCTTGCAGCACCTTGGACCATGTTGGACTACTATTTCTGTCGGGGCCGCTGTAATGAGGTTCGAGGTGACAAGGTCTTGCTTTAGGGTGCGCCGATAATAGCGGGTTTAGTATTCTGGGAACAAATGTTGTAGTACACACAGTGAATCATGCGCCTTGCGAGGAAGATCGATCAGGTTACTGACACAGCAATGATGCGAGACAATCTTGATGAGAATGATGAAGTTAAAGAAGTAGGAGGGTCTCTAGCTTCCTTCACATCTTCATATACCTCAGGTCCAGCAAGCTCGGCGTATAATTGAAGGTAATATAGACACAAGTGTGAAAATGGAACCATAGTTATTATCGCGTGTTTGCCACCATAGGAGACTAAAGGTCAATGGATCTCAAAGACCAGACGATTCCGATCTGCATAGCATAATGACTACTGTATGAGAGTTTGTTAGGGTTGGGAAGGAGTTGTACCGATAAGACCTGCAAGATTCTGCAAAGAGGACGTTTGTGTGGGAAACAGCGGATGTGGGTTCGACTATTGATTTGTGGTTATGCTAAAGTATTTTTTTTCTTTTTCCTCTTCCTTTTTTCGAATTTTCCCTCCCCCCGCTTCTTCCTTTCTTTGTTTTCGTCGGTATGCGTGAATAACATGAGGTCAGATTGATCGGGGTCCGTACTTTTGTACAATGGGGGTCTCCAAATCCAATGAGACATGGTGGAACTGAATTGCTTCGCCGGAACGTCCTTCCATCAGATACGTTGCGGGATATGCTGCTGCAAGATCAGGGATTTGGTGGCCACGCTAGCCTTTCCGGAATTTAACGTCATTGGTTCCACTGGCCCACAGTTCTCAGGTCTTTTAGGTTTTCTTTTTTCTCTCTACTTTTGCTTCTTCCCTTCAGGCTGGTTGGTATGTGGGCGACTTCGTAAACTTCGGAGAAATATCACTGGTTTCCCCTTATTCCCGTCTCTTTCAGTTCCGCTTACAGCGCAAAGAGATACGTTTCCTATCTCTCATTAGGCGTGCCTTGCCATTGCAGTTTGCTAGACGATGGGTCGGAACCTCCCAATCGGGCTCCTTGCATTGATCGACCTCATCCATGCAATTCAGAACCCACAAACCTGCTGGGAGTGAGTTCCATCTCTTTCTATTGCCTGCCCTGCAGAAAGACTCTGATCTGGAGCTTAGATAGGCGCTCGGATAACCGTTTAAACCTCCACAGCCATCTGTTCTCACACGATACCTAGCTGTTCGCCTGTGGAAGCTCTGTCGGCATCACCATAACGTACTGTAATTGCACTAGGGCATGGATAAAGTCCGTGCAGCGGCTGATATGCAAGATTCAATTCCAATTCAATCGAGGGTCGTCGTACGGAGTATAGAGGATAAAGATGATAATCTTGGGATGGATTCCGACCAAATGGAAGCTTCGTGATTGGGAAGATGGAAATCCTGACGACGGTCTCCACCGAAAGGAAGTGAATGGCCTGGATCATTCAAGGCGACCAGTATCCAAATTGGGTTTTGTCAGGCAGGAATGTGAAGTAGTGATCTGATGGGACAAAAGGGGGAAAGAAACAATGGAAGTGGGTCCGAGGTGGATCAGCCACTTCGCCACATCGACCTCCCTCTTCCAGTAAACAACAAGCCACAGTGTCAATTGCCGATAGGATCGTCCACCTCAGCCTCATGGGGTATGCGAACCAGGCACCTGGAGAACCCTCAGCAAAATTTAAACTCTCAATTTCAAGGTGTGAATTGTCGTTGCCTGCCTTGGAAATGTGCATCTTGAAGGCCCGTGGGTCTGGTCATCACCCCCAGTGGGTCCCCACGAGGTTCGCCCTGGTTGCATATCTGTCAAGATCGACCAATCACCAACTGAACGCTCCGATCTACACGAAATCTAGACACGGTCCTCCTCTATTCTCTTTGTCATGCTTCCCGGCGTCGTTCGGTATCAAATATAACCCTGATTATCTGGAAAAACGCTTTGTTGATACCTTCCGTACCCCGTGAGATGATAGTGAGTACTTCTGATCAGGTAGGAGAAAGCCAAAGCAAAAAACATGCATACCCGACCAAACCTGGTCCCTGACTCCCTGAGTGACCGGTCAGGAAAAGCAAAGGTGAGAAAGGGGACAACCGGATAGCTCTGCAGCAATAGATTCAGACTATCAAAACGACAAGATAGGGTGGGCCAGCCTCAATCCTGTATTGCGTCTCCTACAGGGCATGCAAGATCGATCAGAAATTTTGATTACATTTGGGATCCTCAACGATGAGAGAACGCCGGCTCCTGATTGGATTTCGAACCACTAGCCACAGGTGGCTTAGACTGTTGATCAACGTTTCGTCCTGTGGCGGTGAACTAGTATCAAGGGTTTTACCATCTCACCATGACCACCCTCGCAGTCCTTGCCGAATCCGCTCACAAACCTGATCTTCGGTGGGAGTCTGATTGAGGTTTAGTCTCCTCGTCAATAGCATCTGGGCCAGTCCATGCGGGCCCTTACCTTGTCAATCATGTGTCCTAAGCGCCAATTTGATGTCTGTGTGTCCTTCCATTCGCACCGGAGGAGAATGTCTTTGTTGCCAAGCTTGATGTGACACCAAGAATTTGCCGCCCCCTTTCATCTTGTAGCATTTCTCCATTCTTTCGGCCAGAAGATAGGTTCGTGATGACGTGACGACGTGACTAGCCATCCAAACATAACTATAACAGCCTAATGTCTATAGATCCAGGATCGGCAAACTGTATCTCACTCCGGTTTGTGTCTCGATCTAAAGTTGCACCGGTCCCCTACTACCACGCGTACACAGGTGGCGACAGGTAGTGTCGAATTGCTCGTTCAATGGACGTGGGGAGGACGCATCATCAGGCTTATTGCGCCACAAAAGAATAGGGCGCTACACTACATCATGCTGGGAATCCCAAGCTTTCTCTAAGCTACCAGACCCACCGAGTTCCTTGCTGAGGGAGTATACTTCATCACAGAACCTGTTTTTTTCTGTTTCTTTTTTTTTGTTTGCTTTTTTTCTCTCCTCTTTCCACTTCTTCAATGTCACCCAGATTTCATGACAAGGGGCTCAACATTCGGCAGGATGCAGTTAGAGTATCTTCAGAACTGACGGTGCACCAGCGAATTCAGTGAGACATTGATATGGAAGAGCCGCAAGAATTCCATAGCCAACCAACCCGTTCCTGAACCAAATATCGAACCGGGCGGGAGGCGGAAAAAGGAAATAGGAAGAAAGAACAAGGAAACGTGCCGGATTCGTATGTAGCCTTATTGTACTGAACCGTCCCACCGGTGCAGATGAGACACTGGCGTATTAGCTGCCAAGCCTAATTGATATTGATGCGGTGAACTTATTATGTGATGTAGACTAATCACTTCACATAAACAGGGATCCTAGTGTTTATGCCCGGGATTAGATCTATAATTGAATGAGGTATATGTATGTATAGTATTTCAGCAGTGTTTTGATTGCTTTTTTTTATCTGAAGCAGGAACAGATCTAGAAGATTTCAGGGCACGTAAGCATGAGTGGCGGAAAGTGGACACGTATGCTGGCTACAGTTGCCGTCTTATAGGGGTTTGTCCGGTTGGAAGCATTCTGACATTACTCTTGAATGGGATATTGAACATTTTTGGAGGGAAGGTTTACTCCACAGTAAGGATGGATTTGTATTAGCCGTACGGATATTGAAACGGTGTAAACTATCGAAATTGCGCAAATAATATAATCATTTCTTGTTGCAATTGTTTGCTAATTATAGTAGACACGGTGCATTTAAATCAATACGGAGAATCAGAGATGACCATAGAACAATATTCGATAACTTATGCAGATGTCAAGCCGGGCACATTGAGAATCTCGAAGGAGTCATTAAATCAGTGTAAAATTGCCAGAATTTCATCCACTCATCCTTCATCGAGCGCACATATTATAGTACTTAGCGGTGAATGGCAGACAACTTCACCATCAAGGGCTTTTTCTCCCAGACAGTGTAAGCAAGCTGATCGGTCCAGTTATCGCCACCTCCCGCAAGGGTCATATCGAAGTTCCAGAACAGTCTCACAACAATTAAGCGGAGTTCTGAATACGCAAGGCTATCCCCAGCACCCATGTTAACATACTACACTAGATGCTAAGATCGTATAGAGTGGTATAACTCACTTCTTTCCCAAGCAATTTCGAGGTCCATACGAAAACGGTTGTAGAACCTCCTTCTTGTCCGTCTCAAATCGAGGATCCTTGTCGTCTAACCATCGTTCCGGAATGAAGGAATCAGGGTCGGTGAAATTTGAGCTTGCCCTGAAGGCGGAATAGTAAGCCATCGATACGGAGGTCTGTGACTTAACGTTAGTACGGAACGGCTTTCGTTATTTGGGATGCTCCTTACTCCTCCAGGGACAAATTGGCCATTGATCAAAGCTCCATCCATTGGAACCTTCCTTGGGAGTATGGCTGACACTGGCGGGTACATTCGCAAACTCTCCTCGAGAACGGCATGTAAATACCGGAGCTTAGCAATGGAGAGAAAAGTGATGTCTGACTCCTGTTGGAAGGCTTCTCTGATCTCCGTTACCAACTTCTTGTACGCTATCGGATGTGTCAAAAGGTAGAACGTGCAACCGGACAATAAAGTAGCCGTGGTTTCACTTCCCGCTATGATTAGAAGCCCTGCGTTTGCTTGGATCTCGCTCAGATTCATCCCTCGTTCGCCGCTGTGCCTAAGGATATATGTTATGAAGTCCGGCCGAGTCGTCTCCAGGCTCAAACGACGGCGGACCTTTTCACTTGCAAGATTGAAAGCCTCTTCTCTCATTTCTTTGAGCCACTGGGGGATAAGCATGGCGGCAATTTGGTTTGGGAATATCAGAAGAGGCCTGATGAAAGTAGCGGATTTCAGAGTAGGAAAAACAGTCTTCACCCATGGGTGGTAGTCGCGGCTTTGGAGGCAGTTAAAGGACTCACCAAAAGCCAAGTCCCCAATGATGTCGAATGTAGTATAATTGTACCAGCTTGTCATGTCAATCGGCTTTTGTGAAGGGGAAGCCCCAAATTCATGCAGCCGCGAAACGAGCAAGTCAACGTAGGATTGTAGAAGTGGCTCCTGTTCTTTCAATGCCCTATCGGAAAAGGCATGGGACAAAAGACGCCTGATCCTGGAATGATCGGCCTCGTTTGGTGTTGATACAAGGTGGTGTCCCACTGGGGATTCCGAGTAGAACTCCTGGTCTTTGATAAAGGGGGCAGCACCATTCTTCCGGTGGCCGCAGATATCCTTCCAGGCCTGCGGGTTTCGGTAAACCAACATGTTCGGTGATATGCGTACTACATCACCGTATTGATCGTGCAGCTGCTTGATCACCGCGTGAAGGTTCCCACCGTACGACCAGCGGTAGTAATATAGCGAAGAGCTGGCGGCCAACCTGGGGCCAGGATATTTACGCAAGGGGTGGAGGTAGATATTGTATAAGGACCACCACATGGGCAGTACTAAGACCTGTTATGCGCAGCCCGTCAGGGATCGCATGCTCTTCGGCCGTTTTAGTTACCTATACTTACTATAAATGAGACACAGGCGAGAAGGGGGAGGGGCTCAAGCGCTGGGATCTGGGATGCCACGGCCATTGTGATAATCATTCTTGTGATTGTTGTCGCTTGGGTATTGGGATATCAATTCATCACGGATTATATATAGCTATGGCTCGTCCCGACGTTGGCAGTTATGCAACCAATGCTGACATTGCTGAGCATTATGCATGCATCCGATTATCCGTGATATCGCACAAGAATAGAGCACCCCGCGCATATGACCAATTCATGGGGCCACTTTATGAGCCTGGAGATGCCACCAATATTGGCAATGAATTTTTCTCGACGGCGATTGGTGTCGGTTTTCGGAATTCACTGCATGATGGCGGGGTAGAGACGTAACATACATAACTATCGGACAATATAAATTATCATCTACAAGCATAATGATGCATTATCGCATTTTTGCCTGTGCTACCGGGCGAATAGTAGGGTTCTGAGGACATTCCCATCCATCCATATCAGCTCTTAACGTGCCATGACATCAGTGGAAGATTTCTCTCCCTGGACAACGGGGTGGGCAACAGTTGAGAGACCTTGATTTCTTGTATAACAAGTCTGCTTCCTTTCCACCCATCCATCGACAAGGCACTCTTGCGTTCCTAGGAATGATTGGATATAGCACCTGTGACTAAATAGCGCCTAAAGTTTCGGCAATGACGATCCCGCAAATCTTAAGATGGAAGTCTTGGATCGCGGATGTAAGAAAATCGTGGGATATCTTACTGCATAGTACACCTTGGCGAAATCCAATTTGCCATGTAATACAGTTTGATTCCTTTGTAGTGCAATTATTCAAGCAGTTTACAGAGTTGACTCCCTTGAAATACTTAGTTTGCTTGGTTTGCTAAGTTTGCGTAGATGGTCGAGATTGTTTGGTTTGCCTTCAGTTTACTCTGAATTTCGCTTAAGTTATCTGGACTCATTAAACTATCCAGACTGTCCATATTACTCAGGTTAATCAGCTGTTTGATTACCTACACTAACTTGAGAATTACTCCAAATCTTAGACTGTCTGTTATATATACCAGCCTATGGTAGATATATGCTAAACTCTTTACATCCAAGTCTTAGAGTTCTACATGCATACTCTTGAGCAAACCAAGCAGTCTCAATAACCTGAACAAAATGAGCAAACTTCCTGGCAAACCTTTCATTTCAATTTCGGTCACGCCTTCCTCTTGCATCTCTCGCATGCCACCCGTGACTACCTGGGCTTTTCTATCAGGCAACAGCCATATTCCTACCCCGTTATTGCTATCGGTATAGACCTTGAAGCGCACGGATGGCACCTGTGAGCACCATACCTGGCTTTTACCCCCAACTTCGCGGCGCACCGCCAAGCCCTAGCACTGCGCTCCAGCTCTTCGCAGGAACCTTTTGTATTTTTGTTGTGACCGTTTTGTTCTGGAAAGCTGGAAAGTTCCTCCGTCGGTTTACCAAGGATAAAGTCATTGGTGAAGGAAACAGCCCTACATCTCGTTATGCAAAGACCTGGTATGGGTGGGTGCCACGGCAAGAGACAAAAAGCAATCATAAGAAGTCTATTACACAGGGCTGGCTTGCGAGGATCCAAAAATGGACCACGTGGGATTCCGCGAAGAATCAATATAGTGCGGTCTGGTGGACTTCTAGTGAAAAGGTGGAGGCATGCAAACAACCCTCAAGGAACCGGCAACGTTTACAATTGCCTCTCTTAAACCCCAACGCTTCGATGGTTGACTCTATTCACAGTCCTTACGGATATGCTCCTGGTATAGGCCGAGGTGCCGGATCATACTCCTCACCTAAGATGACCGGAGTACTTGACGCTGATGATATGGTGAATGTCCGTACTGGGAAACTTCGCCCGCCGAAAAGGAGATACCGCAGGAACTTCTCCGCAAGGGAGTTATTCAAGAGTGAACTTCAATCAATATCTTCCGCAAGCCAGGAGAAAAAGTCTACTATGATTCTCAACTACTGCACGGTCAAGGGGCAGAACCCACCGGCGCACTCACTCACTCGTAGAAGGTTTCTATCTCTGAATCAGTCTGCCTGTCTCATCAGAGGAAACGACCTCATCTTCTGCTTTTCAAAAGGTGTATCTTCAATAAAACGGAACTTTTCTCTCCCCTGTCTGTCTGATTTGAGGATCACCTTCCGGAATGTGCAGAAAGGCTCGGATACATCGTGGCACACTCTAAGCCTGACAGACCATTTCAGGCAGTCAAGGACACTGCAGGCACTACGATACTCGAGAAAATACCAAATCTGGTCTGCGCGGATGGCGTTGAATAACCCACAGCGTGGGAGATATAACACGCATCAACTTCTAGTTCCCCCAGGGAGTCCCCCATCGGAACTGTTAACCAGCTTCTCCTCTCATCAATCTACCCTCGCTAGGATGATAAATGGAGGCAGGAATACAACCGTGTGTAGCTCGCTTTCTGGATTCGGTAGCCTTAGCATTTCCAGCCTTAAGGGACGTCGTGTGAGAAGAGCTAGTCTTATAGGTTACCAAGCGAGAGATACCATCACTGAGGAATGGCAACAGACAGCAACACTCGGGGTGCAGGACCAGTGGCAAATCGAAACAACCCATTCAGTCGCTATGCATCAATACCATGTTCAGTTTAAAAAGCGCCAATGCCCGTCTTCCCGAGCACAAGAGCCAATACAACCACGAGATGGGCATAGGCACAGATCATCCCAGGAACAAAAGAACATCAACAAACTTAGAAAACGACCCACGCAAATAATTGTTCCACTAAAGAATTTGAGTAAATGGGAGATCTTACTGATAGACGGCCTGGATCGGAGGCTCAGATGGCTCTCTCAGCAGCTTATCCCCGGTCGAAGGCCGTTTCATTTCCCCCTACTTCCCAGCCATTGGTTAAATATTCGGACCTGGATCATTTACGACCCGGCCTCACGTGCTCCTATCGATGCCAAGCGGCGGTTAGGGGATCCTAGATTCAACAAGCCCTACCCAGCGCCTAAACCAGGGCCTAGGCGCAAGTACCCCGAAGCCGCCCACAAGCTCGCTTGCAATTCCCGGATCGACTCATGGAGAACTGCTGTGAACCGGAACAGAAAAGCATCTGGAGTGGGAGACTTTGTCAAACCCACTGAACTATACGATGGCTCAGCCGAGGACCCACAAGATGGAAAGATCGACCCAGCATGTTGGATACTTCGAAAGCCACCACAAGGATCCGTCCCGTCTGCCAGGCAAAATGAGGCGTACTATGAGGGGGGCGCTGGCTGGCAAGAGAGGCTAGGCGATTGGCAAAATGTCCGGCGTGGTTATCGAATCCGCAAGGCAATTTATGAAGGCCAAGCCAACAGAACTCGAGCCAAGGAAGTCGCAATTGGAGTTACGCGATACTACCGAATGGCAAGGTATCGGCGGCAGAACCTGAAAAGCTGAAATGACGAAGATGATACCTTCAGGACAGCATCTGCGCCAGAGCAATTACACAGAAGACAGGGACAGCTGTGGCACAGTCGATCTACCGGACAGGTAGCTATATTCATACTTTTCTTGCCATATCTTTATCAACGCCTTCCATCGAGCTACTTCAGTTTGTTTACAGGTCCGTTTACTGTGACGTCCAGTCCTTACAATATGGCGGTTTCGCGAGCTATACTGTGGAAACAAATCACGTAATTGTACATGCGCTTTCAAGTCTAAACATAACTATGATTTAAAGAAAAAAAGGAAAATTCAGTACAGTCATGGTGCGATTTGCCCAGTTGCCAAAACTCCGATAATCCCTCATGTATCCGTTTTCTAGTTTAAGACACTCCTCCACAAGAAAGTATGGCCAATAAGCGCTGTGGTGTATCGTACAATATGAATCCCAGTATTTACTCGTAGGGTTCGGTCCCAAAAAGCCTTGTAGCGGTGTTTGCATCGAATCGCTTCGAGGTATGTTCCCTGAACGGCCGTTTAGAAACCGGGAGGGTTCACACGCTGGCTGACTCGTGTCCATTTCGGTAGCTCTGTCGCATAAGATCAGTCACACACATTCACATAACACGAGATTATGATTCTAATCTCATCCAGCTTCTCCATTTTCGCACTCTTAAAAAGTAACATTCAGACACAGGTGGGCAGCTGGGGGAGCACGTACTGTGGATTCCTTTGCGGTATGTCTTCTCCTTCTTATCGAAGAGGGTGTATTTATCTTTGGGCAGCATTTCCTCCTCGCGTGGCATTTCCCGATACCATCGATCGACAGAGCGTGCCTTCAGTCCGTTCCGTGCCAGGGCCGCGCTGATGGTGTCCACCACGGTATCAACGGAGCGAAGGCGCTTCCTTTGGCGGGCTTTCTGAGGCGCCGAGATACGCCATGGAATTTTCCTATTTCATTAAGGGATGGTTAGAATCTAATCCAATCCAGTCCGAACTTGTTAAGTGACGGATTTAGGAAGAGCAATTGCGAGGGGTTCGGGGATATGTCAAAGACTGATTTTGATACGTACCAAAGAAGACCGGAAAGAAGAGGAGACGTCGCTTTAAACATTGTGTTGGGCCAAAAAATGGGGGTTGCGATAACAAAGGGCGAAGTGTCTGATGTGAAGTCACGGAGGAAAATCCCGTTCTGAGGTTGAGGTTCACTTGGTCCGTGCGCGACCTTTACCTCCGCGGGTAAAAAAGGCCAATGAAGATGCCAACTGCTCTCACGCCGTCAATCCGAGGTCTTTTTCTCATCCTACCCGCGTTACTGTCCTTTTTGCCTATAAGGCTCGAAGCTTCCCCTCCACTTTCATGGATCTCTAATAACTTCATCATGTCTGGCGATAGGGATCTCGGCGCAACAGAGGAATGTCCCTCCTTGCCCTGGAGGATCTTGTCCTCCACGACAATTTTCGGGGTTGCTGCGCTATGCCGCTCGTTCTTGTATGCGTGCAGTCGACCTGAGGTGAACGGTCTCGATTCATTCTTAGAGTTACTCGACTCGCGTCAAGATCCAGCTCAAAGAAAAAAAGGGTTACTCACAGGTATCGCCCTGTAAACAATAGTTGGATGTACAATAGCTAATCGCGCTGATTCACAACAGTCTCCAACCATATCAGCGTGTACGTACGTACGATGCGCCTCAAAATGATCGAGGCGACCTAACCACTTTCGACGAAAGAGAGTATACTGACCAATGGTCGCTGACTCGAGCAGTATGGATGATCCGATCATGTGGGGTTTCTTACCGTTGCGATACAATTTTGGGCTCTCGAACTGGAACAAGAGATGGGGGTTTGGCAGTCATGACATTTGCTTTCAGGGCAGGTATGGCTTCTCGCTTACGACCTACTACAGCGAAGATTTCGGCTGACAAATTGGCGATCGGAAGGCCGTTATCCCTGTTCTTCACCATGGGTCAAGTTCTGCCTACCCATCGACTTGCGCACTCACCGTACGGTGGAGTCGCACAGCCGGCCGTAACCCAAGCGATCCGATTGTTGTCGAAAGGGCCTTTCTCCGTTGACGCTCACGTCGCCCGTCCTGAACGACAATATTGGAGCCGGCAGAATGTCTGCGTTGATCCCTTTTCCGATCTTCCCATGGCGTACACCACTAACGGAGAAGATTCGCATCTGGCTCCTTCGGCGTTTGCTTGCAACTCCTATTCCTGGGTCCATATCTTCCCGGAAGGCAAGATCCACCAGGCACCGAACAAGACCATGCGCTATTTTAAATGGGGCGTTGCTCGACTGATTCTGGAAACCAGTGAGTGCCCTGATGTCGTCCCTATGTGGGTAGAAGGCTTCGACCAGGTCATGCATGAGAGCCGTGAGTTTCCACGGTTTCTCCCACGGCCAAGAAAGGATGTCAGCGTTACCTTCGGACAGAAGGTGGACACCGAGGCAGTGTTCGGAGGTATGAGACAACGATGGCGGGAGTTGAAAGCCAAGGCCGAATTGACGGCTCCGGAAACTCGCGACCTCCCCGTCGGTGTTTTGAGTGATGAACTTCTCTACGGCAAGGAAGCAGTTGAGCTGCGGAAAGAGGTCACGAAGAAGGTTAGGGATCTTGTATTAGACGTAAGGCGATCGAGGGGACTGCCCGACGAAGATCCAAAAGAAGGTCTAGTGGAGACCTGGCTTCAGGAGGGCCCCAAACGAGAAGGAAAGATGCAAGATGACTCCTGGGTTCGGGATATATGAACGTCTTCATGCATCCGGAATCCCAGTGTACAATAGAAGAAGACTACCTGAACTGTATACAATCGAAAACAAAAAGAAGACTTATTTCTACCTATCCACTAGTTGTATATCTGTCAGCTTAAAATATCTTGAAATATCTCGTCTTGGGACACCTCTAGGTGTCCGGGCATTTTTGCTGGTCTAGTCGTATATTTTGGTCAACAATATCCTTACTTTTTGTTTCCCGCGGTTCATCATTGGTGGGGGCGGATTTTATCAGATAAATCAGCGATAAGATTAAAGTCAGGCTCCACTATCCGCCACCTCCATTTCCAACCTCATCTCTTATCCTCCGCCTGTACCTAACCCTCGATGCCTAAAAAGCATCATAAGTCGACCTTCGCAAAACCGGCTAGCACCGCTCATCATACCCTAGCCTCCTCCGGACTTCGAGATCGTCAAAATGATCGCTCCCGGTCGCAGGTCTCATCCTCAGCGGAGCAGCCATCCGTCAACGACCTGATCAACCATCTCCGTCGTACTCAGGTATCCCACGCCCCTTCCGAAGATGGCCCCAGAATCTCTTTCCGGGTCGCTCCTCGGTCCGTTCATCCTTCCTTGCGGAACCTATTGGAACTGCCTGAAACTCCGCCTCCTCGCCCTCGACCGGGTACCCGCCGAGTCGGAGTTCCTGGACGGCGGTTGAGAAGGACTGCCGGACCCCCACCACCTGAGAGCTGGATGCTAGGAAACTATTCATTGGATATATCAGAGGAAAGCGGGTTAGTTGAGACTGGTGCGGCGGGAATGGGGAGGGTCATCTGTCGCCTCGATCGTCTCCCGGGGACGATGTTTCCCCAGAGAACAACTCTGGTACACATGGTGCTCAAATCTATGGCTTTGCATTGGGTATGGCACCTTGAGTATGATGGGCAATTTCTTGCGCTCTTACCCAGCCATATCAAGGTGCTGCTGCTCAGTTATATTGGAATTCATGCCAGAGACCAGCCATTGCGGGGCATGATGCATGGTCTGAGGCCCTTGTTCGAAAAACGCCGTCCTTATAATCGGGATAGTCCCCTCGGAGATGATATGCCTCAAGATAGTGACCTAGATATAGGCCGGTTGGACCTGTGTGGTGCGATAGGTCGATGGATGACCTGGAAGCAGCTCTCTGGTGAGCTTTTCGTCTCAGCGAAACCTAAGCCTGTCCCATCGTCCTGGGAGGATGAATTGGATGTGGATGTAGATGTAGATGAAGATGACGGTCCTGTTACTGTTAGAAGTGATACTCCCTTGTCTAAAATGCCCACCCAACGGCTACGCTTTGAGAACCTCCGTTATCTTTCTTTAGCGCATCCAAACCCATCCGCTACGGATTGGAATTCGCTCATCAATCTTCTCTCTCGCCTATCAACCCTTACTCACCTATCATTAGCCCATTGGCCTGTCCCAACGGTCACGCCAAACGCCATCAACGTCCGTGTACGACACCCAACTCAAAGATCATTAACCTTCGCCTACGGCGGCACAGACGCATATGCCGCTATCGAAAATAACTGGGCTGAGGCAGCCGGTATCATGCGCAGACTCTCCCGCGCAACGTACTGTCTGAAATGGCTAGACCTAGAAGGCTGTGGCGAGTGGATCCCGGCCCTGGGTTGGGACGGCGTCGGTCCAGATGGTGAGGCGTACGTCACCGGTCCGGAATGGAATAAGTCATGGAGGGATATCGAATTCGTTCGCTTGGGTCCAGGGTGGCTTCCCCACATCGATGATAGCGAGTTACCTCCTCCCCCTCCCCCTACCTCTTCGTCTGGCCAAGCCACCTATGCTACTCCTTCGCCTGTTGCTTCGTCTTCTTCCCCTCGCTCCCTGGCGTTCTCTGTCCATGCAGCTTCGGCGAACAGGGATACGGACTCCGACCTTCCGTGGGATGTCGAGGTGGAACGGATCAATTACCGTCGTGAGAAGGAGTTGGAACAATATCGTGAAGCTGTGCAGTCTGCGAAAGCGGTTCAGCAGCGGATCTTGCGGACTAGAAAGACGGGTAAGGGGAAATGGATGCATTTCTCTTTCGGTTTAGAAGGCTTAGACGAGGATGTTCTTAGACGGTTGCTTGGTAAGGAGTATTTGAGTCTTCTTCCTTGATGGGATATGGCTGGCTGGTTATATATACATACTGTACATCCATCATTATCCATTAGACTAGATGTAGTTATGGGTTGTGCTAATGTATTCTTAGGGGAAGGTATAGTTATAGCTATGCTACGAATTTATCTAGAACCTTTCTGCGTAGAACTTTTTCAATAGGCACTTTTCATTTCCCAACCCAGTATGTACAGTAAAGAGCATGATGGTATTTTCTTTTTAGCACAATAATATAATATCCCTATTTTCACTTCCGCCCCCGGTTGAACGTCTTCAACGGATCCACCTTCTTGACACCTGTAGGCTTCCGGCCCTTGCCCTTACCCCGATTCTTCTCCCTGGCTTTCCTGATGCGATTTTCGTTCTGTTTCCGCATACTTACGAATCCGACGTCTTGGCTGGAGATGCCCTTCTTGCCCTTGGAAGGCATCAGGTACTCTGGAATATGCTTGAGGTGAGGTTGAACTCGGGCGGAACGCAGCTCGTCGTCGTGACGCAGCTGGCGCAGCTCTTCGGGATTCTCTTCGAAGTGACGCTTGAGCTTCTCACTCTTGATCAGTTCTTGGCGGATTTCTCGGGCTCGGGCTTCCTGGACGGCGAGTCGTGTTACAGCACGGAGAGCGTCTGTCATACGATACCGGAAGGCTTCGACCTGCTTCATTTCAAAGTGGTATGGTTTAACCTCGTGATCAAGCTTCGCTTGCCGCTTGATGATCTTCGCTAGAACGGACTCGTCATGCTTGGATGTGGGGGTAGAGGTGGGCTTGTGTTTTCCGTATTGGTCCTTGGGGACGACAAAGGACAGCGCCATGCCGGTTTTGCCTGCTCTTCCGGTACGGCCGATTCTGTGCGTGTAGGATTTGGAAGTGGCGGGAAGATCGAAGTTCAGTACGCATGCAACATTTTGGAAATCGATCCCTCTAGAGATTCCGTAGTCTTTCTCTTTTCCTGATACCTTGCGGCGCTTTGTCTGCTTTACTTCCGCCTCACCCTCGTTTTCGTCGCTTGAGCCGTCGGCATTTTCTTCGGTGTCGTTAGACTTCTTCGACTTCCGGACGCCCATTACTTCTTGTTCATCTGCCGCCACGAGGATATCGTACACGCCCTTGTTGAACTCTTGGACGACGTGGATCCGGGAGTTGATGGGCAATTCTGAATTCAGTACACAGCTCTTGATTCCGAATTGTTCGAGGAAAAGCTTCACACGATAACAACGGTCGACATCGTCTACAAAAATAATGACTTTTCCTTTGATGAGTTGAAGCTTGAAGATGACGTAGGTCAAAAGGAATTTCTCGTCCTCCGCGCATCTAGAACAAACCGCATCAGTTGTCGAATCATAAATCCCAATCGAACGTCACTCACTTGACAACAAATTGACTGACACCAGCACCTTGATCATCCTTATCCTCCAGTTTCAATGTGACCGGACTCCGACAGAACAAACCCTTCAGTGTATCCACTTCCGCGGTGAGCGTAGCACTCATAAGGAACGTCTGTACACCACGCGGGATCGCCTTGGCTAAGGCATTGATATCATCTTCGTATCCATACGACAACACCAAATCCGCCTCGTCGATCACGAGATGTGTCAAGTTCTCCAAAGACAAAGCGGAGCTACCGAGATTGGTAACAACACGGGCGGGCGTCGAGACAACCAGATCGGGGTAATCAGCCAGCATAGTGCGCTGAACAGCATCCGAGACCTTTTGTGTCAGATTCACCGAGCGAATTTCCTTTCCGCAGAAGGAAGCGAATGTAGTGACGACATTCTGGACCTGTTCCGCAAGCTCTCGAGTGGGGACAAGAATGAGGCCTGTGGTCGCTTTCAACGAGGGGTCGGTCTGTGGTGTATTTAATCAGTATTACCATACTAGGACAACAGTGTAGGAAGGGGGTACAAACAGCTTTCTTCTGGAGAATCGTTTGCAAAATCGGGAGTACATATGCGGCCGTCTTGCCCGATCCAGTCTTCGCACGGGCTGCGGCTCATCAGTCCCTAGTGTTCTGCGAGAATGATCGAAGATGCTAATACATACCTAGGATATCCTTGCCCTCTAAAGCCAGGGGAATCGCTTTCGCCTGAACAAGCGTAGGCTTCGTGAACTTTTCTTTGATCAGAGCTTGGCGCAATCGCGGATCCAAGTTGAGGCTTTCGAAGTCGGCGTTGTCCTCTTCTTGCTTCTCCTTCTTGTCTGTAGCCTCCGGAGAGGGTACATCATTAGCGTCGAGCTTTCGCTTCATGGCGGCAACAAAATCAGTCAGAAAGATTGCAAGTGTCCTGGGATCGGGATGTTCTGAAATGGTGACGATGGCTGCTTGAAAGTTTTCCTCATCGGTTCAGAAAATCTGTCGGGCGGTGAGATTAGGGTAGGCAGTATCTGACCGCCGCTACGGACCATGTGAGAAACCATAAGTTGGCCTTGGTGCCTTGGCCTTTAGGCGGCCACTCCCATCTATACTTTAATAGTAGTCACAGCCCTGGGGACTACTACTAGATCCCCGACATATAACATTCATCATATCCTCCAAAGACATCTGTGTATATCCTTCCCTGCTTCCTTGTCTTCCTTGCCCCCATCACTGGTCGAACATACGCATCATGTCAACTAACTTTCAATCCCGCCACATTATGGTAGTAAGGCCGATAGGCATTTTGGGGTCTGAAGCGCTTCTGGCGAAACGGAGTTTGAGTCAGATCTTAGTAACTTACGCCCGAGAGATTGAACCAGAAGATTTTTTTGGCAAAAATATAACGGCCCTTCCGATCCCTGATCGTGGAACTTCGCATCAGCTCGTGGATTTGTATCTTCAATAAAGCACCCCACGCGAGAGTTGCACTAAGGTCCATTTTCCCCTGTAGCACTTTTGACCATTGCCAACTTTTTGCGCACTCAAAGAGATGGGATCATCGATAAGATAGGGAATTGTGGTCCCTTTTTTTCCTGCTCCACCCGTGAGGCAATTCAGGCGTGATATCTCTTTGTTTCTTTTTATCCCCCTAATTTTTGCTGCCTATATTCACCATCGCAGTGTATGGGTATCTGCTCATAATCCATATAAACGCCGCTATTGAACAGTCAAACTATATAAAGCATGATAAGTGGATTTTCTCTATTTGAAAGAATGGGTTGACTATCACTAATCTGTATATCTTTCTGGAGAAGACCCTTGATTTCTCTTTATAGTCTGATACCTTCATGATAATCGTGCGCCTACCTATACATACCAGCAGGGCCAAGAATCGATTCCAACGTAACCTCTTAGACCTATACTATCTAGAACAGGAGAGTCAGGAAGTGAATCAGACCCAGCCGTAGTTGATCTAGTGAACAAATCAAAGCGACTCGATAATATGGTGGACTATATAGGCTAGACCAAAACGCTAAAGATTTATGTACAAGATTACTAAATTTCTCTTGATAGACACGAAAGGTAACTCTACTGCTAGTACTGGTAAATAGTACGTTGACTGGAGTATGCTTTATAATAATATAGCCTATTATCTTATATCGCTAGCATTACTTATTTAACAGAATGTGTTGGCGATTAAAATATATCTCACTTCCAGGTCTCGGCTCATTGGATATAGGTAGTGATGCGTTTGACATCACCTGTGGGTTATATGTTGGTCAAGATTATATCCACCTCATAATAGTCCCCTTTTCTTGGTTCTAACACTCGAGTTCGCTGATCTGAGTAGCTATCGAGACAGGCTGTCCATAGTATGAATTCCGTCACAAACCCTAGAAAGTTGGGCTCTATAACATAGATAGTAGGTAGAAATTACCGGCTTGCTATGCTTGACCCCAATGAATAGCGCATTATGCTCCCATTCTGCCTCCGCCATAAATACTAAATACTCTATATTGAGCGAGTTTAATTTTCAAAACAAAACAAATAATAAAAGTTCAAACAGAAAGTGACTCCAGCTTTCTTTCGCTCCCTCTAATAGGCCGAGAATCTACGGCTTCTACCATATAAACTTCTCTGCAGATATGGTGGGGAGGACTAAGCACCCGTGAAAGATTCACTCCACCCCGGAGATTAACCTATGTCTTGGGAGTGTATTTCAAGCTCTCAAGAACAAGCTAGGACTCCTAGTAGTCTGGATAACCCCAGCAGCAAGCAACCCGTTCAAAAATGCTAAGGCAGTACAATCAAGTATCACTAAAGCTTGCTCCAAACAGGAAGTAATATTCGTCTTATTAGAGCTCAAATGACAAATTTTGGATTATAAGAAACGCTCATGGAAGGCCAAATAATCCGGAAACTTCAAATCCTAGGGTGGGGGGGCTATATCAGTTGACAAGCTTACATTCTAAACCGAACGAGGAACAAAACGAGAGAAAGAGAAAAATTAATAATCCTACGAGGCCGTAGGCAAAACAGAGTGCGATTTCTACGTAAACTGGCTGCTGTCAAGCCTCCCTCTTAAACATACAATCTATGCTATGTTCAAGAGGTGTGTCAGTGTAAGAGCACTGAAATGGACTATATATCTTGCAGCCATCAATGAGGTGGCTGGTGCCAGGTCGGATATACCTAGTATCCGGAGTCTATTCGCTTTTCAAGTCAGTCGAGGCTTGTTCACAAAACCTTAAACGTATTAGGATTGATTTATATCAGACCTGCCGCAACTCTTGTGTCTTCTGGGCAAGATACTGCCCCTGATCCGAAACCACGCCTACCTGGTGACCTTTTGTGACCACTGGGTGACCCTCCTGAATTAGCCAAAGCAAAGCCGCATTTTCAAAGGATGAGCCTTGGACGTGTGCTGCTTATCCACGACCTGGCCCCACCACACATTCTCGAAACCCTTCGTCTCCTGCTCGGTCCATACTTCTTCGAGCAGAGGTATTGCGCTGCGGAACATGTGATACCTAGTCCTCTCGTCCCAAATAGAGCAGAGTTTTACAATCTCCGTTTTCGTTGATCGATCTCGCAACTCGCAACCTGCAAAGAAAAGCGGCAACAAGGCCTGCCTGGACATAATGTTTACGTCGCGGCACGAGACTACGTGGTCCACAATGGTCCTTGCGCGGTACAAGATACGCGTCGGGATGCTACTTCCAGGCTCCCACTGAAAAATCCTGAATATGTAAAGGAGAAGGCCATTTCTCCATGCCTCAGAGCAATGCATGACATCCTGATCTTGGTGCATGCAGTCTTCGTCTCGAAAAGCTGTCATAGCGGGAATATGATGCCATTGCTCAAGCGACTGCTCAATTTCCGAGACAGCAGTGTTGTCGAATATAAAATCTGGTGTCAAAGACGACTTTTGCCTCTCTGCGCTGAGGCGCGCCACCTGCATTACGATCTTCACGAGACTCGTTGGACACCCGCATAGTCCAAAAAAGTCCCACTCTCGTCTATACTGGTTCGATAGTATGGCATCGAAGTATGCGTAAGGGAACACGCAGTCTTCCCTAGACAGAAGACTGGTTATAGCATCCCACCTGGCAAGTTAGCTAGAACTGAGAGACGATTAGAAAGTGGGCTTCGCGTACCAAGTGAGTATTCCTATCTGAGCCTCGACCCTAGAGGACATGGCTAATGTTTTGATACCACCGCAAGCTTCAAGGAGATTATAGGCTCCCATGAGATGTGTGCTCCAATTTCCCAGGATAGACTGAGTTTCCTAGTATCCACCGTCAGCCTGGACTTAGTCTGAGGCACACGGATGTTTAACTAACATCTAGCGAGAATAGAATTACGATTGTGTCAAGCACGGAATACATAGTTTCCGGATCACTAAATGCGTTGAGACTCTGACGAAGCAGCTGAAGTGCTGCATGGCGATGACTCAAGCTTGAGGTACTGCTAACGTGATGACCCGCCAAAGCCATCACAGCGTGGACCAGAAAGGTTGGTTCCGGGTCAAGGTCCGTGCGGTATCGAAACGGATTTATCCGTAGTTGAAACGTTAGTGGGATCATGCAAAACTCCCTGTTGTCTGAAAGTTGTTAGTCAGAGTTGGGCAGTAAGAATGTGTGCACAGAATGCATACATCTGTCGAGTATTGGCTTGAACCGTTGAGTAAGACTACTGTACTCTATGGCTGGTGGCACAGACGTGAAAAGAGAAGATGGAATATTGGTCAAAGCCGAAACCGCCGCGGCATTTGGCTCTGGACCAGTAACATTACGCTCACCGATCGTGAGCTTCGGTGGACGCGAGGATGGAGATTGGTCTTCGCTGTTGCAAGAGTTCAGGCGAGGATCGCTCGTTACATCAATGGTCCCTAGATCAGGAGATCCTTCGCCCCTGATCGGTGGTTTGACATTCAAGGTCCCGAGTGGCGGGTCAATGGGAGCCTCATTTCCTTCGACAGCTTCACCTTGGAAATGTCTGTGTGTGTCTACTATGATGGAATGCTCCCTCAAAGAGTTAGAGAGCGACCCTGAATGTGTAAAGGTGGCGACTGAAGGGGAACGTCTTGCGCGATAGGCTCTCTGGGGATGCTCCACGACGAATTCGAATCGCTGTTGTCTGTTCCTGCGTGGTGCTGGCTTTTTCGCGGGCTTCCTTAACAGAGTAAATCCCGGCTGCCAGGACAGCTGCATTTCAGGCATCACGTAGGTGTTAGATACCCGATGCATCGCAATGTCCAGATTAGGGCTGGCACTGTGGAAGACAGAAACGTATAGCCTGCCGTTAGCGAACCCCGCGCGCTCAACAAGGCTAAGTCTATTATCCCCAGCATTGGCGGGCCTTAGCATTCCAATAACTAACCAGTTTTGGCTTCCTGCCTAATCCGTTCAATTGCTTTTTTGGTCATCCCTACTTCCAATGCCCACCCAACCAAGCGACGAGACCAGCCACAAGCTTGGGCGTCGGTGAATCGCTGCACGTGATTTGAATAGCCCTCGAATCGGAATTATGAAGTATTTATCACCTCCGCCATTCGTTCATGCAGCATGTTATTTTTATCGTCTTGATAAATCCTTTAGGGACCGCAGAGCAGTTCCCATACTTCTTTCCTAACCTCGTCTCCTCCCAAGTTGAGCTCTGCCATGGCTTCCGCCGTCACTACGGCCGCCAATGTGCCACGCTCACGGAGTTTGCGCGGAGAGGATGCAATGGCAATAGATGTCTCGACAAATCACTTCGGAAACGCGCTTGTTGTGATGGACGACTTCGCAAAACCTGATCACTCGACTCCGTACTCTCCCACTAAAGGTCGGTACACGCGCCTGCAAGCTACTAAACTAGCTTTGACTAATTGCGCAGCACAGGATCATGTCATGACCCAGACGTTCTGATCGTCAACTGGGATGGACCAGATGACCCTCATGACCCATTCAATTGGTCCGTAGGGAAGAAGTGGTGGACAGTCGGACTCGGTCTTCTCGCGAGCTTCATCTGTTCTATGAACGGCAGTATCCTCTCGGTTGCTCACAGGTCAATCTCTGAGGAATTCGGGATTTCTGATGGGCCTTTCCCTAATTCCTATTGGATAACCACGTCCTGGGGAGTAGGAGCCGCGATTTTCCCTCTTATTTTGTTTCCTCTTATAGAGGATTGGGGAGTTCGACCCGTGGTTCTCGGCACCTATTTCTGCTTCATGTGCCTTCTCATTCCAATTGGTCTGGCCCAAAACTTCGCAACGCTCGTCGCAGTTCGGTTCTTTACGGGTGGCTGCGTTCCACTCATGAGTGATGCAGTCGCCAGCATCACATCGAATGTGTTCCACGGAGATCGAGCCAGGAGTGTACCAGTATGTCTCTACGTTATGGTATATCTTGGCGCAACAAGTCTAGGTCCAGTGATCGGTGCCTCGATACTTCAATTCCAGGATTGGCGTTGGATTGGTTATGTAGAACTGATTTTCACTGTCGCTGTCTTCCCCTTCCTTTTCCTCGGTCTCCACGAAACTCGTGGTTTGGCTATCCTGCGAGCCAAGGCCAAACGAATGCGCAAAGAGGGAAAGAAGGCATATACAGCGGAGGAGTCTGATCATACACCTTTGCACCAGGTCCTCATGAGGAGCGTGCAACGGCCCATTTACATGTTCTTCACGGAGTCGGTTGTCTTTGTCGCTACCATTTGGGCGGCCTTCAGCCTTGGAACGATTTACGTATTCACTCAGTCTGTCGGACAGGTATATGGACAGCTCTACGGTTGGAATGCTGTCCAGGTGGGATACGTCCAAAGTGCTATTGTCATCGGCGAGATCCTCGGAACTGGCCTTTCCCTCTCCACCAACCGCTGGTACTATGCTTCTGCTGCTCGAAATACTGAATCCCCGGGTACACCCATCCCTGAGGCGAGGCTCTATCCAGCCATTATTGGAGGACTTTTTGGCGTTACGGGGGGAATGCTTGTGTATGGTTGGGCAGCATACCCCAACATATGTTGGGTGGTAACCACCGTCGGCTTGATTATGGTGGGGTTTGGAACTACTGCTGTCGTGATTAGCATTGCAAACTATCTCATCGATGCATACAGCAAGTACGCAGCGAGCGCCCTTGCAGCTGTTGGCTTGCTCGAGAACGCATCCATTGCTTTTCTTCCTCTTGCTGCATCAGCCATGTACACCCACCTAGGGTTTCATTGGGCTAGCACGCTTCTCGGGCTCGTGTCTCTATCGCTCGTCGCTACTCCCTTCTTGGTCATCAAATGGGGCAAAGAGATCAGAGCTCGCAGTCCATTCATGAAAGAGGCTATCATAGCCCGGCAAGGAAATTTGGGCGCTATAGCCAGCGTCTGATGGAGACCTGCTACACTTTTAATGGTCAAAGGAATCACTTTCAATAGCACTGTACTAGCTTCATCTTTCGTAGCGTGCTGCACCTCTCTCCATACTGCATATTAGTAGATAATTTTCTCTGGTAATGATCCATTCACGCCATTGCTCTGCGATCAATCTAGACCATTACTTGTCGACCTATTCATTCCATGTTCTTCGACCCATTCGCGCCATTAATACTTGAACCATTCATAGCACATGTTGGTGCTGATACAAAGTCAAGACGGTCCCGATACTTGCGTACAAGCTGCTGCGGCGGTGAAAGCAACAACGGAGGTGTTATTGATGCGCGAGGGCTGAACATTTAGCGGCACGAAGGCTGTTCTTAAAAAAAAAAGGCGCCGCGATTGGAAGATTCCATGTCAGTAACGAGCCCTCCGACAGACAGACTTTCTTTCAATGCGCTAGTGAAAGAAGTCCTGATGTTGACTGTGTTATCAATGGAAAATGAAATCCGATACCAGCAGTTGGCTGTCTGGTGGGAAAACCACCGGTCCAACTGCGCCTGAATGGTTTTTCAGAGTCTGCAACTCTGCGCCCCACAGCTGCTCAGCCTTTGGCAACCTCCGTATCCAATTAGGGAGCTTTCTACCAAATAGCCTTCTTGTTATGGTCATCCCTGGCGCAAATATGAAGCACGAAGAATATTGTTGGAGGGGCGCGGCATCTGCGTTATGTCCGTTGCTGAGTATAAATCGTCTCAGATCGCGTAAAAACTGTGCTACTTCAAAATCCTTATTACACCAAGTCAGGCATATAAGCTCTACTATCAGTAAAAGAATGACTTACGTCTCACACCTGCAACTGACATTAATAGATGTATCCTTATGAGGGCTTCAGATAGGATCCCCAGAAGACTCATATCTTCCACCCAGTGAAGGATATGCCCCTTTAGGAATGTAACCTCCATTATTAGTGTGGTAGCAGGCTCTTGGCTTTTGATCACCAAGTAATGACAGGAGTAATATAACTCCGGAGGTAGACAATGGTTGGTGGAGGTAGACAGTGGTTGATGAAACTGGTATGGACTTCGCCGTGTTGTGCACCGTCACCAGGCATATCGCAGATATTCTTCTTCAATCTCTGTCCCATGACCTCTAGGCATCGTGCTACGAGGCTTTGATGCACTATTAGCCGCAACTACCATTTATCCTGGCATGTAAGTAGTAGCCGAAATGAATAATGGGGACGGCTTTTTCTTTCAGGATTTTAATGAACTCTTCCTCAGGCCAGTCGGACGAAAAATAATCGCTCCTACCTCAGTTAGATAACTGATCCTTAGCGTACAACGTATGTCGTGCCCAGTCACTTGATTTGGAATTTTATGGAGGATCAGATCTTGATAGTTATAGGTAATATTATTGAAGCCCGGGCTAATAACCAACCCTGGTCTGCTTGGAGGCAGAAATCGTAGCTGCAGTGAACTGGACTGGTGGAACTGTGCCAGGAGTTGAAGAATAACCTGAATATCACCTTCCTGATTGCATTCATCCAGTGCATTCATCACAACGGCCATACTTTTATTGGATACATGTTTGGCTGCAACGAGTTGATGCAGGATAAGCTTCTCAAATTGTTCTCTTAGCAGCATTTCTGAAATGTCCGGGTCTTTCTATTTTTACTTTTCGCATACCAGGGATCACTTGGAGTAGAGCTATTCCTAATTGTTTAGCGAGCCTCGAAAGAAGTTTTTTCTAACATTCCCACGGTCTTGTTCACCCCTCTTGAAGAATATGCCCGCTCCAAGGATATTTTGCCCTTTTAAGGAAGCCTGCAGTGGTCCTTGAAATTGTTGACTTGCCAGTCCCGCCCTGCGTTTAACCAAAATATGCATTTTCTGTCCGGTGGTTTCGCCCACGGTTCGATTTCTCGAAGCAACTTGACTCTAGTTCCTAGAATTCATTCGGCATGCTGATTGTCGTACGAGTCGAATGCTGCTCCTTTGATGACAGATAAATTAACCCAGTCAATCTTCTAGTCCAACGTGTGGGCTTTCGTATGAACAGTTCTTTTCAAAGTTAGTAACTGACTCTTTGGGCTAAAATATCTTAACCATATATTTGGAAGTCGTTGAAGCTAATCAATCCCTGCCCAACTAGAATCTGTCTTTACACGATTTTGGGCATTTGGCCAAGAAACTAGTAATGTATCTAACGCATTAACAAGATCGAATATGGGGCTCTAACCTTGTTGAAGGCCCTGCACAACCTGACCAGCCCAAAAGGGCATTGCTTCCACACGTTGCGGCCGTAAAACAAGGAGTAACTCTCGCACATACGTTGGAGTAGTGAGGGAAGTATAGTTGTGCCAAATCTCATTCTTATGAGATTCACAGTAATTACAGACTCCCCGGAGGACCGGGCATGGAATATTATTCATGAGACCAGCAGCTTCCATTTCAAAGCATAAGATGTTCAGCTCCGGGTCGTTTGCATATGGAACCCCCACAAAGGCATCCTTCAGGACAGAATTCCTAGAGGAAATAGTTCTATAGTGAACATAGATGACACAGTGGTTCTGACGCTCTGGACGTTCAACTACCGAGTGGGAGTAACACTGGTTGCAATTCTCCCCACCCACATGGTGGCAGTCTGCCATGTACAGCTGGTCAACTTCTGGTCGTCAGTAGCTTTCCATATCATCCATACGCTGAAGATGTTCCGCGACTCTTTCCGGCCTTGTTTTGTCACTGTACAGTCTGCCTATCTCAGGGAGGACCCCCTTGCAGGTTTTCAGGAGGGGGCGTTTAATTGACCTGTCCTTTGGAACTGACCATTCTGTTGCTGTTTGCCTAGATCATATTGTATCACATCGCCAAATCCATCTTTTGGCTGACTGACGACCACATCACCAAGTCAGATGTCATGTCAGGGAGTCGGCGCGCCGCCTCCAGTCCCTACCATTAACGCGAATCTCAAGTTCGGAAAGGTTCGAGCCATGTCTCGGGCAACGCGGGCAGCTGAATTGGTGCCATCCCAACAGGTCGGAAGACAGGTGATTACCACGTTATGTTTGACAATGCGCTCATAGATGTACGTGTTGTCATCATGGTCATCCATCATTTCTGGCCCAGTGAACTCCTTATCGAGCATACGACATGCGCAAATATATGCTTCTTCCAGGGTGCAAATCCATGCTACTGTATATGAACCTATGAGGTCCGTGGTTCCATATCTCCTGTCTATTCATGTGGGTTGGTGAGGACTCTTCCTATCGAACTAGACAGGGTGTTGCTGTCGTTGAAGAAGATCTGGAACAAGATCTGATATTAACAGAAAGCGAACATGAAGAGATTGGCAATTATACGCAAGAGGGGGAGAATAATTCTGAGTATTAAAAAGAAGGGCGGGACGCTGAGGTAATAAGGCTACTTCTTATGCCAGGATGCATTCTTAGCGGCTCTTGAAAGGGGTCGATCATTTCACCATATTCTAACAAGCAATACACTCGTAAGATCAGACACGTCTGTTGAATAACTTCGCAACACTAGAATATTCACAGATTGATTAAAATCGACAAGAGAGAAGTGACAAAACATGAAACACAATATACTGCCACATATACAAGCACAGTTAAAGAGGTTAAAAGATATAGTGGCCAAATGTTGTATGATATGTGGAGATAAGCGTATTCAACATAACATTCTGTCGTCAATCCATGAAAGCAATTAGGGCTATGGTTGAGCACAGCCACAACATATTGATCCCATAAAGTCAGACAGTACCATAAAGGGGTAAGACTGAACGTTACTAGCAGTTATAAAATAAACTGCATAATAATAGAAATCGTATCAAGAGTGGACAATCGAGGCCGTCAAGGTTTGTCATGAACCTATATCAGCAGAGAGATTGAGGATTGGTATTAAGATTCACCGGATGAAGTGCGTCAGGTTGCAGGACACCTAGTTTGATTATCATTAAAGAAAAGGAAAGAAAAGAAAACACACACACACAGAGAGAGAGACGGACTAGAAGACAAGGAATATAGAAAAAAGGGATAAGAGTATAAAATTATACTTTACTGAGCAAGGACGTGACTTCAGATTCAAGACAGTCTAGTAGCCAAGCTCAGTTTCCCTTCTCGCATAGTTCTGGAACCTGGCTATGGATTCCTCGCTGATATGTCCTATAGGAAGGACTCTCACGTTATGCTCGACTGTATAAGTTTTACCAAAGTTCAATCGAGACATACGATCCAACTTCTGGTCATATGACACCGGAGTTACCTTCAAAGGCTCCTTGGTCATTCCCGGTTCGTTGGGACCGTATCGCGGCTGTGTGCCATCCATATAGATGATGGCGTGTTTGGAGGGATCTACGCCCCTTTTCGCGACCCCTTGACGGCTGTAGGTGTGAACCGGACTAGAGGAGTAGTAGCATGAGTATAATTTTACACGGGTTTGACGGCCCAGCTAGCGACTTACAAGCACCAGGAACATCGGTCCTGTTCCTTAAAAACCACCATGCGGCGGATGTCACTATAGATCCGTTGACCAAACCTTCCCACAGTGATTTCACATTCACTTGCACGGCTTCTAGTGCCTCCTCGTGGAGTTGCTGTGGCTTCCGTATTCTCGTGCCAAAGGACAGCAAAGACCTGATATCTCTAATTAGATGAGAGGAGCAGAAGTTCAGCTAGGATGAAATGGCTTTACCCTTCCAACCTTGAAAAAGCCCCTGGGGTTAGATTGTACTCTGTAACCTGAATACCCTCAGTGACTGCTCTCGAATGGAAATAATCAACCTCTTGGACACCTACGGGAGTCAAATATTTGATTGGTGCTAGCGCCGGAAGGACTGGGTGATGGAACAATCTGGTGCGAAAATGGTTGGTTCTATTAACACATTAATAATAATTTGCCGGTTTTCCTCTCTGTATACTTACACTACCGGTCGTGGTAGATGGTATGTACTCCAGAGGCTGTCCGGTATAACCAAGTGAAATTGGGATATTTGCTGTGTCTGAATATGGGCGCATTGCATAATCACCGCCTTGTGCAGTGTGTTGGTAGTCAAGCTGTGGACCTCGACCTCCAGGGCCATAGGCTGTCAGTGGGGTTGTGAAGTGGCCGGGGTGAGATATACCCCCGTGTATTGGATGGCCTCTGTCCCCATGTTGGCTCTGCTCATAGTCACGGAGAGTATAGTTACTGTGATAATTGTCGGTACTGCGTTGTTGACTTAGCGTTAGAACTTAGAAAGGGTGCTGTAGAAGCATTCGATGTTGACATATCTGCCATTTGACTAAAACCACCAATGGATGATTGTGCATTGATAACCTTGGCATTTGACTTACATTGGTCGTGAAGGCTGCCTATAAGTATTCGGGATGGGTGGAGGAGGGTAATCTTGATACCTCGGATCTTCTGGGGGCTGAGATGGCGGTGGATTTGGCTGGGAACGTGGTATTGCTCTGACGTTAGACGTTTTAGCAAGGATGCCTTCTAAATACGTCAGATTAGGGATCAACTCTTTTACCCTATCATGGTTGAGGCCTGGTCATTCAAGTCGTGACTCCCCAACCCAACCCCTATGCGAGACTGTTTAGTTCAATGCTATAAGCGGAGGAGTCGAACGTACCTAAGTCCCCTGTATCAGTGCGACGGCGGCGGTGTGGTTCTCTCCCTGGGTCCTTATTTGAAGCCATGACTGTAGCATCTCCCTGAAAGGGGGTTATGTACTGTATTGTAGTTGGCCAAAGGGCTAATTTAGGCTGTCCACACAAGACCGACTAAGGATGGGTAAGATGATAGCATCCCGACTGCAATCCTCGGACGGGAAATGGGACTTTAAATGCTTCGAGGAGACGCGATCATCGATGTTCGCTGGTACGAGAGGATTTGCGGCTCTTTTCTTATGATTCTCTACCCATCCATAACCATATCCATGCAGTTCATGGTGCATCCCCTGTCGCCATGGAGTCCAGCTGCACGCCATACACCGCTAGGTCTTTGTTGGCAAACGCTGAGTCGCAGATAAAATATGCACCTGACTCTCGGTCCGGAAAAGAGAAAACCAGAGCCAAATAAAACATCATTCACGAGCTCTGTCTTGTGGTTGGTCTCTGGCCTGCAAGCTGAACTTGCGACCGCCAATATTGTGCTTTTCTTTTTCTTTCCTGTTGCTTCCCGCACTAGAGAGACATGGAGGGTCAGAATTGGGTCACCCAATAAGCCCCTCAATTTATTGTCTTCTAGCGTCGGTCTAATGGGTGACTAAATTGTGGCCAACCATTCCACATACGAGTCAGGGTCTTTGTGTTCGGAACGGCAGGAATGGATTATGAAACGTGGTTCAAAAGGATGTCGTCAGCCCCCCCAAATATATATTGTTGTAGGGATCATAGCAGTTGGGATTTGCAGTTATCAAGTCACATAGGGATACTGCCCGATTTGTTGTTGCACAGTGCTTGTTTGCTGATCCGACTTGTCCAGAAGACGTGTCCAAAAGATGCACCTGTTCACAATATTGCTTTGCTGAGTCAAAACAAAGCACTTGAATAAGAAACAAATGCTCAAACTATAACCAACAAAACGAAGGGGAAAGAAAAAAGAAAAAGGCCGCTGACGGCAAGCGTAATAAAATGACCCGACAAATGATTTAATGTATATTTCTTATATGGAACGACTTCCCCGGCCCGACCCGTCCTGGGTTTATTTAAAAAATAAAAAAAATTAAAAAAAAAGAAAGAAGGAAAGAAAGAAAAAGTCAAATCGTTTAAGCAACACTCCTCGGAGTGCTGTTTCACTCCGTTGCGTGACTTGCCCTCGCTGGTTTTTCCAGCGATGTTCGCTTGGAACATGCCTGGGAACATGCCAAAGCTGGGGGATACTCTCCTCAAATTCCTTGGGTTGAATTGGCATTCTTTACCCCACCGAAATGGAAGGGTGAGTTCCGTTTATTTGTGTATTGCTTGAATATACTATAAAAGGCGCCTGTGGAAGCCATGAATTCATGTATCTCATTCTTGTTAAGTACTACCTATCCTTCGCTTATCTATGGCTCACATTGTATATGTGCTATTACCCACTAGGATCAGAGTAACGAACGCTCTACGGAATCGTCCTCCAAGGAAAAGTTAACGATGCCTGGGACAGCCACGCATCCGGTTGAAATGCCTTCACCGACTTCTCCACAGAGCCCACATGGATCAATTTTGGAACGAGGATCCGAAGATTTCGTTCCTACCCAAGATCCTCGCTCTCCAGGGTACACTGCGCACAAGAACCCTTCGTTCCGTCCACGTGAGGACTCCAGTATCCTTTCCCTTCTAAAACCGTCTCATGATGAAACTCGTAAGGATGCCGATACTGGTTTTGCAATTCCGGGGAGATCTAAGGACCCACAGGAACACCATGATATGCCAGGTATTCTTGATGCTGCGCACATTGCCAAGCTACTGAGCACCAACAGCAGAATACTATCCCTACAGGAAAAAGTCTCCCTCAAAAGGTCTGAGGTGCAAGAGCTACGCACGGCCTTGAGATTCAAGAGGGAAGAAGAGGCCGAGATTAGGGCCCAGTTTATCAGGCATCTTACCGTGGCCCAGGAGGCCCAGACAACGGATCAAATATTGCTTGAGAACAATGAGGCCCTACTGTCCGCCACAGGGGAGTATTCGGATATGGAAGCGGAATATAATCGAAAAGAAAGCCAGCTGGAACGTGATGAATACACGCTTATCAAGGCGATGGAAGATTTTGCCCGTTTGTCTCCGAACCATTCCCTACCAACACCCGAGGAGACTCCCCTGGAGGATCAGGATAGATCGAGTGACGTGAGTTCGACTACCAGCTCGGCCCCGGAAGATCCCCCGGACGTAGTGGAATACGTGTCCCGCGTAGCAGACGTGCGCATAATTCAGGAAGGCCTGATTCACCTGGATGAGGAGTGGCTGTTCATCCGGGGGAAGCAGGAGGAGCGAGAGTCTTTAGGAATATCGATGGACGACGAATCCTTACAGTTTCTCCAGACCTATGAAGAGGAACGGAGGGAGATCTGTGATGAATTGTTCAATGCACAACGAGATATTGACCAGCTGCGGGCAGTCTGCTTAACAAACGGGCACCTCACCGATGAGTACATCAGGGGCCGTGATCTCGTATATGAAATAAATCCATCCACCCTCGCCAATCATCCGGTAGATCCGCTCAAGGTCTCTCCAGAAGAGGACGCCTCTCCTTTTCATCCCGTTGAGGAACCAGTCAGCCAGAACCAGTTCGTCAATAAATGGCTTCTTCACCGGCTTCGACAATCAAGTGTCGAGATTAGTCACCTGAAATCCTTGCCTGAGATCAAAAGCCTATTCGACCAGGGGTTTGACGATAAAAAGGTCAGCCAGATGTCATTAGAAGAGTGGTTTGAGGATGACGCATCGAAATCACCACCACCACCACCGGCAACGAGCGACATGAGCGTCCAGGAGGCTGGTAGTGCAAGAATCCATTCCGTTTGAGACAATACCAACCCATCACTTCACTCTTTCAGTGTATGTAGACCGATATGAGCTTTTTTTAGCCCATGGTACTTCTTACTCACCTTCTGTCTTGCCTTTTTGTTTTATGTTTCTATTCTATTCTTCCTGTCTTCCTATCTTCCTGTCCTCGTGTTCTTTCCTTTATTTTTCTTTCTATACCTCTATTCTTCTATTCGTTATTGTTCTGTTCTTGTGTCCTTGTGTTCTCCTATTTTCTACTCTTTTACTCTCTCTCCCCCTCTCTATTGTGTTTACCCTTATTCCTATTAACCCTCTCTCCTTTTAATCTTTGCGTCACTTATTCATTGCGTCTTCCTTTTTCGGATCGTTCTAGCGTCGGTTTCGAGATAAGCACAAACTGTACTATAGGTAGACAGGGATAGTTGGCCCATGTTGGATTGCTAACGGGATTGAATAAGAGCTAGTTTCTATTGAACTGCCTTTCTTGTCGTTTCTTAGCCGACGATATCCGTTTCAAAGAAGTAAAGATGGACGTTAGACAGAACCGAACTTCTAACCGTCGCGTAAACTTGGCATAGTCAATTGTTGCGAGTTGCAGCTAGTATAACTTTCTGGCTATCCTCTACTTTCACTATGCATGCTATTTGAAAAGTGAAGAAACAAAGTAAATACAAATTCACAACCAGGTCGGTTACAGTAAGCCATCCCAAGCGGAGGATATAGCACACTGAAGTCGTTGATTGATTCCCATTATCCATATCCATAACCATAGATATCCGTACCGTTCATGACATAAATAGACCGTGAGTAGCATTGTTTCCGATATTCTTGGGTTTATTTCCGTCCCATTTCGTGTTCCATGTGCTCGTTGAGTTGCTCAAAACAAAGAAAAAGAAAAAAAAGATTCATATTATTTACAATTTCTGGTTGAGATCTTGTCTCGCGAATTCCGGTACTCTAGTTTCACGAGTAGCGGGTCTCCTCCCCGTCACTGTCGCTCAGACTGTCGCGGCGACGGCGGCGTCCTCCATCACGGCGGTATCCCTTGCTCAACCCTGGGATTGGGTGGTGGTAGCTCTTGGTGCCAGATTCTTCCGTATCGACATTGGAGTACTGGTAATTCGAACGCGAGGGTGCCGACGAAAAGTCAAGTGGTTCAGTGTAATGGCCGGGCATGGACCGTCTCTCACGCTTGCGGGGGCTGCTCTGGCGCGAGGATGAGGTTGGAGGAGCATGGTGACGTCTCTCGCGACGACGATTATGGCGCCGAGTGGAGGGTTCGCGAATGCGGCGAGGTTCTGTCGGCGGCTGACTGAGGCTTTCTTCGGTGCCCGGGGTGAAAGAGAAATCACGGCGCGTACTCTTGTGACGACTCGGCTCGTAAGCGTAATCGCGGGTCTGAGTCATTTCGCTTTGCTGGTAGTGGCTTGGTGGATTGGAGGTGTCGTAGTCGCTGCCGTAGTAGGTACCATCGGCCTCGGCATTGATCCCACCGATTCGAGCTGGTTTCTCCTTACGGTACGCACGCACGTCCTCATCCGCTTCGTTCTCGTATCGCTCGTCTCTGCGTCGGCCAAGTAGCTTCTCTCGGAGTCCGCGCTTGCGCTTCGCTCCACCTTTTTCTGTCACCTCTGTCGCGGTGTCGGTGTATCCGGAGACCGTATAGTCATCGTCGTGGTAATCCTTCCCAACAATACTGCCGCCGCCCAGCTTAGTACTCTTTGTCGCATTACTCAGGGTTTCACCGTTAGGGCCCTTGCGTCGTAGAACCGTCGACTTGTAGTCCTCCCAGTCGCCCTTTCTCCAGATAAATCCACCGTTCTTGGCCCAGAAGAAGAACCAAATGGCGGCAAGGACAAATGCGGCTCCAATGAGGGCAAAGAGTGCCAGTAGCCCCTGCATGTTAATTTTATGCGGGTCAACGGCGCCCTCGCCGGGAATATACTTTGATGAGTCCGATCGGGCCATGAGAGAACGTGGCTTTTCTGCGACGGATGCTATCACTGATCGGTGGGCAAGGTTTTCGATCTCGTTGAGTACGTCATTGTTGTCGTCGATCAATGTTGTTGGAATGCTGGGGAAATCGTCCCCCACCTGTAAGACTGGAGGCATGGTGGACCAAGAGAGTTGTCAAGAGCACGTAGCTCAAGACGGATCTCTAAATGCAATCAGTTGTTAGGTCTGATTGAGAGACCTAGCATTCCAAATGGCACAGGAATGCGGGTGTGCTGTTATACCCGCTGTAGAGGGCAGGAATGGTGGAACTCTTAATGACTTTCTTAGTTCGGCTACAGCGATCCACTATAGTAGACTGCTCTGATGGGGGTGGTAGATTTGGCGAGAGGGTAGAATGTAGTCGTACACTGTTGGCTTCTGGGGTCAGTAAGCTCTTGACGCTTGATCGATACACTAGGAAGGAGGGAATGTAGAGATTGAGGACTTAGGAGTGGGCAGATCGATTGCCGCCTGAAAATGCGGTGGTTGGAGTAAATGGAGAGGCTGGGGGAAATGACGCTCGTTCTTTTGTTTGGGTATTTCGTGTTGGTCCGGCAACTTGCTGAGTCAGCGCCCCTTATCACACCCCTTATCGAGGCATCACCATCACAAATCACTAGGATCTTCGTCATTCCAATTAATCTACTAGACCAGCGAGGTACTCATCTTCCTGTGGTAGCGCTATCGAATTTTCCAAGGGATACTTGCGACCTGATAGCTGCGAGTTCGGAATATCTGGAATCCAGACTCACAGCTGGGCTAGAATCACAACCACGGCGCAGTGATATCATCGAGCAGCTCACAGATCAGAGCTAGTGATAAACAAGCTATAGGAAACACTACAGTCAACTCGGACATTAGGCATCAATACAAGCATCTGCTATCCATTTATGAGAGTAAGTAACAGTCACTTGGCATTGTGCAACTGATAGTAATTCGCAGTGATCGAATCCATCAGTTCCGTTGTTCAACGACAGCGCTGCCCGGTCGAATGAATAACACCCTGATTCCGACGCACTGCGTCTCTTGAGCCAATCAGTAAGGGACGGTCTTCGAGGAGGAAGCATGACGCAAAGCTTGGGATAAGGTTGGATCCACTCAGCCTCAGCTGGGAGCCGGGCAAGGATAGTCGGCTGATTTGAAATGCATATATTAGTCTATCATTGTGGATATGTTGCGAGGGTACTCCGTACAATTGTGCCGGCAAAACCCATACCAACGGGAAACTAAGCCACTGGTTGCATACGCTGGTTATGATCTCTATGATACTGGCCGGCCGACGAAACATGCATCCCTTACTTTCCATCAGATGACTCAAATCAAGTCGACCGAAGGGGCCTCTGAGAATCCCCGAGATTATTTGGAGGTTCAACCCATGCCCATCGATGTCATGCGATGTGACAAGTGTTAGTGCCCAAGGGAAGTTTTATTTGAAACGCTCACCGTCAGATGTCGTCGTCAAATACGATAATGTGGTCGTGCGCTCCCAGTCCATTACTGGCATCCCTTGTAGAGAAAGAAACGTTGGAATGAGTCGCCGCAGAGACAATGAAAGCATTGGGCGAGACTAGCCCGAGGCAACCGGCTATTTGTAAAGTCTTGAAACATTGATCAAACATTTTAATCGTATTCAACTGTCAACAAGGCAATTGAAATTCGCGGTTTGTTGGGCGGGAATTTTCTAGCGTGCTTCCATGCCGTTCATACACCGAACGCTTACTGGTAAACAAACTTTGAACGGAAGCGGGATGGACAGTATAGTATATATCATTAATTAATGAAATAAGAGAGGAAGTGGAGGTTGGACTGCCAATCAATACCATCACTCAAATGCAGTTTGATGGAGATTGGGAATTAAATTGATGACTCTTCATATTTGCCCCTCCATTTGCGATATTTTCCTTTGACTGTACTCCGGACAGAGCAAGAAAAAAAAATTCTTGGTTTGGTTTTTTTCTTAAAAATATGCCTCAGTGGAGGCGATATATTATGATTGGGCCGCAAGCCAGAGTACTTTCTGTGTTTTCCGAGGTTTGGGCAGCGATTGCGGAATGCAATCCTCCTCCCGGCTGAGGTGAGTCGTGATGTGATGTTGATCAAATCAATGTGGTGGGAATAGATTTAACCGTGGCATTACAGTAAGCCATGAAAGGGACGAGAAAACAAATTTGGTGGGGGGAATGGAGAGAGAACTGGTTATAATTGTAAATGTAATTGAATTGACTGAATAGAATGAGGTACCTGAAGGTCACACTAGTCGTCGGTATATACTTCGTGTTTGTCGTTGTCCCACATCCATGGATTGGGTCGATTTGAGAACCACGGTTCCCGGATGGAGCTGTAGTTAGTATATAGTTCAGTCTTGTCAACAAAGGAAAATTTGAAAAGAAAAAAAAATTAGGGTTTTATAATACCAAAAGGAAAACAACTACTGGGTTATTATTAGATGATATGTCGGATCCTGTTGTGTTCACATCAAACGCTCTTCATACGTCAATGGATGACCGGGGATGCATCTGTAGGTCGTCTGCACGACTTGGTCTGTGGTGAGAAGAGAAGAGAATAAAATAGATAGATAGACCTCAGGTGGAATAGATCCTGACTTCATTTTGAATTTGGAATAGACTATTGTCGTTCAACATACATACATACATACATACAGATCAAAGATACACTCTTGAGAAACGGGTAATAAATATATCAGCAAGTCGATCAGGCATCAATTTCAACACCAGTGGATTCTTGACTCCACTTTCCCTCCACTTTCCGTTCCGATTTTCTTTCTTCTTCCATTTGTCCAAGAAAACATAATAATCTTAAACTATTATTATAATTACTTTATTGTTTATCCCGGAGAGAATGTCTTATTCTCTTCGATGTTTTACATACCTTCCTGTGAGACTTACAAGAATTATAATAATAGAAAAAAGAAAATGGGTTACTTCAGCAAGACAAGATCTGTAATGATTACATTTTTTTCCTCTTCCGATTCAATCCATAGAAAAAAAAAAAAAATTAAGAAAAGGTTCAATCTGGAATCATGATTTCCAAGGGAACTTGATTTTGATTTTGAATTTGCTTTACAATAAAATACAATTTCTTCCGGTGGTCACGACCCCCGAACTTAAAACCATCTTCTTCTCCCTTCTTTTCCTCAACTTCCATTCCTACCGGTCAATCATCCGTGGAATTGTATTTGGATTGGGTCATTCCTCTCTCTCTCTCTCTGTCTTTCTCTCTCTTTTCTTTCTTGGGTTTACAGTTGGCTAGTCAGGAATTTTCTTTCGATTCATACCTTTCTTGAATTAAAAATTTTCCTATCCGTTTGTTTCTCTTGTTTATCTCCCAATCCCCACTATTAACCCCACCTCTTCGTGCCCTTCGTCAGGCGCAGAAGCAGTTCCTCCATTCATCTTCCATCGTCTTTCATCCTTCACCAACCAGACCCTCGCCGGTTACACTCTTCCCTTTCCTGCAGTTGCGCGCTGCAGCCTCCGTCGGCCTTTTCGCCCGCCAGTCCCTCCACTCACCGTGTGCCAGAACAACACTGCAGCGCGCTTTTCTCCTCGCGACTCCTCTTTCGTTCTTCCTCTCTCTTCCATCCTTTGACCCACGCACACTGTCTTCATCCACTCTCCAACCGACTACCACCTCTTCCACCATCCACATCGTCGCTGTCGAATTAGCTTACAGCGGACGCTGTTTTAGTCATTTTCATTTTGGATTATTATTTTTTTTTTTAATTTTCTCTCCCCTTCTTTTTCGATGGATACATTGCATTCGGTGGACGACGACTGTCACATTGCATCCACTGCTCGTCGTTGACATACAGCAATCTAGACGCGCTACCATCGAACTATTACTTGATTGATCTGCAGGTTCGCCTCCATCTCTCACACTATCGCTGAGAGAGTGGGTTACCGGTAAAGTGACCTTACCGGGGAGGGAGAAGTTTCGCAGGGACGAGAGGAAGAAGAGAAGAAGCGAGTGAAGAAAAAGGAAAATAAGGAAAGAAAAAGAAAAATTCAAAAAAAGAGACGACCACTAAAAATACCCTTTTTTGAGTCATTCGGATGAGCAGCAGCACTGGTGGCTGCTGTACCTAAATTTCTACAAGCGAAGCCCTGTTTGGATCACCACGTTTCACGTCATCCACACTGCACCTTTCCCAAACCAGCCTCCCCCCTTCCACCCCTCCCTTAGGGTCCCAACCTGGGCCTTGGCCGTCGTCCAGGAGTCATGACTGGCAAAGTTCCTCACGCTGCTTTTTGTGAGGAATACGACGAGGACGCTCACATTATCATCCCGGAAACCCGTCAAGTTGCCAACCTCGCTGCAAAACGTTCTCAACCGAACCTGAGATCAGCTGGCGAAGCCCTAGTTGATATTGCAAGCGATTCTGGCTACTCTAGTCGTACTGCCGCCACCGTCAACAGCACCCAATCTGGCCCGTCGGGCCGGAAAGCCCCTGTTCCTTTAAAAGTCGACACGGCCCCCAAGAGGACCGACCTTGAACGTGTTCGCTCCCACCGCAAAGACCGCCCAAAAGAACGGCCTACTCGCCCTTCTTGGGACGAGAAGATGCAAGTTGGCACCTATCCCGCTGCGAGCCATCATCCTGCCGCCGCCTCCATGCAACGGTCGCCATCCCGGTCCCGCAGACGGGAAAACTCCCAGATGCGGCACTTCCCTGGCACCTGTTGGGAGTGTGATCATGGGTTGTATCATGGCTCGACCCCCGTTGAACCCCGAGCCATCGAATACCCGTACTACGGAGCGCAGTCCACGACTTCGTCCGTCCACGACTACCCTCCCCCGTCACCACAAGGCCCGCGGTATGCCCCCTCGGCTGTCCAAGATGTCCATGTCTCCCACAGCAGCCGGCCTCGCAGCGGTCGCTCGTACTCCTACCACACCAACAACCAGCGACCGGTGAGTTTCCATGGGATGATCCCCGGGATGGGCGGTGCTGTCTTGTACCCCCCCAACCATATAGGTCGCTACGAGCATGGGCCCCCACCATCCTCGTCCGCTTATGCCAACACGCAACCCTACCCCCCGGCGCCCTATGGTCAACCATCTCCGTATTTTGCCAGGCCAGAGTACAGTCAACCCGATCGCCGGGAGCGGTCGGTCTCCAGAACCCGGGACCAGGGCAGGGCGCGGCGCGGATCCACCTATGGGCCCCCCGTCGTCGACTACGATCCGCCCTCGGCATATGAGGATGACGAGTCGCTGGATCTCGGGCCGCCTCGCGCAACCCGACCACGGCTCCCCTCCCATTCTTCCCATGACCGTGATGAAGACTACTACCGCATGCCGCCCCCGCCCGTGAAGCACAAGCCTGCGCCGAACATTATCCAGAAACGTCCAGAGCTGCATCGCAAAGCGGTCACCGCACCCTCCGTGACGTCCGACCGTCATCCGTCTCGCTCCATGGACCTATCCGATATGAGAGATGCTTTGCCGGAGTATGGGTACCGACGATCGTCCCGAGAGGCCGTGATTCCTGCGCGAACCCGCAGTATCCGAGACACCCGACGCTCCACCTCCTATCATGATTCCTCACGTCCATCGCGGGTCGCAGTCGAGAACTCCCGTCGCCGACGGCCGACTGTCTATGACTACCTTGACGCGGAGGAGGATGACGAAGAGGATGAGGATGACGACGGTGACGAGATCGAGGAGAAGCAACGGTCCGCGGAGGAATACCAAGCGTCCCGTTCTGCTAAGCCAGTCCCCACACCGTTGACGGAGGATGCTTTGTACAAATCGAAGGCGTCTCGTGCGGAGAGTGACAGCGGGAGCCAAAAGAGCCGCTCGAACAGTAGCCGCGGTAGCGATGCACGGACCCAAAATGGGAGCGGCGCTGGGGCCAAGCCGGAGGAAGACAACAACATCGTCATGACGATGAACGGCGTAACGATGAGCTTTACTCAAGAGTCGGTCGGTGGAAAGAAGATCAGTGTCCGAGCAGGCGAAACAGGTGCCCTTGAACTAAACATCGAAGGGAAACGACCAAAGAAGTACCTCACCAACGGTTCGGACTACACGGGAAGCGTGGCCCGGAGAGAGCTAGAAGACCCACGACGAGCACGCACAGACCGACGGTCTGATCGGGCGAGTCGGCGGTCGAGCCGGTCGACCTATAGCGGTCGATACTAGCGCGACTCTCATCCAATGTTATGTTTCTGTGTCTGTGTTTCCCTGTAAGCTCTGATTAATCTTCACCGAAATTCTCCTTGAGTGAGCCTGGATAAAGGTGTCGGTTGCCAAAAGTTTGTCATTACTGATTTCTGGGTTGGCCGCATTGGTTTGTATGGACCGAAGAAAAGGGGTAAAAACCAAAAGAAAGATGGATGCGACAATGCTACGAAAAAGTTCGATGATTTGTTGCTAAAGAGATTCTGGTTCTGGGAGGCCTTTTGGGGTTGGGTTTTATTTTTTTTTTTCCTTTCCTTTCTTTTGCCTTGGATTTGATTTGTTCGGGTATACATTATAAAGAGAAGGGCGGGTTTGAGGCTCTGACCGATCACGTCCATCATGGCGACATGATTGTATGATTCTGATGACCTGCATGATTGATGTTTTCTTGAGTTACGTTGTGATGCCGATATTTCATGTCTGTTATGCCCCGAGCGTTTGTAACATCTTTTTCTGGAATCCGCTTGTTTCTTCGTCTGTTTGGTTGTTTGTCGTCAGCTGGAAGAAATGAGTTGTATCAGAGAGAGGTATACCCCATTATTGTTGTTGATGTTGATTGTTTGATTGATTGATCCTCTACCTCCCGTGTGAGTTTAATGTCACCTTATCGTGTAGGGGTTGATGCTGATGTACGCTTCCATGACTTACCACTATGTCCTGTCCTATGAATGTTGTTCTGCGTGTGATATCCTTTCTCTAGTAGGTATTCAACTACTGATATTATGAACTACCTGATCGCACGCTCGTCGTAGCAAGTCCTCTATCATACATTTTCTCCATCAAGTCCGCCGTAACACCAAAGCAATGTAGCCAAACAGACGATACACGGCAATGATGCCCACCAAGATGCCAACCCATTTCCCCGTCCGACCGGTGGCATACCCATACTGGTGCAACACCCCAGAACCCCGAATCATACACTGCTCCGCCAAATCCGTCTGATACATACACCGACAGCCCTCCCCACACGAAAACTCCCTCTCTCTAAACTCATTCACCATCATCCCCTGGAACACATACGCCTACATCCCCGTCCAAAAACGTCAGCATATCCCATCAACCCCAAACAAAACGGTAAAGAAACAGATCATACCTGGTAATCAATATAATGAAAGACATATTTCCAGAACGGGTTTAAAATCGTCGGCGAAACAAGGAACCCGCCCACGCTCATCCACAGCCCGTTCGCGAACGCCACCAGCGCCAAACTGATCACGAAATTCGGGAATATGGCGCTTACGAAGACGACTAGCGATTCTGCCGCGACGAGGTCGAGGAAGAGCCACATTATCCAGGTGAAGAAGGCGGTTGCTGTTGGGCGGAAGTTGGAGAGCCAGTAGCTAACTACTGAGAAGAGGGTGGATATTAGGACTTTTGTGGGGGCTTGTTAGTTTGTTTTTCGATGGTTGTCTATGTTTGTGGATTTTGGAGGGGAGGAGGGGAGGACATACAGAGGTAGGGTAGGCCGATAATGAAGTTTGATATTACGAAGGGGAGGGCGCCGTACAGGCCGTTGGCGCGTTCTTTGGTAAAGGTTGCGCGGTCTTCGAGGAAGGCCGGGACGTAGGCGACAGCCATGAAGCTCATGAAGGCTGAGCCGAAGAACTGGGTTTCTTGTCAGGATTTGGGTAATGGGGATGATGGTCTGGGGAAAGGGGAAACGTACAATTGCGTTGATAAAGGGTTGGATGTATTCTTGGGAGTTGTGGAGGCGGAGCCAGACTGTTCCCATCATGATTGCTAGGCCTGGTTTCGGTGTTAGCCTTTGAGGGAGAGTGCGGGATAAGGGATAAAGCATACCCATATACATGACGATGCGAATCCCGTACGCTACGACGTCGCGATAGCTCTTGATGAAGAGCCGGTGCAGGAGTGACATTGTGATCCGTGGGATACCTGGCCGACCTAGTTCTTCGATGTCGATCCTCCTCCCGTTGCTGTCTGTGCTCCGGAGTTTCTTGCTTAATGCGCCGTATTCTGGGGACTGTATCCATGCGCCTTGTATCTTCTCGACTTGGTCCCCGTGGACTGTGAAGTCGGAGCTAATCAGGTCTAGGATGTATTCGGCGGGATTCGTATGTCGAGGGACGGGATAGCCGATATTTTCGAAGTAGGAGGGGACCTCGGAGACTGGTCCAAAGTAACATGTCTTTCCGCCGGAGAGAAGGAGGAGATTATTGAAAAGCTGGAATGTGTTCGTGGATGGTTGGTGGATACTGGCTATAATGATGAGCTGTAGGATTGATGTGTCAGCCCTATACTTAGTAAGGGTCTCTGTATGCCACCCACATTATTTGCTATCGCCAGCTTCTTCACATATGAGATGACCTCGTAACTGGCAGTCGAGTCCAATCCGCTCGTCGGCTCGTCCAAAAACAGGATCTTCGGACAAGTGATAAGCTGACTGGCCACACTGACTCGCCGTTTTTGACCTCCACTGATTCCTTTACGGATCGGCGTGCCCACAAGTGTGGATGCTTGGTTCTGGATTCCGAACGCGCTGAGGAGGGCTTGGATGCGATCCGTTCTTTGGGATCTGGTCACCGACCTAGTCCGTGTCAGACCATGCGCGCACCCCTCTTGAGAGATATGAGATGAAACTCACCCAGGCAAGGATAAGTCCGCGGCAAACTTCAATGTTTCCTGCACCGTCAGCGACCCGATCAACGCATCCTCCTGCTCGACGTAAGACGTAATCCGGTTAAATGTATCATTGTCCAGCTTCGTTCCATTCACATAGCATTCTCCTGCGTTTTTCGCACCAGACGAAGCGGTACGGCGCGCAAGGACGTTCAAAAGGGTGGTCTTTCCGCAGCCGGAGGGGCCCATCAGCGCGATTAGCTGGCCTGCATGTTACTCAGTACTATATTCGAGGTCATGCAGTAATCACCAGTCAAGACGCACCATGTTGGGCAGTTCCGCTGCAGCCCTCGATTAGATTGCGAGGCTCCTTTGTGCGTCTATCTTTCACCGTCACGGCCAAATTGTCCCACGTAAAGGACTGAACAGTACTGTTCATGAGGAACTGGTGCTCATTGCGTTCGAGATCGAGGGGATTGGGTGCCTTAGGTTCTTGGGACTCCATGATGATACGTAAGGGGCGGCCGGGAATAAAATGTCCAGGTAGCCAATGCAAACAACGGACATGGAATTATTCCCGACAAGGCCAGCCAGGCTTATAAGTAGATGGATAGTTCACCGTCGTACAAGAAGTGACAGGATGAAACAAAAGCAAACAGCGATCTCCTGTCTTACGTACAACAACGCCGCAGTCAGGTGGCATTCGCCTCTCAGCCATTCATTTTATCTGACGGAAAATGCAAAGTCGCCGATTCGGAGGGACTACTGATTTGACTAATGAGGCGATCAACGTGGACTCTCTCTCCCCTCAGCGTTGCATCGCAGTACTAGTTGGTAATTTTCAACTAGCCTGAGGCTACCGATCGCCGAGCCCTAAAAACATGACTGTGGACCCCGAGGTTGGTAAGAAGTGGGACGAACGCCGTTCTTCGTGGTTGAAACTGTGGTTCCGATCTGGGCCCCATGGTAACTAACTATCTGCCACTGTCCCCGAGGGAGGGATTCCCCGTTAAAATTGGAATTATCCATTTGGAGGGGCCCCGATTCGGGCGAGAATGTCAGCTGCATTCCAGCTGAGGAGATTTTTGCCGGTCATCGTCTCGGGGCGAACCATTGGCCAATCACGCCGCACGGTTCGCGGGTTCATGCAAGAGAGTCGTTCAGCTCCCCTTTTTGACTGGTTTACTTCTCGTTTATCTAACGGTCGGGTCCGTCATATGTTAACAGTCTTCGGGCTGACAGCTGAACCGTTCAGCCCGCAGCTTTTCAGCCACAATCTACTTATAGTTACCCCTCTCTTCTCTTATTTAGAAGGAACTTGCTCCCACAGCCACATAAATATCCCCTCAGTTATCTAGACTATAACGATCCAGGCGTGGTGCTTACACTGCGCTATAAAGGATACTATTAGCTCCCTACATATTCTGTTGACCCATCATCTTTCGTTCGCGCCCTTTTCTCAACCTCTTTCACCTAGTTGTAAAAACACCCTTATCTACCCCTTTACTTCGCGTGATTTTGGCGCTATCCCCTTTGGCGTCTTGGCCGCGGTAACTGCGTCAAGGCCTTATTTATCCCGACAGAGTTGATTCTGATAAAATGCCTGGCTGGGTTGGCGCAAACCTGTCGAATAAGATGAAATTACACTTCATTAACGTGAAGATGTACTCGCCGATTAGTTTTAAATACATTGTGGATTTGCCAAATTAAAAAAAAAAAAAAAAAAAAAAAAAACAAACCACAAACGTCTATCGTAGCACTTTGCCTTCTAGGCTTCTATACACCAAGCTCAAGCCCACCACGAGCTATGATGTGCCCCAGGCATATACCATTGTAGGACCTCCGAGCCATGTAGTACGGTAACCATTGGGCGGTATCTAGCCCCTTCTTTTCTAACAAACGCCGCACAATGGCCTCATGACCCCAGGACGCTGCCCGGTCCAAGGGGGTAGGGCTGCCCACCTCTCTCCTCGCATCAATATCAATTTCGGACACTGCGAGCAGAGCCTCAACCACAGCCTCGTGTCCGTTTCTTGCCGCATGGCCTAGTGGAGTTAAGCTGCCACTGCCCATCGAATTAACATCCACCTGGCCTGTCTCCAGCAAGACTTGCACAATGTTGGCATGGCCATGCATCGCCGCATAGGCCAACGGAGTGTAGCCCCGTCTATCTGTTGAATCAACATTCACCCGGCCAGTCTCCAGGAGAATTCGTACAATGTCGAGATGGCCATTCATAGCGGCACTGGAAAGTGGCGTCTGCCCGTATATCGTTGGGGGATTACGTCTAAGGCGGTCTGGAACATCAGGCCGGATCCCCGGTTGATCGAGGAGCAGTTTAACCAATTCTGTATGGCCGTTTCTTGCAGCGAGCATTAGTGGTGTTTGCTTGTACTTGTTCGGACGGTTGATATCCGCTCCCTCGATAGTCAGAAGGAAGCGCACCATGCCTTGTTGGTTGGCTTTTGTGGCTAAATGAAGAGGCGTTTCACCTAGTTTCTTGGTTGCGGATATCTCCCCTCCATTTTGGAGAGATTGCCGTGCTGTTGATTCCTGTCCGTTCTCAGATGCCCAGAATAATGCGGATGCGCCGGAGTGTTCTGCGTTACGTCGGTAGAGATAACTAATCAAGGTACGGTAGAAGTGTCGGTTCAGTTTGGCCAATGCAAGAATGTCACTTTCGGTATCTATCTGATCCACGATATACAAAATGAGCTCGTTTGGTAAGTCTGATAAAAACATTGGATGAGAACAGGCGCCAATCGTACAACTGTTGAGGCAGGGTAGAATATTCCATATATAAATGACAATTATGGAGGAGTAGCAGTGCGATCATGGAGGATCAACAAGCTTCCAGTCCTTCTGCCCCCATATGAGGGCTGGAAATAAATTCGATGGGAGCGATTGGCCAATGCATGATGTGAGATGAGCATTTGACGTTAAAATAAGCTGGCTCTGTCCTGTCATGTGACCATCATTAAGTCTCGTCCAGTTAGTTCTTGAGGCCTTTCAATGGCTGACACTCCCTATCGTGGTTCATTAAAATATAGTGTTCTGTTGGCATGCTCCCTGCTGTTCTGTACGACGTAGACTAGACCTATATAAGTTTCATTAGGGTGATTCAAACCGCAAAGAAAAGCCGGGAAGGAATCAATATAGAATCGCTGACGACTAACAGTTTCAAGGGAACGCATCAATCCGTGTCCTCATCACGCGCAGAGACCGTTCAAGCAATCTGAAAGGCCGGGGAACTATAGCTCCGAGGACAGCACATTACGCTGAATAATTGGATGGATACGGTCCGGAGTTATATTTAAAGCCGGAGTGGACAAGGTAAGCTCTGAAGCATTTATACCTATTTGGCTATTATAAGCTGTCTAGATTAGTCCCCCCTTATATGAAAAGAGTTCTGGATGCCTTTACGGCAGCCGCAGGATAGTCATGCACATTCCTAAGGATAACTCTAAAATGACAGGGCTTGTTGATAGTGACTTCGTTACAATCAGAGAATAAGTGGTCATGTACATAAAGGCTGGCGAAAATATGATTTTCCAAGTATTCTACAGGGATATGCTAGTTATCCACTGCTCCTCTTTATAATCGGTCAAACTACCAACCGAGATAAAACTCCACATTCCATCTACTGTGCAACACTCTCAGTGCTCACGGGATCCGAAACTACTCCTAATTTCCATTCATATATTACCAGACAGTTGTAACAGAATTATAATATTCTCATCAGTTTAGCAATATTATTTAATCTCCGCATCCTTCAATTTGCTATCTGTTTATGTGTATCTCGTCCTTCGGTTTTTAAGCAACTGGAACCCAAATCATTCATCATGAAGACCTATACCCTCATTACAATTTTCATCATTCTTTCCTCTTGTTTCGCGAATGCTAGTCTTATCGAGACGCGCAGTGTGCCCGCTATCCTGAAAGACTTCGCCGTCATTGGCGAAAAGTTGATCATCCTTGACAAGGCTGTCAAGACTTATGACCCTAAGCTTGAAGATAGAATGAGTATCGAACGCAAACATGCCAATGTAGAAATGGCTATCATCAAAGCTATGAACGATGTGCATGCCACACCACCCTTAAAGAAAAAGGAAAGTTCGGTCGTGACCAATGTGGCTGTCAAGATGCAACCTGTCTGGGTCTCTTATCTTCACGATATTGTGGTCAAGGTATCTCTCATATCCACTTAGTGCTTGATCACACTGAGCTTACAAAGCTTTGCTTGCTAGAGACCTGAGTTTGAAAAGGCAAAGCTGGCTGGTATGATTCAAGAGCATATTATGGATTATAAGGAGAGATGTCATAAGCTGGCTGGGTCTATAGAGGAGAAGGTCACCCCTGAGGACAGGAAGACCATTATGGATCGGAATCAGCAGCTTGACCTGGAGTTTGACCGTACTATTGAGGCGTATGATTAATCTGGGCTCATTATTCCTGTAGTACTCTACAGAATGTTGGCGAAGGGTCACAGCTATAACATAATAAGTATACCAGTGATCAGAAATTGGACATATAGGAGTGCGGGTAGCCACATATGTATTATACTGGGTCAGTATAGGACAGCATTTGTTTGAATGGTCGCCATATTTCTCACAATAATTTCCGATTCACTGGTCGCGTCATCTCCCGGCAACCGGTCTCCTGTCCTCAGAGTCTCCTTTCCCCAATTCTCAGTCCATTCTATCTCAGTTGGGCGGAGGACGCTGTGTCCAATCGTACGAGGCTTTTCCTGACGAATCCTCGGGATCGAGACGTTTGGGTGGAATGGACCTTTCTGCGATCACTGCTGCTGAAAAGCCCAGGGGCGTGGGCACGAAGGAATTGCTTCAAGAAGGGCAAGCTTGCACAGAGAACTATCAAGTTGGCTGCGATATTCCTAGAGAAAAGGTTGTCAGGTGATTTCCCTTCGATGACGAATTTATAAGTAGGATTTGACAATCACTAAAAGAACGGCTCGCCCCATTTCTCCCACGACTGATCTGGGGATGTGATGAGAGGAAACAGCGTCACACACCGAATAATACTAGTCACCATAGTCTTAAGATAAGTCTCTGAGCCGCAAATTTCTCCAGAATATACAGGAATGGGTCACGCACGCGCATCCGAACGCAAAGAGTCCCATCAAGCCAATCTTCTGGAGTCGTCCCATTTGCAGTTTCCGAATCATTGGAATGGGGATTATGATCAAAATCATATGTGTCACGACGTTGACCACCGCAGTTGCCATGTACACACCCCTGGCTTGTTGACACACGCTCCTTCACCGAGATGTCCCACCCTTTTCGGATAGGGCTACACCCGAATACCAAGACGATGCCAATTGCCAAAGTATACCCGACGATCACAAGTCCGACGAGGTACACAGTCCACCTCCAGAACAGGTTTGTTCCCATCAGGAGGTGGTAGAGGATAAGGATGGCGACTTTGGCAAAGCTCAGAGCAGGGAGATATGTCACGGAGTCCGCCAGCATCCAGAATGGCTTCGTCAACGAAGCCAAGGCGTTTGCGAAAAGCAAGAACTACACTCTTTGCGGTCTCTTCCAGCCTTACCCTTCGGCTTTTGGCAAGATTGGCGCAGAGAAAGGCGGCAACGTTCTTGGTTTGGACGAGTCCGATGACAACCATATCTGTACAATCAGCCGATCGTATTTTCAAGCTACGTGGGAATAATCTAATATGTTTTGCCATGATAGTATACATGATTGACTTCTCTTGGGAAAACGGAGCGGATAACAAATTCTTCAACGGTCTTGGCTACCGGATGCTGCACGAGGTCGAGGCATTTGCGAAGAAAGTCCATGCTGATTACAGGTATATTTACCTGAACTATGCCGCACCTGATCAGGACCCTCTCCACAGCTACGGGGAGGATAATCTGAGGGAGCTTGCCAGGGTGGCGAAGAAGTATGACCCGGATGCCGTTTTTCAGGGACAAGTTCCGGGGGGGGGGGGGTTTTAAGGTGAGCCAGGCGCAAGGTAGGCGGTACAGTGGTCGATATTTGTACGAGAATCCGAGGGTATTGAAGTATAGTGAACCCGTAGGAGAGAACATAATGCCGCAGCGACAAAATAGAAAACAAAATCCCATCCAATATTGCACATCCTCCCAGCCCAAAAGACCCAAATCAAACACATCCAAGTACAAATACAAGCATCAATTAACGGATCAATCAATTAAGCAAATAACCCAACCATCGAAGTAAGCACCAAAGACCCAATCACCAAAACCGACATCTTAGATGGCGCCCCCGAAAGCGTCACTGCCGCATTCTCCGATGTCCCCGACGCCGACGCTCCACTCTTCGTCGCAGTCGCAGACCCAGTCTCCTTATCCGACTTGCTCTTCGTCGCCGTCGCCGTCGCCTTCACCGACGTCTCAGTCGCCGTCGCGGACGTATTCCCTGAGCACCAGACATCACCCCAGTCGACCTTGGCATCGTACAGACAATCAGTGAGGGCCTTGACGGACTGGCCCATCGCGAGACAGTAGATGGCGCAGTCGCCGTCGTAGGCGGAGACGGGGGCATCGTGGCAGCATTTTTCCATGATTTTGGGGTATTTGTCGTTGTTGGGGACGGCGCAGGCGGCATCTTTGATGGGGATCTCGTATTGTGCTGGTGTTCCGCAGGTGTGGCTGCCGCTTGGGGCGGCTGCCGTCGTTGTTATTGAGGACATTTTGAGGGTTGATATGAGTGGAGGTAGGGTTGTGGTTGTGGTTGTTACTTGGAGTATCGGTCTGCCGTGGGATGAATGTTCGGTGGTAATAGTATAGGACGGATTGAAGGTTATGTGTTAGGAAAGTGAAATAAAAGGGGTCAAAGGAATATTTAAATAGGTTGTCTCATGCCATGCATTTGCCCTTGTGGGATGCAGGCTTGACGAATTAGAATGAACTTATGGTACAAACCGGCTAAAAATAGTCGGTAGGCACTTCGATGTCCCGAGGGCCAAGACAGGGTTCGTTGTGTCTCGAATTTTATAGTTGATAGTAGGTCGCCTATTCGTGGCTGAAAATGTGGAGTTGTCATAATAATTATGCTGGATGTCAAACATGGCGCCAAGACTTTGCAGTAAGCCCTAATTCGGATCCAGCTGCTAGGAGGCATACAGAACCTGGAGGTTGAACAGAGGTAGGCTCTTTAGCAAACATGTATGTTCATTCTCTCCATTGTTCTGCAAAAGGGTTGTTCAATATCGGTTTCTTGTGGTCACACGAAATGGACGCTTCCCTTCCCTTGCATAAATGATCCCGAAAGCCGAACCCTACGCAACCCTTATTCTGTACCAGATATCCAAAGTCAACCCAATTTAATTCCCAAAATGGGCCTCAGAGGGCTATGGAATTTACATATACATGGTCAGTATGGCTTGAAGCCCTACAACTTACCGAGGCTCAAAGCTACCTCCAGAGAAATGGTATCGCTCTTGTCATCCACGCGGACGGACCAGTCCTCCTGAGGATAAGTTTACATTGCAAACCATCAAAAAAGGTTCCTGATAATTCCCACAAGTTAGAAGGTTAGGAGATATTTCTGTGCCCCGCCCGAATCTATTCAAGGTTGGACTACGTGTATACCATCGATCACGATGCAGGCGCTTTCCTTTTCTCACGGTGGAGTGTGTTTGACGGATTTCTGGCACCTACAACGATCCAGGTCGACCTGGCTAGGATCGTCGAGCTTGCGACACTCGTCATGAACCGTCCCCTTCAATAACCAAAGTACTCGTTCGGGGATGGCACTAACGAGTCTAACGGTGAACCACTAGTGTCCGGGATACTTGATATAGATTTCGGCATGCCCACTCCGATGAGCAGAGCTACAGGAGCGATTCTTCACCGACTTCGTCTTTCACTGGCGCTTTTATATCGATGATCCCATGACATGGAGATGCGACCGACTCCCCCGTCTTCAAGATGTTCAGTAGGGCTTTCCTGCGTCTCGCTTCTTGGGACTTTGAAGTATCCTATGATTCCAACGTCGAACTACCGATCATCTTCGCATCCGTTCCATCCTGGACCTGCCCCAGGCCAGACATATACTGGTTTCACCGGGCACCTGGCAGCCTTACACGGCATCGCACCCGAGGTTACGATAAGCAACGCCCTCAAAAAAGCCAGATCATGCCTTAACTCCAAGCCCAGACACACGGATGTCGTCCATGTGATTCTCATCTCACCACGCCGTGTCACCTTTGCCGAGCTCTCCCCAGATACCAACACTATCTCGATGTCTAAGACTCTGTGTTTCTGACCAATTACTCGGCAACCCAATGTTCGCCTGGCTTCCGCGCTCTTGCTCGGGTCCTAGCCTCATACTGCTGGAAGAAGTCTCAAACCCATAGAGAAACAAGGAACCATAGCATACCAACCAAGATCCTCAAACAATGCCTCCACATATCAGAACCACAGGATGCAGTGGCACTTTCACAGGCTTCCTTTGTCGCTGAACACTGCTACTACGCCACCATACCTCAGATCAAGGATCTCGTCATACGAGACTTTGACTCGTCCATACCATGCTGTGGCAAGCGGGAGGAGGGTCTTTGCTGTTCTGAGTGCTGTTCCTGGCAGCATATAGAATGTATATGTACTAGCTCCCAAGTCCAGTCCTTACGTACTCGGGGTCGAGACCACTACCTTTTTGCCCGTTGTCGAGAAGGTACAGCCTGTACGGTCCTTGATCCCGGTAGAATAAATAGAACCAGCAGTCGAAAAATAAGACAAGGGTACCGGGTTACAGTTGGATGTTTGGAGAAGGTGTTTCATCTGCGGCTTTCTAAACCTGCGCGTTTATGACCTGAGTTACGGTTTATGGGGAAGATTGGCTCCGTTCCTCCTTGTTTGGTTGGTTGACTATGTGATTGCTTTGAGTGGGGTGTTTTTGGGGTTGGCTTATGGGTTGGAGGGTGAGAGTTAGTCTGGTTCGTTCTTGATAGCTAGATGCTGCTGATCCGATATTCATTAACATATACTTTCGAGGGGGTCTGGGACGAGACGAACCACCTGGGAGAATGCGGTGTGATATGGATTATGCTCAAGTTGAGGTCTACAGCTGCGAGAGGGATGCATCAATCCGCGTGCGCACCGGTCGATGTGCGCCCTAGGCTCTAGTGAGGAATGGCTACACTTAAGATATCAGTTCATGTATACGTGGGCAATTAAACATCTAGATCAAAATATAATCTTGAAGAATAATAAGGTATGGAATTTTTAAAATCTATCATGTGCTCCGTATAACATGCAGTAAGACATAACAACGTAACTTGTCTATTCATTCGCAATAATCAAACCAATTACTCCAACTCGATAGTGCCCGGGGGCTTGCTGGTGTAGTCGTAGGCGACACGGCACACACCGGACACCTCGTTGACGATACGTGTGGACACACGTGTGAGGAACTCGTGATCGAATGGGTAGGCAATGGCAGTCATGAAATCAGAGGTCTCGACGGCACGGAGGATGACGATGTTCTCGTAGACACGCTTGTCTCCCATGACACCGACGGCGCGGCTGGGGTCCAGGGCGGCGAAGGCCTGTCCGATCTTGTCATACAGTCCGGCTTCCCGGATCATGCTGATGAAGATGTGGTCGGCCTTTCTTGCCATCTCGACACGCTCTGGGGTGATCTCACCCAGAATACGGATGGCGATACCCGGTCCGGGGAAGGGGTGTCTCATGACCATCTCGTGTGCAATACCGAGCTGTCTTCCGAGGTCGCGGACCTCGTCCTTGAAGAGCTCGCGGAGGGGCTCGATCAACTTCAGACCCTGTCCCTCAGTCATGCGCTTAGGAAGACCGCCGACATTGTGGTGGGTCTTGATGGTGGCGCTGGGACCCTTGAAGGAGATACTTTCAATCACATCAGGGTACAGCGTGCCTTGCAAGAACCATTGGATCTTGCCAGCCGAGTCGGAGTGGGCAGCAGCGTCTTCGATCTTCTTGGCCTCCTCCTCGAAGACATCGATGAACTTGTTGCCAATGAACTTGCGCTTCGCTTCGGGGTCGTCAATTCCCTTCAAGCCCTCGATGAAGAGCTTAGAAGCGTCCGCGACAATTAGGTTGATACCGAGGTGCTTAGCAAGGGTCTCCTTCACCTGCTCGCACTCGTTCAGACGCATGAATCCGGTGTCAACGAGGACCGCATGGAAACGGTCACCGATGGCCTCCTTCATCAATTTAGCAGCAACGGTGGAGTCGACACCACCGCTGACAGCACCAAGAACCTGGCCCTTGTCGCCAACCAGCTTGCGGATTCTAGCAATCTCCTGGTCGACGAACCGGGCCATGGTCCAGTTCTGTTTGCAGCCACAGATGTTGACAGCGAAGTTCTGCAGGAGCTTGGTGCCGTTCTGGGTGTGAGTCACTTCGGGGTGGAGCTGGAGACCATAGATGTGCTTGGACTCGTGAGCGATAGCAGCGTACTCCGAGTTCGGCGTAGCGGCAACGGTGTGGAAGCCTTCGGGGAGCTTGCCCAGCTTGTCACCGTGGGACATCCAGACGTTGAATTCGTCTTCCAAGCCCTCAAACAGGCGGTCGACGTGACCGTTGACCTTCTTGGCCTTGAGCTGCGCAAGGCCGTACTCCCTCTCTGTGCCGGCGATGACATTGGTGCTGTCCAGACGGTACGCAATCTCTTGCAAACCATAACAGATACCGAGGATAGGCACACCTAGTTCGAAGTAGGCGGGGTCGACGTGGGGTGCACCCTCCTCATACACCGAGTAGGGTCCTCCAGACAGGATGACACCGGCTGGCTTGAACTTAAGATCTGCCAGCTTCTGGGTGCAGGGAAGCATCTCCGAGTAGACATTGAGCTCACGGAGGCGACGGGTGATCAGATGTGTGTACTGAGACCTGTAACATAGCGACACCATGTGAATTAGCCAAATCGCACGCTTTTTGGTATATCGGAGGGCATCCCCGCAGAAGGAAAAGCAGCTGTGGGGGTCTTACCCAAAGTCGAGGGTCAGGATTGTGTCGAAAGCATTGTGAGGCTCAAGCTCGGGAGTTGCGGCCATGATGGGCAGTGGTAATTATTGGAGTGGAGGGTGAATATCTGATCCCCAGAAAACAGTCGCTTTGGCGGCCTCGAAGGAGGCCAAAAGGTTCAGCAGAAATTTTTCCAAACGGCGGCTTTTCACTGGACTGAGTCACGCGATCCGCCAATCACATGTCCGTTTGCGGTAGAAAAAGTTCCACTTGGCCCGTCACGTGGTGTTACATGGAGGGGCATTGAGGCAGTATCCCTCCACCGCCTGTTTCACCGCTTGGGTTCCCCGCATTGAGATCAAGACATCGAGGGCCTGAGGCCTCCCACCGGGGTGATGCCTCTACTAGTACTGCCACTAGGTAGAATAGTAGGTCTACAGCGAGTCATATTCTTAACGAGGCATTCATTAAAGTCCTTGCCTGAAATCAATTGCTCTCCATGATAATGCTAAGAATGAATAGAAAGAAACAGATGCTGGTATTTGTAGAACTACCGTGAGCTACGGTTTGTATCGAAGCTTTTCGTTTCGTTCCTCACATACTAGATAGAGATAGATGTCAGCATTGCATCGGCAATCATATTTCACTAACTGGGAGGACATACCGTTGAACGGGGCTGAGACCCAACACCCGCATGCCGTTGTGCAGGACCTGGCGGGCGGCTTCGTACAGAGCCATACGAGCCTTCTTCAGTTCAGGCTCGCTTCCCACAACCTTAAGCACATCGTAACTGGAGCTTAGGCTGTGAGTCATGCGGAACAGGTAAGAAAGGATGGTGGTCGGCTCCAGAGTGCGCGTAGTGTTCAGCAGGACATCTGGCCACTGTGCCAGCATACGCGCCAGATCCGAAGCGTGGGATTCGGTCAGGAGGTCCAGGTTCGCGGAGCCCAGCTCCTCGACATTCAGCTCCGACTTGCGAATAATCGAGCAGAGACGGGCATGAGCATATTGCAGATAAGGGCCGGTATCACCCTCAAAGGAGGTCATAGCGTCCAGGTTGAAGTCATATCCATTGATACTGTACCAATTAGTCCGCATTCAAGGGGCCGGTTGGGTGTAAGATAATAACATACCGCTTGCCACTCATATCCTGCACCATGACGGAAGTAATACCCAGAATATCGGCCGTCTCCTCGGGGTTCTCGACCTGCTTGTACTTCTCGTCGTTCTTCTTCATGACTTCGTGCATCTTGTCACGAACATCCCTCAGGATGTCATCCAAGAACTTCACGGTACCCTTACGAGTGCTCATTCCGCGGACCATACCGAAGTTAATGTGCTGGCAGCGGCTGGCCAGATCCTTGTAACCCATCAACTCCGTGATCTTGAAGAGCTGGGCTAGATGAAGATCCTGCTGGGCAGCGACGACATAAATCATCTTGTCAAAGTGATAGGCCTCCTCACGCTCAGTGATAGCACCAATATCACGAGTAAGGTAGAGAGGCGTGCCATCCTTACGGACAATGATAGCCTTTCCGAGCTTCTTAGCACCGTGCTTGGTGAAGTCAACAATCACGGCGCCCTCAGACTTCTCGGAGACGCCGGTCTTCTCTAAGGTCTCGTAGGCAGAGGTCATGCTCTCATTCTTGATCTGAGACTCGCCAGAGTATACATCGAATTCGATGTTCAGACGGGCGTAGGTCTGACGGTACTTCTCAATACTGAGCTCACGGAAACGGCTCCAGAGAGCGAGAGCCTCTTCGTTGCCATCTTCCATGCTCTTGAAATAGCGGCGAGCGCTCTCATCCTCACTGACGTCGACAAGCTTCTGCAGCTCCGCCTCGAGTCCGGAGACATCCTCGTTCTTCTCCTTCTTCGCCTTGATCTGCTCCTTCAGTTCCTTGATGGGACCCTCCTGCTCGGCGACAATGGCGTTGATCTTCACATACACATCAAACAGGTGGTTGATGGGATCCTTCTTCAGCGCCTCCTCGTCACCAAAACGCTTATATCCATTGGCGAGCAGACCATACTGCTTACCCCAGTCACCAAGGTAGTTCATCTTGATGACGTCCCATCCCATGACGGTGTAGAGGTTGGCCAGGAAACCGCCGATGATGGTACTACGCAAGTGACCAGCGTGGAAGGGCTTAGCGATGTTGGGCGAAGAGAACTCGACGATCATCTTCTTTTGACCCTTGGAAGGGTCCGAGGGGTCCTTAAGACCTTGGTTGCCATTTGTGCCATAGGCCGCCTTCTCTTTCAAGATGCGGCTCACAACCGTCTGAGTCAAGCCTTGGGGCTTGAAGAAGAATTGCAGGTGGACGCCAAATGGAACCGGGGGGAGGACGAGATCGGACTCGGGGAACTTTTCGGCGAGCTCTTTGCACAGTTCCTGAGGGTTCTTCTTGATCTGCAGGGAGGGAACCTATAGACGCGGTACCAGTTAGCCATTCCGCACGCAACCAGAGCATCAATGATCATAGCGTACTGGCAACAACAGGTCACCCTTGTCCAATGTGCTGGTCCATTGGAGACGAGTATAGATCTTCTCCGCCTCAATACCGGTAGCTTCGCCCAACTTCTCCGCAATATGCACTCTGTAGAGGTCGACCGGGTTCAAGGAAGGAAAGCAGTTAGGGTACTTGGAGGTCTGCGTCGTGGACTGGATCTGAAGCCCTTCCACGGCGGCAGTGAGGTCGGCGGCAGATGCCATGGCTGCGTCCGTCACACTATTCGGGGTAATGGTAGTGAAGCCTCGAAAAACAAAGGGCGAGCGCTTCGTATTAAAATGCGAGAGACAAGGAGTGCGGCGGTATAAGGGAGAGCAATTATTTTGTGGACCGCAGGACTGCAGAGTCAGGAAAATGGCGCTGGAAAATCGCCGGGCCCCGCTAAACAGATAGTGACCCATAAACGGAGGGGGAATTTCAAGCGCGCTTTGGAGGGGGAGGAACTTTTTTTTTTCCCACTTCGCTCGCCTTGTCCTGCTTTGGCTCAAACGCGGCAATTCTACTGGTACCTGGGGCGGTGAGTCACGGCTCTCTCATCTGATGGGTCATCACCTGACTGCGGTGCACCCTAAGCCCTATTTGGGTATACGGTCTCAAGTCCCCTCTTGACGTCACCGTGCTGCCAACTTCAACTCTTGACCGTGTTTTTGGCAATGAATCTCCCTACGATACATTTAAACCAAATGCCCATGATGTTTATACCTGCCTTTCCAGCAGTTTACCTACGAACACCGTAACAATGGGTCGTCGCCGCCAGGCAGCCTTGTCCAAGAGTATACAACTTGCCCTCTTCCGGAACCCCAAGACCTTTCGCAAGACATTGATTGGACGGTTCATCGCGTTCTTTAGCATATTCTACTTGAAGCTTCTTCGATATGAGCCGGACATCTTCCGAAAGCTACGAAACGAAGTGTGGGAGATCTCCGAAGAACAATACAGAGCTTGCTTCCTGAGTGGGGAAGATAAGACGCTTCCTCTGCTTCCGATGGGGGATTTGGGCTTTTCTGGATCTGTAGGCTCTACACTTTCTTTGTCCGGTTCCCCTTCAATCCCGGTGCTAACCCACGTGTAGACATTCTTCAGCACATCGAACTCCGCATTCCTCGTCAAAAGCCTCCCGCGGCACTTTGAACATTCCTTTTTCCGCCATGACCTCTTTCAACCGTACTATGAGTACATCAGTACCCACTCGGATTCGATCCTGGTATGGATTACCGATTACCTGTATGCAGCGTACACCTCGCTGGGCACACTGGTGAAGACAACCCCTGCTCATCATATCATCATGGAGAACATGCTGTGCGGGAAAGAGAAGGACCCGGCAGGCGACAAGTGGGAGACATATGATCTGAAACCGATCGACTATTTCTACCCCGAGCGGGATCTGGTCCCCGAACCGTTCGTCAGCCAAGAAACCTTAAGTCGACTAGCCGACGAGTTTCCAGATAAGCTCCGCCTGACTCAATCAGACTACGAAGAAATGAAACAGATATTAGAAGCCGACACTGCATTTCTAGCATCGGCGAATGCGGTGGATTACTCCCTGTTTCTGATTCGTTTTCCCACATCCTCTAACCCTGATGTGATGGGGAAAAGGAGCAAGTGGCGTATTGGCGTGACTTCCACGGATGGGAAGTGGAGGTATCGCGCCGTTCTCTTGGATTTCTTCTGGGCCAAGCATAAACTACACGCGCAGGCGATGACTGGAGTCATCCAGACCTTCAATGTCGTTGGCCGTCAAGGCCCGATGACGATCACCACCACAGCGAATGAGTATCGAGAGAAGTTCCTAGCTTTGGTAGATTCCATCATGGAGGTTTCTGAATCTTAGCATCATTCGTACAGTACTAGCAATGGATATTGATTATGTAGACACAAAGGACAGCAGGAATAAACAAAATCTTCGTTTCACATTTTAGGTATCATGCGTACTTGAATGGCCGTGGAAACCTTTCAAGTGAGTACATCATCTAATTCTATCGTCCCCAGTAATTAGGGTACTTTCCAGGGCCAGCACTAATATAGCATAGCATGTCTTGGATGTGGAACCACCGAGCATCGACCCGAGCCAACGCCACGGCAGAAGGATGGGCATTCTAACAGCGGTATATAGATCTAGGCCGTAAACAAGAAAGGCCTCTGCTTAGAAGCAGAAAACCTGGTCCTCGAGCTTGCTGACCGGTCGAGCCTTGGTGTATCCAAGAGATTCGGAGGCCTTCTTCATAGCACTGATCATGGGAGGAGGTCCGCACAGGAGAATCTTAATATCCTTGGCCGGGGCAGGAAGGCGCTCCTAGATGACAGTGTTAGTCCGTAACATATAAAGGGGAAGGCATTCGACTAACCTTGATCATATCGGGAGTGACAAAGCCCACACCGCCAGTCCAGCCCTCGGGGGGGTTATTCAGCACATAGTAAACCCGGAAGCCGTCATCCTCCTTGACCAGCTTGTCCAATTCTTCCTTCAGCAGGATATCCTCGGGGTTGACATTGGCGAAGATCAGATCAACCTGGGTGGTATCGTTGCCACCGTTACGAGGGCGATTGCGGATGATGGCCTTGATAATCTGGAGCATGGGGGTGATACCAGTTCCTCCAGCAATCATACCGATGTGACGGCACATGTTGGGGGTGTAGACCATGGCGCCCTTGGGGCCGCGCACCTTCATGCTGTCGCCAATCTTCAGGGTAGTCAAGTACTTAGAGATATTACCCTGAGGGTAGGCCTTGACGAGGAGATCGAAGTAGCCAGCCTCATTGTCGGAGGAGATGGGTGTGTAGGAACGGACAACCTCCTTGGGTTGGCCCTCGATGGTAGCGGCGAGAGAGATGTGTTGACCGATGGGCAGACCCAGGATGTCAGTGGGACGGGGCAAAGCAAAGCGGTAGATGGCGACATTGTGAGAGATCTCGTTTTTCTCCTTCAAGACGAAATTCTGGAACTCGGTCGGGTTCAGAACCTTTCTGGCCTCTGTCACAGTGAAGGAAGCGGTCAGTACTAGTTATCATATGATGCGCGAGTTGCCAAGCGTTTCACATACGACCATTGCCGCCGAACAGCTTCGCGCCGATCAATACTGTAGCGATCGCGACAGCATACGGAGCCAAATCCGCCTTGAAAATGACGGTTCCAAACACCAGGAGGGCGGAAGGGAGGTAAACCCCAGTGATGTTCTCCGTAGAAAAGGCGCTGTAGAATCGCGAGCGAGTGTCAGTCATTGCACGATAAGAAATTGAGGGGAGTTGACACGAACCTCATGTTGACAATTCCTCCGGCGACACCGAAAAAAACAAGAACAGTCAGAGAGACAAATGTTGAAGAGAGAAGAGAAGCGAAGGGAGAAGAGGTAGAAGAAGAGGAGGCGGAAGATCACAAAATAGCGGGAAAGATTGGGAGAACCGCCGTACGGAGCCGATACCGCTAACCTTCCCGCAGGAGAGGACAATTCTTTGTTTTCTTGGTTCCGCGATTACACCGTACGGTATTGTTGACTTCACGGGATTGAATTCGGTTGAACTCCTAGTCCTTAGTATCACGGGAATGTCACGGCAATATCACGGAGACACTCTCTCCGTCCATTAGTATTAAATCAACACCGAGGGTTGTCAGGGAATCATGTGTGCGGAGATCATCCCATTACAAAGAAATGGCTTACGGAGGAAGATGGATTGAATCAAATTGAATCCCGTCTTATCTAAGAATATACTTACATAACGTCCCACTCATCCAGTAGACGTGGTGTGGTGACTGGTCCAGTCCAAGGGCGGAATTAGAGTCCCCCTTTGCTTTTCTGGGGTAAAGATTCCCGATGTATGCCTGAGGTTGGGCTCTCTTTTTCGCCTTTCCCAATCCAGCACTCCGATCCATCCTCAGGCCCCAATCTCTAAGAAAATCAGATCACTCCACATATACTACTACAGAGTATATACAGACTCATTCTCAATAAATCCGACCGATCATGACCCGAGAGGAGCCACCCCCGGCCTTTAATCTCACCGAGGTTGATCGTCAGGTCCTCGCTCAGACTGACGAGGAGTTCGTCTATCATGACTGGGAGGATCTCAAGGCCATTATTGGTATGTCTATATATTCCTGATAACAAAAAAGCATTATCTATACTAGAAATAATACCATAGCCCTCCCTCTATCAACAACGCAAACTTCCCCCCACTCCTCACTTTCCACTCACTCCATACTCCTCATTCCCCAATCACCTCCTTCTGGTTCCCGCATTCCTGAACTCTCCCAACTGACATACGATTTCACCCCACTTACAAGCAACCTCACAGCCCGCAATGATCTCGGTATCCTAAAACGAAAACCCTCCGATCTCAGACGCTACCTCGCCTGGACAGCAGAGATCAAAGCCCAATATGGTACAATCACCAACTACATCTGCCAACGCCGCCTAGGCTGGCAGCTCCCCGACCCGGACACCACCAACACCACCGGCGCCACAGAAAGTGGGGCGGTATTCCCCTTCAAGAACCCGATCCCCTTTGCCGATCCCGCGGACTACAAGATTCTCCGCAACGACTGGCCCTACGGTGTCACCTCGGACATCGCCCACATGGTCGTGTGGCTGCGGACTCCTGTCGCCGTCAAGCCGGAAAATGGGGATATCACTGATGAGTCGCGGGCGCTGATAGAGGACTTTGTCCGGCGGACGTTTGTGGCGCGCTTGGCTCGGGAAGGGGGTCATTACTTGAATCCCCAGGAACATGTTCTCTGGTTCAAGAATTGGACGGCCCTGCAGAGTGTGAGAAGTTTGGAACATATTCATGTTCTTGTCCGGGGGGTATCGGAAGATATTTTGCAGGAGTGGACTGGGGAGGGGGCGTTGAAGAACTAGGGTTGCCTTTCGTATGATCTATGAATTAGAGTTTTGGATGATTTGTTTGAGTGAGAAATAGATATAAATTTACGTCTTATTATTGAATACTAAAATACAAGAAGATAACATGTCCATAGTAACGAATAATAATCACGAGCATAGTCTTAGGCTATCATGGAGCTTCTATTAGCTGGGGGTATTCCAGAAAGCTAGGCCCTGTTCTTTAAATATATATCTTGTATTACTATGAAAACGGCAGACTGAATGAAACAATGTAAGCCTTCATGTGGATATCAATTTTTATTGGATACGCCCATGAAATTACCTCGTATCGCAGGCACCTGACATATGCCTGGTGAATTGACCACCTGCTGAAGTATGTGGATGATTGAATACTATGGTAATCAGGCCACATATAAAAGGCCTCATAATTCCCACCTTGATGGGCCTTGCCGATAGTTTAATGGGGATCATAAATCTGATCGTTTTGATATCGTTTCGATATCGTTTCATACGAATATCTTACCAGATATTCTACAATCTTATATGTCACTTGTGGCAGATATATATATGTCTATCCCTCTCTTTCTCTCTTCTTCACCTCACAAGGGCTTGTGACACATGTCCGAAAAGTCTTTTGCTCTTGGTGATAGTTACCAATGGGACCCCGGGGGGGAGGAGCCTCATGGGAGATATATATATAATGGTCGGTGTACCTACCCGATGATACTGTAGTTAAGGTATAGGCCCATTTTGCGAGATAGGTTCCGCTGACTATACTGGGAATATTACAAGCAAAAATATGCTCCATGGTAACTACATCTTACATAGAAGCGAACGAGGTAACATGCAACAAGCGGTCGGGATCTCGAAAAAGTTGACTTATTGGGAATCTGAAAGTAAGAGCCCGGCGATTCAAAATAAAAGTACAGTGAAAGGGGGAAAAGAAACCGTCCATATAACAAATGAAGCGATATAATTAGGAAAGAGAAAATAAACAGTAAAACTGCCTGTCATGAAATACGCCTGCTACCCAGTTCATCCCACAAACGGGGTAGGAAAGACATGTAAAACCATCAACGAGGACTTCTCTACGTGGCCCTCTCATTGCTTCTGTTCGTCGACGAACTTCAGTGCTTCCTCTCTTGACACGACGTCAATCGTACTGGCCTTCTGGCGGAAACTGACACCGTAACACTTCTCGGCCACATGCAACATCTCGGGACGGAAAGTGGTGCAAATGAACTGTCCATTTGTAGAGTCCGAGATCGACTTAAGCATCTGCGCCACGGCGGTACGATACTGAGCGTCGAGGTTGGCATCGATCTCATCAAACAGATAGAACGGTGCCGGATCACAGGCCTGGATAGCGAAAACCAACGCAAGAGCGCAAAGACCTATCGCAAGAATTAGTACATCTATCACAGGAGTATAGGAAAAAGAGTTCTTACTCTTCTGCCCACCGCTGAGTTGTTGGATACGCTGTTGGTCATCATGTTTGCTATTGAAGCTGACACTAATTCCAACGCCGACATAGTTCTCTACGCTATTCTGGGCTGCCTCATCCTCGGAATCGATCTCATCAGCCTGCCGCATGGTAGGGTCCGTCTTGCGCTGAATGAGCAAACGGCCACGACCTGCTGGCACGAGCTTCTCGAAGACATTGTGGAACTCGCGAGAAACTTGCTTGAAAGTTCTTTCAATGGCTTCATCCTTTCTCTGATCGAGTACGTTAATGAGGTCATCAATCGATTTCTGGGAGGCGTCCAGCTCCGCTCGTCGAGTGGTGAGAGTCTCCCGCTGCTTAGTGAAGCTATTGTACTGCTCGAACGCTTTTTTATTGACATGGGAATATTTTTTGAGACCCTCGTTTGCTTTGTGCAGCTTCTTTACGACGGTATTCGAATCCATGTTCTTATATTTGGTGAAAGCCTCGTCTGGGAGAACACCCAGGTCGCGGATGTTCGCTGCACATTCAGCGGCCTGTTTCGTTAGAGCCGCCTTCTTCTGCATGCTCTTCTCCATCCGTCGTTGGTGCTTCTCAATGAACTTAGCCAGCTCGTCCAACTCCCGACGAGTCTCTGCGTTTCTCTGGTTAAGCTCAGCCATGCGAGTATTGGCCTGTTCAATTGACCCATCCACTTGCTGGAGACGTTGCCCGAGCTTCTCAAGCGCCTTATTGAGACGTTTCATTTCCCGCTGGGTTTCCTTCAGGTTACCTTGGGTGCCATCATCAGCCATATCGATGTCCTGTCCGACAAGCTGATCAAGATGAGGGACAAGATTCTCCCTAAGCTCGACTTCAAGGACAGACTTCCGGGCCTCCAATTCACTGCGCTTGCTGGAGAGTTCCTGGTATTGTCGACGAAGGTCTTGAGCGGTAGCACTGAGGGTCTCTAGACGTGCTTCTTCTTCATTGCTTAGTGCCTTCTGGAATGGCGACTTCAGTTCCGATTCGAAGGCGTTGACCTGATCTGTCAAAGCAGCCAAATTGTTTTCGATGTTTCGGAGAGCCCTTCGCTTAGCATCGAGATTGTCATTCTTCTTCTGTATAAGATCACGCTTGCTCCTCAGCTCCTGTCGTAGGGGACCACTGCTGTTTTGCACTTGGTGTCTTTGTTGCTCCAGCTTCTGCAACTCGCCAACAGCTCTCGTGATGAGTTGATCCAACTTCTCAAGTTCCTGTCGAATTTCTGCACCGCGACTCTTCTTGGTTTCAAACTCATCCCTCCATTTGGCTAGATTTTTCACCGCATCGAGGCGCGACTGACGCGAATCATGGAAACCACCAGTAAGGGCACCCCTTTTATCTGAACGGTCACCCTCGGGGGTGATTGCGTTCACTCCATGGCTTCGGGCGTACTGCGCGGCAACCTGCAAGTTAGGGCAAATGATAGTTTTGCCAAACACATGAACAAAAGCCTTCTCGTATGCCCGGTCGTACTGAAGCTTCTCAATCATCGGGATGGTATCGCTGGCCCTGGGCATGTTGATAGGCCTGGACCTCAGCCTGTTCAGAGGCATGAACGTGACCCTACCTGCCTTTTCATGTTGCAAGATCTCCAGCACCTTGGTGGCAGTTTCGTCCGAGTCGACCACATAGTGGAACAGGCTTTGACCCGCAGTAACCTCAACGGCTGTGCGGTACCTGTCGTTTACGTCGAACAATTCTGCTAGTGTACCGTAAACGCCTTCAAGGTTGTGTTGACGTTTAATTCGGCGAACAGCCGCAATTCCACGGCTGGTGTTGTGATCCATCATCTGAGACAAACTGCGATCCGCACGTTCTACTTCATTTGACGCATTTACAAGGATCGAATCTAATTTTGCTTCCTCTCTCCAGAGTTCCCTGTAGACTAATTAGCGGACTGGCAAAGACTACAAAGAATAAGCAAACGTACTTTCGCTGATCCACGAGTCGATCTCTTTCATCCTTTGCTGCTTGAACCTGTTGCTCTACAGAATGGATGGTGTCTCCCCGGCCATCAATCTGTTTGCGCAAACGTTCGGTTTCCGGTTCTAAGAGGGCGATCTCGTTCTCGAGTTCTTTGATATCCTCTTGAGTTTGTGCCATCACCCCCTGTACCGTGGAAATGGACGAGTAGTTGTCTTTAATCTCAGCCTGCAGCCATTTATCTCGTTCAGATTTGTTCCGGAAGCGTGAATTTCGGCTCTGTTTGGCATACAGTCTCTGGCGTGAAGTTTCTGCCTCGGTCAGCTGCGCCTTGACGATATCTTCCTGGTCTTTTGCGGAATTGAAACTTGGAATGAGTGCTTGGAGCTCCGTTTCTCGCTCTTGTATCGCCGCCTGAACGGAGTTCATTTCTTCGTCATGGCGTGACTTCTGAGCTTGTGCTGCCACTTGGTTGTCCGACAGCGACTTGGCCTGTAACTCGACTTGCGCGAGCGCTTTGGAAGCCTCACGGCGTTCGTCTTCTAATTGCGCCTTGTCTACCTTAAGAAACTCAATTTGTTGCTTGCACTCGGCGATTTCCGCATCGATCTGTGCCATCTCCTTCTCGCCCTGAATGAAACGATCACGGTTCAAATCAGTGTCCTCGACGCCGGTTTGGCGTTGCTCCTCTAGACTGTCAAGATAACTGGCGATCTCTTGCTGCTCTCGAGAATAGATTGTATACTCCAGACAGCGCCTCTCTCTGTCCTTTTCTTGGAAGTTCCTAAGCTCATCCTTCTCCTCTTCGAGCTCAGCGAGACGCTCGTTGATAAAATCGAGAAGCTCGTCAATCTTGCTTCGCTTATTGTTTGTTTCGTGCATGATCTTGAGGGACTCTGCCCGGCGCGCTTCATAAACCTGTGTTCCGGCTACTTCTTTCAGCAGGTTCAGCCGCTCCGAGTCTTTCATGTTGGTTAAGGCCGTCACTCGACCTTGGGGAACAATATAGTAGGGATTTGACCGGGAGAAACCGGCCGATTCGAGCAAGTTCATCACGTCGTTCTTGGTGGCATTTTTACGGTCCAGCGTATATTCATCCTTTTTCATGCCGATGGTACGACGAAGCACCACTTCCGGTTTGCCAGTAGGAAACCGATCATCAGAGTTATCGAAGATGATCTCGACGTATGCCGACATCACAGCGGAACCCGAACCTTCCTGTTCGATATAAGCATATCATAATTGTACGGGGCATCGTTGCACGTACGTGTAAAAGAGCCTGCCGCTCCTCCCGGCCCATGTGGGTATATGCATCGCCGAGGACGAAGCGAATAGCTGCGAAGAAGTTACTCTTGCCCGAACCATTGCGACCAACAATGACATTGTGTTTAGGAGAGAATGGCTCGATGACCGTTTGATCCTTGTAGCTATAGACCGGTGGCAATGAATGATCAGCCCAGACGTCCTGAACCCTTCCGCGGTCACTGTGTATTTCGCGTGACTTACCTCTTAAAGCCCTGGATAATGATTTGCTTGACGTACATGTTGACGAGGCGCGTGCGACACGGGAAGTTATGGCGAGCACAACAACCAGATCATCACGCAGTCGACGTTAGTAGATCAGGAGACAATTCCCTGATGGCGAAGTAGCAAGGGCGGGTTATGGGGGTGTAGGAGTCCGAGGCGCTGAAAGCACGGAGATGACAGTTGCTTGATAACTTGCGACGGGGAACCACGCGTGGCCGATCGGCTTTGCCTTCTTTTCCTCAAAGCGCGTTGGCGGCCCGCGGGGTTCTGCCGGGCGGTGAGCGCCCAAGGTCCACACTCGATCTGGTAATACTGCGATTTTTTCTCTTTGCCGATTTCAGCGCCAACAGTCGAGTCCGTTTGCCACCCGTATATCCAGAATTTGAAGCTGGTTATGGCTTCTACAGGCTCAACTGCCCAGGATACTGGTCTGGCAGATGGCTTAACGCCTTCCCACACTTATATCCCGAACCAAGGATATGTGAACGAAGATGGCACTACCCCCACTATAGCGGGGCAGGATCCTGCGGTGCAGGACAACGAGGAGGAAGAAGATGATGATGATGAAGAATACTATGATGATATCTTTGAAGAAGAGGATCTTGATGGCGAAAACTTCACCTCCTCGAATCCCACCGATCTAACGAAAGCGTATAACCGCCAGCGCAAGACGAACGAGCTCGCCGCTGACCCCAGTGCCCCGAAATGGACTTATCCCAAGACGAACGCTCAAAAGCCTAGCATTAACACACGTGCTTCGGTTGACGATCAAATCAAGTCCTTGACTCGCCATGCCACCAAGCTCAAACTTGACGATATGCAGTCCGGACTGTCGGTTCGGGGTGATCGCGGCAATGACAGAGCCGATAGAGCAACTTCGGAGCAGGTGTTGGACCCCCGTACAAGAATGCTTCTGCTGCAGATGATCAACCGTAATATTGTCTCGGAGATCCACGGATGTCTCTCCACGGGTAAAGAAGCCAACGTATACTACTCTATGCTGTTTCCAGAGGAGGAGGATGCTAGCCCAGTGCACCGTGCGATCAAAGTCTACAAAACTAGTATCTTGGTCTTCAAGGACAGAGATAAGTACGTGACGGGAGAGTTCAGGTTCAGGCAGGGCTACAGCAAGAGTAACAACCGCGCGATGGTGAAACTCTGGGCCGAGAAGGAAATGCGGAACCTTCGAAGAATCTACGCATCTGGTATTCCTTGCCCGGAGCCTATCTTTTTGCGCCTTCATGTGCTTGTCATGGCTTTTCTTGGTAACTCGAAGGGTATCGCGTCTCCTCGGTTGAAGGACGTTGAATTCGATTTCCCTAACCCCGAGACCCGGTGGCGCGAACTCTACATCGATCTGCTTGGCTATATGCGCGTTATGTATCAGACATGTCACCTAGTTCACGCCGATCTGAGCGAGTATAACATGCTTTATCACAAGAAGAAACTCCACATCATCGATGTTAGTCAGAGTGTGGAGCATGACCATCCTCGGAGTTTGGAATTCCTGCGCATGGATATCAAGAATATTAGCGACTTTTTCCGTCGCAAGTCCGTCGATATATTGCCGGAACGGACTGTCTTCGAGTACGTTATTTCGGCTGATGGCCCGGCTACTGTGGCTGAGAGCGAAGAAATGCACGAGGCCATTGAAAAACTCTTCTTGGCAAGAGCCGAGAGACCGGATGAGGAAGTAGACGCCGCTGTTTTCCGTCAACAATATATCCCGCAGACGCTGGAGCAGGTGTACGACATCGAGCGTGATGCTGAGCAGGTTCATGCTGGCAAGGGCGAAGACCTCATCTACCGGGACCTCCTTGCAGGTGGCAAATCTACTGGACGGCCGGACGATGCGGAGAGTGAGGCCGGATCCGACGTGAGCGGCGGAGTCTCCGTAGAAGGCTCAGGGTCGGAAGATGACGAAAGAGATCTTTTCGAGAAGGGCGCCCCGCGTGGCAAGCGATTTGTGGACAAGGACACTAAGCGCGACCACAAGCAGAAGGTGAAGGAAGAAAAGCGCGAGAAACGTGCCAACAAGATGCCAAAGCATATGAAGAAACGTCTGGTGTCTACATCGTCGAAGAAGAAGAAATGAGCGTGATTTCTTTCCAGTACTTATCAGGGTTTAACAAAAGTTTACGCATGGTTCCAGGCTTAGGATGGGGTTTCATTGCGCACGATCTCATGAGATTTATGACCGGAAATTTTGATGGATAGAAATAATGGTTCGACGCATATAAAGGGAATATCACACGAGCATATAGATCTACAAAGAGAAAATATAAAAACGACGACCATTTCAGCATCTGTTATAAACCCTTGTCTAGCGAACTCAATCGAAGGCCAGTAGATTCTGGTAAGTAGATGTGTACTCGCACTACTCAAGCAAGATCAATTGCAGAGCTCTTGGGCAAAGCCCCGGGCGTAACGGCATCATTCTGCTATCAACACAATCCATGATCTATCAGAGCTCTCTTTGAACCTCACGTGGACCACCCCGATTCATCACATATCCGTACCAATCTGCGCTCACATCGCAAAAGTGGAGTATGCGTCTGTGGTGGCTATGAAATGAATGGGCTGGCCAGTATATCGGAAAAGGCCTAAGCCTGATTTTAGCATTCATCATTTAGATCATGTCGAGGTATCTAAACTCCTACCCAAAGCCTCAATGCCACCCCCAGGCCCGAGTAGAAATACTCATAGAAAATTGGAAGCGTGACTTTGTCGGAATTACCTAGAAAAAGCTACCCTCTCAAACCGAAAGTCATCGTAAGAGGGACATATAGACTCAACCAGTATTATAGTAAGTGGCGATTAGGGAAGATGTCGCATTCGGGCATTGAATCGAGCGATAGCTTCCTCAACCAGGGCCTTTGGAAGTTCGGGAATGACCTCGCCATCTTCTCCACCATCACTTGAAGAAACAGCCCGTGCCTCTTCTTTTGCTTCCACGGCCGGAGTTTCCTGACCAGAGGGCTCCGCGGCCATGCCTTTCAAGTTACCACCAGATATACGACGGAATTCGATTCGCATCGGCTCTCGGCCAATTCCAGGCCATATGTCTGATGGCAAGTAGTCCCCTTGCTCTACGCGGAATGCCTCGCGGGCGTTCACGTCTTCTTCGTATAGCTGATTGAGTTTATGTCTTGCATCACGGAGAACCTTTTCCACGCGGTGCCGCACTTGCCTTCGACGTGTGACTTCGAGGATAAGCCCATCATATGCCTCTAAAAAGCCGTCGTACAGTGTGTTGAGGTCAGATAGATCGGCCATACCACCTTGAATTTGCTCGGACTCCTCGTGCCATACACGGGTAAAGTTTTGCACCTGAGCTATATACCCCGCTAAACGGGTGGAGGCGAGTGCTGATAGGTGCTTGAAGACACTAGTTGTGGCATTATAAATCGACAGGACATTATCCCGCTGGGCTAACACATTTTCCAATACCGCCTCCATTTCGCCGATGCGGTCTTGAATCTCCATTACTACATCCTCCGCTTCAGCCGCATCCTTAATGAGTACGTTGACCATTTCTTGGTATTCGGAGTCGGTCAACGGGTCAAGGGGCGCATCCAAGTTAGCATTGATGCCTTCCTCGATATTGGGCCCAACCCGTCCGTTGACATGCACCGTAGTTGGCACGTCACCTGTAATGGATCGGGCAGCAGCTCCGCCACCCTCCGTATGTTTGACAGCGGTCACGCAGAGATCAAAATGACGGACCAAAGACTCAAGCAGGTTAGCCATTTCCTGGGCATGCATCTCAAGGGAATGTAGCATTGGAGGAATCGACGAGAGCGACGGGAGGCTAGTGTTGGACGTGGATGACGACGACGAAGAGGCGGAAGTGCGCGAAGATGTAAGCTGCGTAGCTGCCCGGTAGTTGCCGAGTGCTTCCTTGATCGACTGGAGCTCATCGTCAAAAGCACGATTAGACGACTCTAGATCGGCCTGAGCAGTATTGGTCCGATCTATTGAGCGTTTGAGGGTTGTATGTAGCTCTTCTACTCCACGCTCATCCACAAAATCATGCAAGCTTTTGGATCCTTCACCCTCCGGACGGAATGAAGAGTGGACCACTGTATCCCGTAACAGGTCTAATGTCTTTCTCAGTCTCGCATCCGCCGCATCGAGACCCTTGAGCACGGTAGCAAACTCTGACCGGCCGCGCAGGGAGACTTCCTGGACCTCGGTCCGGACACTATACAGAAGGCGTAACTGATTATTCAGCCCCCGGCGAAGGAAACCAGTCCGCGCCGAAATTACAACACTTTCCTCCAACGCAGAGCGGGCGGCTGTGACGATTTCATTTGCGTGCCATACGTGATTGATGGATGACAAGGACCGTTTTGCGGCAACCAAATGCGAGATGAGTGTCTCTAACTGAGGCATTGAGCTCTCCTTTCCCGGGGAGGTATCTTGCTCCGGCGATACATTATTGGATATCGCCGACGACTCCGAGTCAGACATGGTCGAAGACGTTCCAGATCAATCCGTGACAGGAAACAGAGCTAGGCTGGCCAGTGGAAAATGGCGCAAGTGATTTGCATCAATTATGCGCCGATAAGCTTGAGCGCCCAATAGATGGTTTGCCCAACGCTGTGAGTGGTGGAGACGGGCGCCGCGCAGGGAAACAAGGAATCTGTCGTGAGAAGTGCGCAGATTTAGGCCATCATTATCCCATAGAAGGGGAACCAAGCGCCGTCTATCCCTTCCTAATCAACCGGTGGTTTCGACTATATGTTTAGAATTCTAGCGGTGAGACGCCCGAACACAAATTGCACAAATTGAAGCCCAGGGAGCCTCCGTCATCAAAGGAGGCTATGCTCTGACCCTCGTTGTGAAATCTATCCTAATGATACCACCGTTCTCGTCCGAATTGACTCGATAAGGGGGGGGGGAATGAAGTGATGAGATCTGGTATTTCAGGTATGGAAATTACGTCAGAAATAATAAGGAAAAAATAGGTTAAAAAAAAGGTGTGAAGGGAAAGTTGAAAACCCTGTCTTCCGTTCAAGAAAAAAAGTCTAGGTGTAGATCAAGGTAAGCAATAGCTTCAGCAGAAGCACGACAGCCCAATGGTGGAATGAGGTGAAGTTGTAGTTCGATGACAACCTAAACCGGCAAACCACGGGGGGAAAATAAGCGCCAAGCAATGGATCCAAGAATAGTGCGACAAGGCCTAAAAGGTAGCTCCTGAAATTTTCTGGGGGATCCGCAATAAGGGCCAACAATGGCGACGAATTGTGCAACTCTCGCCTTCCATGGCGGGTCAAGGACTGGCGCTGATGTGAAGACGACCACTGATGGCGCCATACCCGTCACGTGTTTCCAGACCGGATCCGGTTTAGCGCAGCACGAGACGCTCGATAGCGCTTGCGTGATCGATTAGATGGCTAACAAGGTGCCTGAGGGATCAAATACTTGAACTACTCACTGTCTTTCTTGTCAACTTGGCTGGTCCATCCTCTCGTCACTTTAATATCCAACTTCTCTCCTTCCTCCTCCTCTCACGTTCTCTCCTCCGTGTCTGCTATCCCCCCTCTCTTCTTCGCGCGCGCCTACCAATCGCCTACTACTCCGTACTAGTACCCTCTCTCCCGCGCGCCTTGACTTGCGATCTTATCAGTCCTCCACCCCTCCCCCGTTGCCACCGTTCCTCCCCTGTCGACCTCCTAGTCGCGTACCGCGACGTTGACTGGATCCTCATAAACTGTGACTAAGGTAGTCGTCGGATTGATACGCCTCTCCTTTCGAATTTTCTTTCTGCCCTGCTTCCCTCTCGGGGCGACTCCTACCGTGGTAGCAGACGGGCGGTAGAAACCTACTCATTCAGCGATGCAATTCGACGACCGTTCGTTGCGTGAAGGCAGCGACAGCTCAGAGACTTTCCTGATGAAAATGACCCAGCCCACAGGATCGTGTCAGTCTATCTTTGGGGGAACGTCAGACGGTGCCGAGCATATCGAGCCCGAGACCGATTCTAACCATCGAAAGCCCCACAGTTTCGGGGACGCTGCGACGACGCCCGCCAAGCTTGCAAACGAGAATGTTGCACCATTCCTCGTCAAACACATCCCCGAACAGTACGCTCCGTTAGGGTCGCGAAGAACCGACAAACTGGAGGATTTAAGCAAAAAGAATTCCAAATTTTGCTATCGCCACCGGCCAGACCTCAAGTGCAGGCGACAGGCAGACGAACCGTCAATGGACAAGCTACAGAAGGTAAGGTTTCATACGGCTCCTGGAATTTTTTTACTTGTTTGTTCTCTCTCTCTAATGCGATATAGGATTTGGAAGCGCTGCCTCCAAGCGATCAACAGGGCATTGCCCATGTCTGGTCTCTGTTTTCGGCGGCTCCCGCCAAGCACAGAAAATTGATCCTTCAGGGTATCATGGCCCAGTGTTGCTTTCCGCAGTTGTCGTTCGTATCCGCGACCGTTCGAGACCTCATCCGAATCGACTTTCTGACCGCCTTTCCGCCGGAGATCTCATTCAAAATCCTTTGTTACCTCGATACGACTTCGTTGTGCAAAGCGGCCCAGGTTTCCAGACGGTGGCGCGCGCTTGCGGATGACGATGTGGTCTGGCATCGGATGTGCGAGCAACATATCCACCGCAAATGCAAGAAATGCGGCTGGGGCCTTCCTCTTTTGGAGCGCAAACGCCTGCGAGAGTCCAAGCGCCAAATTGAGTTGCGCGCCACGAATTGGGATGTCAGCGGACCCTCGCAGAACGCAGGTGGCGCCGAATGCAGTGCGGCGCCAGCCGACGATCCCATTGCACAGAAACGGAAAGCGGATTCGAGCGATGAGGAGACGGCCATGGTGAAGCGGCACTGTTCCTCGCGGGGAGCGCGATCGCAGCAAGACGACGACTTTTACCTGACTCGTTATCGGCCGTGGAAAGAAGTCTACAAGGACCGGTTCAAAGTCGGTACAAATTGGAAGTACGGACGGTGCTCCATAAAGGAGTTCAAAGGTCACACCAACGGTGTTATGTGCCTGCAATTCGAGGACAATATTTTGGCGACTGGTTCATATGACGCGACGATTAAAATTTGGGATACCGAAACTGGGGAGGAGTTACAGACCCTCCGTGGACACGAATCCGGCATTCGCTGTCTCCAGTTTGATGATACCAAGTTGATCAGCGGTAGTATGGACCGTAGCCTGAAGGTCTGGAACTGGCGAACGGGCGAGTGCATTTCCACCTACACGGGTCACCGTGGTGGCGTGATTGGCCTGCACTTCGACGCAACAATTCTTGCGTCCGCCTCCGTCGATAAGACGGTCAAGATTTGGAACTTCGAGGACAAGTCGACGTTCCTTCTGCGCGGACACACTGATTGGGTTAACGCTGTCCGAGTGGATACAACCTCTCGTACGGTGTTCTCGGCCTCGGATGATTGCACGGTTCGCTTGTGGGACTTAGACACCAAGAATTGCATCCGGACCTTCCATGGCCATGTTGGCCAAGTCCAGCAGGTGATCCCTCTGCCCCGGGAGTTTGAGTTCGAAGAACATGACGCCGAATGTGATAATGACAATGTGAGTACCGCGTCGGGGGATACGGAACCCGCATCCCTCCAGGCAGTACTCGGACTGGAGTCAAGCACCTCTCAGACGTCGGTCTTTGGTCCTTCATTCGAGAATGGCCGCCCGGCCCCGCCGCGTTACATTGTCACAAGCGCCTTGGATTCGACTATTCGGCTCTGGGAGACTACGACTGGCCGGTGCCTGCGCACCTTCTTCGGCCATCTGGAGGGTGTCTGGGCACTCGGAGCTGATACGCTTCGTATCGTGTCCGGCGCGGAAGACCGGATGGTCAAGATCTGGGATCCCAGAACTGGCAAATGCGAGCGGACCTTCACCGGCCATTCGGGTCCGGTGACGTGCATCGGTCTCGGCGACAGTCGTTTTGCGACAGGCAGTGAAGATTGCGAAGTGCGCATGTACAGTTTCCGCAGTTAATAGTTTTACTTTCTTATTACTCTTGGCCCGTCTCCTGGGGGGACTTTACGCGCCTTTGTTTAATTTTGTGCTTCGGATGGATACCGATACCCTTCGAGTTGGGCGCTAGGGTCAGGGATTTTTATAGGGTTTCAGTTTAGCATGGGTTGGGGGTGTCTGGCGTTATTGTTTGGTTAATGGGACCACTTTTTATCGGAAAATTGTTTCCTAAGTATTCGTAATTGTCTAAATAGCAACTGTCCATTAATTAACACTGGTTCCATTCAACAAAAGAGTCTTACCAACCAGGTTTGCTCTAGAGAACTGTCATGATAGGCTATGCTGCTAAAATCGAAGTCTACAAGCTACAAGCGGCTACGTGGGAGAACTCCCGCGATTTTTATATGGTTCGGACTGACACATCTGAAAGCCGTCAACGCCGCGAGAATATCTGCCACACTTCCCTAGGTAATGTTTCTTGACACCACGGTTATGACGCGCCAATGTCTATGCGATATGCACTCAATTTACACCATTCGTGACCGGTTTTTGTCTCAGCAATGCGTTGTCGACAATCTCCGCGATAATATCCTGATACTCCATCCCGTTGTTCCTCGCAATCCAAGTGAACAAGGAGTGGTCCGGACGTAACCCGAAGATCGGATTCACCTAGAACCGCAAGGTTAGAATTAGCGAAGCGGTCATTTGGGTCTCGGTCCCAAAGGCAAAGCAAACCTCGATCACATAAGGGACGGCGCCCTCCTTCTCCGAGCTCAAACGAATATCAACCCGGCCGCCATCCCTGCATCCCAGTGCCTGGTACGCGGAGAAGCCAAGCTCCGATACGGTCTTCACCAGGGGGTCGGCGAGGTCCACGTGAACATGGCCCATGTCGTGTCCAATACCCTTGCCTCCCTTGGAGGAGCTCGTCGCAAAGTCGACGGAGACATCGTCGCTTTTCCTTCCCTCTGGGTTATACCATGTTACCTCTGCGGCGCCTAGGACTCGGGCCCGCTCGCCTGTGCCCAGGATGGCGACGGTGAATTCGCGGCCGTCGAGGAATTTCTCAAGGAGGATTTCTTGGTCAGGGAATTGGGTGCGGAGGTCTTCGATGACGGTGTGGAGGTCCTCTTTTCGGAGGATTTTGTTCGATGGTGAGATCCCGTTTGACGTGGATGCGGCGATTGGTTTGGCGAAGAGGGGGTAAGGCAATTGCCCTTCTAGAGCGGCGTAGTCTACCGCTTCGCCTGCTTTGGGCACGATGACGAACGAGCTCGTTGGGATTCGGTAGTGTTCTAATATCATCTACGCAGTTAAGGATTAGTGACGAATGTTCGGGATTAAAAGAGCCCACGTCTCGTGTGCTTGTTTCTCTCACCTTGGTCTTTCCCTTATCGATCCCCATTGCCAGCGTCGCCGCGTCTGAAAAGGTAAAGGGGATCTGATAGGCTTCTAGTAAGGCTGGGACCTGCGACTCACGGGCGGAGCCAACTACTCCTTCGCTGTAGTTGAACACAAGATCCCATTGCTTGTGCTGCTCTGCAGCCAGATGTTTCACGAGGGGTTTGATACCGGGTATATGGACTACGCGGTGTCCGAGACTCTCCAGCGCTGATGCTACCCCGTTGATGGTCACTTCGTCTGCTAGGTCGGCACATTCGTTGTCAGATAGCCCCATCGACAGGTAGTGGTCTTTTGGGTCATAGATGAAGGCCACGGTGAGGCCGGTACGTCTTGTGCCTGCCATGATGTATTCTCTTATACGGTATGGAAGGCCAATGGTGATAGGAGGGGAAATCGACAAGGAAAATGCAGTAGTCAAGGGCGAGGGTTAGATATTATAGTTAGGCAGAAGGATGGACGTTCGCCGCATCGCAAATGACATCAGACGGGAGAGTTGAGGCACATCTTGCCGTGCGTGGTCTTTGACGAGTCCCATTAGTCTCGTAGGAAACATTGCTATGCCACATTGTGCCCGTTCTTGGAACAAGGACAGGGGAGAGCCTACGACGTCATGTTTGTTCTCTTCACTCATCTCTTCTTACGTCATGATCGACCAGAATATTAAATAAACGATAACTCTGTCTGGACTCCGCCAAGGACGTTCCAATCCATGGACGTGTCTGAGGTGCGAATATCAACTCGGAGGATCCAAGCATGGTATCTCAAAGATGGTCCCCGCCTCGAACCTTATTCGCCCCTAGTTGTGGAAACGAGAGGGGAAGAAGGTTCGATGCGTCAACGGCTAAATCGCTCATCGGGTCGAGATCGTTGAAAATCGGATCTAGAGTTGAGGACGAAATATGTGCATAGAATTAGGGCTAGCAGGGTTAGTGTGATGGCATGACTGGAGTCAGGTGCCCTGCCTTTTAACTACCCATACTAGTCACTACATACGTACCGGATTTTCTAGACAGGTTGAAGGCATTCTCTTTCCGTTTTAGTGCTCCCCCCTCGCCGATTTTTGCTCACTAAATAGACCTGAGCACGCCCTGAGCGCCGTAAGCTGATCATTGAGCAGGGTGTTACACCCGGGGAGCCGACCAAGAGCTCTGCGCCCAATTAGCGACCCTCGCAGTTCACGATACTATACTGCAAGTTCAATGCACTATAGGGTCTCGGTCACATGACTACCAGGGCTAACTAGATTGGTGAGCCAAATGTGTTGTGATCTCAGGGGAAAGATGGGCAGGATGATGCTGTATCAGCTACACGTACGTAGCCTACTGAGGACCGGATGCCATTCCAATAGATCTCAATTCTATGGACGACTATGTCAACTATCTTCAGCTTCTTCTCTATTCTAATGGGTAAAGCCTTCAGGGGCTGAAGGAGTGGGTGATCCGGCCAAGCCGCTAGGCGATCACGTGTCTCCTATAGATTCATATCAAAATGGGTCCCTTGAGTCACCCCAGAGCAGCCTGGCAGAATAGGTTGATAATTTATCCTCCCTTTCTCCTCCTCACCATTTGGTGCTCTTATTAAGGCACCGATACAGTTGAGCGAAATCCTGTTTTTATGCCTGTTTTGCTGGCCATCACATTTAGGACGTCCAAGCTGATCGTCACACTCGCCTAGAATCTGGTTATCAAGTAGTATAGTATAATGCATACCGCTAGCCTTCTTTACTAAGGAAAAACGAATAGATATAGGGGTTTTCCATGTTTAAGAGGCTTATATATGAAGAATATTTAATTTCTTTTGTTGAATAGTTCTACATATTGACTGATATACGGAATGATGTCCGTTTTACGCCAGGGGCTCTCTCTAAGCACAATGGCCATTCCAGAGTGTCAGAGCGCGCTCACTGCCGTCAAGGAAGGGCAATACACCCTCAACACCACCCACCGTCTACCGTCACACAACCCTCTACCTCCGTCCTATGTTCTCATCCGGGTATCCTTCATTGCTCTGAACCCATGTAACTGGAAGGTCACAGACTTCTCTCCGGCAATCGGCACCGTGGGCGGTAACGACTTCAGCCAGCGGCCGGGGTTGTGGCCCTCGGCTCTGCCGTGAGTAAGTGGCAGATCGGAGACTCCGTCTGTGGCTTCCTCTACGGGCTGGATCCGCATGTGGGGGAGGGCGAATGGGCCGGGGCGTTTGCCGAGTACGTGAGCGTTCCCGAGGACCTAGTCATGCGGGTCGTCGAGAACAAAGTCAGCATGGCCGAAGCGGCATGTCTCGGGGCCGGGGTGGTAACAGCGGGTGGGCACTGCGGGACCTGGGCATTCTGGAGGGAATTGAAGAATTGAGACGTGGACTGGTGAGGGGGGAAGAAGCTAGTTTATGCCGTTGGCGAATAATTATCGCCTTGTTTCTTCGAACTTGATATCGGAATCTTAAGTAATACAGACACTTCTACTACTCCTCTTTCCCTTTGATTTCAGTCACCTTCCACTGCAATCCTGCCTTTTCCAGCCGCTGCACGTACGGGATCCCCAACGATGCCGGGGTGAGGATCCCGCCTCCCAATTTCTTGGCCATCGAGCCCTCTTCTTTCCCTTCCAAAACTTGCAGCAGGGTCAAGGCGGCTTCGCTAACCAAAGTCGTGCAGACGCTATACACATCCGTATCCATGCGCATGACGCCCAAGGCGCTGGGTTCGCTTACATCGGGCCCAGCCGCTGCGACTGTGGCCTTCCATTCCACGAAATGTCTCTCCCCCGGTTTCAACTGCGGCCCTGTTCCCGGTTGCGGAGAGAGCCATCGAAGCAGCCACCGGAGTGGCGGAAATAGCAGGGTACAGAAGACCGCGACGGACACGGTGAGAAACGAAGACCACGCCTGCAGCCAGCTCTTCGCAGCGGTATAGCCCTGGAAGCTGAATCGGTCCCCATATCGTTCGGTTCGGTCCCCGTATCGCTGTAGGAGTGACCAGGTGCGCATGACGACGGCTTGATCTGCCATCGCCGAGGGGTTGAAGGTGAGGTCGCCGAGAAAGCGATCCCGTCGGACGGGGAGGTTGGGAGCGGGATGAGGCCGATGCGGTCCGGCGTCTGGGATACAGGACGCGCGTGGTGCACTGGCAGCCATCATCTGCCGGAGCGAGTACGTCTCCAGGCCAGCGAGGATGCTTGCAATGGTCCCCGCGCTGTAGCCGGTCCAGGAATGCTGAATTGTGAAGAACATGGGCCCAAGAGGACGGCGCAGTCTCCGTGCCAGAAGGAGCGTCATAAGGTCCGGGGGGCTTGACTCCACGGCGCATTGTGGGATAATCTGCTCCGTCAATCATCTCTTCGTACATCGTCCTGCGGGGAGCAATACAATTGCCTTGTTGGCCATCGCCTTTTCATGCCACTGCGCTGCCAGCTGCTGCGTCCAAACGTGTTCCCCCGTGGAATCTACATAAGCGGTGGAATGCTCTATACAGGCTGCCACAACGGGTGTCCCATATTTGCAAAAGGGCTATACTGTCAGCCGTTTTGGTTACAGCGCGGTAGACAGCAAGGGACATACTCCGACCGTGTTAAGCACAAGGCGTGTTTGGGAGGCCATGTGCCCCAAGTCCTCGCCGCTGAGGGTGGCCACCATGACATGGGGCAGCTTGCGGTGGGATTGGGGTCGGTCCAAGGAGTCCACAAGGGTCGCCAGCTTCTGCTCGCTGCGGCCAGCAACAGCCCATCGGAGGGCTGGCGGACCATGAGTCCACAGGTACTGCACCACCAGGGACCCCAGGTAGCCGGTGGCGCCATACACAATCAGATCATACGGGCGGTTCATTTCTTCTCGGTTGAAGTTTCATACAGACATCAGTTAGAAATGGGAGTAGCACAGTTGGGGCCGAATGAACCCATTGAGGTCATGATAAATGAACAGACCCCTCTTCTAACCGCTTTTGGCAAAACCGCCGAATGTGCATATGCAGGTCAATCACCACTGGATCAGCATGAGGTATATGAGAGAATCCACGAGGAAATACGGCGGCAACAACACCCATGCTCTGGGGACCTCAAGCAATGAATCCCATAAACTCAATTAAGAAGCAAGACAGCTTAGGAAGCATGGAGATTCTTCGTCGATGGTGTCGAATGAATCTGATTCGGGGCGCCTTGGTGGACATGCCGGCCTGGGGCTGTTTCTAGCTGGATTTCATGTATGGGAAACTGCGCGGTAGCCTGAATCTCACCTCAGAGCTAATCAGGGCTCTATCAATTTCACTGAGTGGCTTGCGCGTCGGATGTCCACCTTTATCCAAATTCGGCATAGAGCAATCGGCGTGTTTGGCTTTGTACGGTTGTACTGAGCGCATGCTAGCCTGTAGAACTATGTATATATGTAGGGATAAAATAGGTATCATTGTGCCCCGAAGCGCATTTTACAGGTCTTTGAGTCAATTCAGTCAGGATCAGAAACAATGGCTACCTCCAAGGAGTCCCCATTTTATAATTTCAAGGTGCTGGACCGTAAGCACTCTCCAAGCCCTAATGTACTGCTATATGCACATCTAACCTTTCCCCGATTGCGACCCGCAGGAAATGGAGAAGAATACCCACTCTCCTCTACAAAAGGCAAAGTGGTCCTTGTCGTGAACACCGCCTCAAATGCAGCTTTACTCCCCAGTACGAAGGCTCGGGGAAGAGTACGACAAGGACTTTGTCATCTTGGGATTCCCTTGTAATCAGTGTCTGCGGCAGGGACCTGGGTCCAACAACGACATCTAGAGCTTGGGGAACCTCAGTAGTCGGTCCCTCACGAAGGTCGTATTGGGTAAGGTTGTCCAGCGATTTAATGTTAAAGAAAGCCCCATGTGCAAGGGCAATAACAAAAAGCAGCATGCCGGATGCGAACTGTGGCCTGTTATCATCACGAATCCCAAGCCGAATCTAACGAGGCAGTCAGTAACGGAGTCTGCGATACAGCGGTAGATCCATACAGGATATAATGGATGTACTTACACCATATAGTTTGGGTTTCGGTTCTTCTTTAGCCATTGTTGGTTGATCTACCAGCCTACCTTCCAAGGTTCGTTTGGGTTCGGACTGCAGAACAAGACAAGTTCAATATGCTGTGGATAGTCAGATATCACGTACTTATGAGCAAGGAAGTCTAAAACTTATCCTCTCACCTTATATTGGAGGCCTCTCTGACTCCTGTATTTTGTATCTGGGATAAAAGTTCTCAATTCTTGCTCCTGTAAAGAGAAATGCTTGAAATGCGAATAGGATAAACACTTTTAGAAGCTTATGGAGAAAGACAGGACAGTTACAGGCCCACAATAAAGATATAGTGCTTAAATAATTATCCTTGGTAAAGTTAAATTTTGCTTTTCTAATATCCTTAATTTCACGTTCTTCCGTCAAGGCCTTTTTAATCCACTGAAGAACTTTCCGGCACACGCTAAAGTGGTTCTTACGGTGGCTTTCCTGTCTTTACTGGGCCGTCCTGTGCCTTTGACAGCCCAGATATACCAGCGAATAAAATATTTGATAACGACAATGTCTGGAGCTGGACAGCCAGGCCTGATCTGGTGGCCAACTGGCCCGTATTCTTCTTCAATCAGAAATCTGAACCAATGAATTCAGTATCTTTAGACAATAAGAGTGGTTTGCGTGTCAACTTACTCCAAGTAAAGAGTCACGTAGTCTTGATATAAATTTTTTACTTTGTCAGTACAATTGTGTTTCCCTTTTTTAGTGTCTTTCTCTTGATAAACTCTTGAAACAACCATTTACTTCGCGACATTCACGACACTTCATCTTTGCCTCTTCCTCTTTGAAATAGCTCCTTTTGTCATTAGCTTGTCAGTGGACAAGGGAGACGCAAATACGAGGATCTAAGGGATCACAGATAATTGAAAGAAGCAAAAGCAGAAGTTCCAGTCAAGAAATCAAGAAAAAATGTATAATAGGTTCTCATGCTCCTCTGTATTGGATTTATAGTCTTCAAAGAGAGGAAAATACATGCCTTTACAGCTTTTTTAGAGCCCATCCTCCAATCTGATTACAATTGCTCTCGGTGTTTACATCTTACTTTAGAAGTTCGCCACTGGAGGTTAAATTAATTCCTATCAAGTTTCTATTTGCGCCATCTTGTGTAACGAGTATTGGTACGGACTCGGGCAAACTTGAGGGCTGTTCATCAGACGGTCGTCGAACTACCCACACCAAATAAAGGGCTGATGAGCAAACTCAGTACACCACATGACTGCTCACTGAGTAGGCCCTGAGCGCTCACTGAGCGGTGATCTGTGACAAGAAGTACTCACTGAGCAAGGCCTTGAGTACCCTCACTGAAGCGGCGACGTTCAAAGCAGGAAATCAACGATATTGTAGAAAATCAGGTACGTAGAGGTACATATATAAATAGATATACACAACTAGTCTCGGAGTTTCTTAAGCGCCACTGAATCGCCTCGTGACTCGACATCCCCGGCTTCAATGGAGCGGATGAGCGCTTCACATTCCGTGCTCCGTGGCTGGATGTTAACATCGAAGGGCGATAGATGGCCAACAATTCCAGGTTGATAATCTATGACGGGGTTGATCTCCCTACCATCTTGCATGGCCTTGCTGATCCGAAATACTGCGAGGGATCGCGCGATCATGAGAAAGTTATTGAAGTCTGCCAGGGGACGACCAGGGCAAACCCGGCGACCAAACCCGAAGGCGAGGGTGTGTGGATTGCGTTCGGGAACGTGGCCATCCCAATCCAAGAAGCGCTCGGGACTGAACGACATAGGGTTGGAATACACGTCAGGATCATGCGTGAATGCCCTGTCCCGGAGTGTGTTATGAGAGGGCGACGCTGTTGTAGACAGAGCAGCTTACCAGATATTAGGGACCACCGGGGCTCCCTTGGGGATCAGGTAGCCCTCATAGATATCATCCTCAGTGGCTGCGTGCATGATGCCTATTTGAACTACCGGATTCCACCGTAGGACCTCGTTAATCAGTGCATTGACGTAAGGCAAGTTCTCCTGATCTTCAGGTATAGGTAGCCTAGATCCGACAATTCGGTCGATTTCTTCCTGCGCCTTGAGCTGTGCAGCTGGGAAAAGCGCCATAGCCAGGAAGAAGGATGCTATCGTGGAAGCAGTCTATGACCTCAATTAATACTGTACCGGGGCACGTTTACTTATATCTCCTGTGGTGCTACCTCCATCATCGTCCTGAAGGAAAAAGCGGTTGCGTACCGTATCAAAGCCAGCTTGGTATACCGCAGCTGCCGACTGTTTGATCTCTACTTCCTCCTCGGGACTCAGCTGCGGGCCTGCCTGTTCAATTTGCTTAGAAACAAATGAAGACTCGAACTTGCCCTCCTTCATCTGGTGCTGGACAAAGGCAAACGGCCAGTCCGCTAATTCATTGAATCCGCGTCGATACTCACGGGCGTTCTTCTGAAACCCAGCCCCTGGAAGCCAACTCGGCAAGTACCTCACTGGCACAACCAATAAGCCACCGACAAGCGCATGCCGAGGATAGGCCACTTACAGGCAGGAATACTGTCCACCAGCCAGCCTGCTGGTTGATTGACCATGCCAAATCCATGTGCTGTCTTCGCTACAAGATCAAGGAGTGGATCTTGACCATGAGGACTAATGTTATAACCGTATGTTACTTTTAATATAATGCCTCCGATTGTGCTGCGGGGCCGCATTAGTTGGCAACTACGAGGCCTAAAAGTAGCCAGTCTACACTGCACTTACGTTTTGATATGATCCAACACTCCCTCGGGCTTCAGCAATGTCCTCAGGAGGAATCGCCGGACCTCTAAATCCATCTGTGGATACAGGGATAATAATGCGTTCTCAGAGCGCAGTTGTAGATGCACACGTTTTCGCTGTGCGCGAACGGTCGCAGGATCGTTCCTCATGGTTACAAATAGGTCCGCTCCAGCGCTAAGGAATCGAGTATTTAGGTATCAGCGTCATTCCCTTTACATGATGCGGCGCGCGATGGAGAAAGAGGCAGTTACAGCTCACGGGCCATCACCATTCTCGGACGCGATGAGTATCGCGCCGAGCGCTTTTCCAGCAGTTCCATCGCAACATTTGTGGCATTTAGAATTATGATGGTACGCCCCGCTGTTGTGACGGAACTGATGGGCCCTAACGGTCTTCATATCAGCCATATGATACTGAACGAGCAGTTACGAGAGCGCGATTCATACCATACAACTTCTTATGTTTCAGCCAATGTTCCCAGTCTTTACCACCGGGTGGCGGGAGATCGCTTCCTATGTTCCCGATTATGGGCAGTCGTTTCGGCCCTGGGGGAAGTGGTGGGGCTTGTGATGCCCTTGACTTCAGCAGGAGACATAGCCCCAGCACGGCCGCCAACAGGACCAAAACGTGCAAACTATACACCATGATGGCCACAATTTCAGTTAGGAATATACCAGGACGGAGGTGCGATAAAGGGGAGTGTCCCGAATTATTTCCCTAGAAAAAGATTCCAGCACGTTGGGCAGAAGTACAGTGACATAAGAGTCGCTCGTACTGGGTGGATCAATGTCTGCTCGGATGCGACCTCTTGGGCGATTTGATTGGGTGGCACGACCATCAGTACCAGACCTTGCGCACGTCAGCTTCACTGATAGACATCCAGTGAGAATTCTTGATGTGGTGTTGCACTGCAGAATCCATTGCATTAGTTTGTGCGTTAGTAGTAGATCAAGTGATAGTCATTGGGTGCCATTCCAAGAGCTCCTCATGGTGAGGTAGGTAGCACCCAAAATAGCAAACAAGATCATATTCGACCAGTCTGATGTAAACGGCATTGTGAGGGTTTCCAGTGGGGAATGCTGGGTTTCTCAGTGGGAGATGTACGGAGATGGTCCATGTCATGACAGAACCCCAACTAGTAAATTCAGTGGCATAACCCCACGTACAAGCTAGGTAATCTTCCAAGTCAAATCTGACCTTCTCTCAAAGATCCATATCACATTATATGATCTCACAGCACATGGTCACGTGACCAATGCTCAAGATAGCGCAGTATATATTTTTATATAAAAAGGAGGGAATTGTACATACCAAAAATTTGTGAAATGTAAATTATGAACTTTTCCCTGCCAGAAGAATGCCATTCATCAATCGAGCGACTCGGTAAAATGACTTCCCTGGTGGGTCCGCGAGGCCTCCGCGGTCTCCGCGGCGGGCACGGAAAACACGGAGACCGATAGTTAATCGCACGATCTATGCTTCATACTCCCTTGGTTGCATAAGGGGTTTATTTAAATACACGGGAGGAAAGTACAGGCTATGTCAAGCACCGTTAAAAGTGTGACCTTGACCTAGAAGGGTACAGAAAATGTCGGCAGTCAGTTCGGCCAGTGACCAGTGAGTACCTGATCAATATATATATATATATGTTGTTTCACAAAGCATCACTAGAATACAGCGCTCGGAGAGTCGGTGAAACTGACGAATTGTCCTAGTCACCAAACAGAAATGCCGCGAAACCGTCATGCCAATGGCTTTGCCAATGGCTCCAAGAAACCTGTACAGAAGCCTTCTCTATCAGAAACCAGCTTCGAGTTCGGTGGTCCAGTCGGAGTGTCGGCGCTGATGCTGGGATTTCCTTCGCTGATGTACTACATGTACATTGGAGCCGCTTTCTACGATGGCCGTGCCCCAACACCTCAGAATGGCGAGACCATTAGCGATTTCCTGTATCATCTTTTCGACCTGGCGTATACGCACGCCTTCCCTCACCGCCGAGCATGGGCCATCTACTGGATCTTCCTCATCCTGCAAGGTATCGGATATCTCTATCTTCCCGGAGCATACGGCAAGGGAAAATGCTTGCCTCACCTGAATGGGAAGCAGCTGGACTACTATTGTTCCGCGTTATCCGCCTGGTACATAACAATCGCAGGTGGGCTGGCCCTGCACTTCACCGGAGTCTTTCGGCTAGATACCTTGATCACTGAGTTTGGCCCATTGATGTCGGTGGGTATCTGCTCAGGCTTCTTGGTCTCCATCATCGCGTATGTGTCGGCATTGGCTAGAGGGGTGGAACATCGCATGACCGGTTCGCATATTTATGACTTCTTCGTGGGGGCTGAACTGAACCCCCGGCTCTTTCGGTGGATCGACATGAAAATGCTCTTCGAAGTCCGGCTCCCTTGGTACTTTTTGTTCCTCCTGTCACTGGCCACAGCCCTGAAGCAGTGGGAAGATTATGGCTATGTCTCCGGAGAAGTGATGTTCCTGCTAATGGCACACTTCCTGTATGCCAATGCCTGCTCCAAAGGTGAAGAGTTGATCATCACAAGCTGGTAAGTCTAGAGACGTTTGACTGAGGCGAGAGAATTGTCATTAATCACATATAGGGATATGTACCACGAGAAATGGGGTTTCATGCTCATTTTCTGGAACCTCGCGGGGGTTCCAATGAGCTACTGCCACTGCACTCTGTACCTCGCGTACCACCATCCATCCACATATCGTTGGAATCCGATTGCACTCGCCGCACTGTTCGTGGCGTATCTATTTGCGTATTGGGTCTGGGACACGTGCAACAGCCAAAAGAATATGTTCAGAGCTCAGGAGCGCGGGTTCTGGGTGGACCGGAAGACATTCCCTCACCTGCCCTGGAAGTACATCGAAAACCCACAGAAGATTCCAACCACAACGGGCGACTCCATTCTATGCAGCGGGTGGTGTAAGTTAATGATAGCCCATGGCAAGTCCATAATGTCTGACTATGCTAACGCATTATATAGACGGTATGGCACGCAAGGTGCATTATACCTGCGATTGGTTTTTCGCATTCTCCTGGGGATTGATCACCGGGTTCAACTCGCCCTTCCCCTGGTTTTATTCGGTGTTCTTTACCGTAATGATTATCCACCGCACCCGCCGGGATATCCAGCGATGCCGGGAAAGATATGGAGAGGCGTGGGAGGAGTACGAACGTCGGGTTCCGAAATTGTTTATTCCGGTAAGTCACCACCGATTGCATCGCAGGCTGAAGCTAACCATACGTCACAGTATGTGATCTAAAGACCCTACTTCTGTCCAAGACCGATGGGAGGATCTGCCATTTGGTGTCGTTCTATGGGCTTCGTGTATGATAGTTGTATTCATGTCAATTAAAAGTGTCGTTCATGTAGTTCATGTTTAGGATATTCATGACCGATCGGTTTGCTCCGATGAAGTCGTTTAGAAACATAGAAATATCTTCTTGACTCATTGCGGAGTCAAACGTATCTTCTGGCCATGGCACGTTTGGGAGAGAGATATTGGCTGGGCCGTCCGTCGTAGTTGGGATGACAAGCGAGCCATCTTGATGTTGCTCCAGCCCCATCAGAGTCTGTTGAGATTCCACAAGAACCTGTGCCGCTCTGGCAAAAGCTTCGCAAATGGTATACAAATGTGTGGACCCACGGGAGAGTCCCTTAATGAGGTCCAAAGACTTGACGGTCTCTTGGAGTAAAGTCAGATCGGCATTGTTGGCAGTGGTAATCGCGTGGGTGAAAACAATCACAAAAGGTGCAAAGGATGGATATAGTAGAATCCTTCATCTCTGGGTCAGCTGTGTTTGAAGGCATGTGCCCAAATGTGTACTAACCAGTGAACATATTCGATTTGCTTATGGGTCTGACGCCCGCGGAAATAGGTGAAACATTTCAAATGACTATGCAGCGCTAGCGTGGCTGCCTCATAACATCGGGATGAGATTGCCATGGCATTGCGGGGACGTGTTTCGGCTCGGTAGATAACTGTCAGCACGGAATAGGTGATGAAGTCCGCACAGGCGGCCATGCCATGTAAAGATTCCGCGTAGAGACCTGTGCTAACATCGATCTGCGAAGGAGTCAGCTGCTGATATATCGGGTCTTGCTATTGCTAGAAAGCTTACCGCGAGAAGTTTGTCTCGAACTGCAATTAAGTCCATAGAAAGCTTTTCAATGGAACTTAGCCTCTTTTCATCGCTAGCCCTGGAAGCCGAAATAGAGTATAATTCATCATAGACCCGTCCTTGGATCGTCGCGAACTCGGCCGTAACGAGAGTCATTAGGTCCCATGGGCGATACTGTTGATGTTCCGAAGGGGTAAAGAAGTCGGCATCAATATCATGATCCTGGAAGTGTGACGTGAAACCCAGGTTCAGGGATATATTCTTGTCAATCGTGTAAAGTAACCAGAAAACGTGGCGCTTCGTTTCTGCGAGTGTGAATGGATCATCCTTGGTGGTAGAATTTCTATGCAAGCCTATAGTTTGGCACATGTTGAACGCAAGGGACAGGTATGTCCAGCAGCGTTGAATATCAAATTCTTCCTGCGCTTTGAATATCTGCAGTCGTCAGCGCGACTTCTGAGTGATATGGGTGTCACTTACTCCGATCAAGAGTGCTTGGACTTTTTCAAGGGTCGGATCCGCCATCAGCTCATGACTGTTCAATCCCAAATAAAAGCGGCTCTCGCAGAGTTTTGCGCTAGATGGTAGATCAAACTGCACGAGGTCGGGATGTCCCTCATGAAGATAATCTCGGATGATATAATACAGCAGTCCATATAATAGCGTCATCGACCCGGCAGGGATTGGATTTAGGGGGAAATATATGGATTGGCAGAGGGATTCAACTTGAAGAAAGTCCCTCCAGGAATGGCTGACGAGGAAGAACGGAGGTTTGGCTACTCAGTCAGCCGATGCAATCGAGGACGGAAAAGAACTCTCGAACCTTTTAAGGCCCTGACCACTGCCACTACGAGGTCAACCGGCAGGAATGATTCTGTTCCCTGTGATGATAACGGCACGCTCTTCTCTGTCGGCTGGGTATCGGGAGACGGGTGTTCCTTTGCGAGGCTATTCTTTAAAGACGACAGAACCGCAGACACATGATCGTTCAAGCCACTGTTCTGGGAGGTAGAAATAGCCGACAATGCCGCATCTTTAGCAAGAAGCGTCTCATGGTGGAAGGACGACTGCCCTTCGAATGGCAGGGTGGCGTGAGAAGATGACACAGGAACAGGAACCGAGCCAGCGGTGGGAGGTGTAGTTGAAGGCTGCGTAATTTGCGCCAGTGCTTGATTGATAACAGCGAGCTGTTCTTGGATGGCATCAAATTTCTCTTCACTGTTTCGTATGGTCAACTCGAGGGCAACGCAAGGGCCTATCCATGGCTGCCTTACTATTGGCCCGACACATTCCGCCGGGGCTCTGGGACACTCGCAGAAATCCCGGCCACTCTACAAAGTATCCCTAAGGCACCACAGCTGGAGCATGGAATAGTCTTGTCACACTTAATCTACTGCCCGTTAGTTGTATGTTGTACGGTTGCCCTGCAAAATGGCTGCTAGCACTTACCTTGCGGGCTCGGCAATTGTCACACTACTGATTATTAGTTGGCGGGTTTCCGCACGCATTTGGGAGATAAACATACCGCGCGAGCGCGAAAGGAGTTCCTTGCAGGTGAATGAACCCTGTCCGCCATTGTAGATTTCCCCGAGGTATATTGATAGGAAATGACTAAAGAGGCAACGGATGGCAGAAACAGTGCCGGAAAAAGGGTCACATGATTTCGCGTTTCGGTTTAGCGTGTTCTCTGCCTCCCATGATACGCTTGCCCTCCTCGATTTCGTCAAAGCTGGGTTCTTTATAGCCCTCGTAATGGATTGCGACTCGTCCAGTTCGCTCCAACTGGGAACCTGAGTCTTGGGGGTACAAGTTTGTAGTAATCAATGGAATCTCATGTCCCTCTTTGATAGAGGACTAATGGAGGAGAATAAATCCTTCCCTCCCTCCTGCTAGCTCCGGAACGGGTATTATCAACCCGTATATGACAGTTCTGAGCTCTCTAACTATCTTCTAGATCCCATTGGAGTCAACCCCTCTGCTTCCTTACATGGCGTTGTTATCCCTCATCCTCTCTTTTTGTTTGTGGATCGGCTGCCTGATCTCCATCTTCTACGATGCGGTCGGCATATCTCCATTCCAGCGGAAGCTTGTCATGTAGATCGCAGTTGTCGGAGAGCTGGTGTTGGGGGCTGCACACGCAGTTATTTGGCTCGAACACAAACAATTCTTCCCCAGCGCAATACAACCCAACTGGATTATCATGTTTCTTGCGGTGCAGGCATGGTGGGACCTTCTGTTATCTATCGGTTATGCCATATTAGGAGCTGCGTTGGCAGAGGCTGGTCTAGACTGTTTAGAGGCTGTGACATGAGTTGGAATGAATCCACTCTTTTATCCTTATCATAGCCAAGGTGCTGTCCATTGGTCAAAAGAAACCTATAATATAAAGATGGACCGCTAAGCCTTACCTTATTAAAGATCCATTCCACTAATCGTCTTCAATTAATCATTTAGGGGAATCAAGACAGCTGGCTGAACGTCGCAGAGTGGAGCCGGTCATGGTCTATGCGGATGCAGTACACGTCGTGGCATTAACCCAGATTCAAACAGCATGAACGCGGTATGAGGGCGACAGTCGTGCACGGCAAAGGGGATATTTTATGCAAACTACAAGAAGTGGTCCAGTCATTCTCGAAATCGGGTTGGCCGACAAACATATAAGACCTTAAGTATGAGTACCCTATTGATTTAGTGGTTCTCAATTGAGGGCAGGCGTAAATAGCCTGTCGCATGGAACAAGAAATATATGAAGTATTATGTTACATGACACGTTCCTATATGCTGGCTGCTGCATAAATGGCTGTTTTACCGCATTAGCAAGCACCATGCGTACAGAATACTGAGCAAAACTACTTCGAGCAATTAGTGCGCTGACCTACGTCGACGAGAATTTATTGAACTAGCAGCTTAAGCTTCTCCCATACAGAACCAGAGTTAACAAAAGCGTCTTTGAGTGATGTATCAATTTTACTGTTACCAGGCACAAATCGCTTGCACAAGGCCATTGCTAATAGATAGTATAATGACGTGCTTTCTGTAAAGCGTTATGTAAGAGAAATATAGATATGCTTTATTGTGTCTTGACTAACACTGGAGGATTTACAATGAAGGTAAGAAGGTAGTTGGCTCAGAAGAGTAGCATGCGATTTATGAACTCGTACTCATAAAATATTCTCAAGCACGAGTATACGATAAATAGCACAAAATCCCACCATGCATCAGCCGCCATAAACATAAGTAACCAATTTAGCTCTGATGTTTCGAGATAGTAATAGCTGTATCCAAACCAAAGGAATGTCCATGCTCCCGCCAATAGCAGCTTGCCACCCACGGATATCCAGCTTCTCGTCTTTGTCTGAAACCCGTTCACAGAATCCAAAAAAGGCCTAAAATACACTATCCAGCAACCAAGGCCGAGGAACATACATAGTGCTGCAAAGTGTGGGAGCAAGGGTGCCCATACTCGTAGAGTCTTGGGTAGAGAGCTATTTGAGAAAACGTTAGGCGAGGGCAAAGCACCTACTGGCTTTGGGGTTCGATAGATTTCATGCACCCAAACAACGGTCACTACGGTGCATGTGAGGCTCACGGCGCAAATACGTCTGACCACAGGCGGAGATATAACAATAATAGAGTCACCAGAGCTGATTGAGTCGTGTCTGGTCCTGGATTCTGGTCTCCGTGTCGCTGGATGGTAGGAAGGTAAAAGTGGCTCCGTGGGCATTGGCTAATGATAGTATTGTCTGTTATTGTTAAGGCCCAGTGAGAATTTTATGTTTTGTTGACAGGGTCGAGATGCCCCCCTGCATTCTCTGGATTAGTTATACACCTAGTCATGTGACGCTTCACGACACCAGTTCCATAAGTCTTGTACAGTGCCGTATAAAAATAGATAGTATATTGCCATTGTGAGCAGAAGTAGAGCACTATTGGCTATAGCGATAAGGTTACATACGGGCAGTCATACAGAGCGAGAATCTCCCGTACTCACGAACCATAATGAACAAGTTCGCCGACTGGTATTTTGCACGCCATCGAGGAGGTGGCAGATACAGCATCCTTAAGAAAGTTAGTATGTTCCGTCTGTAACAACTAGCGGGCCCTTCGCACCCGTAATTACCTTTGAAGGGTGACATCTTAGCATCTACTCACCATTCGTAACCGGTACGCAATAGATCACCTAACTTTAAGCCACTGGGGAAACTTAAGACAGAAGTATGACTGAGGAAGAAGCTCCTTGATACAGATGTTTTGGTCTTTGACGAAATTGGCATGGTCGAGAATCATCATGTTGAGTGTTTAAGTGCGAAAATGTAAGAAGCAAGGCATTCAGACAGTCCATTAGGTGAAATCCAGCTTGTAGTTACTGGTGATTTTGGCCAATTACCACATTCACATACATTCTGCATTGTGATCGGGAGATGTTCAAGAAGATAGCTATTTCCATCCACAATGTCCCGAACATGGAGAATTCCGGATGAAGACAAATGGGCTTTCCGGAGCTGCTGCCCGGCTAATATGATCATTGCCTGATTCATGATTGTTTCCCCGCAATGGCATTCATTTTCCCGTCTGTACGCCAAGTTATTTCCCGGCAAAACAGTGGGAAACCTCATCGTGGGTCGTCAAGTGCCCCACGTTTACCCCAGATAAATATAGGCTGAATACAGGATATTAGCGTGGGGTTCGGTATCGGGAACTAGCAAGTTGTAGGTTTCGGTATTTAAATTCGCTTCAATTGCCCGGTACAATAACAACAAATACTAGAATGTCAACATGATGTGCTGGTCAATCCTAACCGCCTTCCTTGGGCTCATATCTTTCGCGACAGCGGAAAACGGGTTCAATGGATGGCTGCGATATGCGCCTGTCCATTGCGACAAACGGTGCCAGCGGGCGTTACCGTCGAGTATCGTTACATTGAATAGCACCGGGACGAGCCCTTTAGCCACCGCTGCCCAGGAGCTCCAAACTGGACTGGAGAACATTATTGGCAAGCACTTGCCTATCAAACATGCTAGCTGTGGCCGTCGTGGATCAATCTTGGTAGCTACGCTCGACCAACACAGTCGGGTCTGTAACAGAAGCGCTGATGTTCCTGCTCTTAGCGGTGATGGATTTTGGTTGAGAGCATATGGCGACACTGTTCAAATCCTAGGAAAAAACGAGAAAGGCGCCTTATATGGGGCGTTTGAGTATCTCTCACTGCTTGCACAGGCGAACTTCACCCACGTTGACTATTCAACCAGCCCGCACGCACCAGTTAGATGGGTAAACCAGTGGGATAATATGGACGGAAGCATTGAGCGTGGTTATGCGGGACCGTCCTTATTCTTTAGGGAGGGTCGTATTGTCGAGGACCTGTCGCGGGTCAAGCAATATGCGCGCCTTCTAGCGTCTATCCGGATCAACGGCATTGTCGTGAACAACGTCAATGCTAATGCAACCCTCCTGACGGCGCAAAACATGGATGGCTTGGCTCGCATAGCGGATGTTTTCCGCCCCTATGGCATTAAAATCGGCGTATCTCTCAACTTTGCCTCACCAGTTACCTTGGGAGGCTTAGGAACTTACGATCCGCTTGACCCGTCCGTCGCTGCTTGGTGGGCTAACGTTACCGATGAGCTATATCAGCGCATTCCGGACATGGCAGGATATTTGGTGAAAGCGAGCTCTGAGGGACAACCTGGTCCTGACACTTACAATCGCACATTAGCTGAGGGAGCCAACGTCTTTGCCAAAGCTCTACAGCCCCACGGCGGGATTCTTATGTTTCGTACCTTTGTCTATGACCATCATATCAACGAGTCGATCTGGACAAATGACCGGGCTAATGCACAAGTGGACTTCTTCAAGAAGCTGGATGGCCAATTTGAGGAAAACGTGATTTTACAGATTAAATTTGGGCCCATTGACTTCCAAGTCCGCGAGCCGGTGTCTCCGCTGTTCGCTAATCTCTACCAGACCAACATGGCGATTGAGCTGCAGGTTACCCAGGAATACTTAGGCCAACAGGATCACCTTGTATATCTGTCCCTATTGTGGAAAGAGATTCTGGACTTTGACCTCCGGGTCGACCATCAACCGTCACTAGTTCGCGACATCATCTCCGGACAACGGTTCGATCGCCGGCTAGGAGGATGGGCAGCGGTAGTAAATGCTGGGACGAACACAACGTGGTTGGGCAGTCATTTAGCCATGTCAAATTTGTATGCCTACGGTCGTCTCGCATGGTGCCCCACGGATGGCTCGCAAGAGATCCTGCAGGACTGGATTCGCCTTACATTTGGACGAGACCAGCATGTGTTGGACACCATCACCGATATGTCTATGAAGTCGTGGCCCGCATATGAGAACTACACGGGGAACTTAGGGATCCAGACGTTAACCGATATTCTCTACACGCACTACGGCCCCAATCCCGCGTCGCAGGACAACAACGGTTGGGGACAATGGACACGGGCTGACCACGATACTATCGGCATGGACCGCACCGTTAAGAATGGCACAGGGAATGCCGGCCAATATCCAGCTGAAATAGCCCAAGTATACGAGGATATCGACAGCACGCCGGATAGTTTGCTACTCTGGTTTCATCACGTTCCCTACACACACCGTCTGCACTCGGGAAAAACCGTCATCCAACATTTTTACGATGCACACTACAGTGGAGCGGAGACAGCGCATCATTTCTTATCCCAGTGGGAGTCTCTTGGAGGACAAATTGACCAGCAACGCTTCAACGAAGTAAAGTCTCGCTTGACCTACCAGGCTGGTCATTCTCTCGTGTGGCGTGATGCCATCAACAACTTCTACTGGAACCTGTCTGGAATTTCAGACGAGAACGGACGTGTCGGCCATCATCCATGGCGTGTGGAGGCAGAGTCTATGGCCCTGGACGGCTACGAGCCGTATGCGGTGAGCCCTTTCGAGGCTGCGTCTGGTTATGGAGCAATTGTCACCGCGTCAAATTCCACCATAGGGACAGCCCAGACAACACTTGAATTCCCCTCGGGGACATATGACCTCGGTGTCAACTACTATGACATGTATGGTGGAAAGTCCGAGTGGGCGGTCTATCTTAACGACCGCCTCGTGGGGAAATGGGAAGGGAATAGTGAGGATACCCTGGGACATACGCCTTCTATCTATATAGATGGCCATTCTGCCACCCGTATCACCTTTCGGGACGTGTATATCCAGCAAGGCGACCAGTTAAAGATTACAGGTGTGCCGGATGGGGTTGAGCCTGCTCCTTTGGACTATGTGGTGCTGCTCCCACCAAGCGTTGTGGATTGATCAAAATGTCACAAGTCTTTCGTAGCTTAAAGTAGGGCTACCCGGCGATTACACAAATACTGTCCCGTTTTGAAGCCTCGTCACTGCCACCTTATGTTAGGTCATATGTTGAGATAAGTTATAGAAAGACCAGACTAAGCATACGTAACCGCAATATCGCAATGAGCCATTCCGTGTAACACCCCGGTTATTTATAGCGTGAGAATATTTGGAATTACGAAGCTCTGACGCGAAGGCTAAGGTGCGACTCGGCGACTAGGTTACTAACTGGAGCTTACCGACGAGTCGTAGGGCACTGTTAGGGCGCGTATCACACATTCCACCCACGTAGTCCCATGATAGCAATCAGAAACGAAGCAGAGCGGGTCAAAGCAACCCGAAAAGGGGGCGCAGGAAAATGGCCCCATCCGTAGACGACTCGAGCAATAGAACTACGAGAATCCCACCGAGACCGGACACGACTACCCAAAATAACACGATGATAGAACGAAAGCCGAAAAGGAAGAGGCACAGTTTAACTCACGTTTAGTGCCTCCTGGAAGTATGACAGATATTAACCAAAATGACCACTATTTCAGAATTAGGAAACGCCAGATTAGTCAGCCATCGCCATGACCATCTTTGACCTCTCTTTTCCTATTTTGACAATTGATACACGTGTCAAATTGAGTAGTATTTAGTTGTGAGATAGAGGTAGAGATTTAGGAATTCAGACCCTCATGCACTAATATCTTTGGCCATAGAATTACTAGTGTATCCCGAATACAATAGATGTTGACAGCAGATGTATCAGACAGGGTACTATACTCCTCGGGGGAATGTTGTCCAGTCCACGACTCCACTGTAGCAATTAAGGTAGAGTAAAAGTGGGTCGACCATTTTGCTCCGAGCCAGTTGGATGCTTGGATTTAGTCAATGGTTACTTGGGTGCCTGGGGGATCATGCAGCTCCGATTCTGGCACCCAGGCTAGTTGCTTAGGTGGGCACCTGTCCAAATATCTCCGATTGCAACTTACAACATCATGGTAGAGACAATGGGTATGTGACTAAAGAGGATATTGCGGACCTTGGCATGATTATTGCGTAGTTTAGTACCCTGTTGCAAGTGAAGTGTGTGAGATACATAGCTTTCAGCTTGCTTTGTTGTTGTTTTCTCAAGTGTGGTGTCGTGTAGAGTGGTCGCTATGAGTATATCGGAGCTTCAAGTAATGAACTAGTCAATGCTCTGCAAGGAAGTATTTAATTTTTATATTCCTATAAGAAACCAGCACTGAGAAGAACTCGGATACTATAACTCGGCTTATGATGCTCAGGATGATTCATATGTATGGATTCGGACTGGGTATATTCTTTGCCTGAAGCGGGCCTCTACCTGTAATGGATATCTAATGTATCTAATGCAGTTATATACAATCAAAAAAAAAAAGAGCAAAATAGATAAAATAGATAAAATGGAAGAAAAAAGTAACAAATAGAAGCAACAGGAAAGGGAAAGGAACATTAAACAGCTTCCTGTCCCTGGAGATCCCACTTGAGCCGAGCAACACCTCCCATACCGACCAACCACACCTCGCGATAATCATTAGCATCCGACCAGATGAAGTTGTTAACGCTGAAGTTGGTCTGGACACGCATGATCATATCGCCGTACTGATCCATCACGCTCAATCCGTTACCCGACGCCGTGACGACGTATCCATTGCGCGCGACCTTGAGTCCGTCTGGGACAGAGCCAATGACATCATAATGGATAGGCCTCTTGTTAATGATAGCACGGCCATCATCGACGAGATCAAACTTGTAGATCGCGCGTGTGCCGGTAATGTTGTACAGGATTCCTGCTCCGCCGACACTGGGGACTTCAGGGGCGATTGGTGCTGAGAGACCCGCGGCAGCCGTATCGGTGATGTAAATGTGCTTACGGTCGGGGCTGAGTGCAATTCCATTGGGCGAGTGCATCTCATCGTTGACAATGACTGTGGATCCTGTGGCAGGATCGAATCGGTATGTGCCTGACTTGAGTTGAGGAGGGATGTCGGCGAGGCCGAGCCACCAGGAGTAGTAGGGGACGGTGAACCAGACGAACCCAGTCTCCGGGTCAACGATGATATCATCGCAATCCGTGAAGGTCAGACCGTAGTAGTTGTCTAGGAGCGTTGTGGACTTGTTGGTGGCCGGGTCCAAGGTGACAATTCCGGGTCTTTGCTCCTGACCGGGAACGGAGGCGTTGCTCCCGGCCACGGAGAAGTAGACTTTGTTCTTATGGTAGAATCCACCGTTAGGGATGTAGATGGGCGGGTCTGCGACAAACTCCGACAGAGTCGGAGGATCTTGGTTGAGATCGATGACATGTTGTGGGAGGTTTGTGGAGAGTTGGGAGAAGTAGATTCGGTTCAAGCCGGGAACGAAGACAGGAGACTCGTGCATGTGGTTCGGGCTCACGGAGAAGACGAACTCCACGCTGGGAGATTTTCCCAGGACTTCAGCTGCACGGGCTTCATCGAAGACAATGAAGTCGGCTGTTGATACCTGTTTCCATGAGGCATCTCCGGGCACTTCTGTGTCTCCGTACATAGAGATCTCTCGGCCGTTGGGGCACTCGCGGTAGAAGGGGTATGGGAGATTAGCGGCATGCTTGTCCAGGCAGATAGCGCCCTCTGCGATACAGGGGCGGGCTATTGGGTTTTCCGGAGCTGAGCTTCCGGACGGCGTGGGTTGGAGTGTCGTGGTTTGACGTGGAAGTATAGAGGCATTGGCCAGAGTGATGGCTAAGGTCAGAGATAAGGCCCGATACATGATGGTGAGGAGTGATCACAGTAGAAGGCTTGAGAGTTGGTTCCGATGAAGATGCTGTCTTTTCTGGGGGGAGGGGATGGTTGGATCTTCATATTTATAATGCCTAGAAGCTCTCTTCGAACGGATATCCTTGGATATTGGTATCGGTATAGATGTAAAGGTCTCGGAGTTGGATGGACGAAGACCCACTACCAATGTCCAGGAGTTCCCATGCTGTCGGGATACGTCCATCTCCTAGCCTTCACCTCGGGGGGGCTTTGTCAATCCTTTAGTTCAAGGGGGCCAAAGCAGTAGGGCTTGGCGGATCCCGTGCGGTTGGGTGAATGACACTTGTCGTGCGACTAAGTAGACTTTAATAGGAGCATATGTATACTAAAGCCAATTAGAGATACAGAAAGGTATCATTAAAGGCGTCAAATATGACAGCCATGTATGTCCTGCGTACTCTAGCCCACGCTCCACAGGGCGGGTTTGCTGTACATGAACCTGTCTATGCATTGTGGTCTGAGGCAGCAACTCCACGATTCATTTTGATTTTGTAGATTCCCCATTGGCTCGGAGGAGAATGGTCTGTGGATCGCTGGAATCCAGAAACCAATTACTACACGTGCAATCTCACTCCGAATGTACCTTATCGTCGGGGTTATGATGCAGGGACGGACCGATATGGTAGTTTCTAACCAAGACCTATAAACGCATAAGGCCCAGGCTTTACCTTCCAGTGGCTCACGTGGGTGATTTGGAATAGAGAATAATTTCGGCTAAACTGAGAAGCTCAGGAAAGATTTAGTGAGAGGACACCTATCCTATACCCCCTGTATGCCTTTTTTGCACACCTCCAAGGCCATACGATTATTCACACAACACCCCAAAGCCCCAGTCAACAGCCCCAACCTAAGCAGAGCATTGCTTCTGAGACCCATAATAGTAGAAGTAATCCTCATTGATCTTGATCGACTCCCCGTGCCAAGTCTTGCCCTGATCAGAAGACTTCCAAGGTCCAATTCCACCGGCAGGTGCAGATCTCAAATGGACAGCTTAATCAAGGCAGTTTATTTGGTTCTCTTTCTATTCTACTAAAAAGTCGGAAGTCTGTGAAAATGAAGGTCTCTGATATGACTATTTGGCAAATTGAGACCTACGAGAAGAGAGTTCTGATGAAGTGTCTGGCATTTACCTAATGTGTGTTGAATAGTTCTCGATTGCCATTAGTGGGTTAAGGTCTAAGAATTTAGTTCCCATATTTTACCTCATCCGATGGTATACTTGATACAGGAATGATATATGTCCGATCAGGAAGTGCTACCGGTTGCGTCAGGGGAAAAGGTAAGAGGACGAAAGGAGAAACAGAGAAATATATACTTCTAATGTCCTGATGAACTTTCTCCGCAGAGTTGGCTAGATTATTATATGAATCTAGGATTAATATTCTTGTTTCTAGACCCGTAGATTCTTACCCTGTTCTACATATGTTGCGGAGACGTGAATGAATCAGGTTAATGACTGTCATTCCAACTGCTGAACTAAGCAGACTATATCCCTTCGATGTTCCAATGTTGCCTTCACTATTTTTCGTCAAGATAGGTCATATGTCTCGAAACGTCCATTGCCTGCGGATTCATAATTCTCTAAACCCTAATCTGATCATGTAAACTGTTTGACAGACTGGAGAACATATTATTTGAATACATCCAGAAGCTCATAAAAGATACAATAGATAGGTTATTATCATTAAGGAGGGTCTATATCACCCTGTCTTTTTTTGATGGCTTTTTCTTGTGAACTCTGTTTGCTCTCCGTGATGTATCAAATCGTGATGTGACGCGTCGCCATTTTATCATCGTGAATAAAGATCTGGTCGTTACATGAAGTGCCCCCCAATGAACTGTTGTCTTGTATTATGGAACAAACGTTCCAAGGATGGAGTTCACGGCCTTATGGAAATGATTTTATATATGCAGCTTTGGTCCCATAAACACCGACTAATTAAAGCCGTAGAGTGTCGAACAATTTCACGATGGGCGAGTATATACCTGAGCCACCTGGGCTCCTTTATAAGGTCCATAAAAAACAAATGCTGGCAGTGAAATCCAAGAGGAGATAACCAATGGGTGGACGCATCTGATGCAGGTCTTCGGGCACCTGCGGGCTGTCAGCCCCCCAGGTGTGGACGAGCCAATTACCCAGCCTGGAGAAGGCTCTGGCACCTCCAAGGCATCGGCATACCCGGACCAGCACGGCCTATCCTACAGGTAATCGAGGAGGCCTACTCCATATTTGATCACTGGATGCGATTGAATCATCTGCTCCTCTTCAGCTTCATCCCATCCAGCGCGTTACAACTAAGCTGGCTTATACACGTGCTCGTTTCCGCATTCAACACCCATGTAAGATCAGATCGAACAGCTTCCAGTCCCCGCGGGATCGAAATTGAGTTGAGTTTATGCTGGCTTCCAGGTTACATCTTCCGCCTACGGCTAGAGGTATCTTCGTGTCTGGTGGTTCGTTGACGTCCATCATTGTCGCTCGCAACGCAATCCTCGCACCGAACGATTATCCTCGGGCGTTGATATATATAGGGGATCAGGTGCATAATTGTTTGCTCAAAGCTGCTAGGATGCCTGGCTTTCAGCAATGTTAGATTCGGAAGGTGCCGTCAGATGACTCATGTCGCATGAGAGTAAGGGCCCTTCGGAAACAAATACAAGACGGCAAGGCGAAGGGACTATTTCCATTTCTGATCGTCGGGACCTTCGGGTGCACCGGGAGTGGAGCGATTGACCCGCGCAAGGAACTGTCCGATATCACCAAGGAGGAGAACCTCTGGTTATATGTCGATGGGGCATATGGAGCGTCAGCTGCACTATCTCACTCCCGACACCAGACTGCCTCAGAGCTGGGCTATGCCGACAGTGTTGCGTGGGATGAACATGAATGGCTGTTGCAGACCTACGGATGCGGCATGCTATTCGACCGCGGTAAACCCAACTTGTTCTCTGGCCTTCATATGGATTCCCACTTTATCAAATAGGACGAGGGATAAGGCCGAATTCTGGGGCCTTGGGCTGGAGCTGACTCGGCCTGCGCGAACAATGAGCTTATGGTTTACTCTCCGAGTTTTGGGTACGGAGCGAACTAGAAAGATGACTGACCATAGGATAAACCTTGTGGAACCATTGCAAAGACAACTGGAGGTATTACCCGACTGGGAGATATTGACGCTTGCAAGTTTGGCAATCTTGAACTTTCGCTACGAGCCCGTCGGTCGGAGCGACGAGAAGGTGGATCTGGTCAACTTGGAACTTTCTCGGAGGTTTATTGAAAGGAACATAGCAGCAATTATGACTGTAGAAATCCGCAGAGTTGCATTACGTGTTCGTTGCAGAAACACTCGGTTGCGGGTTGAAGACATGGTAAATCTCATCCGTACTTTGACTTAGAGATCTGTGTGCATTGATGCTGATATTGATGTGGAGTAGATCCGGATATCATTTTATTAGGATGTAGAAACAAAGCTATCCATGTCTTGTGCGTGGAATGCAACTACCATGACTATGATACCGTTCATGCACCATTCGAGCGTACTAGTCATACTCTATAGAATATGCAGATAGTACCAGATGCCACAGTCGATATGCCTAATTGGGACATACAGCTGACAGGCAACAGTCTTGTCATCTTATGAGCAAGGCAGCGAGAGAGGCTTGCCCATAGCCATTGTAGAATGAGTAATTTGTCCTTGTTCTTGCTCTCGCTCTCTTTGTATGATACTTCTTGTAAGGGAGGATTTATCCGGTAGCCTAAAGCCCATAGCAGGGTAAATACCGTATAACCAAGATCTATGGCTGGGTTTGGGAATCTGAAAACTAGGATATTAGGGTTGGAGTGGCGATATTGCAATGACGTTGATCTCCCAACGAACAGGGAAAGTTTAACCAACTTCAGACGACGTTACTACACTACATAACGGAGACGTAAGAGCAGATCATTTCCACAAGACTATTTAAGTATTAGATTGTTGCGTCCATTGAATTCAAAATTAAGGCCATCTTTAAACATAACAGAAAATATGGGAATCCGCAATTCGTATACAGACCTACTCATTATCGGGGCAGGGCCAGCCGGCCTCATGGCCGCGTGCTGGGCCTCCCAGTACCCAATCAAAACACGGATCATCGATAAAAAGAGTGAACGAACACGTGCTGGACATGCTGATGGTATTAACAGTCGAACCATGGAGATATTCGACAGTTTTGGCATCGCCGATCTTATTATGCGGCAGGCTGTGTGTATAGTGGAGGCGTCATATTGGGTAGGCTTCCATTGTGTCCATGGTAGTTCCCGAATAGCCACCTGAAGTGCTCACATTGACCAGGGCCCGGATGGAAAGTCCGGAGATATCCACCGAATCAAGAGACAACGATCGCAGCCACAGAAGCTTTCTCGCTTCGAGCAGATGTTGCTGAACCAGGGTGGCATTGAACAGATCCTCATTGATTATCTTAAGGCTAAAGGACGTGTACATGTGGAGAGAAATCGGAAGGCCGATGGACTAGACCCAGATGGGTGCTGTGAATCCGAGTGTCATGATGAGTTTCCTGTTCGTGTTCGCATAGTGTCCGTCAAAGATGAAGGTAAGAATGAGCTAGATTGTCTGTCGGATGATAATACAGAGGTGGTCCACGCACGATACGTTATCGCATGCGACGGGGCACGTAGCTGGACTCAGAAGCAGCTACAGATCCCCTTTGATGTGTGGAAAACGGAGTCAACATGGGGCGTGATGGACATTGTTCCGATTACAGATTTTCGTACGCATAGTCCTGATCACTCACCCAGGTAAATTGCTAACATAGCTATAGCCGACATCCGGCACGCGTCTGCCATTCGGTCAAGCGATGGCGGAAGCATCATGGTGGTACCTAGGGAGAATGGCTTAGTCCGATTCTACCTGCACATAAATGGTGGCGAAGGATTGAACCAAGATGCAGAGAAGGAATCGGAAAACTCCTTGAATACTCTAATACAGACTGCACAGAAGACATTGAAGCCGTACAGGCTGACGTGCAAGTACTGTGACTGGTGGTCTATGTATCCGGTAAATGTGACCTGAGACCAATGGCTAGAGATCGGTATCCTGACATTCAAGCAGATAGGGCGACGACTGATCAAACAATATCAGAGCGGCCGGTAAGTGCAGAGGTAGCTATTTATTCAATTGCCGGGCTTTAACCATCTTCTGCAGCATATTCTTCGCAGGTGACGCTGCCCACACGCATTCTCCAAAGGGTGGACAAGGCATGAACATTTCCATGCAGGATACATACAATCTAGTATGGAAGCTCGCTGAAGTTATTATGGGAGCGCTGGATCCCGCTATTCTGGAGACCTACCACTCCGAGCGGCGCCCGCAGGCCGAGGAGCTCATGAGATTCGATACGCGCCTAGTCTATGCTTACGAGGAAGGAAGTATGCAAGATGACAGCAAAGTCGACGTAGAGAGCGTCCGCAGCCAGTACGCTGGATTTATGGCGGGTGTGGCAGTGACGTATCCTCCTAGCATCCTTGTTGGAGAATGCCAAAGCGATAAAAGTCTAGCCTGGAATATCCAGGTCGGAAAACGGTTGCCATCATATTTGGTGGTGGGCCAAGCAGACGGCTGTCCGATTCATATAGCAGAGAAGCTGAGAAGCAATGGGTCCTGGAGGCTACTTGTCTTTTCCGGAGATCTACACTGCGTTAGCGGTTTAAATCGGCTGTCGTTCTTCGCGAATGAATTCAGTGACCGATTCCATGAAATCATTAAGCGGTCAAACAAAGACTGCCATCTCTTTGAAACCTTGTTGATCCATTCAAGCTCAAGAGCCTCCATTAATCTGTTAGACCTTCCAGACGTGTTTCACCAATTCGACGATGACCTCGGATGGGACTATTCAAAGGTCTTTGCTGATGATCCCTCCTACGATGGGAATTCAGGAGAGATATATGAACACTACGGCATTGACAAGCAAAAAGGATGTCTAGTTGTTTGTCGACCAGATCAACACGTGGGCTGGGTTGGAGACATAGAAGATGTGGAGGGTCTGGAAAGATACTTCTCGCGGTTTTTGCTTAGAAAGACCAAGCCACAAGTATGACATGTAAACGATAGAACACTAGAAGCTATGAAAGCAAACAAGTATGACGTAAAGCTCCATTTATCTGATGCACTCTTCGGACAAATCTATCATTAGTGACTTGAGTGTATATATCAGAAGGCAAGGCAACTCACCCCCGCTTCAATTCCAGGGGGCATAATCTTACTCAAAGTAGATTAACAGGATTAAATAGAGTACAACTGTGTGAATTTAGAATAGAATCTCTGGTTTTATTTTTCCATACAAGAGCAAAAGTTAGTACTCTGCAAACTAGAATTTATACTCTATATTATAGTATAGATAGTTATGTATTGTAGTGTAGTAGAGCTATAGAAGCTTAGTATATTTATTAATTATGCAGAAAATATAATCGTTTTTCTCTATGCCAAGGTATGATAAAGTGGCCTATAGTTACTCTATACATTCCCTTGAGATTAATAAAAGTTACCAAAAAAGTTCCATTGAACATCACGCTCCAGATTCATGCGGAGCCCGCCAGGAGACATAACATATTTGAAACCAGAATTTTTGCTGATTTGTACTCCCCCTTAGGCCTGATACAGCTCCACAGCGTGGAGAACACACGTAAGCCAACTAGTAGATTAACAACTACTCTGATGGTCAAGTCATTTGTGTGGGGTAAAACTATGTTCTAAAACTGCGAGCTACAATTATAACTGAAATAGCTGGAATGATGAGGTCAGTGCAGAATGATAGGTGAGGTGAAGATATAACAACCCCCGAACAATATTTAACCGGAGAGCATCCAGCTACTGATTCAACCCATTTAGGACGCAAATTACAGAGTGCTTTTTACTTTTCACCTTGCGACGGTATGTGTACTACCGTTCAGTCTAGCCTCTGAGGTGCTGGGCCTTCGGGCTATCTATTCCGACGAATGTTATGTTCGCCTTCCTATGGATATCTGCTTTGGGAATGGTACGCACTGTGCTCAATGCTTAGTTGATAGTTTGTTTATGTTGACCGTTCGTAGTTAGCTGTGGAGGCCTTATGATGCCAGTAATGGCAAAGTTCGGTGTATGCGTAACAGCATTCACTTCAAGAACGCCAATGGACATTCATGTCTATATTGCAGATCCGAATGCCCTTGACGGTATATTCAATCAATTGAATGATTTCCGGCGACTGCCGTGGGTGCAATATGTTGAATCTGTTGTGTAGCTTGCATCTCACCCTGAGAATGCTAACTGTGGCCAAGAGATGCTGGAGGTCTATGGCCCATGTATCTCAACTGCCAGTGGGAGGGACTGGCTGCGCCACAGGAATGTACTTGCCGCCCCGTTTAACGGCAGTATTATGTTGTTTGTATGGGAAGAGGGAATCCGGCAAACACGTCAGATGCCAGCCCCATGGACCAGTGAAGCTCCCGGTCGTCGACCAGATATCAGCAGAGATACGCGAATAGTGGCGTTGAATGTGCTGGGCTGCCACGGGATTCCGACATTCATATAAGTTCCATACAGAGGAGGAATCGAGTAGAGAAGTGGAAAACATAGAAAACTATTGCACCGCATTGAAGACTGTTACGGATAACTATGTTCTGATCATGGTTATGTCACTGCTTCTACTTTCTCTCCCTTTCGGACCAACTCTTGGCGACACAGTGCACAAGCGTCACTGGCTTCCAATAATCATATGGTCACTATGCTTGAGGAAGAAATCGCTGCCTTTCGTGAAGGGAGCTCTGGTTTATGACAGGTTCTATTCGCACGATGGAAGTCGCACAGAAGGGTGAGTTAAGCGGGACTGGTGGCTCGTCCTTTTATCGTAAGGGCCTCTCTGAGGAGGAAATCATCGGAAATATCTGGACCATCAACTTTGCGGGCCATGATACCACTGCCAATACGCTGGCATTCGTTCTTCTCCTCTTGGCAACGTATCAGGATGTCCAGTAATGGGTCACGGAAGAGCTACAGGAGATCATGCTTGCAGAGGGTACAATGGAGTACACTACCCTGTTCTCTCAGCTGAACCGATGCAGGGCTGTAATTGTATGGCTCGTCGCCCACATAGGACAACTGACTTTGCGCCCATACCTAGCATAGCTAGAAACCGTTCGCCTTTCGCACCCATCACATCGCTCTCCAAGACTACCATGGAAGAACCGCAAACTCTCAAGGTGGGAGAAAGGTCAATAGTCATACCACCGAATGTGGCCGTTTTGTCTAGCATCTTAGCCCTGCAGACCCATCCTAAATACTAGGAGGATCCAATGATATAGAAGCCATCTCTCTGGGTATCCAAGACCGGCACAAGTGCTATGGATAAGAGAATTGCGAGGCCTCAGAAGAGCGTCTTTATGCCCTGGTCTGCCGTCCCCCAGAACTGCCCTGGCCTCAAAATCTCCCAGGTGAAATTCGTAGCAGCTATCGCATCGATACTATGTGACCATCGACTCAGCATCATCGAAGAACCTGGGGGAAACTTTCAAACAAGCCCAGGACCGCGTGTTGAGGACTGAATGATGTCAGTATTCGGCTACTGCTCCGGATAAGGGACACAAATCAAGTTAAGGCGGTTTGCAACAGCGTTCGAATTTCCCCTGGTTTTAACATATCTTTGAAAGTCACCGATGTCTGGAAGTCCCCCAGCCCGCAAGCATCTAGTTGTGACGAGTGCTTCTAGCCCGTTTGTTAAAAGGACCAAGATTTGTTGTTCCTTGTATATATAAACAATTTTAATTTCGCCTTTATTCAATCTCAATGCTAGTTCTTCACTACCGTCTGCTTGAAAAGCCAAACCAAATAGACCCTTTAGCAAGGAACAGGCAAAGCCCCATAGAGAGCGGGCGCATCGAAGAGTCCCAGCTCCGCATTTCGACGACGTGTAAGCCCATTGACGACCTGGCCGTTCGCCTTGTTCCACTGCGGTAACTCCGAGTGTGCAACGGTCGCCACGTCCTCGCCCTTATTCATGCGAGCGACGAGGTCGGATTTTCGCATGTTGCCGTTGCCGATGTTGTATGTCCAGGATACCAGGGCGGCGTACTGGTTGTCATTCAAAGTGACTGGGTCGGCAAGAGCGTTGGTGAGGGCGTCTTGGTAGGACTGGATACTCTTAAGCATGGCAAAACGCTGCAAAGGTCTGGTAGTAGCTACTTACAACCAAGTCGCCAGCTAGTAGACTACTAGCGTCTGCCTCAGACAAGGGCTTGGGGTAGGTCACCTCAGAGCAGGTCGCATCGCTGCAGAGATGACCGTACCCAATGGTTGGATTGCCAAAGCCATCGTCGTATACGTTAGGTTGGAAAGACTCGAAGCTCTTGATCAGGTTGAGGCCGTTCTGGTTGACCGGAGGACCCTTGCAGGCGAGAGCCAGGGCAGGTAGGATGACCGTGAGAAGCTTAAACGAGGAAGTCATTTTGAAGTAGTACATCGGAGCGCTCCTTTCTCGTGAAGACAATTCCTTGTTGATCTTTGGGCACATCAGCGTTCTTATAGCATTTCCATAGTGGGGACATCTTTGTTTATCGGTACAGAGATTGGTCAACGAAGCTCGAAATACGAAGTGCCGTGAAGATCGATATTTCTCAAATACGAGATCTTCATGACCCTTAAAGCAAGTGAGAAGGCAATCTTGCGATGGGCTTGGTGGTCAACTGGCGCAATGATTTTCTCATGACCAATATGGGCCCTTGAATTGCTCCTAATAATTGGGTCGACATGATAGATTCATTCTTTACCTCCGATCTCCCCGACCAGAGTTCGCACTATCCGTCGATCTTCGTTGAGTTTGTCCCTTTTCTGGCCATCTCAAATACGAGGTCGAGGTCTCAGACACAAGCCCCTTCAACGAACCAGATCGCTCAAGGTTCTTTGACCACATTATATGCTATTCATAGAAGATCCGTAAAATTCCCGGTTGGAGGTGTCAAGACCAGTCAGGATGGCGTCATTAAAGTGTGGTTCTTTTAACAATCTTCCTATGACAGCCAGCGCTTTGAATCGTCCATACAAGGCTTGCCAGGTTCAAGCCACTGGCCCTTGAGACGTGTTTCTACTATCGATTCACTGCCGGTAAATGTGTGCACACCATGCGCTGACTGACTAACAGCTACAGTCAATAGACATGCACCAGCTCCTGAGACCATGCCTCGCTGTAGTCTCAGACCTGTCATCAAACGGATCCCTATGATATCCTCGTTGGCTGAGAGCAACCCAATAACATTTTCCAGTATAGAGGTCCGAGAGGCCACTGCTTACAAAGGAAAGGTGAAAGATTTCCTTTCTAATAAAGAACTTCGTTGATGGACAAGGTCAAAGCTATTCCCATGATTGGCCACGTTGGACGTTGAACAGTGAATAAGAGAATAACGTACTTTACCACCTGCCGCCCGATTTCCCAACACCAACACCACGTTGAAAATGAGGCTTTAGAGCCACATACAATTTGAACTATCCAGAGATCTTTTAAAGTAATATAATTGAACTCCTAAAACGCCTATATACCAGGTTTTTTTGAGTCCCGAAAGCGCTGTGGTAGGCGGGTTTGCCTTCCTCGACGATTTATGGTGGGAGGGGCCTCATCAACAACTTCAGGCGCTGGGGTAGTAATAACTTCTTGATTCTTTGATTTTGAGGTTGCTGGGGGGGGTTCTTCTTGCTTATTCTGGCTGCTTTGAAGTTATTTTGAAGCTGTATAGATGCTTCCTTAGCCAGGCACTCTTCCTCTTTTGAGGCCTTAGCAAGCTGTACTTGTAGAGTCTCTTTCTGGTTAAGCTACTGAACCTGATGGACCTTGCTTGGAAAGTAAAAGATCGCACCACCACTTTTAGAGGCCTCGATTTCAAACTGTAGGGATCTATTCCGCTGGCTACTTCTTTTTATTCTTAAATATCTTTCTAAGACCTGTATTCTCCATTTTATGCAGGATATTTTTTATAGAGAGATGGTATATAGTCCGGCTTAACTTCTTGGTATTTTCATCTTTAATATTGGTAAAGATCTCTCTAATAAGCCGCTTGACCTTTCTCCAATCTTCTGTACGTAAGACAGATCTAGAAGAGCCACTAGAAGAGGGCCATTAGTTCTCTATCTTCTTAAAACAGGTCAATACAATCTCAGGATCAAAGGGCCATAAGCGAACTGATCTCTATATACTTTTAATATTTCTTATAGATAAGGCTTTCTTCTATATAGGCTAAAATAGCCTAAAGTAGTCCTGCTTTATAATAGAGCTTAGGCCCTTATATTCTTGCAGATAAGTCTCTAAACTATTGCTAGAAGCGGTTGTAAGTGATCTAAAAATACTGACGTCTAGTGATTGCAAGAAATGGGTAGAATAAGATGGATAAGTAGCCACAAGAATTCTATTGGCTTTATAACAATTTAAGAACTTTATGGTGATATGTGAACTGTGGCTATCTAAAATTAGAAGACTCCAATATCTGTCTACTTTGGCCTTAAGTCTCCCGGTCAAATACCAGCTTCAACCATGTAAATCTGAGATCATCGTTGGTCCAACCTGTCGTAGATTGAATACTGCTTCGGCCTGATGGCCGTACAGGATACCCTGACCCAGGTGCATGGACAATCGGCCACCGATGAGGAACATCAGGCCATCAACGGTTTGGTTTTCAATGGGAAATCTGAACCCTTTACGTACAGAGCCTTCAGCTATAAATTGGCGAATCGTTAGTAGTAGTAGGAGATCAAGAACCAGTCTCCTGTCTGAATAGTATCTACTGCCTGCCTTTGATCTTTCTCTCTCTCTCTTAGCCTACGTACCCTTACCTAGTTGACAGGTCTTCTACCCTGAATAGTAGATATCCTTGACACAACCAGTCGTAGAGAAGGCAAAGGAATATTGGTATTCTGTAGAATTAAAGTCCTGCAGCCAGATATCTTAAAGTTTCCAGACAATACTTGATGTATTAAACCAGGAGATAAAGTAGTTTAATCTGTATATATACAAGTAATTAAAGTAATCTATTTCTGATTACTATTCTAAATATATTGAGTATTGCTTTCTTAATTATATTAATACCTGGAAAAGATTCTCTTAGTCTTAGAAAGTATACTAATAAGAAATCCTTTCTTATTTATATTATATATACTCTACTGCTCTATCTTATATTCTTTTATCTTCTGGTCTAGATATTTAAAGTATAAAGTGTACTTGAATATTGAATTAGCCTGCTTGCATGTAGAATTAATATCAGTTATATAGTAAAAGATAAATTTTTCTGATATCTCTTATAGAAGCGGCCTGGCCACTGATTACCAGACTTAGTTTCAGTACTTTTCTTAGCGAAATTTTTCAATATCTTATATATACAGTAAAGACCTCTTTCTGATTGCTTATTTAGGTAATCCAGAAGCTTTCTAGCCTGTCAGCTATTAAGCAATCACTGCCTTTTATATTATTACTTCTTTAGCTGCTGAACTCCGCGGTGATGCCTTAAGAGAGTTGTTCAGTCAACTCTAGATCAATGTGCAATTTCAGTATAGGCAAAAGATTCTCCTAGGTTCAAGGAGTCGATTGCTTCTATTGCTGCTTTCAGAGAATCCATATTAAATGAGTTATGGAGGTTTAAAAATCTACGATTGTTTAGCGTTTGAGATATTTTGGGCGACAGGTGGTAAAGTACGTAAGGAAACCACGGGCGACACGTCATGACTTCACGGCACAGGACACCCCTATTTAAACCACTCATGTCCCACTTGTTGCTTCTTCCGTTCCTCAACCATCATCTCCCTAACTCCGTACTCTATTTACATTCTCAAGCCATACAACTCGTCGCCAGAAAAGACACCATCATGTCCAGCTCCGGCAAAGGTTACTCATACACCGGCTCTGGCACCAACAACCAGGTATACAGCTCTCCATCTTGATATCAGATTTATCTGCTGATCGAGGCTTTCTGAACTGCAGGGAAACCATTACTGCTCGCGCGACTATGGAACTGGATCCGACTCTAACGGGTCTGGCCGTGGTGATGCCTACCACTATTCGAACAGGTCAGTTTGTTTACATGGCGATGAGTCTCCAGCTAACAGATCTTAGCAACGGATCCTACTACTACTCCAATTCCAATGGTAGTACCTACTACAATGATGGAAATGGTGGTTCGACCTATACTCCTTCTGGTGGTAAGAAGTGAATGAAAGTGTATCACCGTCAACGTATTCTCCCTGGTAGAGCTTAGACTTTTAGCCATGAGTCGATGAGTCGGACTGTCCCTGTAGTTTTGACATTAACCTCTATGGATGCTACTGCATTGATTAGGAGCTCATACAGTACACTTACTGAGATTGTTTCCCTATTCCTCTCTATGAGCTTAGTAGTCTCGTATGTAACTACTAGTCGTCCTTGCTTGCACTTTATTCCGCCAGGAATGTTGCACGAGTGTTACGATATTAGTCAGAGAGCTACTTAGTACGACATATACCTAAACCGATCATCGCCCCAACCTATGTTGCTTACTGGCACATGCAATACTCTTTTAGTCCTTCCATGCTGCTCAACCCACAGACTATCGCGTATATGGAAGCTTGGTGTGCCAAGACTTCATCCCATTTTGTTTTCGCGTGAGGACAGTGGTGGTCATTTTGCGCTCGGATGCATCGCCAATGCAGTTCCGTTAGGCCTGGTGCTAAGACGTTGTACAGGGTATATCGGTCTAATAAGAGAAGATTGGTGGCTCCCCGCCGAGCTCTTGGTGGCACTTTTAGTTCATATGATTCTAGGGCGCAATCCATCTAGGGAAAGGGCTTTACGAGGCTTGCGATTTGACTTCGGCCTACTGTGAGTATATGACGGGGATCAGTAGCTCGTGGGTGCTTATGAAAAAGTGCAAAGTCTACGATTTATGAATTGTTGTGAAATCTCAGGGGAAATAGGGCGCAGAGAGCTATCGTATCGGCTACAGGCTCATCAGGTGCCTAATTGGGAGGTAGATGTCATCGGTGGGAACACCAGGAATCAACATATCTCAACCAATTGAGCCTATTTAAAGGCTCAGGAGCTGAATGGCTTCAGCTAGTATCCCCGCACGCCAAACCGACTGCGGGATACAGTGTTTCCATAACATGAATCAAATGGACTAAGAGGTATTCAATGGACCATCAGGTACCGGAATTCATGTCTGGAAATCAGAAATCACCGCAGCCGCAAACAAATCATTGGACGGTTTCTTTTCATTTCTTCATGCAAATGTATGATGCGTGGCTGGTATGCAGCCCCTTGCATTGGTGGAATACCTGCAACAATCACGCCCAATTGTACAGAATACGCCTCCCTTGATTTTCTGATGGATTACTGCGCTAGAGACTGATGAGGTACATTAATCCTTCATCGAAAAAAGTGTCGACTACAATATAGCTTCCTTCATGCCTCCAGAATTTATCGAGTGGATATGATTATAACCCAAATTGTTGCGGTGTTGCCATACATCCTCGCCACATTTGGCGTACCTTTGGCTGGCGCGATCAGGCTGGGGAATCCACCAGATCTCCCAATTCCGCTGCAGCAGTGTTTGAATGATACCGGAGCCACCATAGTCTACCCCGACAATCCAGAATATGGTGCATTATCGAGCCCTCAAAACGGGAACTATCAGCCGCATCCAGAGGTCATTGTCATACCAGCATCCTCAGAGGAGGTAGCAGCGAGTGTGCGCTGCGTGGCCGCTGAGGAGGGTAGGGTCAAGCTCAGTCCTCGTGGAGGAGGTCATAGCTATGCTGCGTACAGTTTCTCAGGACAGGTGGTGATCGATTCCAGCCAGATGAGAGGAATCAGTTTCGACGGCGAAAGACAAGAAGTTGAGGTTCAATTTGGCCAGGCGTTGGGTCCATTGGCTGTTGCTATGGGGGAAAGGGGATACGCTCTACCGCACGGTACCTACCCTGGGGTGGGGATCGCCGGACACTCATTAGGTGGTGGTTGGGGTTATACCTCGCGTAAATGGGGATGGCTTGTTGATCGCAGTAAGTGCGCAACAATATGACTATGAATTATCTGTAGCATGGGGTTGCGTGGGACAAAGGGTCTGACTCGCGACTTTAGTTGTCTCGATGGAGTTTGTTGACATCGGAGGGAATATAAAGCAGCTCAATTCCAGCTCGACTGGAGTAGATGCAGAATTATGGTGGGCATTACGAGGATCTGGAGCTAATAATTTTGGTATTGTGACTTCATTCACATATGTGATGGAGCCAGCTCCGACCGCAGTCGTGAACTATAGGATAGCTTTTGCTTCAGAATCAGACTGTGCACAAGTCCTACTGGGGGGTCCAGGAGCTCGGAAGTATCGCTGCTGATCGCCCCCACGGCCTCCCGGTTGAGTTGGGTGGAGAGGTTATCATAAGAGGCCGGGGTCCTAACGGCACGAGCGCCTGTACATTTACTGGCCAGTACCTGGGAAAGCGCTCCGCATTCCTACATGTTCTCAATAAGCTCTTGGATAATCTAGCACATCGCGGAGTAAAGCCACTCGGCTCAGCGTCCTATATAAACGAGTTCGATGATTGGATCACAGCCCTTGCGGACCACATGGGGTCACTGAATGAATCGAGTCCTCCTAATTCCTATTATGCCCAATCGTTGGTAGATAACGGAACTCCCAAATATACATCAGGCCATGCAGAGCGCATTATTGATGCGGTTCAGGCAGCAAGGCAGGTCGAGGGTACAGATAATCATGTGTCCTTTGACCTGAACGGTCCGGGCTCAAGAACCAATTTCCAGCCTACTACCGGTGATGCATCGTTTATTCATCGTGAGAGCCTGTTCCTTGTCCAAGTATTTTCCTCCAAATTTCCGGGGTTCAACAGCACCAATGCTCGGGGTAAGGCATTGGGCAAGATTACCAATATCACCGCTACTATCAAGCGGGCCGACCGAGGACGCCAATGGCATGCCTACCAGAATTATGTCGACCCTTACGCAGAGGATTTTGGAAGAGCTTACTATGGTCGAAATCTAGAGCGCTTAAAGAGTCTCACGTCCATTGCAGATCCTGACCTAATTTTCGATTTCCCGCAAGGGCTGAGCCATGCGTGATAACAAGGCAATAATGAATTAGTCGTCCAGTACTGTGAGTACATATACCTGGGAGTTTGTATAGGGTATCTAGTATTTTCGTTGACGGTCTACCAGCCAGCTTTATACAGAAATCCTTCACTGAGGTTTGGACTTCAATTTTGAATATTTGGATCTCTATACAATTATAATATATCTACAAAGAATGAAAGTTGAATATGTTAGCCAACCGTCCATGTAGAACATTAGCTTTCGTACCAAGATAGTATCAATTTCATTTTGACCGCATGCTACATGTAGACTGAAATAACCATTATACGCAGATACCCCCATGCTCTTGGACGGTGCCTTGCTTTCTAATGTCATGCTCAAGAATAATACCACCGTGCTCTACATTTCTGACATGATACAGACATTCGATGGTAGCTATAGTCGGAAGAGACTTAATACAATATCAAACCCTGCTTATGTGATAGATATTTATCCGAAAGCTGTCGGACCTTGGCGCTGGTGACTAAATGGGAAGAATTCAGAGAGACCGGAAGCATGATTTTTATATGTCGGTGGATAGCAGATTTGCCACTTATAGCAAGACATATAGTATCCCGATATCCGATGACAACTCCCGCAGTCTGAGGCGAAGTATAAGCACCAATTATGTATTGGATAGCTCCCTTTCGCTCTAATCCATACAGTCTCAGATGGTTATCGATTCTAATTGTTGATTTGCGGCCCCATTTCTCAGCTACGGCTAGATTTTACACCATGCGCCTGCAACTGCCAACCATTACCACGGCTGGTTAAGCACCCAGCTACGTAAGGATTCTGACACCGACTCAATCGAAATTGATCAGTATGCTTCCCTTTTGCGCAGCAGCAATGTAATGCATTTCCATGTGACTTATCCAATGTTTTGTAGGAGTCCTGGTTGGTGTGTGGCCGTCAGGCTTCCAGATCACAGCCAAGGATGTCTCGCATAATATATAGCCAATAATGTACTCCCGGTATGTTCATATTGATGACTAAACTGGACAGGGTATTTGAAAACCATGGTATGCTAGATTTTAACTTACAGGGTGTAGGTTTGGCTTTGGAATTAGATTTTGGCGAAGTCGCGCGTTTCTGATACAGTACTGAGTAGGTATCAGCCAAATGAAAGTGGAAGGTGTAGGACAGATGATATTTATAAGTGAATATAAGTAAATATAGATCACATCATCTGGACAGAGAGTAAACTGGAATAACAATAACTGAGGCGTCAGATCTTTGAATTGATCACTAAACAAGAGATGGTTACAGACATATTTAAGGGCGAAGCGCCGATCCAATGTAGGTCAAGAGGTTGAACAAGTGGAATAATGGGGAAGCCAGACTGCTGATCGGAGAATGATGTCTGTATAAAGGGCTAGACAATGTATACTCTGTCACATAGTTTCGTACAACATGGATAGCTTGTATGGGATTATTCAGTAACATATTCAAGAGGAGCAATCCGATGTAATATTCATTAGTGAATAGACCTGGCCAGACATCTATTTATGGCTTTAGCCTAAAGCTCCTATAACTGCACTCCGAATATCTTTTCAGCTACTTTTGCGATTACACAGTGAATGGTCGTACCATTAATCCACGCATGGTTACCTCACAACATGGCTGCCCAGCTTCATCTTCCCCTGTAGCCTTCTGGATATCGGTTCTGTAGAAGGCTACTATAGCATGACGGGATCAGGCATAGGAAGGAATCATCACAGCGGGCTCCATTAAAGTCTTCGATTATTTGATTCACGATTATTATGTGGACCAACTTTATGACAACAGGTAAGCAAGGGGGACAAGCAGGAGAAGGGCGGATGTCCAGCGTTCTATTAACTCCTCTCCTTACGATGTCTTCCAAATCCTGCTCATTAGTCGGCCAAGACCGGTGACTTGATATGCAAAAAAATGCCTTAGATTGACTTTTGGTCATTCATATCGGCGAAATGTCAGGTCAAAGATAACGTATTTGGCAAGATCCACGATTAGCTTCACATCTGGTTCGTAGGCGTTACTATCCAGAAACCTGGCCTAGGTAATGTGGAACCCAGTGTCTTCACCACTACCATGGATTCTCACCCATGAAATGATCCAAGATCTTATCTATCAATCGCATATATCACGCTCTTAACCAGTCATTTGAGTTGGGGCGATACATATGGATAGCGTATCTCCTCGGATGCCTAGGTCAAACGGAAGGCTGTGCCAACAGGGAAGGCTACTGGCCCTTTATGGTTGATGCTGAGCAGATTGTCTCATATTCTAAGTCAACAAATGGCTATCTGTACTCCTTACTTCACCCAGTAACTGCATTTGACTTTTAGCGCCTATACCTTAACATTTGAAATCACATGAACAAAAGGTATAGCAGGTACATGAAATCCACACTTGACAGGACAATACGGACTATACTTCTATGTGAAAGACAAGATTTCCAAGCGAAAGGTTCGAGAAAAGCTTCCTACCTGGGGAGTAGCCTTAGCTCATCAGAACCCTGATGTAGTATCAAGAACCTCATTGTCTCCCTTGCTCCCACCAAACCGATTAATACAACATGCTAAGCCTCGATTGGTCTCGATCTTAATCATCGCATGAAACAGAAGGTAGCCCTGAAACACACCGAATCTTATCTTCCATTTCTACTGCACTGCCTTTCTGTGGGGGTTCGGGGAACCCTGCCAAGCATCGTTTCCGAGAGCGTTGGATCCACACGATGGCTTGGCTGGTGTGATAACAAGCCTCGCAAGGCAGACATATTCTCGAGATGCGCCTTAGCCAGGATGTCTTGACATAACCACTTTTTTTCTTTAGCCAGTTCCCCTTCTTTGGTCCCAGGACGAGAGTTCAGGTATCTTTAGTAGAGGGGCTTAGACGTAGAGGTCATGATAGTAATCTAAATTAGCGTGACTCCCATTCTATCTGTTTAGAAGGAAGATCTAGCGAATTTTAGAATTGAAAAGACTTGGAGAGGATTCTAGAATATAAACTAGTAGTAGTTAGTGGTGGTGGGAGTGCTATAGGTTAACTAATTGGTCTATTATAACTCTTACTTCCGTAATAAGGGTGGGTTAATCCAAGTCATACATTCTCTTCGGGTCTTAAATTACTAGGCTACTACTTAGTCTATTATAATCCTTCCTTCTCAGTAGGTGTAGGTTAATTCAGGTCTTATATTCTCTTTCGGTGTTAATTTATTGAATTACTACTTAGTCTATGATAACCCTTACTTATGTAGGAAGGGTAGGTTAATCCAGGTCATGTGTTCTCTTTTGGTGTTCAGTTACTAGGTTACCACTTAGTCTATTATAACCCTTACTGTACTAGTTAGTGGTGGGTTAATCCAGGTCATACATTCCCTGTTGGTGTTCTTAGGCAGGGTGTGCTAACATGATTGCATCCACTGAATTCCAGGTGGGTCCTGAAAGAAGTGCCTTACGGATGCTTCCCGATACCTGGTTTAGGGGCTACACGCCTCATGATCCCTGGGCTATGGTATTTAGTACGTAACAGTGAAAGAAAGGTCCTTGGGCTTTACTGCTGAGATATGGACATTTTTCGGCAAATTTTTCCATGAGGCTCTTTGTGCGAGTTCTAACTTCTAATGACCGTAATTGTTGATCCCTTTGTCAAGACTGAAAAATCGTATGTGTAGCCCTAATCAGCGATATACAGGAGTGCTTATGCTTTAATGTCTTTCTAATTCCATTAGCCCAGGCTTAATCTTGGACACTCTATATAATCTTCAGGTTTAGTTAATCCAGCAGTCCATCACGAGGAGATTGTGTACATGATCGCTGGGGCAAGGAACTCTACGACTCCCAAAGCAACCACGTTATGATCGCTATCCAAGCGCCGGCAATCACTAGAGTCATGATCCAAGCGCCCGCCCGGTCCCCAGTCGTAACAGGACGTGGAGCCTCTTGTTTATTCTTTGACTGGTCGCCCGTGCCAGCATCTGGGTCACTCTTGCTCGAACCTCCCGTCTTGGAAGTCACCGGATCCTCATTCCCCTGCAGCATAAGGTTTGCGGTAAAGATACTGAGCGCGCTCATCTGCGTCTCCAGGCCGTTCTTCCCGTCCCACTTATCCTCGTACCATCTCACCCCACAATCGGTTCCTTCCCGACCGCCAGAACACTGCCTCGCTGCAGCTTCCGCCGACCCTTGAAGTCGGGGGATAATCCGCTCCGCGGTGGAGGGAACTAATGTGGCTGTGAAGGCCAACCAGATGGACAGGAGGCCCTTGAAACACAACTGGTCCCTGTTACAGGTCTCTATCGTCTCACAGGCTACCTCGGAGAGGACCGTACCATTGTTATACATCGGAGGGAAGAAGATTCGAAGGGAGGCGTCGAGTAATCCATTAACAGCGTCTAGCCATTTAGGGTCTCCATCTGTCTGCAAGCCATATGTTAGCGTGGTTCTCGTGCTCTTCTTCCTTTACCCCAAAAGAAAATTCCCTTACCAAGTTGTACATGTACGCTGCGCCGCTTAACAGGGTCCCGTAGTTGTATGTCCATTGCTGGTTGCCATTGGTCTGACAGTTGTCCGTGACTGATGTTGTATCGGCCACGTTCCACTTCTTCGTGTCCAGGAGCGGGCTACTAGCCATCCATTCCCAGATCTTAGTCGCCCAGTCGGCATACTTCTGGTCCCCTGTATACCGGGCCAAGCGGGCGGCCACCTGGAACAGTCCGCCATTGGAAATGGTGTTCTTGAGGTCATACCCTTTTAGCCACGAGTGAATCTGCCATCGCAGTCCACCGTGGCATTCCTGCATATCCCATCGTTGAATCTGCGAGTTAAAGACAGCCTGGGCAAGGGACAGCCACGATGGGCCGTCATCAACATCCGGATATTTCGTCTCCGCACAGGTTATTGCGGCCAACCCCCAGAACATCTGATCGTCGTTGCCCTGCAACGTTCACATAAGAACTATCAGTATCCCATCGGTATGTCACAGTGAGCCCAGGGGTCACCCACCAGATAAGCAGTACTGTTCGCAGGAAGGTAATCATGATCTTCTCCGGCCTGCCATTGAAGGCCTTGGGTAGTAATCGCGTTGTGGGAGGTATCGCCGCTAACACGCCAGTACTGGACCAGCGTCATGAACATCGCACCCGCTTCCCACCAAGTGCCTTCCAGTGTTCCGGGGGTTTGGCCCGGTTCGTTGCCATGATAGTATCTCAACATCCCGCGGGCTGCGGTGCTGGCAGCATCTTTTAGGGATTCTGTGTCTTCTGTGTGAGCTGAAAGGTACACCGATCGGGGTGAACTGCGTGGGAAGCCACTTACGCCTATCGTGGACGTTTAGCGAGATCCCTGTGGCCGGTGTGCCGAGAAGGAGCATCAGCCACAACGAGAAAATTCGAAAAATAGGTGGGAGAAATCTCATGGTGCACGTGGTGAAAGAATAGGTTAGAAAGGGAAATCATCCAAAATCGACATGGCAAGGATATAAGGTAGTAGAAATGGGGAGAAACAGGGGAAGTTTAAAAAAAGCACCAAACAATCAGGTTCTTCCAAGCAGGCCAGAAATCCTGGCTCCTATTTCATGATAGACAGGAAGGGGTAAGGGCCTAACTGGCGGGCTCCACTGGCCACAAAAGGTACTACGCTGTGCTTCATTGCGTACGCGAGGACACGCCATGCTTCGAGATAGAAGAGCATCCTTTGACCAACGCTATACTCTATCATAGCGGGATTGAACAGACTAGCTGTGCGGTAAAGTCTCTCTATGCATGCAAATGACTACATAGATGATATTATATACGATTAAGGGAGCGTAATCTTCAGTGCAGGACACGTTTGATGAGATTTCGAACGGTACAAGCTTGGCATTCCATAGTATGAAGGGACCAACAGGGCTAGGTCGGGTGAGACTAGATGTAATTTGACAGGAAGTCACAATGTTTATGCTAGATGGCCAACATAGCCACGATAGGGGATGGATTGGATCAAGTGGAGTGACGAACATTGTAAGGAATGTCAACTAGAAGGTGTTGGGTGTTCTGACTAGCCGGACCATCTCCATTCTCCATACAATCACACAATAGCACCGTCCGTGGTTAATGGTCATGTATTCTACTTTTGGCGTCTTGTGAGTGCTGATCTTTGGTTGATGAGGAAGGTGTCGAAAGGCGTGGTTGGGAGAAAGTTAAGAGGTGGATATGTCTCAGTCCTAGAGAGGCCGGGGCCATACAGAACAAGTGAAATCTACAAGCATGCCATTACTCCAATAAAATACGAGGATGATCTAGCGTATATATTGAGGGGTTACATTGAATAACTGACGGATTGCCCGGCACGTAAGAACGGCAGCACGTCTTCGGTATCGTTGGTTCACTGACCTTTGAAGTGCATACTCAGGTTCGAGCTTTCTCTACTTTTCGCAGGCATATATGAAGTTGCCGCTCGTACTCCTATAATCTGTAACTTATATGTCTATATATGTAACACCTATTGTAGTTATTCCCGGTCACTGTCATGTTTGGGGAACCCAGTATGACCCTGAATATTGACTCTCTCTGACAATGTAACATTGCCTCTACGACTAGGGTGGGGAGCCCAAACTGCAGGATCACCAATGTCCACCCTGAGGCGTGAAGTAGCGAAGCTTGATGCAGGAGGGTCTTCCACACAGCCCTACAGTCTCCTAGCTAGGTGTGCCATGAACAATTCTCTGATATAGGCGCAATGCACATGCCCAAAATTGACGTACATTCTGCAAAATTCTCCTCAGACTTCGCATCTCATACACTGTCATTAACATGCTGTTAAGGATGTACTCGGTAATCAGAAGAAAGAAGATTCAGTTTATTCTTGTGGCGGCCTTCTTCGTTATACAGATTTTTCATTTGCGCTTTCTCCTATCTCGGCGGCCAACAAGCAATATTCATAACCTCAAATATTTCACAGTATGTCGGCTATTGGTCCTTAATCACGTAAAACAATCATCGGATCTAACTCACCATTTCTTTGAGTTAGTGGGAAACACCAGACTTCGCGTACTTCAACAACCAATTCATCTTACACCTCGCCTCCGCCGTTCATAAACCCCTTCCTTCCCGCAAGCTTCTCTCCCCCGGTATCACCTGTCCAGCCATACGAGGCGTGCAGGAAGCAAAAGTGATTCCAGTCACCGATGTCTTCGAGGAACGTGGCCTCCAGACATTGGGCTACGAGACAAACCTTCAGCGATGGTCAGACCCCGCGACGAAAGCAGCTTCCACGCAACGCGTGAGTTACTATACCGATATTGTCGAAGGGCCAAGTCCAATTATCGAGGCCAAAGCCATAACCGAGTCTTACTGGCAGTGGAGCGCCATCCGGTTTGTCCTCGAAGCCTTCGTCCTCCCATGGACATCGAATCGCTGGCGCTCTGCGGCCCATCGCTTCCAGCTGAGCCGCCCACTTCAGCAGTGCGTCGACAGCGTTCTCCCTGATATCGTTCCAAACGCTATAGCCTTACATTTACGTATGTGGCCATCAGATCTGTCTTTCGGTCAGGAAGATGCGTGCTATCACGGCCAGGTTCCCATTCTCAGGCATATCTTCTCCAAATGCGACTGGTCAGGGTCGTATTTGTACGACAACGTCATCCGAGTACAGCAGAGCGAGTCACAGCCCGTCATCGTTGCGACCGACGATCGGAAGCATCCCGCAATCATTGATCTTGTCCGGCGGCTTGGTTCAAGGGTACACTTTATGGAAATGACAGAGACATGTGTTGCCGCTATCCGGGACGCTCATCCAGAGGATGAAATTCAATGGCGCACCGCAACGTATTGGCCGATCGTTGAAGCAGCCACAATGGTTCAAGCAGAGTCTTTTGTCGGCTCATTTTGGTCGACATTTTCGCAGCTCATTGCCATCCGCCGGCAAAGAGTGCATCGGACGTTCTTTGTGCAGAATCGGGTGCAGGAGTTTGTGTGGGACTATCGGTGGTTGTTGATACTGGGATTGATTGGGATACTGGGCTTCTTCGTGGTTAGGGTTTGGCGTCGGTCAAGACGGTAGAGTCACTTCGCCTAAGTGGCTCGTGTGGTATTTCTTGCAGTATATAGCCATAAACCCGTTCTTATTTGTTCTCATGATGTGATAGAGCTAGTAGTTGGTTTTGGTTTCCCAGTGAAACCGGCTATTTCGGATCATGCTCTTTGAGGCTACACCCTCTCAAAGATTATAAGTAAGGGTTATTTTCTGCCGTATGATTGAGGCGAATGGAATCACGTAGGAGTATCACTAGCTTAGCGGCTCGATTTTGCTAATCATATAACATCAGGTTTGGTTATAGCTTGTTCTAGCCCGTCTTTCACCCATAGAGAAGGAATATATGTGTGCACACTTTGCGACGACTGTCACAGTTTGTTTCCGTAAGTGGAGCAGAAGTTTGCTAAGAGATCTATTAGTAGCCATAAATTTATGTTGAGATCATCTCGCAATAATTCGAAGTGAGACGTTTGCTAGTGATGCCATTGATATGGCTTTGGGTATCTCTGCTCTACGGAATGAGAATATTATCTGGATCCTAATCCAAGGTAAGCGTACTTTATAAAGCTAAAAAAGGAGCGGCCGAGCACCAACTCAAGGTGCCGTAGTGTAGTGGTTATCATGCGACGTTGTGGTTTATTCCCACAGTCCCGTCTCGACCTGGGTTCGATTCCCAGCGGCGCCAACTGGCGTCAGATACTTGATTGGTTTTCTTTTTTGCTCTTTTCGTTTTAGGTTACTGCCATTATCGTTGTCATTATATATGAATTTTATTTTTCCAAGGAAACTTCCTTATATTTTCACCCCTCATGTGTGTGTCTTACATGATCACTATCTGAATGTTCCCTGTACACTGTGGTGCATTATCTATAAGAGATATTCGAGCTAACGCAAAGAGCTAGGAAATGTAAAATGATAAGTGCTGCACAAAAGAAAGGAAAGACATTTCTCGCCATGATGTTAAACTTCGGATCTTCCATATGTATTACAAACAATCGATCACCAAAGGCTGTCCTTGTACTCACCAGAACTTCCTAATCCGCAATCCAGGACCAGCCTGACAACATTCTTTCCATAGCTGCCACCAGTATACCCCGACGCCGCACACTACCGCACAGGGTTCACTGCGTACATTAGGAAGCGTTACGAGAGAGGTCGAGACTTCCTCTAGAAACCTCAATTCGGGGGTTGACCGGCATATCATCAATTCTCCGTCGATGTTAATGGATATGTCCAAGGGCTCAATGTATTGTATCGTGGCGTCATGTTTCATGGTGCCAATATCCACATTTAACAAACAGTTACCCATAGTATCAGTCTCGGAATTAGCAACAATCACCGCGGATCCAAACAGAGCAGAAAAGCAGGCGTCAAGGCTGGATGGGCGAGGTCATGTCTGTAGAGACCCTAGCCAAAACTCATCCTCGGTGAGGATACCACGTGGAATGGAAACGCTGTAGCGTTCTGACTTGCGAAATGTAGTAGCCATATCATCATATAATGGCATTCGGGATGATCATCTGGGTACGACACAAGGACGAAACCTAGCTCCCTACCCGCATTAATGTGAAATAACCGGCCATCTAGAAAGGAGTGTTAAGATAGATCTGCCACATATTTCAGCATACATGGAGGCTCTCACCATATCTTTACAGGGGGTCTTCAAGGCTTGGATGACCAGGTGCAACAAATGACATGCATTGTCTCCATAGACCCATTGAACGAAGTCATCACAAGACCATACGTATACAACACCACCAGTCATAGTCAAGCTCCGCCTAGCAATAATATCCTCCTCCTTTCTCTCCATCACAACAGGAGGAAGCTCCCATTTGTAATGATGAAATACGGGAGGTGTCAAAGGACCAGCGGCTTCGAGGACCGGGAGAACCAGTGCTGCTTCAGTGTCATTTCCTAGCCATGGTACAGCAGGCTGGCAACACGAAATGTAATTAGAGGGAATGAAGAGGCAAGTACCGGAGCATGATATGCCTATTGGAAAGGTTTCATCCCCTGTTGCGGAGCAAGGCTGTCATGCCAACCGTGTGTTAGGGTAGGTCATAAGTACTAGAAATATCGCTGGAAGGTTCTACATATTCAGTGGGATCTATGTTCTCCAAAAGCAATCGACTGAGCGCGTCTTTTTCAGACTTATCTTCTGCCGTCCTCTCTATAGTATTGTATGCAGGTTCTTCATCTTGCGAAAGTTCTTCCCAGTTGGTTGATCTCTAGGACCCGGGAGTACTTGAATAATTTTTGGAGATTCCTCCACCGTGGGAACTGCCATAATTGGTTTGGGTCCCTTTTGCATCCATGTTTCGGGGTTCTTCCACTACGTGTAGCGAACAATGATATGACGAGGACAGAGAATGAGGAATGTATTGCCGAGCCAATAAACATGCCCAAACAGGAATACCTCGCACAAGATTCAAAAAAGTGAGCCGTAGAGTGATCTACCTCAGGAGTTCTGAACTCTTAGCTAGACTTTATATCTTGGCGTTGGGTGGAGCTCCACCTCCACAAAATGGCAAGCTCCTGGGTCATGCTACCAGCAGGGCTATAAGGCGTAATGGTGCTTGGGTATATTATTGTGAGCCGGCATGAGCCACTACTCGCCTCGGCAAACCTCTTTCAGAACTACTCGGTGGTTTCCTTTCTTGTTGTTCTCAGCCTGTACATGCCCAAATTTGCCTCGACATTCCACACATGCGATACTCAAGGATCAGAGAAACATTGCGTGGCGCATCATGTATTATTTCTCATCCGCATAGGCAATGATGATATATGATGATTCGAACAGAGGCTTGCATATCTTCTGTACGGATGATTTGCCTTGCCGCCTCGGCCTTTCACAAACCACCAGGCGATATCCGTCAGAATCAATATATTGTACTCGCCCTTCAAGAAAAACCCTTTCTTGACTTCTTCCAGTCCAGTAGCTTTAGCTCCCTGGGTCATCTCGAATGCCATACGCAACGTATAGATGCTCAGGGGATCAGCATCTTTTGGTTCCTCACAAGATATGTCAGCGGGTTGGTAGAACTGGCTGCATATGTCCTCTTCCGATTGGGCGAAATCCACCCCAACGGATATCGCCTGGTAGTTTGTGAAAGGGTCAGATGGGAAATGACACCATGAGCAGGATTCGAACCCTTCTGACGCGAGACTCAAGATGATGGAGGCAAGCGCTTAAACTGAATAACTGAGACCTAACAGGCACACACCAACTCGGCATATTGGTCTTCATAAAGGAAATTGAAATCATCCTACCTGACACGCAAACCTAACTTATTGCCCGCTTTTGAACCAATTGGCATATACCTTCGCTTATCTTGCCGTTGCTATAGCCGAACCGTTAGACCACAACAATACTTTCGGACTCTAGATCAGGCCTAGTCCTGGTTGATCGACAGACACTGAACGGGGATAGGAAGTATATTAGAAGGTAGCTGTTGACAAATATTTCCTAACGTCGAATCAAACATAGTGACAAAGCTTAAGAGAACCGCACATGAATGCAGCACCTGAGGGGATAGTATATGGCGTAACAAATAGAGAATAACCTCACATGCTAAGGCTTCAGGTAGTTCCATGATCGAAACTAGTACTCAATTACCCTAATATTTAACCTAGCAACTTTAGGAGCACGAGTAAGTTGATAAAGAAGTAAGCCTTTACAGCCTTATAGTTCAATACTTAACTTAAGAGAATTCCGTAATGGGAATCAATAAGAAAGTACGTATCAGGGTTTCTTCTACAGATCAACCTGCTACTAAAAAAGCGAAAAGATAAGTCCATTCATCCCCTCCCGAAGACCGAGCTTGCATTCAGGTTAAAGTCAGTAAATTGCCCGGCAACTTATAGGAACAAAAGAAAGCCTGGGATTCATACCAAGGTCATGCCGTCTTCGAGAGGGCAAATGCCGATGCCTAGTGAGATCATACTTGCAGGATAATTTCTTCTATCACCGAGTGACACGTAGAGCAGCTTGAACGGCAAATGCGGGGAGCCCCACGTTGGTCGGGGTATATAAATCAATCAACGGCTGAGCTATCGGAGCCCTGATGAATCCTGGACCTTTTCCAAAGCACAAAAGAACATCCCAGGATCATCAGTAGTAGTTTGCAATGGACAAGTACGTGTTTCAGTCTAAACCGAAAGCTAAACCGGAGGCCATCATTGCGGGCCCCAAGTATCGCTTCACTGTTCTGACCGATCGTCTGCTGCGTTTCGAGTGGTCCGAAGATTTTCAGTTCGAAGACCGAGCTTCCACGTTTGCGATCAATCGCGACTTTCCGGTCCCGGAATTTAGGGTCATTGATAATGATGGCCTCGAAATCATCACAGACCATTTCCACTTGAGCTATGACAAGAAGAAATTCAGTCCCAACGGCATGGTCGCTCACCTCAGTGCCAAAACAACTAAGTATGGAACCGAATGGCGGTTTGGGACACCATCAACCCTCAACTTAGGAGGTACGGCGAGAACGCTGGATCTTTGTGATGGTCGATGCGACATGGGCGATGGAATTCTGTCGAAAGCTGGCTTCGCAACGATCGATGATTCTAGGTCTATGCTTTTCGATGGACATGGCTTTGTGGCCAGTCGGCCCGCCGGAGACCGAGTGGATGGATATCTCTTCGCCTACGGTCACGACTATAAAGCCGCAATCAAAGCGTTTTATGCCATATCTGGTAAGCAACCAGTCGTTCCAAGATATGCCCTGGGCAATTGGTGGAGCCGATACTACCCATATCGACAAGGCGAGTATCTTCAGCTCATGGACGAGTTTCGAGCCCGCGATATTCCCATGTCGGTCGCGGTACTTGATATGGATTGGCATCTAGTATCGGACGAGCGCGTGCCACACGCGGGCTGGACGGGCTATACGTGGGATAAGAAGCTCTTCCCCGACCCGGCACAGTTCGGTTGTGAGCTTCACGATCGCAACCTCAAAGTAACCTTGAATGACCATCCCCACGACGGGATTCATTCGCACGAAGATTCCTACGAAGAAATGGCAGAATTCCTAGGTCGCGATCCAAGGACCAAAACTCCGATCTTGTTTGACTCAACTGACCCGAAGTTCATGGAGGCTTACCTGAACATTCTTCACCGAAGCCTTGAATCAATAGTCTGCGACTTTTGGTGGATTGATTGGCAACAGGGGCCTTACTCCAAGATTCCCGGGATCGACCCTTTGTGGATGCTGAACCATTTCGACTATCTTGATCATGCGCGGGATGGCAAGGTCCCACTGATCCTCTCCAGATATGCTGGCCCCGGTAGTCATCGCTACCCCCTTGGTTTCTCGGGCGATACGGTGGTGTCTTGGGCTTCACTTGAGTTCCAGCCAGAATTCACAGCAACCGCGTCGAACATTGGGTATGGTTGGTGGAGCCACGATATCGGCGGCCACATTCACGGTGGCCGCGATGATGAACTGGTCACCCGCTGGGTTCAGCTAGGAGTCTTTTCGCCGATCATGCGACTACATTCCACGTCTTCTCGCTGGATGTCTAAGGAGCCATGGCTCTATCGCGATGAGTGTGGCGCGGTCATGTCGCATTTCTTACAGCTTCGGCATAGGCTCGTGCCGTACCTCTACACGCGGAACGTGATGGGCGCAGCCGAGGACGAGCCACTAGTGCAGCCGCTATACTGGCAATACGCTAGACATGAAGAGGCCTATTCTGTGCCCAACCAATTCTTTTTTGGGTCCGAGTTAGTAGTTGCTCCGATCGTGCAGCCCCGGGAGAAACGGACCAACCTGGCATCGGTGAAAGCCTGGTTGCCGCCCCTCGGACGTTATGTCGATATTTTCACTGGTACCGTGTATGACGGGGATCGCGGGTTGACGCTCTACCGACCCCTCGAGGGGTACCCAGTCCTAGCACATGAAGGATCAATCATCCCCCTAGACGCTGACCATGCTCCCCGGAACGGCTGTCTCAACCCGGATGCCTTCGAGGTTCTGATCGTGGTAGGCCAAGATGGCCATGTGAGTGTGATTGAAGACAGCCGGGATGACGGAAGCCGGGATATCAACGAGGATGCCGGAAAGCAACGAATCTCCACGATCGTTTACGCACAAGCGCGAGGAAAACTAGTCGCGAATGTCACCGGTCGATCGTGGGCGTTCCGCTTCCTCGCATTTACTACTAAGCCGAAGGAGCTCAAGGTCCTGATCAATGGACACGACCGAACAAAGGATTCGACTGCCACTGTCATTCACTATCCGAACTCTCCAGGTCTACTCGTGCAGTGTCCAGTTGTATCTGCAGAGGAGTACTCTATTATTATCGATTTGGGTGCCAATCCACAGCTCAGTGTAGTAGATCACAGGGCTCAACTGGAGCGACTGATCATGAATTACCAGATTACATTCCAGATGAAAAACAAGCTATGGGATGTCGTGGAGCGGTTTAAGGACCGGCCTCTAAATGTGACGATCGGGAACTTGACCGCACTAGGGTATGATGAAGCCATTGTAGGTCCAATTGCCGAGTTGCTTTTAGCGGACAGCCGATCGGTTAGATTGTCGACAAAGTGAGATTTGTCAGAGTTAGATGTGGTAGAAGTATTAGCAATAGTACGAAGTAAACTCCGGGGTAGTTCATAAGAAGATGCGATGCTCCAGAAAGACAGTCCAGGACTCTCATTGGCTGGCTGTCTGTATCTGAATTTGGTTAGCGCGTTTTCTTTTTTGGAACAACTCATGACGTCACTGTCAATTCACAGCCTCAGGCAGTTGGGACTCGTCGAGATACTACAAGACTTGAGAAGAGCTAATTGACTCCCCGATACCTTTATATTCGTCGTATAGCCTGGAAAATGGTGTCAGCCATTCCATAATCCCATGGGAATGGCTGTCCAGGTCGAAACTGTGGCAGCAGCACCCTATATATATATATCTCCCTGATATGACAGCGGAAGCATTAATGAAAGAGAATACAGTCGACCATTACAAAAGTGGGGAATACTAATAAATACGTAGAGGATAAAGGAAGGTTGAGAGCATCAAGGCACAGAAAATTAATCATCGCTCCCCCTTCATAATTCCATATCTCCACCCCATATAGCCCAAAACTCCCGTCAAACTCCCCATCCCAGCACTTGCAAAACCATTCTTCCACCCCAACATCTGAAGCAAAACTAACGGCGAGACGTCCTGATGACCCGTTAACTGAAACATTCCAGCATTCCGTCTCGCCATGACCACCATTCCGGTCAATCCCAGCACCGCGCCCACGAATCCCCACGTGTCAACCTCCAGCTGGCCTTCATTTTCCAATAACCGCCAACTGCGATCCTGCCATTCGATTGGTTCCCATTTGACCAGGTAGTAGGGCAGCATAGCGGTCATGGCCCCGAGACCGATGGCAGCACCCACGCCTGTCGAGCGTAGGAGTAGAGTGGCTGGAGTAGATCCGGGAGGAACAATCCATCTTGTGTAGAGTTTATTATTGGCGGTGGGTCGGTAGGCGAGTAGAGCCATCCGAGTGAGGCCGGCAGAGGCCCCCAGAAAGGCACCGGCCTGAAAGCTGCGGTCGAGGACGTGGGAGGTGAGGATCAATTTGGGGAATGGCTGATCTTCGGCATATTCGGTGTGGGGCCAGAGGGTGGACAACATCATCTTTGATTTATAGTAGTCTGAGCGATAACTGCCCGTTCGCAGTGAGTTTAAAATTCTGTGATTGACTGAGGAATGGACGGAGGTCAGACAATTGTCAGGACATGCATCTTTATTAACATTTCAGACGAGCCATGGCTGGACAGGAGATCATATATGAATTGTCATTTAAGGTAATCATCATGCCGCGGGAAGATCATCTGACAGGATTCATTAATTACTAATTAATCATAATAATCAACTAAGAATTGTGACCGGCCCGTCGGGTTTCCCCTCTTACTACTACTACTACTACTAAATATCTTGTCTGGACACTAGTAGTACAATTCCATTCTCAAGGGGTTACAATCTCACACTAGAGTAGTTATTACTCAGCCAGAAGACGAAGCAATACTGAGAGCAAAAAGACAGTCATCCTCATGGGTACCTCGTCGGGGAGGAGAACATAAAGGCAGAGAGTAACTTGGTTTCTGTAGCCATCAGCGTACGAGCATAGCAACCAGCGCAACGATGATGACAAATTGCACCAAAAGGACCTAAAGAGAGGGTACTCGCTTAAGAAAGCAATTGAAAGACTTCCTGCAATACGTTAGTTTTCACCGCAGGAGGACGCTTGGAAAGCCCCATCAGATGATCCACGGCCATCTGAGCACCGCGCACGCTATATTCCATACTGAAGGTCGTATCGTGGGGAATCTCCACGAATTGACCCACAAATGCCATATTCGTGGTATCGTGAGGAATGACCTCCGGTCGGTCATAATGCGCCCGTTTCAGCAACGAGGCCGTAGCCAGTGGCAACACGCAGGGGATCGTGGTCGCGCCAGGCAGGATCTCCTGCGCAGGGAAATGCAAGTGACCGAGCACCTCCAACAATATCTCCTCTCCGCTACAATATATCATCGGCTTCTGCACGTAGTTGCCCGGCGCCTCGAGGCTCATGCCGTATCCCCAGAGAATGTGAACGTCGTCTGGCTGGGTGGAAAAGAGCGGCTGGTGAGGCACGCTAAGACTTAAGTTCCAGTTGCTGTTCATGAAGGATACCAAGGCGCCAGCGCCGGGCTGGTCGTGCGTCAGCTTCTCGTAGAGGTCGAGGAACTTGGAACCATGTAAGGTCACCGTAAACGTTTCAACCTGAGAGTCGTTGACGTGGGTGGAGAAGGTCGACGGGTCGCCGAATTTCCTGGTCGATTTTGCAGCGATCTTATGCCACAAGGACCAGTCATCCGTAATGATCTCCTCCAGGGACTCATTCGACGCGGGTGGTACTTTGTTGGATCCGACCATTGATCCGGAACTGACCGAGCCAAGTGTGACGATAACAATATCTACCGGGTCGATTGTAATGAGTGAAGGATTATTGTCATCGTGTACGAGCTGGATCTCGGAAATGGTCGTTGGATCGCCCTCGGGGTACATGACCAGATCAGTCACTTTAGCATTGAACCGGAAGTCGACCCCGGCGTTCTTCAAATACGAAACAATAGGGAGGATGACAGATTCATGGAGAGTGTATTGGGTTCGATCCAACGCGCTGACACAGTTGAACTCTTTGATCTTCTCGAGGTATTTGCGCACATGTCTCTGGAACTCTACTGCACCGTGTTCGGGTCGCAGTGCAAAGCTACGGGGAGTTGGTTAGACTCGGTTGGCGGAGGGAGAATGGTGGGAAAAGCTCACGTTGTGGACCACAGCGTCCAAAACTTCGAGGTAAAGAAAGACTCATCGAAAAGGTCTTTGATGGTCTTGTCGGCAACTGCTTTTTCGCCTTCAACCATGAGCTTGATGAGATCAAACCGATGTTTGAATCCCAAATGAAACTGTCGGTCATCGACTTTCTCGGGTCCCGATGCACCCTGCACCAGGAGACGGGTTGATGCTGAAGGCTTTTTCGGTACATTTCCCTCTAGTGTGAGCCGTACCATGTCCATGATGGATTGGTTAGGGTTCTTAGTGCTAGGGATGTGGGATAGAAGATCCTCGACGCAAACATCATGGAAGTAAGGGAGACAGGCAGTGCGCAGCACATAGCCATTTTCTACATCACCAGAACTCTGCATTGCTCCGCCGGGGCGCTGGTGTTCGTCGAGTACATGGATATTCTGAGCCGGGATGTTGGCATCGTTGATCAAGTGGACCGCTGCGGCCAGCGACGCGATGCCGCCGCCGATCAGCCAGGCCTGGACATTTTCAGAGCCTCGTCTGCTGAAACCTTCTTTATGAGGCATCTTGAGTGTGGTTCTCTTGCAGAGGATTTGATATACGATTGGCGAATAAGGGGTTAGTTAAGGCGCGAAGAATTTGCGCAATCTCTGGGCTATATACCCCTTCTGGGAGGTATCATATGACAGGACATTTTGAGCCATCGTAAACTCATGGTGACATAGTAAGTCGGGATACGTTTGAACAACTGTGCCCTGGGAACTTTGTCTCTTGAACCTCAGATGGCGTTGTCAAAGTGTGTCACACCACCTGGACCGTTGGGTGTTCAAACTATGGATGTACGTACAAATGTTAATGATCAATACAATCAGTGCAGATAGAGGAGGCCAGCAGATCAAATTGCAGCACTAAACAAACTTGTAGAGGGAACTGTATTGGTACACGATTTGACTAGTACCTGTAGTGACATATAGGTATCTAAGAAGCAATAGTGGAAACCTTCGGCCACGGTACCAAGGTACGGATTATGCCCGCCCAACGATCGTTCCAAGTGCTTCTTGGGCCATTATCTCCTGACATTGAATACCTCGGCGTCATTCTCTCGTCATCTGTTATTTTTCGTTAAATCTTCGCAGTATCAAATGGACGCGCAAGTGGCTAAAGCGCCGTGGAAGGCGAATTCAATGGAACAACTGGACATCGTAAACATAATAACATTATTCATGAAAGCATGCCTATATATAGAATCCAAACGACCATGGGCGTCATAAATCCGGACAATCGGGCCCATCCTATACCGGCAGAGCTCCTCACATCCACAATATAGCCCCAATTTTTAGCCTCATAAACCCCACAGCCAAAGCCATGGCATCGAATATATACACGGGGCGTATTTAACCGTAAACAATAGTAGATGGCGGACATATTTTTAAGTGCCGATGGTGCTCAATGGATATCCACGACCTCATCCGGCTCAAGCTGGAAGGCGGATTCACGCTGCACACACGTCGAGTTCCGAAAGCTGTCGTATACACAGTCCATCTCAAATGATCCGATGTAGGTAACCTGCGCTCTACCATTAGGGCTGATTAAGGAGAACAAATTAGCTATTTTCTGAAGCGAAGGGCGATAAATGGATCTCCTCTCAGGCTTACCATGTAAAGTTTGGCTCCACGTAGGTCAGTGTACCTTCCGTGCCGTTCACAGAGAAGAAGAACCGTCTACCAAGGGAGCGGCAGTTAAATGGTCCACCAGGAATCGGTCGAGCAGGGACACTGCCGGGGTCCGATGCACCGCAGGTTAAGATGTCATTGTATGTTGGGGATCGCTGCGAGAAAGTGGCCTCTAGAGTATCAGGTGGGCCACACCCAGGGCCACCATGGAGACCCGTTGGAAGGCAACCACCATCGTCGCACCCACAACTGTGAGTACTATTGTGCCAATAAAAGTTGGTTATAATGGCGGGAAGGATTTGGCAATCATCAGTGCTTTGGCGAGTGGCGAGCTGCGTTAATGGCGGGGACCGTGGAACCGCCGCACCATATACACCTCGCGCTGTCGATGAAAGGTAGACCAGAAAAAGGTATAGGCTGCCTGGAAAATGCATTTTGGATTTTGAAGTTGGATAGAGGGTGCAAGGCTGGTTTGGAGATTTTGTCGTTGGACCTGAAATGTGCTTTCAGCAGCTAGAAGCAGAGCAGTATTTGTAGGTCCCCCGTTCAGCAAAACGCATTTCGCCTAGTTTGAAGTAAACCCGAATTTTCTGGTGATTATTTTGCTCACGAGTTAATTTATATAACAACCCATGGCTCTTTGTCTTTGTTTAGCCTTCTACGACGGGATACCCGTTCTGATAGTGGGCCTGGGGGTCGGCTCATGCGTAGTCTACTATGATCTAGCTGGATAGATCGGCTTGACGTTGAAATGGCTTGCTGTTTTTTCAAAGACGAGTGAAGATGACATTTATTTCCAGCTCTTTGCTAATATGGTGGCAGGATCGATGCAGGTACTCTCAACTTATCACGCTGCAGCCGGGATCTGGCGCTTAGAGCTTACCGACTATAGGATAGCAACTACGAATCTACCTGCACGACACGCTAAACATGCATATAAGCACCAGGAGATACGCGATGTGACATCAGCCCAGGTTTATGAGTTGCATTTATCTATGCATAGTTTATGTAGGAGGCTGGTCGATCCCAGTCATATCTTTCTCGAACAGCTGAATGAATTCCTTCAAGATCTCCACAGTTTCCCCAACCTTGTCAATGAAAGGAGCACAATGACTGCTGATAATCTCCCTTACATGCCATTCTTGGCCTGTTCCTGATATCATGCCATATTGGGCAACCTTGGAGACTGCCAAATCCTCCGAGGTCACAAGATACGCCAACCTCCCGATAAACGCGGGTTCGGTCCATGCAGGGGAGGGCTGAGGCGAGAAAAAGGCGAGGCTGGCATGCGGCTTGATCGCATTTCCTATCACCAGCGCTTTCTCCTCACTGGTATCGGCAGCGAAGATCTTTTCCGGCTGATCTGGTACGTTGAGGTTGGTCGAGGGCTATATTATCTCAGGTTAGCAACCTAAAAAAATAATTCAATCTTGCCTGATGTGATGCATGGGAGCACCAACTTGGTCCAATAAGATCCACGGGGGTAGATTGCCACCTTGCATCCCAGCACAACTGATACCCTCAGGGACAAGAAATGCCGCTATACACACCAATCCCAGCACCCCTCCCTTTTGACCGTCCTGAGATCTCTGAGACTTGGAGAGGCCTGATGCAGCAGCGCCCCCTGGCATACTTGCATATGAATGCATGACTAGAACAACATCGCGGCCTTCGTCCTCCACTAAGAAATCCAAATGCTGTCGGATAAGGGCTGCATCGGTTCCACAATTGCCCACGGTCGGATCGCCAGGGTCTAGAGACAGCAGCTCAGCCGTCAAAGTCGGATACCCTGCTGCCTTCACAGCGTCTATAAAGGGCTGGTAAAACTGGGGGACAAGCCATGCCCCCGGAATGAACACAATAGTTGGCTGCATCGTTAGGATGAAGTGAAAGATTCTCGATACGCGAGGCGATCTTGCTACAATCGGAGATTTCCAAAGACCATAAGTTATTATGTGCGAGAGGGGCTGCCTGACAATTTGGGGGCGAAAGGAAGCGCAATGGTATCTATCTATCATATTGGCCACACTAACGCCTGTGGGCCGAGATTTAACAGATGCTTGTTATTTCTTGGCAAGGGAGCCCTTCCATATCGAAGTGAGGATGTTCGGGTATTAATTGATGAGTGAACATAAGTGTTGTTCCTCACAGCGGCTCCCGAGGCCCAATCTCCCTCCCTACATCCGAAAGCATACTACCGCTCACTGCAGTTTTCCTGTAAAGCAAAGGTATCCGACATGAAAGACCATTTTACTACATCCAGGAAATTCCATCTTTCCTCAAGAGCGCCTGGAGTGTAAAGTTCAGGGAGCGCTTCGATAATGTGCCTTACCTTCGGTGGACGGATAGAGACCACCTGTTGACTCTTGGTGTTTTCACTCCCTCCAGCGGGGCTTGCCTGTAAGGTCTTTTTACCGCCCAAAATTGGAATGATTACCCTGATATTCATCGCCATAGCACCAATAGACCAAGCAATGAAGCTTGTCAATTTCCGATCCCGGTAGTTGATGAATGATTTGCCGGTCAATGGTGAAGTGCGTGTACCATCGGAAAGATATGACGAGGGACAAAGAAGAGGGAGGGAATGAAACCAACATTGAGGTAATGGCCTTTCTAGTGGTGATACTCTGTTGCGTTGCATTGCCAAACAGCCAGTCATCTTAGGGCTCAGGACTTACCGATCTCGATAACATCATCCTTTGTTTGTTCCGTGTAACAGATGGCCTCCTCGAACATGCTCTGATCGACTTGTTACTCTCTCACTTAGGTTTGTTTATCCTTAATTTCTCTTTCCCTGAGCGTTGCTGGCGATAAGGTTCCCTATTTGTTATCATCGTTGGACATGTCTCAGCTCCTCCGGTTCCTTTCTAATTATCCACACAAGCTGGCGCGGATGAAAATGCTGGCGCATCGTACAGCTTTACAGACCTCTCGCTTTAGGATTCCTCCACTGTTCGTGCTTTTCATTTTCTATGTACGTAGGATGGTTGAGATTGTGTCCGTGCGTACCCTAAACACGGTGCCTGTCCATCCGGATATTGAACCTCACCACGAAGAAGTAGCACCAGCTCTTCCCATCGAATATATCCAACAATCAGAAGAGACATCTTATTGTGCGGACCGTTTGGTGTTGCTTATCTTCAAAATCCCGTGATCATACGGCCGAGTATTGCACTTCGAAGTCTCCCTGGGGATTGACGTGCCTCCATAGCCAGACTGTGTCGGATCGCGTGGATTCGTTCTGCTTCTTATGAAACGCCACCTTCATGCCCGGTCAGCAACGGTTTTCGTTGAACTGTGAGCTCGCTGATCCAAGCGACCCTGACTCCACTCCATCGATCCCCCGGTATGGTGACTTTCACAATTATTGCATCTTCCGCTCCCATTGCTCCATCCGAATCCAGATTTAGGTTCATCAGATTGTCGCACGCAATTGCTCAAATCGGTATCCATTTGGTCAATCGTTCAGATGCATCCAACCTGGTGGCTTGTTACCCATCTACCAGCTTTAACTGACAGAGAATACAACCGTAACGATCAATTCGATGAATCACAATATCACTCTGAGGCTCGGATGTGATTTAAAATAATATAATATTCACATAGTTCTGGTTCTCCATACTACACAGCGCCTGTTAGAAACCCTTTGATATACCCATTTTCGCTGCTATTAATTCTAGCTCATCTTGTACCCACCCTCGACATGGTCATCGCAGGAGGCTACAACTCCATAAATTCCATGAAGTCGAAATCACGCTCAATATGGTCCCTACCCCTGCTGCGTTTTCCATCGTCCACAGCACCGAAACACAATTACTAGTTGCGTAAGTGCCCCTTGAAATGACCCGATATGATTTGGTCTGGACTGAATCAAGGATAGTGGTATCGATTATAATCGCGCCTGCTACTTGGATGATACATACCTGGTGTCCATGGTCAAGGGTTTTTAGTACTTCTATATTTCCCCGGCTCCCTTATGCAGATAGCACAGGCACACGATACACACAAGGATGGAAAGACCTATGTTTTGTCATGTGGCTCATTTTCAGCATCACTTTACTCCGTGCTGTTACAATAAAATGTACTTTTGAGCCACTTGCAAGATCCCAGGGTCTCGGCTCCAGGCAGCTTCAGCAACTTTCAGAGGAGGCCTGGCTCGGTGTATATTTTATCGCCTCCTGGTCGGTGGGCATAGCTAGTACCCCAGTACGATGATAGGCACTTCCATAACTGAATCTTCACTAGTATATTAGGTACAATTCTCCGATCTGGTACAGTTTCGACGCACTATGGGCGCACTACCCAGTACATGAGATGACTAAACTTATGAAATGGTATCTCCTGGTGCAACTTTCATTTTGGCCACAGCAAATCGTTGTCCTTTGCCTAGAACAAAGCCAAAGACGAGGTTATTATGCTCTGCTAGTGCATCGTATTATGACCTACGTCCTGATCAGCGCGGCATATACCTATCGCCTAAACCATGCCGCAAATGTGGTTCTGTGTCTCATGGAGGTTGGAGATTTTCTACTATCGGTATGGAACTGGTGCCCAAAATACCTCGCATTGGAACTCTAATATGTTATATAGGCTTTAAAGGTTCTCACTTGAGCTACAAAAAGACTCGATTATTCACTAACGGTATTCTCTTAATAGTATGGATTGCCACTCGCCGTATCCATTTTCTTCGATTTTGCTGGTCAGTATACATGATCCCTGTGCATATGTTTGGTTGTTATGCCCGCACTGGGATACAGATAGGAAGCATCGCACAAGCTCCTGTTGGTGGGTGCATGGGACTTGTTTTCTTGGCTTTGGGACTCGAACCGCCTGATTTGCGTCAACCAGAGCACTAAGTATGCTTTCCTCGTCTTTCTTCTCCTTGACCATGTATTGTTTTCGGTTTGGTTGGAACGGATTTGCCGAGGTTCTATCAAGGCTTTCCACGATGTATATCTTAAGAAAGACAGCAGAATGAGCTAGTGAATGGGCCGAGCTACTACAGTGGATTCGGGTGTCTATTTAGTTGCACTATGGTTATTCGCATGCTGGATTTCAAGCCATACGTGAATATTCTTGGACTAAACTAAAGTTCTGAGTGGAGAATCCTTATGAGAAATCAATTGTGAAATTGTATATCTCAATGTAGCCTTGGGGACCCGCGTATAATCATTTAGCTTTATTTTTATCTACTTCGTCCGTCGAGACAACTGACAGTGCCCCCGAGACCAGACCTCTAGATGGTTGCACACGCTTTTATCTCTGCGACAGACAAGACCTTGGGACTATCCTGAACCCATGAGATCGGATCATTCTGGCCTAAAACAAACTGAGCTTATAACTAGTCAGCCAGACTCTATTAATAGAATCTTGATATCTAGACACTGAGACATTTTTCATAACTGATCTTTCAAAGAGAATCTAGCAGACACTCTAGAGTAAATCAAGAAGCTCTGTCAGTCAGTCTCTTAATAACTATTCTATATCTATAGAGAGCGGAGCTCTTTCGCCTATAGATGATTCAGAAGAAGGGACGGACAGGTAGAAAGGGAGCTATAATAGCAGCAGTAGCAGTATAAGGCTGGGCATTACTACCAGGCAGACTGTATATATTGGAAATGAGATCAAAAAGAAAAAAGTGTTTAAGGCGATACTTTGCTTAATGCTAACTTTTCAGCTAAAGAAAAGAGTAACAGTATCACAGGTTTTACAGTAGTAATATACTGAATTCTAATAGAGATAGGCAGTAATAAGCTCTATATATAGTATATAGAAACTAGCTGTATCTTAACTAGTATCTTAATTATCTACTTTACAGATCTTATATAAGTTCCCTAGAGGGTCCAGTGCAAAATTACTACCAGTTATATAAGTAATATTAGCCTTGGTCCGGCCTACTTAAGAGCCTGTTTATAGGTTAGTGATCCCATACTGTTGATTACTATCTAACCTGCTAATTTTCTAGAATATAGACGCCATGTTAGAGAGTGCTCCAGAACAGCAAAACTCTCAGAGTAGATAGGACCACGACGGTTATTGAAGATACTATAACTTCTATTACCAAGGAATATTATCCACCCCTGCCCTTTCATGTTGTCCACTTGCTAACTAGAAAGGCGGGGACTGAACTAGAAGAGCCCATTTTAGAACTACCAACTTGTATAGCTGAGGAGCCCAACTGTCCAAGGTGTGTCCTGAACCAGTTAGCGAATCACCCTGAACAGCCTTATATCCACTATGGTTTGATCGCTCCGAGGTCAGATTATGAAAGATGCCAGAACCCATGATTTAATCACACAAGAACTAGTCATTCTCTGTTTTAAATTGGAAGCTGCTGTCCTTATAGATGAACTCCTATCCCTTGTTATATGAGGTATCTGTGACTATTGCGGCTTTCATAAACACAATCGGTGGCAAGCAGATACAGCACGTGTTGCCGCTGCTTATGCAAAAGCTCTTCTCAGGATGGCTCCTTTCCTTGATCCGAGTATTAGTCTAAAAGAACAAAAATCTAATCAGCATCGCTGGATAATTCTCTTTGAGAGAAACTGGGGATTTATAGGTCATGAAAAAGAAATTTCCAAAGCCCAAGAATTGTTTGAACAAGTAAACGGATCATCCAAAATCGCGATCTATGGGCTGGGTGAAATTGGTAAGACTCACTTAATGAAGCACCTTGCCTATATTGCTAGGTGTAAGCCAATCAATTTGCTCGTGTAGCCGCTCCGTCAAGTAGCCCTAGTTTAAGCAGATCATAGTACAACTGCTTACTCCACTTTATCCTCTCCCCCCTCTTTCTACTCCCCATCTCGTTGATGAAGCTGTTGACCATGAAAAACCACCTACGACGTCCCAATCCCATCTTCCGCCCTCTAGTGCAATGTCTATGCCAACCACCACAACAAACGATGTCTTGCATCTGACGACCACTTTCGCACCACCCAGTTCGTGTATATCAGATATCTACCGCGCGACCAGTGCTTGCCGTGGGGATGAATGCGATCACACCTGGCTAAATCTAGGACCCGCCAGCACCGCAGAATGTCTACCATCGGGCTGGGCTCCATCCGCGTACTTTTCACCCGGACTGTGCCCAAGTGGCTACGCTGCTAGCTCGAGTGTTGAATATACTACTGGCACTGTGACTGAGACTCGTGCGACTTGTTGCCCAGTGTAAGTTTCAATGAAACATCATCATATCTTAGCTACAGGGTGGACAATAACTCCCTATAGTGCACACGGTCGATATTCCCTTCGGCCTCACACATCGTCCACATATCCCTGGTATGCGACCGAAGTTTGCCAATTTCAACCCACCGCGGGGGTCACCGTTTTCAATTATACCTACTTGGCCACTGATGGCTCGTGGACTTCGGCGACAGGCTCGCTAGACAGCGACGGATTGGTGAATGCCTACGGCGTACCCATTCGGTGGCAGTCGACGGATTTCACTACCCCTACACCTACCGAAACATCGAAAACTAGTAGCGTACGCTCCTCACTACCGTCATCTGAGGTATCTGAAGGAGATTCGTCCGGGTTGTCCCCAGGCGCAAAAGCTGGCATTGGAGTAGGTGTCGCTGTTGGAGCAATTTTACTCATTACTTTGGTTGCTGGTCTCATTTGCTTTCGGCGCAGGGCTAGGAGAGCGAAGCACAACCTGGTGGCAGACGGTACTACACATGATTATCACCAACCGCCGACCGAGTTGGAATCGTCGGGGGATATAGTCTTTGCTCCTCCAAAGGCGGAATTGTCCTCGGAAAGACACAGTGGGGAGCGTACCTCTAGGACCCAGGCCGCGGAGCTTGACGCTGGGAGACCATCTTGAAGTATGTCCATCTCCCCGGGCAAGATATAGCCTTCAGCACCTTCCTGCTATACCCTTTGGTGGTATGTTATTGGCTGAGTATTGTTGTATCATACATATAAAGATCTCATTTCCTTCCCCAGAAAAATATGTAGCAAACACCATCCTTTCCATGGTCAAATTGCGTCTCTGTCAGGCACATGGATTCTGTATCTGCAGGATGTAAGCATCTCACGCGCTGACTTTGTGCTTCCCGTCATATCTTTGTTTCTAAGGAAGAAGGGGGTTTCTCCTTCACGGTAGGCAGTACTAAGTAAAGGTGGCTTTTGGTGAGAAACGACACGTCAGAAACTTGAATCTGCGTGCTTTTGAGCCCTCCCACTATGACCGGTGCAATAAACGTAGCGATGCCAACGACACGCACGGTTTCAAGCAATAAAACTAAATTATGTATAGATGGGTTCCTCTGCAGCGTACGTGCCACAAATAAGGGAACACATCTCCATCTACACCGGTACCATAGCCACCTTGGTGCCATGATCACTCGCCAGTGTCAGTGCCAACGCTTCCTGCCAAGGCTGCGGATCTCGACTGGCAATCCCCTTAAACGCCTGCAAGATTCGTACAATCGTATATGATGCCTCTGTCAGAGCGAACTGTTGCCCTAGGCAAATTCGAGGCCCCCCATTAAACGGGACAAACGCCCAGCCCGGTCGGAGGGCTTCCCATCGTTCTGGTCGGAACTCATCGGCGTCGGGGCCATAAATGTCCTTTCGCCGGTGCATGACATGCACGTCGTAGTTGACATGTTGGCCCTTGGCGACAAATACGGGCGACTTTCCGTCCGGTCCTCCGCCGACCGGAAGAAAGGTGTCTTTGTTCGCCCTACGTCCGTTGGATGGGACTATGGGATACAAGCGCAGCGCTGTTGGAGGTCAGTCACTCCCGATCAAGGATGCTTGGACGGTGTTGCAAGTACGCACTTTCGTTGATGACCCATGATAGATATTTCATTTGTTTGAGCTGTTCGAAGGATGGACATTGTCCGTCGAGAGGGAAAATCTCTTGCTGGAGACTTTTCCATATGTCAGGACGTCGCGCAAGCGTGTAAAATACCATGCTTAACAGACTAGCTGTGGTGTCTCTCCCGGCAAGCAGAATATTGAGTATCTGGTCGGTGAGTTCGGTCGTATTGCTGGTTTGTTTTGCTAGCTCTTGGAGGAAAACGTATCGTGATTGTGGCTCTGCGGAGTCAGCTGCATTTTTCTCGGAATCGACGGAGGCTCTATAGTCAATCGCCTTCTTGACAAAGCCATCGACAAATCCCCTCGCTTCTCGCACGGACTCCTTGAAACCGGAAGGACCACCTAATCCGGCAAACGGTCCAAGGGCGAATCTATGAGAAAGTCCATCTTGAGCATTATTAAAATGATGGGCGAATCTGGAGGACTTGGCGGAGGATTCAGGACGCAACGACTCCACCGATTCGCCGAACAGAAACTCCGTTGCTGTATCCAGGGTCTGCAAGAAAGGAATGTTAGAATGCATTCCTGGGGAAGTTGGCCGGTGAAGATCGCTTCCATACCAACTTGAAGAATAGCTCCTGCAGGTCTACCGTCGAGCCATCTCGAGGGATATTGCTGATCAACTTCTGTACGTGTCTCTCGTACATATCGGTCGCCGCGATCTGTGTTCTCGCGAAACTCGGCCTTAACAGGGTGCGAGAATGCTCCCACTGAGGCCCATCCGCTGTGAAGATACCGTTGCCCAAGAGCGGGTAGAATGCCCGCCGTCTTGCCTCACCCAGGTCAAAGTCCTTGAACTTGACCGCCAGAACGGTCTTGATATTTTCTGGTTCAATGGTGCATACATCAGTCGAAACGAGAATCCGTGTCCGAAAAGTGTTCCCATAGCGTCGATAGTTGCTGCGCCCTAGTTCTAGGAAACGATGTTCACGAAGTGCATCTAGGACTTCTCGTAGAGCGTCAAGGCCCAGGAAGGGATCTTTATGACGGACTTGTGGAGGAGGAAAGCATCCATGTTCTTTCTCAAATCGGCGGACTGTGATGGATTAGCAAAACAGCTTAAATGGTTGCAGTTGGGCCTCCACGGACTTTGGATTGCTCTATTGATCTTGCGGACTAGATGGAAGGATGTAACTATTAGGGCGAAACAGATAATGAATATAGTAGGAAGGGCCATGGTGGATGGTTCTGATGCTGTTGAGGACCTCCCTCGTGGTCATCTGTCGGCGTACTCATATTTATATCTCCGTCTAGAAGTAAGCATCATAACCCCGCTGACATCATTTTAGTGTTTCATATAGGCTAGAGATGAATGAACGACTCCCTTCGGAGGCGTACGACATCAGCTCCGAGACGATATAAACCAACCACCACCCCATCCTTCAGGCGACCATATATTTTCCCTTGAGTGATAGGGGGGAAAAGTGGGAACTAGTGGATCCAGACAATGCACCTCATTGCCAAGAACCGAGATCCGAAGTCGATGATGCACTGACCATCTTCCACTTTGACCTCCGAGTCTGGAGCCACAACCATTCCCTGTCTTTCAGCTACCACTTGGCACCAGAACATCAAGTTAGACAGCAACAAGATGGAAACCGACCGTCGGACAACGTATCATAAACGAATCTGCAAGTCCTGCGAGGCGTGTAGGGCCCGTAAAGTCCGATGCCTTGGTAAGCCGGCCGGCAGGGTTCTGCGAACAACTTATACTGACGCAGTGGGAAAGTATCCCCGGACGACCCGTCAAGATGCACGCATTGCATTGTAAGCCCTGTATCCTGCTCGGGAGCAGTCATTATATGCGAACTAATTATTCCGACCACCGAATGTCTAGAAGCGGGGCGAGATTTGTGAATTCAAACAGGCCAGACGCAGGTACAAGTCGCCGGTCAAAGCAATCCGTAGGTCTACTAGGAGCGAGGAGTTTTGTCTTATAAGCTATGCCATTAACTATGAAGTAGACGAGTTGTCGGTACCCACCCCGGGTCAACCGAACAGCGGTGGGCATTCGGGGTCAAGTGATACAACAATCAAATCTGGCCTAGTACCACTGCTTGTGGACCATCTGTTGGATAATCAGCCCTCGCAGGGAGTATTTCGTCATGAGATGCACATTCTGAGGGTAAGCCAAGAGCGTCCTATATGAGGCTGCTACGAACGGAACCAAATACTCACATGTGGTCACAGGAAAATGAAGGCATGTCATCAACATGACTCTGCCATATGCTACGCAGCGTTCATCTAACAGGCCCGAACAGTGTGCAGCTCAAGTCTCGCCTTCTTTTCCGATCGGAAGATCCACTCCTTGACCCAGAAGCTGGGAAACAATCGACTTGAGGAACTAGTGGAGAATATTGAAGCAATCATCGAGGGCCGCATTACCGCACGAGGGACAGCCTCAGTTTCCCCAGTTACGTTCAAGAAGCCCCGGAGCTCGATCCGAACTTCTGAGGAGATGGCTCGGGTCTACGTGGATGTGTACTTTCAGCGGATTCACCCCATGTACCCATTCCTGGATCGGCAGAGCTTTGAAAAGACCGCATATGCCCCTGACCTGGCCCAAACGTTGGAGAACGATGCTCCATTCTCTGCTCTCTACCATGCGGTACTTGCATTGGGGTGCCAGTACCACGATGGAGGAGCCTTTGATCCGGGAATGGGAAAAGCATGGAAGTTCTTCCAAATGTCACTAGGCTTAATGGCTGATATCCTGGTACCGCGGGAGTCGCTATCAAACTTGCAAGTACGACTGTACCAACTCCTGTTGCTATTTAAAGATAATACTAATGATTGCTATCACAGGCCTTGACTGCTATGGTATGTTGTTCAAGCTTTGCGGCTGGACCCAAGGTTGATGACTCTCTTAGGCTATCTTCGCCATGAATACCTGTTGTCTGCAGATTGATGAGATCCTCATTATGGAGGCTGCGCGCATGGCACAGGCACTTAAATGCCACCGGGCTATTTGTGCTAGTGAGAAACAGGTTTGGTGTCAGCGGACCTTCTGGGTCATCTACGGAATGGAAAAGCAAATGGCCTTTCAGAACCGAGAGAATTCGGTAAGTCTACCACTTTGATCTGCGAGGACCAGCCGTTGAGCCTGCGATAGTTGATCGCAGATTACAATGTTGGCTGCCCGATTCCGGAGACACCTGAGGCAATGTTTGGCAGCTATAACTGGTTCTTGTCCGCCATCCGCTTTGCTAGGATAACATCACAGGCATATGAACTTCTTTTCTCAATCAGTGCCATCCGAAACTCCACGGAAACATACTATACAGCAATTGATCATGTGCAGGAGCGTTTGGAAAAATGGCGGCTGACGGTGCCTCAAGAGTTTCGGCCAGGGATCTCTGGTCATTCCAACGCCTTCACGGATCCCGTCTCGAAGATGGTGGCTCTTCAAACTCATTACTCTTACCACAGCATGGCAATCGCTCTGGCGCGGCTCACATTACAGATTGGATCCGACCATGGGCCGCGACAAGAAGGTAGCAAAAGAACGCTTTTGGCTTCTGCTCGGCAGATCATCGAGCTGACCCAGTATATCGACAAAGCAGCTCATACGCCACTGTTGTAAGCATTTAGCTCCCCCGCCCCTCCCTGTACAATACATCAAGATGGTCTCTAAAAGATCCTGACATTTGGTTGCAGTATCCTCGCTATCATGCCCCTGATAGCGCAGTTCATCCTTTTCGACTTCGTGGTTCATAATCCCACACATCCAGACATAAAGACGAATCTATCAATGCTTGATATCGTTTCAGGACACTTCGCTGTCTTGGAGCACGCATCTAACGGATCCTTGCCCAGCTCCTTGGTCTCAGAGTTTGCGCATATAGCGCGACAGCACGTCAAGGATGTCGGTGGACACGCTGCCAAAGACAATTCAAATACACACGCTCCCCTTACCCCGACTAACCGGCTGTCCCTTGGCCATATTATTACAAGACCGGGGGTTTCCAGCAACGCCAATTGGCCGACCGCCACGGAGCATGAATCCTCTGTAAGGAATCCCTGTCCGCATTGATGCGTTGGATTGAGCTCACGGTCTGCTAGAACAATGTTGCACCCAATGGTGAATTGAATGGAGACTTCGAAGAGTATAGACAGACCGGTGGTTTCGAACCACTCGACCAGCTATACTACCCCGGAATGGATGCCAGCTTTAGCTTTGGAAGTGATCCTATGATGCCCGGGATTGACCTGCGAACTTTATTCGGGTCGGTCATCCCGTACGGATTTGATTCCCCTGAAGATGCATCTACCCTTGGTGGGATCGTGCTTACACCTCCCACGTAATAGCTATACTTGCTTTTGAAATAATGCCAACAATATGTGACGGGGACCCGGGATTTACAGTGTCACGGGACTTGGATTCATCGGTGTCAGTCGTATCATTAGCCTAGAGTGTTCCTAGTAGTCAACTGAACAAGTGCGAACCTAGGTACGGATGTCATACCACTATACACCTAAGATAAATATGCGTGGATATTATAATGGAGGCATTCCATTATGCAGGCTCTCGCAACTGAAATAATATACTCGAGTAACCATGGATGGCTTCCTCGTATTTGCCAAGAGGCTGGGTTAATCACATTCCGGAGTCCGGATGCGATGGGCCCTGGAAACTTAGAATATAAAATATTCCCAACAACGTCTTGGAGACCATGGAACGGACCAACCTTGACAGGAATATGCTCCAGCGCATGATTTGTGGGACACCCTTCTGATCCTTGGATCAACCATTCTTGGGGCACATTAATCTGATCAAGTCTGGCAGGCCTGGAATGGGCCATTAGATCAGACGATCGGTACCAGTAAAGTAACGTATTTGACGACTAAAGCGTAGCTATTGCAAATAGCTTGATGTAGATCTTGTGAACCTGTGATCTAGAGCAACCGGCCCCATGCTGAGTTGCCATAGGTAGAAAAAGCGAGGGCCTAGACCAGACTTACGATTATAAGTAGACGTAGCCAGTTCATCAGACGTTCCGCTCCGAGATAATGTCCATTGCCATTCTCTAGCAGAATTACCTCTTCAATACACTCACAACTCTGACTTCCATCACAATGCCCGTTGAGAACTACGGAGTGTGGAAGGCGAAGCCTGTTCGCTTCACCTACGAAACCGACGCTCAGGATCATGTATCTCCCCATCTGTCATTGTACTTCACCACGAGTGACAATAGTCGGGGTGAGAGCCGCGCGGCAATCAACATCAAGTCCGGGGATAAGAGTGACTCTCGACTTGTGTTCTGGCTGGCTGAGAAATTCGAGAACTTCCAGAACGACCGACTCCGGGAGATGAAACCTGGTTTTCACCGACTGGAAGGCGCTGAGCAAGGTCCCAATGGTCTGGCACTCGATTATATTCGAGGCAACTTATTCCACCGGGAGACAGGCCGGCTCTTACCCCATGACATTCCGGGCCCTGATAACGATATCTTAGACGAACTCATCCCACTTCTGGATAGTGCCGTTGATAGCGACAGTGTTATCTATCTTTTCGGATCCCACTTCCGAGATGGCAGTGGGATCCATAATATCCACATGAACCAGGGAAGCCCCCGCCGGTATAGAGGTGACAATGGCATCTATCAGGATGGAGGTTTCCTGGTGGACTTTGGCGATCATTGGATTGGCGTATTTATCGGTTTCGCGTCCCAGGCTGTTCACACCGATGCGGAGGGCCAGCCTACTCCCTCACATGGATACCTCTGCTGGAACGATATCTTGAACCCTGACATTCCGGAGGAGCAGAGAAGGAAGCGTGATATAACGGATCGTCCAGTCCTGATCAGCGAGGCGGTGGTCAGCCCCGAGATGGTCACTCTGACTAACCACACGGATAAAGCCGTGCATCTCGACGGCTGGAGCGTTCGTAATAACGTTGGCGACAACGACCCGCTGCCACAGGGTGTCATATTACCTCCGAAGCGTCGCCAGAGCTTTCAGCTCCATAGCTGTGCGCTTTCCGATCATGGCGGCACCATCACGCTGTTGAATGAACGGGGGATGAAGGTGGACGGTGTGCGATATACTGAACAGCAAAGCCGGCCAGCGGGTCATATTCTCTCATTTTAATGGTTTATTTGATTGCACTCTGATATTTGTATGCGCCTCACAGTAGCCTACTCGGTGGCCCGAATGCTGACGGGTGTGTTCTTTTCCCGCGTAACCTAAGTAATATTAAGGCAATACTCGGTTTGCAATGAAGATGATACAAGCGGATAGTCTCATGTGGGAGAGTAGGGATCTGGGGATTCAATCCACTTGAATTTATACCAGCCAATTAAATAAACCCAGATTCGAAGAAAAGGAAAACTGGTGTTACTAATTCGGTTGTGTAGTTTTTTTTTTAAGTTCCTGTGAAGTCCGTAGCGTAGGATCAAATGGTCTGATATGGGTGTGAAAATATCCGACAGGACATTCGGGTTCCGCGGGCTCCGAGGAAGATTTCCCTGCCCAGCGGCCAACATATAAGACATAATCAGATCAGTTTATAAATGGTGAAATGCCGATTGGTGTGCCTGAAACCAGATATCCAGTTTCTATTACTTTTTGAAGAATAAACTCGCATTAGCTGTGTTTCATCCAGACCTACCAACAATGGCCTCTCACCAGTATTATCCGCCTGGCGTCCATCTGCCTCACTTTGTCGCTAATGAGACCTCGGTGGTCTCCCTAATTGCTCAATTTGGGGTTCTCTGGGCTGCCTTCCTGGGGGGTGGCTTTCTCATAATACGCCGTGTGCGTCCTACAGCAAGTCGATCGGATAAGCTGGCTTTCGTATGGATGAGCCTGAGTATGTTCTGTCCCCAAGTCCCGCCTCTTTTTACTTCTCCCTCTTTTATAGAAAATAGCTGATGATGTATAATCGACAGCGGGATTTATTCATCTGTTCTTCGAAGCCTACTTCGTCATCCACCATGAGCCCCTTGCCGGCTTCCAGACGTTGTTCGGTCAGCTATGGAAGGAGTATTCTCTGTCGGACTCTCGCTACCTGACATCGGACGCTTTCCTCGTGTGCATGGAAGCTATAACTGCTGTGAGTCAATCCGTTGCTCTAAAAAGAATCAACACTAAATGTCTGCCAAACAGTTCTGCTGGGGACCCCTCGCCTTCTTTCTTGCCTACTCCATCGCGGTGCAGCATCCCGCTCGCCATGCCATCCAGCTGCTGATGTCCACTGGTCAGGTGTACGGGGACATTCTTTATTACGGCACCAGCTTGTTTGATCACTACGTGCACGGAGTGTCCTACTGCCGACCGGAAGCGTACTACTTTTGGTTCTATTACTTCTTCTTCAACTTCATCTGGTTGTTTGTCGGGTCTTGTGAGTACATCCTGTCTCTTGAAAGAAAACAGCTAACGCTCCCTAGACTATATGAAACAGAGCGTTGTGGAGATTTACAAGGTTTTCAAAAAGGCGCAGGAGTCCGAATCGTTGCGCAAAAGAAATTGAGGTATAGATTGTACATGAAGGATCCCAAGCTAGAAAATATCGTGAAAATGGGAATGTGTGCTGGCTAACCCATGAAGGGTACATTGCAGGCTTCCTACCAGTTAAGTGTGTAGAATAATTCAATTCATCATTTCAAGCCACAGTGGTATAATGCATGCTGTCTATTAGAGTTCTGTAGTACCACGTAGGTATAATGATCGCCATATAACGTTCCTAATCCATTGAACCCCACTTAAGGATGTCTATATCCTGCACGCCTGCCAATCTCACGAACTCGTCTCCGTTACCAACTAGGATATCCCGACCCCTAGCAGTTATGACAGGCCCTACGTTATCATGGAAAACTGGGTGACTTTAGCCGGACCCTGTTAGACCCCCGCTTCACGACAACGAGAGGATAATCTATATGGAAAAAAGGGAATCGGTCCAACCATCTCCCGGATTCATCCTTGGCCGGGCTGTGTTGCTTGGCCAAGAAATTAAGGCAGCCTACAGACGGTCAAATGCCTAGAAAAAACAAGCTCTTAATGGTTGAAGATAGGGAGTAGGGATTTCTGCACTATAATCTATTTAAGTGGGTCGTTCCGTGATATGCCACCATTCATGATCCATTTATCCGAGGCCAAGAGTGCCAATTTATCGCGTTACGTCTCGCATATATTGGGCGTGAATAAAAGAATATGAAGAAGGCTATCATGAAACCGCCCGGAAGTGCGAGATATTGGAGCCTTCAGAGGATGTGAGATTGTTCATTGCCTCACCCCCCCCCCCCCCCCCCCCCCCCCCGGGCAACCACGGTGTTCGTCAGCAGGCGGTGCAAATGAGGCTCTGGGGATTCTATTTACAACATCAGATACCAATACCAGCCTGACCGGTTGGTGTATAGTTGGGCTCTATAAAGAACATAACAAGGCATAATAAACAGAGTAAGTCAGCCCGAGCAGGCTGTTCATCCTTCTGCAGGGAAGCATGGACCAGCATCTGCCACTGAGACAAGCCTCGCAAGCAACAGCTCCACATAGCGGAGCTCCGTCGGGCAATCAATTTGACTAGCCGTAAGATATCTCGGGGCCATAATGTAACATTATTACTGTGCACAGCAAACTGAACCAGCCTTAAAGTCGTGAAGTCCCCAAGCGATTCTTCATGTCATTCAGCAGGCCGACCTGTCTGTCGAAACACCCGAAGCAAGCTTGACACAATGCGGCCCTTGTCTCATCTTCCTTTCGTGAACGGGCTTCTACTCGGCCTGTCCGCCCTCTCAGCTGCTACCTCTGTAGTCCATGAGCGTCGGGAGGTAACATCCGCCAACTGGGTCCAGTCCGCGCGTGTGAGCCCCTCTGATCAACATGTGGTGCGGATCGGCTTGACTCAGAGCAGCCTTGGAGAAGCTCATGAGATGCTGATGGATGTGTGAGTGAATTAGGCTTTGCATTGTTCGCATCATCAAGTCTGTATTCTTTTCTGACATGATCAACCTAGCGCAAACCCGAGCTCTTCCAACTATGGCAATTTCTGGTCGGCGGATGAGGTCGCCGCGAAATTTGCGCCGTCCCAAGAGACCGTCCGGGAGGTTCAAGCCTGGCTCACCGAAGGAGGAATCTCCGCGAATCGTGTGGCCCAGACACAGAACCGGGGCTGGCTGGTCTTCCACGCCACTTCTCGGGAGATCGAGAGCCTGTTCAACACGACTTACTATGAGTACCATAACAGGCAAACTGGAAAGAAGACGATTGCTTGTGAAGAGTGAGATTGGAGCCCGATTTCTTTGGCTTAACAGAGTGACTAACATTGCACAGGTATCATGTCCCGGCTGCGGTGCAAAAGCATATTGACTACGTGCATCCCGGAGTCAATCTGAACCCATACTCGGGAAAAGTTACTGGCATCAACAGAAGACGCGTTTCGGCCAGAAAGTCCAAGCGGTTTGCTCGTAGACAACGACCAGTTCAGAAGCATGGCGCCAAAGGTCTCAACACCACCAGCTGCGATCAGGCAATCACGCCGGACTGCATTCGGGCATTGTATAAGATCCCTTCCACTCGCGCCGCTGCTCATCCAAACAACTCCCTCGGAATTTTTGAGGAAGGAGACTATTATGCGCAAGAAGATCTGGATTTGTTCTTCAAGCAGTATGCCAAGAACATCCCTAAGGGCACGCATCCCATCCCCGCATTCATCGATGGTGCAAAGGCGCCAGTGCCAGTAGAAAATGCGGGCGGAGAGTCGGACCTCGACTTTGAACTCGCATATCCGATCATCTATCCGCAAACTACTACTTTGTATCAAACTGATGATCAGAACTGGGCCCAGAACACGACGGGATTCCTCAATACTTTCCTGGACGCGCTCGACGGTGTGAGTAGAACCTCATTTTCGACGTCATCTTGTCAGAGAGCTAATTTGGCGAGATACCTAGTCTTACTGCACCTACTGTGCTTATGGCGAGTGTGGTAATGACCCATCACTTGATCCGGTTTACCCTGATGGTGATGAAGGTGGTTATCATGGTAGGCTCATGTGCGGTGTGTTCAAGCCTACGAATGTGATCAGCGTGTCCTATGGTATGCAGGAGAACCAACTTCCGGCGAGCTACCAGCAAAGACAATGTCTTGAGTAAGTTATCAAGATCGACACATAGTCTGTCCCGATGTATCCCGACTTTGTATCTGATCCTGACGATATACCACCAGATTCTTGAAGCTTGGCTTACAAGGAGTCTCGGTACTCTTTGCCTCCGGTGACAACGGCGTTGCAGGACCTCCGGGAACTGCTGGAGTTGAGAATGGATGTCTGGGCAATGGAAGCATTTTCAGCCCTGCATTCCCTAACAGGTAAACAGAACTAGCCCTCATCTCTTACTTCCCGATCACTAACCCGTACAGCTGCCCGTATATCACCAACGTGGGCGCAACAAAGGTCTACCCGGGACAGACCGTCTCCGACCCCGAGAGTGCCGTCTATGATCCCAATGGAATCTACAGCTATGCCTCGGGTGGTGGCTTCAGCAACATCTACCCCATCCCCGACTACCAGGCGGATGCCGTTTCCAAGTGAGTCTTGTGGATCTGGAGCATGGCGCATTCCAACTAACTCTAAATTCAGGTATTTCAAGGACCACAACCCTCCTTATCCTTACTATAAAGCAGGTGACGCTCTTGGCCAGAACGGTGGTCTCTATAACCGCTCGGGCCGTGGGTATCCCGACGTAGCGGCTAATGGTGACAATATCGCTGTTTACAATGCCGGCGAATCCGGCTTGTCGGGTGGTACCAGCGCCAGTATGTTGGTCTTGAGTGCCCCCGATACTATCTACCAAGCAGCTGCTAACCAGGACCGTCTACCGCCCTAGGTACTCCAATCTTCGCTGCTATCATCAACCGCATCATCGACGAGCGTCTGGCGGTCGGTAAGGGCCCAGTTGGCTTTATCAACCCGGTCTTGTACAAGAATCCCTCGGTGTTGAATGATATCACTAACGGTTCTAACCCTGGGTGTGGAACCGACGGTTTCTCCACGGCGCCTGGGTAAGTGAATCGATTACATGTGTTCCTCCAAGGCCAATTTACTGATTCAGTTTGTGTAGATGGGATCCTGCCACCGGTTTGGGGACCCCTAACTATCCTAAAATGCTGAAGTTATGGCTTGGTCTTCCATAGATGTTGGGCCTATGCATTCCTGCTGGTCCAGATTATGTGTTCGTGGGTATAATTTGTAAAATTAATGATGGTGTGTGTGGACAGGTAAGTAGGTAAGGGGAGAGATATGCATATGGTGTACCTTTTTACGGCTTCCTGCCTTTGTCACCATGTCAGTTACCACAACAATTCTGTTCTTTCAAGACCAGCTCAAATTCATACTTGCTCAACGTTTCTTTGCTTGATGGAGAATTATGGCAGTCTCTGAGCAGCGAATCGGCACAGGGAGAGCTATTGGGTGATAATGAATCACTGGTTACTAAGAATGTGATTCTATTATTGCGATAATCACTCAAACGTATCCGGCCAGCATACCCTGATGCGACATATATTACAAGGGCAATGATTGGATCTGTTACCAGGATGGTTAGTTGTAGGGTGGTCACCAACAGATTTCTCTTGACCGGTGAAAATCAATAGATACGCGTCTCGGACGCAGGGATACACTGTACCTGTAGCGAACCTCCTGTTTGAGTTGCACTGGATACTGACTAGGAAGATAGTCCGAATTCAAAGGGTATTTAGAATCCCATCTGTCTCGAGAGCTAAGAGTAGGTAATCCAATTCCTGATGGACCCCAATGTGAGTTGGTGATGAATCAGCCATCTAGAAAAGAGGATGATGACTCCGAAGACATATTGAAGTGCTTGGGTTGCTGTTATAGGGTGCCACGACGGTCCTATACAAAACTCCGAGGAGCATGAACGGGAAGATACTAGCTCATAGGGCTGTTTCGAGAGATACCAACATACTACCCTTCCTTTTAGTTCAGTCTTGGCCAAATTCCAAGAGATAAAGCGCTGTAGCCGTCGAAAATTTTATCACTGCTCTCAGTAAGGGACAACATCCCACCCACTAACAGCAATTATTAGGGGGGACCAATAGTGCTTCCGCACCTTGTTGTTAGTCTCGCAGATAAATGAACCCTAGGGGGAAGCCTCCACTACCTATCACTCTTGGTGTATGTCTCTCCAGCACCCCTTGAGACGGACGATTGCCGAAAGCATACCGACTTTTTTCCGTCTTGGCAAAATCGCCATAGATATTCTCGCACCACGGCTAAGACCAAATATAGCTCGGCTTACACTGATATATGACTAGACTATGAGGCAAACAAGGGTTTGGCAGCAATCTGATACATACCTGAGCATATAAAAGAAATACATAGTGGTGACCACAGTGCTTAGAGGAGTGTTTTAAGATTCTCTCTTTCAGAGAACCCCCGCCACGTACGGGATAGAATTTGCCCTTAAAGGAGAAGGGCGGGGGGGCCTCACACGGATGAGAATAGTATTTCATTATTTTTGGTGTTGACAGTAAAGAAGCAAGGGAGAAGTCAGAAACTCGTATGCCATGCGACCTGTCAGTTGCACATCAAATTTTTCCGAAAATGAGAGGATATTGTTCGTCATTTTGGAAATTAGGTTACCGTCCGCTTCTTTCCTCCCCTCCGATTGGCGGATACTTGTTCCTAAGCGTATAATTTCGCCAGGGGATTCATACGCTATGACCAGCCCTAACTTCTCCCCCTCTCGGTCAAACACCCTCCACACATCTTTTTTCCACAGTCTAAGATAGCTCACGAGAGATAATACATGATGAGGGTCTACTATGATACTGAATGGACAGCCTTCTCTCAACGGCCCCATCTGCCTTTACGCGTGTCGGTGGGAACTGTGTACCATTAACGGGATGTGTCCGATTGGAAAAGTTGATCTATCCAACATCCGTCTTTCCTTGCGTAAAGCTTATCAGGTAAATCGCAGTATGCAGACAAGATTGATAATCCGTTAACTCAAACTCTTGGCCACAACCGTCGACTTTGCGACTCATGCCCCACAGCACTCGCAGTCTATGTATGTCCAGGCCACATGGCTAGTGAACGATGCCGATCAAATCCTCCTTGGCTCGGCGTGTCGATTACTGATACTATTCATTCGGCGTTCAATGTGACGAGTCGGTGTTCGTTATCCACCTTTGATTCGTTTTGGCTTTTTATTTTTGGGCTTTCCTGACGTGAAGGGCATGACTCGATGCGCGCAATCCGTGTCGTGCCAGGACAGCAAGTATTTATTCAACCTGTCGGCTCTCTACGCGAGAGAAATGATTCCAAATACCTGAAGCCACCAATATCGCCACCCTGCAGTGAGGATTCCTTCCCACTCATCTCAATTTCCTATTACATTTCTCGACGCGTTACCTGTCATGTCTCAGCAGCAAGTGTCAGATAATGGCACCCCTGGGGACTTCCAACACCCCAATCAGAATCTACGCCGGTCGATCATCATAGCGCTTTACTTTGCCTTCATTTTGTCCACAACTGCTGTTGGCCTCCGACTGCTGGCGAGAAGGGTGAATGGCACCCGGCTGTACTTGGATGATTATCTGATCATCATCGCTCTTGTATGGAATCAACACCCCAGATTTTCATTCAATTGATTTGCTAATCATTAAAATAGCTCTTCAAGTATGGATGCTCCATAGGGGTTGTCATCCGTAGGTAGCCCATTCATATCCTTGAAGGAAGGATATGCTCGTAGCTGATCATATTCCAGTGCTTTTCAACGGGTTGGGGTCCCATATCACGATGATCCCGAAGAAAAATCTCGAAGTGTATCTGAAGGTTTGTGTCATTGTTTTGATCTTTTATACTTCGCACGCGTGCCAACCTCTGTCAGATTGGATGGTCAAATTCCTTCGTCTACACCGGCTGCATAGTTTTTATTAAACTCTCCATCCTAGCACTTTACAAGCGACTCTTCTCCACACCCCCCATGATCCTTGCCGCGAATATTGTTGCGGGATTTGTCCTCCTCTGGGCCGTGAGTATCTGGGTAGTAGGTGCCATGTTGTGCCTACCAGTCAACAAGTTCTGGAATCCAAGCGTTGAAGGATCTTGCCTGGACTCTGCCAAGTTTTACTATGGCATGCAGATCCCCAACATTCTGACGGATGCGGTCCTTCTGGTTATGCCGATGAAGCTTGTCTGGTCTCTACCGATCTCCAGGCGCCAGCGACTGCTGCTCTCCCTGGTGTTTATTGTTGGTGGCTTGTGAGTATTTGCGCGTATCTGAATCTCGAAACCCAGGTCTAATTTCTCACTCAGGACTCTCATCTTCGACATTGTGCGGCTACTTGCGATGATTGCCCTTACAAAAGCTGGGTCCGACATTACCTGTAAGTATCAGCGCCTATCGAGCTAATTCTTTTCAGTCGATCGAACCGTCGCTAATAACCATTCTCGAAATAGACAACCAAGTCCCCGTGGTCGTATGGACGTGCATTGAGGCCGCAGTCGGAATCACCGCTGCCTGCCTTTCCAACCTAAGACCATTATTCCAACTCAGCCGGGTCCAGTTCTGGTCGCAGCTTCGATCTTCCCAGGCCCAGTCGGCCAAGCAGCCTCTCAACCAGTGCGAGTCGCAGGAACTGTCGACTGCAGGAAGCAACTATGATCCTTACTTCACCCAGAACAGCATCTACACTCGACACAGTATCTCCATTCAGTATAGCAAGCCATGAATTTCTTGTCTTTTTCAACAACTTTCCTTTGTTGTTTTCCTACGGGATGAGATGCCATATTGATCAGGAAACCCGCTTCTTTGAGGACTTTGCACATATTTTGTTTAATTCATGTACAAAAAATCATGCTAGGAAGATGAGAACAAAAGATAGATAATATGAGTGTTGTACATAGTCGTAAGCTTTATTACTAATATTGTCCTTACTTAGTTTCCTGGTGGTCCTCGGAATATATATTGCCGCTCTGCGCCAAAGATATCTCTAACCACATTCCAAACCCTTGAAAAGCCAATACTATAGTAAAATTAAAATATTAATCAAAAGATCTACTTTTAAGGATAATTACGGGGGGGAAAACACCCCAGAATAAGCCCTTTTATATCTCGGAATCCGGGTTGGGTACGTCATAGCGATGTCATGACCCTAAAGTCCATACCAGGTGTATCATATAAATGTCATATAAAACCCCAATTCCCAGACACTAGATAACTGAACAAAACTCCTTACAGTCTTAAAAGGTTGTATCAAACTATAGGTACTAAAGATGCCCGACAAAAAAGTCCTCATCATCCTCAGCGACGCCAATTCCTTCCCGCTGAAGAAAACCCACGGCCAGGACGCCGGCCAAACAGTCGACCAACCCTCCGGCTTCTTCCTCATGGAACTGGCCAAACCACTCCAGAAACTCCTTGATGCAGGCTACGAAGTCACCTTTGCCTCCCCCAAAGGTCAAGAACCGACTCCCGACCCGAACAGCGAATCGCTCCTCGCCTTCGCGGGCAATTTCTACGAGCGCAGGAGAGAGAACGAGCTGATTGAGCGCATGAAGCGGGAGAATGGATTTAGTCGACCGCGTACCTTTAGCTCCATCAGTGATGAGGAGTTGGATTCGTTCGCCGGCGTGTTCATCCCGGGTGGACATGCGCCGCTAAGGGATCTGGGCGCTGATCGCGACCTCGGTCGCGTTCTGAGACATTTTCATGCGAAGAGTCGACCCACCGCTGCTATTTGTCATGGCCCGTTTGCGTTCCTCAGCACGAAGCTTGCGGGGGATGGCTCCTTTGCGTATAAGGGGTACAAGATTACCTCGTGGAGTGATGCCGAAGAGAGGATGATGGAGATGATGTTGGCGGGGGAGATTGAGAAGGTGGAATCTGACCTTCGAAATGAAGGGGCTATCATGATTGAAGGTGCAAAGGAGAAGATTGGCAGCATCACTGTTGATCGGGAGTTGGTGACCGGTGCGAATCCTATGGCGGCTAATGCTTTGGGGGACCAGTTTCTGGAGATGATGAGTGTGCATTAGGTATACTGTATAGTGAGTGTAGTTGCACATACGTATAGGCTGTGGCATGCTAGATTGATTATGAATTGAATGACTTCTGTTAGTACCTAATGCCCAACATGACATGTTAAGTATTGATCCTATCACTCGACAAAAGGCTGCGGGGTGATCGATGGCCCCATCAGTCGGACCGAGGTTGAATACATTCTAATCTTCAACTGCGAGAAAACATTCATATCCTCCCCAACTGGGAATATGTACAAGGCTGCAACATTATCTAAACATGAGCAAACATACCTTCAAAACAATACTGTATGAAAAGTCTCCCGATGGCAAGATCGCCTTCATAACCTTGAACCCCCCAGATCGATTCAACGCGATCAACAGGGATCTCCCGAGGGATCTCCGAGACGCCGTCAAATTAGCCAACACGGACCAAGCAGTACACTGCATCGTACTCAAGGGAAATGGGCCCGGCTTCTGCGGCGGCTACGATCTTGACATCTATGCCCAGAACGCGGTTCGGGGGGAGACGCAAGGATCGTAGGATCTCTCTAAAGGATACGACCCGTTGGTTGATTACGCGATGATGAAGAAGAACACCGACTGTTTCTCGGAGCTCTTTCATAGTCATAAACCGACAATTGCACAGGTGCATGGTGCTGCTGTCGCAGGTGGGAGTGATATCGCGTTGTGCTGTGATCTGGTTATCATGGCGAACAATGCGCGTAAAGGCTATCCTCCCAGTCGGGTCTGGGGCTGTCCAACCGCGGCTATGTGGGCGTATCGCATTGGGATCGAGAAAGCGAAACGGATGCTATTCACTGGTGATCTGATTAGTGGGGAAGAAGCAGCAGGAATGGGACTCGTGTTGAAAGCCGTGCCGGAAGAGGAGTTGGACGAAACGGTGAGGTTACTGGCGGACCGCATTGTATCGGTCCCGCAAAACCAACTATGGATGCAAAAGCAGGTTATTAATGGTCTGATTGAGGGGCCACTGGAGAGAAGCCAGAAACTGGCTATCATATTTGACGGGATTACGCGCAACTCTCCTGAAGGTGTTGCTTTCCAGGAGCTGAGCAAAAATCGAGGGTTCAAGCGGCGACACAGGAGCGGGACACTCCTGGGAGATCAGAGAAATATCGAAGGGTGTGGTAGAGTGTGTTATAGATACCGATACTGACACTAGGAAATGATGCTTCTCACTCATAAAATCAATATCGACCTGTTTTTGTCTAATCACGATCTCTATTTACAGCAAAGAAATTTATACACACTATCTATGACATGCACGTAGGATAACGATTCAGCTCGGGCTACCATGAGTGTCTTGTCAAAGGCGTGGACGGAAATTGTTCCCTGGACGAAGAAGGGTTTGCTGGGTCATGCTGGCCAACAGACAACCGTTCCCATCCCACACGCGTCCTTCACTAAATGCTCTGGCATTCTCGGCCACCGCTGTCGTCACTTCTGTCAGATGCCACTGTGAAGGTCTACCTCATGCGTAAACAGCTGTAGAGAAAAGTCCAGTGTTGTGCAGGCACTGGCTTCGGTCAGTTGGTAACCGCTGTGATTCGCCGGTATTCAACCCAGCCATTTGTCCATGTAGAAGGTTAACGCTGATATCTGTTCAGCCTCGCTTCCCAACGGTACCCGTATGCGAAACACCTCAGCCGAGAACCTTGATGGTGCGGTGGAGAGATTTTTCCGGTCTTCCGTCTCCTTGTTTCGTTTGACGGCCGACGCGATCGGCTGCATCTCGAGAAAGTGCTCAATGTTTCGGCACAGTCCATACTCTTTGACTGTCCGTATGGGCATATCCGAGCTGCTAATGCCACTGAGAGGCAAAGCAAACCTGTCTGTGGAAGTGTAGAATAGTTCACCATGGATCGCGGTTCGTCGATATGGAAGTCCGCGGAGGCGATAATACATAACTGCGTTGAACCGTCATCCCCTTCCTGATGTACCCGGATTATGCGATATCCGAAAGATTGTCTCAACCCTTGAGTTGCAGCAAGGTTGATGTTTCAACATAACTCACTTCAAAGTAATGTGTGCCCGCTAAACTTCCTCCGGTCGAACGTAAGCCTCGTAGCAGAAAACAGCCACAGCAATACTGGCAAACAAATCGGTGGATATGGTCAGGAACCAAAACCATGGAATTTACGGTACGCCAAAGAAGTGACCGGGTGTACAGATGCCTAGCGTTGCGTGGCAAGCCAGGTAAGGAATGGAACTTCGAACGTGGCCAGCCTTGTAGAGGTGGTAGCCACGGATACCACAAAGGGTTTGGAGGGGGGAGAGGATGGCGATGCCCAGGCGATACGCAGTTGGTGTTGGATAGATACCGGGAACTGAAGGGTAGTCTTCGGCGCGAAGGTAATTGTGCGCGTAGTGGATGGTGGTCGTGAAAATGAGGCAACCCAGGAGTATCTGGAGACGGTGCAGCCGTGCGGCCGACGGGGAAAGGCGTCGAGCCGGGATAGTGACACTAAAATTGTCGCTCACAATATTCAGAAAACTTCATCCGCATTTGCAGCAAGGCATATATATGCATATTTAGTAGACTCAGAAACTCTGTTTACCTGAGCCGAGATAGTATAATTATCTACAGGAAAAACCGTAAGGCGCCATGATATTCAAGGCTCCGGGATATATACCAACCGCCGCCAGAAGCGGACGATTATATTATGAGTTTTCTCTCAACCTGATTGTATGGATGTCTGATTGTTAAACACATAAGCCTATCCAATGGCTCACTACGGGTTTCACGCAGCGAGCATTAACATAACAACGGCGCAGAGCAATTGAATCTAGTTGCGCATGAACCATGTCATAGTCCCCGATGCTATTGCGAGCGCCGTCATTATTAGGAATCCCATAAAAGAACGCAAGGGCCGCATCCCTTTACGACCGTCGATCTCGACCTTCCGAGATTCTTATCTCATGAACCAACCATTCGGCTTCCTTAAGGCTGTGATCCACTTAAGAAATCATCTACGGCCCTTCAAATGCTTATTTCAGCATACGCCGATGCTTGAGGTAGGAGAGAACCTTGACGTATCAAGGAAGGATCGCGATATGCGGCGCTAAAGAGCTATGGCGTGGTCACCTTCGCGCGATCCATTGGCCCAAGGTGTCAGAAATCGCTGATGTTGGAGACCATCAGTTCTTCACCATATTTCTAGGCCGGAGAAGGCATGATTGCTTTAGCAACGTGCCTGAAAAATCCCATTGAATTGCAATCTACCACAGTGGGGCCCTTTCGTGAGATCGTCGGGGTTTAACTCGATCGAGTATTATAACGAGAGTCATCATTTGCCATTATGATTGGTCCAACAGTCGCAGCTCTCTTCATAAACCCGTTCGTATCGAGTTAGAGTGCTGCTCCTTGCCTTGTCCGGTATGGCATCTCGAACAAGGGCTAAATGGGAAGAGCACCAGAGGTTGAGCACTGATCCCTTAGGTCCCACTCCGAGGTGAATTCCTCCTTATTGCAGTCATTGAGGCAGTGGAGAATGCATTTTGGCCCCCATTGAGTCCACTATTTCTACTGCGCAAGTCGCACTGAGCCATCAAGCTGCCAGTCGGGAAAACAAGCCGCGAAAAAAATGTTCCATGGACGGGCAAAGGCCTCTCGACGGCTATACTGAATACTTCAAACATATATCATGTCAGAGCCTATGGGAGCCTAAGGCAGCAACCACGTGACCTGACCACAACACCAAGGAATCTCTGTATGATAGATTTAGACCTTAAGACAATTGTCAGATAAAATGGCTATACGTGACCAGAGTCATGTGACTAAAGAGGGGTAAAAATGAGGCCATTCGCATTTTATGAACATAAGCAAGTCAAGAATCATACAAGAATCATAGATATCATCAGAATAATCAATATCATGAAGAAGAGCCCAAAAGGCTCTAGACTTGATCATTTTTAAGATATTCTATGAATCATTTCTTATCTGATATTCGGGACTGACCGAATATCTGACAACAATCAATCCCATTACACGTGAGCTACACCAGCTCCATCATATCATATTCACCGCCATGACTACTACCTCCGATACAAGGCAATGTTATTTCCCAAAGGGCAATAAAGCTCCTAATAATGTTCCTTGTAAATCCGACACGAACACCCACTGCTGCGGGAAGACTGACATCTGTCTCGACAACGGGCTGTGTCTGAACACTGGCCACCAGCCATACGTGCTATCCCGGGGATCCTGCACGAATGAGAAATGGAATGGGTGTAGCCCGATATGCAGTAAGCCAACCTTCCCCTGTATGTATGTGTTGGCCTTGTTGACGGACCTACGTTTTAGAGAATGCCACACCCTCGAAGGGCGCCTCGATTATCAACCTCGGCTTTTCATCTGGTTCCGCGACATACTGCTGCGGCAGCCCGGTAACCAACGGATCTAATGTGGTCTGTCCCAGCGACGAATCGGACAATGGCAGCAATGTCCCATTCACCATCCAAGATGGTAACCCGATTATGAACGCTGCATTGTTGTGAAACATCTCCTCACTCGACGCGTCCGACTCGTCTTCGTCGAACTCTTCGCATGCCACCCCGACAACCTGCCCTTCCTCTCATGAAACCGCGATCGGGGTGGGGATAGGAGTCCCACTGGGTGCGATCGCCGTGCTGTTGTTTATCTGGGCGCTTTTGGAGCGGAGGAGGGCAAACCGGGCCATGCAACCGATGCACACCGTGGCCATGAACGGCGGTAGCGGTGCGTTTGAACATGCTGGCGCCGGTCCGTATATGAACATCACGGACACCAGTGGGCCGCCGCCGGTAGAGTTGGACTACTCTCAGCCGCTCCCTGAGTTGATGGGTGGAAATAAAAGGTAAACACGTTCCTGCGCATATACTTAAATACCCGGTCTTCTGTCTGCATTCGAGATGGCCGTTAATATCATAATACCCCAATTGAGTCCAGCGTTGTTTTGTCATGTCCATTATTTAGGAGCTATGACGTACACCAGCTGTCGTATTTGGCAAATGTGTGACCTTGAACTGGCGAGAAAACCATTGATTGCGACCATATGATTAAATAGATGCGATCTAAAGCCCAGAAGCAACATATTGCTCTAGGAAAAAGGTATATATACATACACCGCCCCAATCTATACCTCCACCACGGGTCCCGAGTAAACATTCCGAGCACGAACGAAATAATATAAGAGGCTTAGAATGATGGTGCCAATTGTGCCGACCACGCTGTAGTTCATCGTCTGCACATCGGCATGGTTATTAGGGGGCCAGAAGCTGAAGAACGTGGCAATAAACATGTAGATCAGGGAGAAGGTATTCACGAGAATTCCCCAGATCCCTTGGAGATGGAAGGGACCCCAGACGAGCTGAGCCCCTGCTGTGTTGATCTTAGTCTCCGAACCCCGTCCCCCGCGGTTTCCAGCATTCCTATCTAAGATGCCACCGGTACAACGACGGTAGAGGAGCAGACTAGCAACGGCCATATAGGATAGGTAGAGGCCCGACGTAGACATAGAAACCAGACTGTTGAATGCCACGTCGGAGCCAATGTTGATCAGATTCAAGAGCAGCGAGATCAAGGTGGTGAACACAACAGTATACGTCGGAATGGCTGTGCGCGTTGTGACCTGGGTTAATTAGCACCTGTATCGACAAAAGAACCCCGGGCCACTTACCTGGCTCCATATCCTCCAACCAGGGATTCCACGATCCCGCGAAAAGGACCAGAATTGACGTGAAGCGGATGCAAGCATGCCGACGGAAGTACAGAAGCACATCACAATAATAATACAAGCCATGACTGCAGTGCCGGGTATGGATTCTGTTGCCTGCAGAAAGATGCCGACAAATGGCAAACCCGTGGGATCATTCAGAGCTTTGTCAATGTCTCCGAGACAGAAGAGCAAGGCAAGGAGCATGGCAAATCCAAGGGTTCCATTGATCAAGACAGTGAGCATCAAGGAGATCGGCACATAGGTGGGAGCGTTGGAAATCTCTTCCGCCATCTGAGGGTCAATACATTAGCGACTGGATGTGAAGGCCTTGACGCTTTGCAGCATCTTCACTCATCGTGTGATAGGGAGACTACTCCGGAAGGGCTGACATACATGAACTGCAGCATCACCACCGGCAAATGCAAATACGGGGCCAATCAGTCCAATAAAGAATGACAGACCCTGACTCGACCATTGGCCTTCATTAATAAAATGAGTAAAGACCTCTTTGGCACTTTTGTGCTCCGCCAGATAGGTCAATGGGATCAGGATCGCAAAGAATCCAAGAATGTGAAGTATAAGAATGGTGCCCTCAAAACGGGGTAACAGCTTGCCTCCTACACAGTTGATGGCAAGCCCAATTAACGCGGTCGCATAGGAATATAGAGTCATATGCCATGCTTGTGGAACGTAGTCTGAGTGGGTTAAGGATATCATTGAGGCGATATATGTCCCGTTAAGGTAGATGGCTGTTGCATAAGTGGCTTGCCACCCGATGACCGTAAGCCAGCCTAAAACGCACGATTAGTATACGCAGGCCTTTGCCAGTCTCGTCAAGTTGCCAAAGAGCCGGTAGACGCACCTGTAACATAACTAGAGAGTTTCATGGCTGACGGAGGTGCAAGCATGGAGCACCAATGGTATTGCCCTCCGGCCGTGGGAGCCCTGGAAAATTGTCAATACAACATTCGATTATGCCTGGTTGCTGGGCTGATATCGTACATTGAAACCAGCTCCGATAGTACGCAAAAGGTCGCGGTGATACCAACCCAAACGAAGAGGAAAGCATAAACCGAGCCGGCGGGACCACCACTACAGTAGTATATGATCAATATACACCTAAGGCAATTTTATGGTGATGGCATGAGGTTGCCACGTACTTTGAAAACCCTTGTATGAATAGACTGCCATAATTGATATATTTTAGCCGGCGCACACTTCGTATCCAGTGGAGGTGAAGTCAGTCACGTACGCTGTGATACCCTCCCAGGTTATAAGGATCGTGCAACTGAAGCCCAAGATTGACATCAAACCGAAGTTTCTCTGCGGCAAGCAATGCAGGTCAGATGTGTCATGATCTAAAGAGCAGAGTGTAGCTATCCTTACCCTTAACACAGCACGCTTTCCCATGCGGGCCAGGTTGATATCATCCATGTTCTCCTGAGATGGATCTTCGATTTCCCGCATCCCCGCGGGGAAAACTTGCTTGAGCTCCATGGTAACGGAGGTTCAGAGCGTAAGGTGGGCGAACACCAGCAACGAGACGGGTTTGAGAGGATAGAAACAGTAGGACAGTCCAGTCGTCCAGAGCAGTTCACAGCATAATAAAGAGGAGGTTTAATAAGAATCCCACAGCCTTCTCAGGGACGAAAGAGCAAGAAGTAGTACATGTACAGGGATGAAAAATTGCTTCGGCACCTTTCACTCTCAAATAGACAGACCCAGGCTAGACTTCATGCCGCGGTTACAACCGATGGTGCCCTCAGTCAACAGTTTAATTATCTTGCATGAGTTGCAGGAGGGGGAATCTTGGCCTGTGGGCTGGTTTCAGTGCGACATCGCAGGGATCATCTTTAGCTGCATGTCCGTTCGCGTTGGGCCAGTCCAATTAAAAAACGACTTTTATCTTGCCGGCACAACTTCGAATATTGCTGGAATACCCAAACGGGGCCTCGGGTAACTCCCTATTGTTCCTTGGGACTTTTGGTTCCTGAAGCCTTCATCAATTAGCGTTCTGGCTACGGAGTAGACACGAGCGGCCATCCTTCGCCCAGATGTCCCCGGCAAATGTCCTGAGCGATTTAATTTAATTGCCTCTCACTGGCAGGATCAGCCCCGGTCATACGGCAGCGTTGAGCCTTTTGATCAATGTAGAGCTATTAACATATTTGTTAATCTATTGTGAACCAACCCACTAGGATGGTTGGGGTGGGAGATTACAAGGCGCGGATATCTTTGGCTCCCTGAGGGCAGCATAATAAGACTCTTCTCAGTGTCGGGGATTCTCGTGGTGCGCTTACCTTTTTGCACTTTACGCGCGCAATGGGTCGGTTTTCACGAGATACCTGGAAGCCTACGGTCAATGTGGTGACCTGGTTCCTTATGACCACGGCCATTCTCTGTGTGCTCACTCGGCTGGGCACTAAATACTGGATCTTCCGACGCTGGACGACCGATGATTACCTGAGTATCGTCTCAATGGTGCTATGTGCGGCGCAATCTCTAGCTATGTCCATGGCCACTGCCAATGGATACGGTGAGCACTACGACAGGTTGTCCCGGGAGAGTATGGATGGCATTATGAAGGTGAGGTCTTCCTGTCGCTTCCATTGTGAGCATGTCTCATAACATCTCCTCTTAGTCACAATATGCAGCGACTATCCTCTTCATTACGACGATGTGCGTCTCAAAATTAGCTCTTGTCCACTTCATCTGGAGCATCACACCCGCTACGTCCGACCGTCGTGTTGCCATTATATTAGAAATCTTTACGGTCCTTTGGGGAGTAACTGGAGTTTTCGGTCATGCCTTCCAATGCAAGCCGCCCAGATCGTGGGATTATATCGACGGGAATTGCTTTGATATTGTAAGACATGGCACGTCCGAGAACAGTCAAGATATATCATTAACATAAATGAGGCAGGGCGCTTGGGGGAACTATCTGGCCATTACGAATATGTTGACCGAGGCGGGGATTATCGTCCAGGCGCTTCTGATAATCGTTGGAATACAAACACGGTGGGCCAAGAAGGTAACACTATCGAGTATCTTTGGGCTTCGAATATTGTGAGTGATATTTCTACTCGTTTTCTCACGCTAGGCGGCTGATCGAGCAATTGATGGAGTGTGATCGCCACGATCGTCGGTCAACTAGTATACAACAACCGAACGATTGATGTCAAAGATCGCACGTTCGACACCTGGCCAGCGACCATGTTCACGCAGATTGTTCAATGTTTGAGCGTCGTTACAGCTTGTTCTCCCCAGTTCAAACCCTTTATGGATAGTCTGCGCTCGACTGGTATGCGCATCGATGGAATGACTAGTTACAACATGGCGTCGATGAAGAGATACGAGATATCGACAATGCGCCACAAGTCCACATTTAATGGCAGTGAAGTGCATGAGCTTGCCCCCATCAACCTGGGTAAGGAGACACATGAGACCACGGTCACTGCATCGGGAGCTATATCCGACGGCGACACAGAAAGTCAGTCGAGTCAAACCCACATCATTCGAGAAATTCGAACATTCACTGTGACGGAAACGAATGCAGCTAGATAGCTATTCTTCTTCTTCTGTTTTTTTCCTTCTTGACCGTTATGGATAGCTGAGATTTCCAACATCCCCCTCTTCTACAACTGGAGAGAGCCCTTTCGAAAAGCAGTTGACACCCTCCTACATCTCCTACATTCTGGTCCCCCTGCCGCGGGTTCTCGTCCGGGCCAGTAGACTACCGGTAGAATAATTCCTGAAATTATTTATGTGCTCCGACGGCATATGTGGGTCTTGTTCTCTGGGTATTCCTCGTTTGTCCACCAATGGATCCCATGGACGCGTTCTGGACGTCGAGGGGGTATGGCCACTAGAAATTTAGTGTTCTGTCGGTCAATCTTCCGGCCACCGAAAATAAATTAACCATCGGGATTTTCCTCTCAGGCTATACTATATATGAGCACCGTCCACTTGGCATTCCACCTAGGAGAGACAGATGGAAGATCTTGGCCTTGTCTGGTGCGGCATTCCGACGGTACTTGGTTGATACCCTAAATTTAGGATTTATAGACACGGCGATGATTTTAAGAAATGATCCCGAAGGGCATTAGCAAGGGGGAAGGGGGGGGGGGGGGGGAAATAGGAATAAAAATAGACGTAAGAAAAGAAAGAAAGGAATGAAAAAGAATGAAATGCAAGCTCCAGCGTAAAAAACCGAGTGGGCTCAGACGCAGATTGCGCTTAGACGGGAGCCGTCGCACCGCACGGCTTCATTTCTATGGCATCTGACAATCAAGATAACACGCCAGCTCAGAGACCGGGGGTCTCAATCTATCCTATTCCGAGGTTACATACAAAACGGCGATTATTGGCGCCAAGCGATCCGGCTCGCGATCCCTGTCCGATAGCGTTGCATATTAAGCAGTAGGGGACAGCATCTACCCATACGGAGTACAAAGTCCAGGATGAACGTTGTTCTTAGTAATACTCAGAATCTACGCCCAGGCCTAGTGGGAGCCCAGGCCAATATTAGCTATGTACTCTCTCATCTGTACGGAGTAAGTCAAATCCGAGAAGCAGCTTGGTGAACTTGACTACTACTATATATTACAATCATGCCATGTCAATGAGCCTTCTTGGCGTTCCGACCCAGACCCTGGAGGATAGATGTCCATGCGCCCCGACAAATGAACTAAACTAACCTATGTGGGGAACGCGGGCCAGAGTCACTGCTGTGTAGTAGTTCATCGTAGCCTTTTATTTGATTTCCAATCTGACAGAATTATTCAAGACTTATAGAAGAAAGCAAGGAACAATAGAGACCAATATCCCTGTTTATGTTCTCATAGGAATATCTGAATTTACGCTGTTCTGTGCGTACATGAAGAGTTTGATCGCGAACACTATATGTGCTCCATAGTATAGCTGGGATAGATTTTCCACATCGGCATCACTTTACCGATGAGACAAGATAATAAGGGGGAAGATACCCATATAAACGGACCCTTGCTTCTTCGTGTAATTTTAATACCGTTCATTAGATGGGGAGTTATCGAATAGAGATCAACATAAAGTCCCAATAAGCCCTGTAGACCTGCAAAGTCCACAACGTCTATAAGTCGAACGAGCTTGATCACGCCAAGTCTGACTGTGATGGGCTTGAAGTTCAAATCTGGGGCTAGTGCAACAATCGAGTGGCGCAGCGCCTGAGATAGCACTATACGAAGTACGTGGAATTCCCCTGGAGCCTTCCGGGGCTAGAATGGTGAGTCCCACAGGGTTGTCCTTCTCTCCCCAATTTCCGGATCTGAGAAATTGACTAAAAGAAAATGAATGTAGCACAGCTGTTGCATTGTTCAGAATATTCGCTGTTACATCCATCAGTGGCACAGTTACAAAAGTTAACGTGCCTGTAAAGTCATTATCTGCGGCCCATTTTCTAAAATAAAACATCCATATCCTCCGGTGCCATAATTTCTGGTTCGATTCACGGAGAGTACCACTATAGCAAAATTCTGGATAAAATCTAAGATACAAGTTGTACATATTTAAGAGGGTAGAGCACCAAAACACCCCATTTATCAGAAATGTTGGACCTATGAATCTGACCCATAGCTCTATCATTTCAACATATATTCCAGCACATCCCACTTGAACATGATGTCAATACGGCTAAGGTCTACCTAGGAACCTAAGAGGAACCGACTGGAAAAACGAGTCCAATTCTCTTGAAGCCAAACTACCGCATATTTACATTCTACATCAGAGATGCTCTGTGTCTGGGAATGCCTCCGCGAGCTGAGCCGAGTACCTGAAGCCAAGCATTAACGTTGCTGCCCTTTCCCGCCTGCCGCCCGATTTCAACGTTCTGCACCACCAACAAAAAATGAAGCTTTTGAGCCACATAGTATTAGTATTGTTGTGATCTCAGGGGAAAGATGGGCAGAATGGTACTGTATCAGCTACACGTACGTAGCCTACTGAGGACCGGATGCCATTTCGATAGGTGCTCTATTCTATGGACGACTCTCTCAACTATCTCGACTGCTTCTTCTCTCTGTCTGCTACTAATAGGTAAAGCCTTCAGGGGCTGAAGAGTTGGTGATCCGGCCAAGCCGCTAGGATCACGTGGTCTCGTATAGATTCATAACAAGTATATTAATTAGATATATTGGTATAGTGTTCATGAGGTTCTAGAGTTGCTACATTCAAATTTTAAGCATCGCGAAACTGTTGTGGGGGACAGATCTGCCGGTCTTGACAATTTGTAGGTGTAGGGGTCTGTATAATCTTATTAAGCAGTGATATTTCTAGTATTTTTAACTATAGAATACTTAGCTATCTTAGGCTTGCTCTTTTTAACAGATTTAAAGCTATTTTAAAGCTATGTAGAGATCTTTTTGGTATATGTAGAAACGGTTAGCGGGGCGCCAGAAACTACGCCTATTGTACCGCCTGCCCACGCTCCCCTTCATTAGGGCCTAGCCTTTTTCCTGGGCGCTTTTACCGCCCCAGCCAGCAGCCATCCATCTATAAAACGACGCCGTCTGTCCCCATCGACACGACAACATACAGTTTCTTCTCTTTCCTCCTTCCCCTTTGCTCTTTTTGCCCCACTGCCTCCTGCGGTCTAGAGGACCTGGCCAGCACTCTGCCCCTTTTCATTTCACTGCAGATGCTGCGCCATCCGCCACCCAATCGGTTCTGACCAGTATTGGCAGTGAGGTTTCCGGTCGCCCAAAAGACTAGATAGTCGAACCCTCAGCCGTATCGATGAGTTCATGTCGACTCCGGTGAAATACACGACTATCGGTCGTGCTACTGGGTTGTCTTCGTCGCCCTCCCCTTGAGCCCAACTCGGGCTGAGCATCTGTCCTATCTCGGCCTGTCTTATTCCTCTGACATAATTTGCATGGTAGATCTAGCAAAGTTATCTGGAATCTTCTAATGAAAAGCCATGCGATCCTTGCGGAGTCTCAACGCAGAATGATCTGTGTCACGTGATTGGTTACATAGATATCACGCGCTCTCAAACTCCAAGCCTGTAAAAGAAACCCAGGGTTGCCTCTAATCACCGGAGGCAACTCTTCTTTTGTCTCACCCCGAGACCAAGCCATTGCTGGTTTCGACACCGATTGGCCAGTGGATATCTTTGAATACTTGTTGCATTCAGACCCGTCATCTCCATCTAAGAGGCCATCACGGTGGGAAGGTGCACCTTCTCGCAATGGACTTCCCAGCGATGGAGCCCTCACCCCGTCTTGCCCAACACGATGGCATCTTCACCTCAAACTTCTCTTCCAACGAAACTAACATGCCCGGACTTGTTATTTCCACCCACACCCATACTGATCTCCTGAAGTATGACGGGTATGCAAGTTTTGTTGCCTCCCTCCAAGACAACCTACATACCGGCCGTGAAGTTCTGGAGTTTTCGGGCGTTAATGCAAAGGATTTCGAATTTCTTTCGTCTGATGACAATAGACCCCTGAAGTCCGCCAAGTTCTCATATAACTTTCTGACCGAGCTCTTGACAATCAAGATGCCCGGATTTGCTCATGAGACTCTCACGGGTTTGTTCAAAGCTATGATTGACAAACAACTTTTCGCAATGGGTGTCTTCGATGAATTAATTCCACGTGCCTCACTCCTGACTGTTCTGGGTAACTGGGCGAAGGAACCAGATGCCTGCTGGGCGCCTGAGTCGACAGACGATTTGACTGTCGTTCTCGAAGTGGGGACATCAGAATCTGCGCCGCGGCTGGCAATCGATGCGAGAGGATGGTTGGAATCCCCCGGGACGACCGTCAAAACATGCATAACGATCGATCTTAGCCGAGAAAACAATCTCGCCATTGACGTTTGGCGGCTCGGCAGAAGGGTTTATGCGGTTTCGCCTAGAAACCTTCCCTCCCCCGCCGTACGGGTGCAACAAGTTAAGATCGTCAGTGGAGAAGCGGGGCCCGAGATATACGGCTGGAAGACAGATCAAAACATAGATGCCATCCCTACGGACGAGATTCGGTTGGATTTCGCGATGTTTGTTGGACGGCCCGCTGCCACCGATCTCGAACAAGATATTGTCATAGACAGGAATCTTCTGATGGGATTCGCCAACAGATTCTGGCGTCATCAAGGCCGGCGTCTGCAAGGCTGATAGTCGACTTGTTTTTGACAATCCTAGCTTTTATCACAGAAGGTATCGGAGAGTGCTTTGGGGGATTATTTCAGTCCTATAAAGAAGGAGAAAGAGTCGCGTCTTGAGTGTAGTCGCGTCTGGTTCTGCAACGGGAGAGGTCACTGCTCATTGGGATCGCTAAATGTTCACTCTCTAATTTTGTATTAGTGTTGGAAGTTTGTACTCGAGGCGTTCCAATGGCTCTGCTTCTCTATATTGATACCATATTATCTGTCTCTTTATTTTAAACTTTAGGCGAGGAAAGACATGTTTTTAAAAGGTGTTATGCTCTTTTCCTCCCTACAGTTTCAGTGAATCGTAGAATCTACTGTTCGCTTATATGTCTTATCCTGACTCTTTCGCTATCGTATCTCTATCTGATCCACAGGCATCTACAATGACCAGTAGGATATCCTCTCACATTAGCAATAAGGGTGGATAGTCTTAAAGGGAGAGGCTTACTGGTCCTCGTAGTCCTGAGTCTTGTCTAGCTTACTGAGTCCCTGGGCAATAGCGCTCTTGTCCAGGATACAATATATCGAGACTTTTAGCCTCCTAGAGGTAGTGCTCCGGTGCTGGTTGCCCCTCTTCGTCACCTAGGATCGAGTCATCATTAGAATTATCATTCGACATGACACAGTTATCCAGATCAAAAGTCCTTAGAGAAGCAATTATTGTCAGAAGCACTGTTTGAGAAAATATCAGAAAGATCTGTGCTAGCAACTCTTATTAGCAGACAAAGTAGGTCGGGAAGGGTGATATATAGAGAGGGCATTATAGGTATGTTGCAAGGACAGGGGGAATAAATAAAGAGAAATGGGGTATAATAATAATCAAAACAGATATTCGTTTTCACTTTCGGTGCGAGTGGTTCACTAAGGGATAGGCCTGGGCGAGGGAGAGCAAGCAGCAGAACACTATAGCAATCGACCTGTATAGAATCGCAGTGTAGAAAAAAGTAGTCAGGAGGTGCTAAAAGCGGCTCCCCTTCTTCAGGAGGGTGAGTGACGACGGAGTCTCGCTGCGATTACATCACGAGACGAGTGGGTGTGCAGGGACCAGGCAGCACAAGTCAAGGGTGGAAGTAAACAGCATCGGCCATGGGCATTGATATACGTGACACCAAGGCCCTGCCAGTTAGCGAGACGCTTAAAACGGCCTCAAATGCGGCCGTTTTCGGCCACTAGCTCCCCGTTTCATCGTTATATGGAGTAATCTATGCTCTCTCTTTCTCCCACTGCTTTGTCTCTATCTCTTGCTGCTTTTCTATATACTGAGTTTCTTGATTTTACTTTCTCCCTTGAACTAAGTGCTGTTTCTTCTTCTTTTTCTACTGACAGTAAAGCTTATCGTTCTCTTTTAAAGCTTTAATAAGCTCTATTTTATAATTCTTGGCTGTCTAAAGTTCCAGTGCTTGCTGAACTTTATTAGATAAGTAAAATACTATATATCTATCCTTAGAAATATAAAGCTTAAAGAGTAAAGACTTTTCTTACTACTACTTCTTTCTTTTATTGACTAAGGCATCCTTATGGCCGCTGTACTTATCCTTAAGTAAAATATTCTCTATACAGAGTGTCAAGGATATCTACTATTTAGGGTAGAGGACCTGTCAACTAGGTAAGGGTACGTAGGCTAAAAGAAAGAGAGAGGTCAAAGGCAGGCAGTAGATACTACTCTGACAGGAGACTAATTCTTAATCTCCTACCACTGCTAACGATTTGCTAATTTATAGCTAAAGGCTTCATGCCTAAAGGATTCAGAATCCCCCTTGAACCCAATCTGTCGTGTGGCCTGATATTCCTCATCGGTGGCCGATTGTCCATGCACCTGAGTCAGGGTATCCTGTATAGTCACCAGGCCGAATCGCTATTCGATCTGTGACACAGAGATTATATATTATAGCAATAAGCTTCTGGATATTCTTATCAAGTATATTAGTAATAGCTTACTCTAGCTTTATTTCAATTATTAGTAGCTAAGATAGAGCGGGTTAAAGAGCTAGTAGATGACCTCACTTTCTCTTTCTTATAAAATTACTTCAGAACAATCTCCGGGTTTTATAGTACTAAACCGCAAGATTTCTCTATAAATTTAATATTTTTGGGGATAAAGCTTTTTCGTAACTGGGAAAGAATAGGCAGAAGAAATCCTGCTTGCCCAGGCTGCAGAAACCTTGAGATGTATATAAAAATGCCTCCAGATTGTTACTGTAAAGGATTACTCCTGGGATTAGCAATTCGATACATAGGATCTTTCTAATAGGTAAAAAGATTCACTATGATCAACTCCGATCGGAGTTGATTTCCCAGGAGCGGTATATATAGTATCGCAACTTGCCATCGGGGCCTTAAGCCTAAGGCTTACCTGTGACATTTCTCTAGATTGAAGTCTTTGTATCTAGGAATCTTGAATATTGCCTGAAGCAGTTTGACATATAAATCCTGAGGTAAACGAGGTTTTGTCAGCGTAAATATAGGCTATATAAATAATCTATTCTCTAGAGCTATCTTGTAGGCATCTCTTGGAGCTGTCTAGCTTAAATTAGCAACGTGAATAGATTCTTTTGCTTTTCTGCAAGATTCTAATAAGAAAGTCCTTTTTATTTATATTGTATATGTTCTCTGGCTGAATTTGATGCTATGTAATTTTTGAGCTAGGATCTTGAAGTACTTATTGTATTTAGCTATAGAATCGGCGCAGAGGTGAGCCTTGTCTATATTTGATGTTATATTGCTGTCAATATCATCTTTATGTCGCTTCAGAAATTGCTCTGGCCAGTGGTTTCCCGGCTTCTTTCCTGTAATATCCTTTGCGAAATTCCGCAGCATTTCATGTGAGATATAAAGACCTTGATCTGTCAATTTATTGATATATTTAATAAGAGCTTTGGTCTGCTGGCTGTTGAGTAGTCGCTGGTCCTTATACTGCTGTTTCCTTAACTGCTATTTTTCTTGATGACGTCTTTACAGTGTATGTCGGTTAGCACCGAACACTTTCACCACCATAGTATAATTAATCAATTCTACAGGTTCCAACAAATTGATTGCTTCTATCGCCGCTTCAATTGGATCCATATTCGTTGAGATATGAGTAAGAGCAATCGGGGGCAGGCGGGAACTGGGCGGCAACGTTAACTGCTCCACATTCCCGCCAGAAATTTCTAAACGTAAAAGGGCTTCCAGAATATCTATACCGCCCCAATCATCCAACCTTGACTAAACTGTGCTCTCTAAAGGGTTCATAGTTTCACCAGAATTCCAGCTCCAAAGATAGACTATACAGCGCCAGAAAATAGCCTTTGCCCTCGTTGGGTCCTACTAAAACATTGCGGGACAGCCGGTCCCGAATCTAGCTAGTGGATGGTCTTAGAGGCCAATCATCTACCGTGCGAGAGCTTCTATGTTAGCTAGCGTATCCCTAGTGTTAGATAGGGCTCCCAAATCACATGGAAACTCCACCATGAACAGGCAGCCACAGTTTGTGGCAATGAACATATCACGGTGTGGCCCCTGAGCCCCTGTTCTGCCAGGAAAAAACTTCCATCTGAAAAATATCCCCTACCTTCAGAAACGAATTGTGCTAGACGATAGATACAGCTTGTTGGGAATGACGACGCGTCGAGAACATATATCCTTTAAGACGGGAAAAGCGGTCAATGAATTGGATATGGTGGGCGTCATGGAAGAGATGGTCGAGTACGAGCATCGCTTAGCACATATTGTATGGATTCTATGATAACCAGTATATGAACAGGATGGCCCTTCCGAGTCGCGAGAAAGAATGAAGTGGAGCATGCGTGGGATCCACGAGAAGCGTGGAGACCTATGTCCCTGAGAGCACCGTATCTTCTCACGGTGGCAAGCCTCTTGCTGGCGATGGCAATCGCGCTCCAAGTTCTTCGGCAGTACTCGGACCGCGTTGGATTCCTTGTACGCTATAAGCGTACCGATGACCTCCCCACGACGGTGTCGGTTGTCTACACCAACGTCCCAACTGTCATAGCGCTTGTGGCCGTGAACCTGTGGGAGGTCTGTGCCTGTGATGTGAGGCGACTGGAGCCGTATTTCCAGTTAGCAAAGCCGCAAGGTGCCTCCGCGACAGTTTTGTTCACTAATTACTGCTTCTGCTATGGTATCTTCGCACCCATCACTGCGGCCCGCAATCGTCACTGGATTGTGTTCTGCGTGACTCTAGTGTCCTTGGTTGTGCGCATGTTTCTACCTTCCCTGCTGTCCGGTCTCGTGGTGATGAGCGAACTGAACACTGTCGATCCTAAAACCGTAGAGACGTGGCCAGACCTGGTCAACTTGCAAACTCAAGAGGCGTGGATGACTGCGGAGGCGTCTTATCCAAGGGAGCTCAATCCAGGGAATGATCATGTACTATCACGGTCATCCGAATATGCAGTCCCACCGGTTTCAATGCCTTTAGAGGATCAGAACGATTCGTCCGTATTGAGCCTCAACCAGACGGTATATTGGGCAAACCTGACCTGCATAGACACACCTCTCCATGGAATCATGCCAACAAGTCACCTTTTCACACATATCACGGATAGCCGACAGGCGGTTTCATTGAGTCTACAGAATATCTCTATTGCGAACCCTAGTGACCAAAGTCCAGGTTGCTCTGTAAATATGACACTTAATAGCGTCGTGCCGACCGAGGCTGATCGTTTTCAACTTCGTTACTGGGAGCCAAGTCCGCCTAGCGTGGACTCCAATATCACGTCCGCCTTTTATAGCAGCGACTGTGACTCATTCACTATGTATGGCGTGGTGGCTGAGGGGAGCATCATGTCAAATAGTTCCATAGGGATGCTAAACGCGACCGTGTTTGCTTGCAGGGCCTCTTATCAATACGCAGAAGCAGAGGTGTTGATCGCCTCAAATACATCAATCATCGCGACACGCATCCACCCTGGCGCCATTCATAGCCTGAGCCGGGACCAGTTTAGTATCAGCAAGTTTGAGGATCTTATGCACACCAAGTACCACAGCAAAACTACTAACACGACACACCCGGTGGAAGTACGTGTTGCATCCAGCTTCATCGACATAGAAAATTATCAGCGCGAAGTGCGAGATCTATGGAACCGTAGCTTCCTTAGAATCATGAACAAGATCTTCAATCCTAACACAAGTCCCACTCTTCTTCACGCCCAACAAGCGAGTATCTCAGTCGTCCTTAAGGTGATATCCACCTCCTCAATACATGCGGAGACCATGCTCTGGATGGCTTCCTGCTTGCTTTTCTCCCTATCCCTCGTCTACCCGCGCCGTCCCAATTTTCTTCGGAGCGACCCCAGCTCAATCGCTACCCAATGCGCAATCGTTGCGGATCTATTCAGCCCAACAGTTGTACTCGCACGGCTGGATACGGACTTCCATCGATGTACTACTCGACAGCTTCGCCAGTGGGCGAAGGGATTGTGGTGTCAGTGGCAGGGAGAACCAAAGGATCGGCGGCTCGGGATCGTGTCAACTGATGGGCGTCCTGTCCCTCTTTTCACCCAGGAGGCTCGCAGAAAACAGGATTTAATGCCGCATTTCCTCACGCTCCCATGGTTCATTCTTGAGTGCTCTCTATTCGTAGCTATCCTTGTTTTGTTTGGGATAATTCTTCGATATCTTTGCGTACAAGACCTTAATGCTGGGAGCAAAGTCCAGGCGTCGCTGCTCATCTTGATGCTATTCGTCCCTAACATAGTAGCCTCTGCGGTCAGCGTGTTCCTTGCCTCAGTGCTTCGACACCTTAGCGCTCTGGAGCCGTGGGTTCAGCTGCAAAATGGACCAGTGACTGCAACGCAATCGCTGTTGACGACCTACGGCTCTCAGACTCCATTTGCAGTGTTTTGGAAGTGTATTCGTCGCGGCCCTCCTCTCCTAGCGGTCCTCTCTCTGGTATGTATCTTGGGCCTGCTTCTGAGTATTATCAGTGGTGGCCTGTTTGAACCCCAGGTTAAACAGCACTCTGGGATTGCTTCAAGTTTATTTACAGCATATGACTTGTCTACATTTGCAAGACCGTTATCTGTCCCTGTATTGGATAGCTACAGTCTTCTCTCCAAGGGTCTTGCCACGGATACCCTTCTAGTACCTTGGACCGTCACAAACTACTCGTTTGTGCCAATCTTCGTTGACGAGCCGGAAAGCGAACGTACGTCCTTCACAGCTTCGACACGCGGTATCGGGGCAGACCTCACATGCGACTACCTTCCTGCCAACCACTCATGGATTGACAGACAGTCCGGAAACACTTACTGGCACTATGAACCATTTGGTAATCGCACAGAGTCCAACTGCACGGTTGAGGTTCCAGGGACGACCTATAACTATGTTGAGAAATCTATCCATTTTGCCACATCTACCAACTGCGAAACACCTACAGTCCTAGTCCTTGCTCGTTGGAAGTATGTGACTGGGGCACCGGCCAGCATTGACAACACGCTCGCGTTGCACTGTGAGCCCACAATTCGCATGCAAGACTTCGTGGTCCAGTTTGACCATTTCGGTCAAGTCGAATCCTATCAACCCATACCGGGCAGCTCCATTACTGGTGGTGACTTGTTTCAGAATGCCTCTGATGTCCTTCGACAGTACAACAGGGCGTTCGCGCAGGCAGCTCAGACAACGTTCCCTCACCCAGACTCTTTTCTTGGTCAGTATGACTGGCCTGGGTTTTTCACAGCGCAGGCCTACGAGAGTCTGAATCCCAAGTCGTCCTGGCTAGACCCCGCAGATCTGGTTATTGCTGTTCAGAGTACCTACCGAGCGGTCTTCAGCACCTACTTCACCCTCTGGAGAGACTTGTACCTTGAGCGTCTACCGCAATCCCACTCTCTGGCCGTTGATGGGACAGTCACTCGAGGGATTTGGGGCCTGCTGCCGTCAACCCCGTCGATTGTTATCGTTATCATCCTTCTATCGCTTGATATCCTAATGATTGTCGGCATATTTGTCGCCCGTAGAGGGCGGTTTAATGGACCACGCATCCCCAAATCGATTGGGTCGCTTATCCCGTGGATCGCACACAGCCAGATGATGGGCGATTTCGAGGGAACCCAGCAATGGAATGAGGTAAAGCTTCGGCAGCGTTTGGAGGGAATAGGCCACAAATATAGAGTGGGAACTGCTCGGTGCGCAGATGGCATAAGCAGGATAGCGGTTGATTACCAGGATGATGGTCAACATTTCGAGATGCATGGGAATCGCACGACGGGTCTACCCTCGTCTTCCATGGTAGCAGCAGAATCTGCTTTACAAGACGAACCACGAGTTGTCCAATGATCTTCCAGCCAATACTCGCGCACAATCCGAGCTCACCGAGTAACCTCCATCGGTTAGTTGAGGTATCCTACCCATTATCTGGTTTTGCTGGAGTCTGAAGTCTAATTGCGTGAATCTTCGCGTAGGTAACTTAGTCTTCACGGTGGTTTATTCGACCTTGCAACAGAATCCTGTTGTTGTTCTGGGAGTCTTGAACCTCTGCGATTGAACCATAATACACGCGATATATTACATATCCTGAGCCTCAGCCCACCACGTCCATGTTGGCTTTCTACCAGCTATGCCCAATGGTAGAATGTTTCTATGCAAACTTACTATCAGGTCTCCGTATCGTATCAAGACTTAGCCGAGTGAATAGTTTGAATGACCACAAGGAAGGACGGGAAGGTGAGTAAAAAGGGGCCTATAAGCGATACGGATCCACGTGGAACATATAGAGAGGGGCAAGGGCCCCGACGTCGAGACCAGCAAGACCAACCTCGGGACTCTCATGAGAGGGCCATGAATCTCCTTTTCTCTTCAACTTTATTCCCTTTCCCTCCTTTCCATGACCTCCCGTTGGTCCCTGATAACTGGGAACATCGCTTAGTCATTTCGTACCTGCCTTGTTAGGCACTCAAAGCTGAGTCATGTCTCCTATGCTTGCTCATCACTGACTCCAGTTCTCGAACTACTATTATTCCCTCATGCTGGTTTGGTGGTGAATACTTGGTGTGGGAAGGCCTAGAACTGACTGTCGGACCCTAGATCGGCCATTTTAGGTTCCGCACTGAACTCTCGCTGTTACATTCTACTTGCTGTCTCAACGGAACCCTCGCGCCTGCTGGCCGAGATCAGCCAGCAATCTTTGATACGATGCAGAAAGACGGCAGGATTGCGGTTCCAAGTGCTGAAGGTGCACGTGGATCTGAGCCAAAAAGCTAATTTGTATCATATATGGCCTTCTTTTCTATGGCTCAGGAAGTGGAGTACCTGATGTGGAGCCGAACGATAGAACCATGTCTTCGGTGACGATCCCTCGTGGCTCGGACGATCCCAGCCGATCGTCAGCGATTGGTAGCGAGTCTCAGTCTTTAGCCAAGGAAAACCTACGGACACATCTCATACATGAAGCAGGGGAACGTGGCAAACGATTCAACCAACTGCCTATCATTGGCCTGCCTGCGGCAAAACCCAAAATATACGTTGAACCTAATTTTTGCCAGTCCAATCCAATATAGCACTCTGGGGTCTCAGTTCTGTTCCCTGGAATCGCAATGCATCCTGAGCCAAGCACAATTCGGCTGTAAGTCTATAATATGGGGTATTTCGGCCGAAGCTGAGTTTACTCGGAAATCCACATACCAAGTGGCGCGCTTACGGAATACTATCCAGAGATAAGACGCCATTATTGTATAGTTGTTGCGCATGTGAGAATTCCTAACTAGAGTCTGGTAACGAGCTCCTTAAGACGTTTGTGATCCAACTATCATATTCATCCGCTAAGTATTCATCCACTAAGTTAAGCAAGCCAAATGGAATTTATACTTTTCCGTTTGCTTCCTTTCAAAACGGTCTTCCCAATCGCAAGCTTCCACTAGAGTGTAGTACACTATTAAAGCTTTGACGACCACTCAAGTCTGCAAAAGGGAACAAGGCATGCAGATGCCGCAGAGGATCTCCGTCAACATGTGGGACAGCAAGAAAGACTTGATCATCAAACTTTACGAAAAGGATGAATGGCCGGTGAAACAGGTCATCAAGAAGATCCGGTCACACAATTTTAACCCAAGGTGAGGCGGTTCTAGATGAGCTGGCGTGACGATTGCTCGGACTGACGGGCCCTCGGTCACCAGTGAAAGTCAACTGCGGAGTCGATTGAAGAAATGGCGTGTGACCAAGTCATCCCGTCGCCAGGGCCGGGGAAAAGGAGTCGACAGGAGTGCCAATCATACGACAGAAGCGTCGTCAGAGGATCACTCCGGGAGTGAGTCGACACAGTCAAAAGCAACACCAGACCAGAATATGTCCAGAGAGGAACTGAAACCTAGTCACGCGCCACGTACAGCGCCAGTTAAGATCCCTCATCCCTGCGGCCCTTCTTATCCTGAAGTATTTTCAACCTGCCGCCCTTTTGAGCTTCCTCATAACACTTTCCCCGTATCTTCCGCGTAAGTCTTCCTCCCCTGGCACTTCCTGACCGGTGGTATGGCCTCAGGTCAAGCAGTGACTGACACATCCGACTCGCATGCACCACTAGGAACTCTATCGCTGATCACTACACACCATATGGGAAGGCTCCAATGATAGAACCGGATTCATTCCAGTCATTCCAGTGGATGGCGGATTCATCGCACTGGCTTCCGCTTGAGAACCGAACACAATCCTTTGCGGCACCCCTTCAGGCTCCCGTGCCGTTCAGCCCCCCCATGTATCAACAAATGCCGGTTATACCTCGCCATATTCGATCAGACTGGCATCTGACTCCAGAATGTCTGCCCGACAACCCAGTATCTGGACTGTACTTTATGGGGTACCCTGCCTGGTAAGCAAAAGCTGTAGGATGTGGCGCCATTGGAATCTCTGACAGGCTTTAGGCAATAACGCTTCCCTGCTACTAATACATGCCTTTCTTTTATGCCGTCTATGAGTTCATGGATTATCATGTATACATATTTGCTGCCTCCGTGGCTTTTCTAACACAACGTTTGGTGGACATTACCACAGCTGGACTTCACATAAATTGCTGTCTAGTCTGTAATGACCCTTACCAACGCCTAATTTCGCGCACTTGAATACTTGTACAATAAGAAACCATAACATCATACAATTACTGGACTCAGTCGCTTTGTTTATTTTGCTTTTCAACCCAGGCGTTGTTTACTAAGGTCAGAAGCTGCTGTACTAGCCAACGTTGCTCCATCCTGCAATGAGCGACCCGGTCGAAATAGCTGTTCGAAAGTGTCAATAATTGCATTTTTACTTTCTTTTCTTTTCTTTTTTTTTTTTCCAAAGCAACGAATCCTGTACGGCATCCCTTGTTGATTCAGGAAAGGAGTGGGAGAAATCCTGCCTGTTGCTATCATTGGTACGGCATAGCTTTGAGTACCAGGTTCGTATGAATGCGAATGTGAAGGCACTAAATTCCAGGTGCCGCCGCAAGGCGAGGAGATAGGCCGGGGTGTAGGTCATCATCTCCAGGGAGAAGAAGTCAATTTTACATACAGTGTAGTAGTTTTGGTCTACCGTACGCGTTGCGACAGCAATGATCGGCTTTTAAATGTTTTGCTATATTTAAGTGTTTTGGCTGGTTTGAGGCATCTACGAACATGTAACTACTATATCAACATCATATGAAAAAGCAAGGTACCGTACAATGATTCAACAAGATTCAAAGGACTATAACGAAAAAAAAAACCTCTGGGCTGGAGACCTATCATATCAGCCCTTACTGGGTGGATAACAGGCACCAATATTTCGAGTAATGGTACAACCCCTGTGGCTTGTGCGGCTTTTCAGGATGAAAGTGATCAGAGGAAGGCGAATGGAAATGTAACCACTCAAAGGAAAACCGCCACAGCTACTGTAACTTCGATCGTGTGTCCTCTAAGCACAGGATCTGCGGAGAAATAGTACTATATTGCTTGGTCGACTCCCTTGAAGCGTGGAAGGAACAGGTTAGTCTCGGGAAGATGATATGTGCCTTTGCAAAAGGTTCACTATACGGCCGCAACGTGTGTATGTAGTCAAGTGCCATAAGGCTCATCTCAGAGACCTAACAGTGTTTTCTACTGTCAAACTTCGTCGGCAAATAAATATATAGCCCCTGCTCGGAAGTCGAATAATTTGTAATTGACGAATCATCTCCAATAACTGGGTCGAGTTCTTTTGCAGAGAGCCTCAAAGCTGCTGTACGTGTTGAAATACAAGAGTTGACAGCTACATGATCTACTTCGTATATTAGTACTTAGACATGGCCCTTGCTATCCCAGAAACATTTATGGGATCTTGCTGTAGGCCTCTTCCACCCCCACCTGGAAATTAGATGTACATATATCCCTGCTCGTGTCATTAATTTGATTACACTTAATAGGATTGTGAGCGTGTAGTGCTTTTCTCGAGCGTGTCTTAAAGTTGGACGCTTACTGTCCTTGAAAAATAAACACAAATTGCCTCATTTTGTAAGAAAAAGCCAGTTGCACCATACTACAACACGCTGTCGTTACTCGGCCAAAGACACCATTGATTCGAAAGATCTGGCTTCAAGGTTGTTGTTTCTAGACAAAAGATATATTGGAATTCAATAGGTACCTTGCGAGCACACTACTGGTTAAATATGTGCAGGCAAATATGTATTTGAGCAGTACAAGGTATCAAGTAATCACAGTTGCCACAAACAAACCAGGGGATATCGACGAGCGGCGCAGATCAGTTGATTGAGGGATGCAGAAATGGTTCAGCCACATGGAAGGCATATTCTTCCACTCTGTCAGAGCGCGTCCTACATGAATATTTTTCATAGGCCACAACTACAGTAAAGTTTTCACCGGTATTGCTTGTCCTAGACCATTTATCTCTCGAGATCTGTTTCTAGAATGGTAACAGAATGAATTCGGAACTGAGTTTGTTAGGTTCTAGGCGTTAATCGGAGTGCGTGGAACCTTAAGATTCCAATAGGGCTCGATTACACTTTCCCAAGATTGGGTTATCATTGAGTCTTCGTTCAACGCCTCGAATAACGCCATAGAGTCGAGGGTAGTCTACACTGCGACCTATGACGACTTAAGAGGCAAGATCAGACCAGACACGCTAGAAATCCATCCAATGGTTGGGGTGCTTTTCCAGTATAGGCTTGGTGAGATCTGCGCAGTGATGAAACAAGCTTGAATCTTATTGCTCGAGGCTCCACCACCCGACTTTCCTTGGAAGCTCGCTATCATTGCCAAATCCAGACATATGGACTCCTATGCTTTGTGTTCTACTAACATCAGAGGCCACAAACTTAGTCTTGAAACTAGGGCATATCTCTGTACTATCAATGGCGTGCTTATTTCGCGGGATTCCCTCCCTATAATCCTACAGAGATGTTGGTGCTAAAGTGCGCTATTCGAAAACTTTGACAAGAAAGAATATAATTTAGACCCGAAAACGGTGTTAGAGCACTGTCGTGTGCAGAGCGAAGTTTATCATGCCTTTGAGAGAGGCGGCTCCGAGACCAATATTCCTTAAAAATTGGCTTTATGGTACCGAGATTCTAGAAGATAGCACTCGTCTTCTAAAGACCGTTCTTGAATAAATTATAATAATAATGATCTTTAACTGCTCAGAATGACTATTCAGCGTTCCCTTAGCAACCATACCTCTGCTTCTATCCTTGGGTATGTCTGGTCTTTGCTCTGCTTCACTCCCTCGCCGGGACAGGCGTTCCCCTCACGAACATCTTTATCAGGCTGGCAGAGGCGCTACTATCCTTCCTCCTATAGATATTAGCAATAATGCACCGTCCAGACATTACGCTACTCGCTGCACCGGGGGCCTCGCAATAGAGAAGAGGTTAAGTCATAACCAACTAAGCCTCAAGCTTCCAAGTATCAAGGACTTAGGCCTTCTCAACTATGTCGAGGACTACGTACACGAACAAGTGAAGATGTACCCCGGCCAGGGCAGCATCCATCTGCACAGGCGCAAGCAAAGATGCACCCCATTATCCGCCGAGTTACTAGTCGGAGACGTGAACCCTGGCAAAGCTTCTTTAATGCCAGACAAGAATATTGCTTGTCAAGGATCTGAATCCGGGGTGTCCCTCAGCATTGTACGGGACGGGTGTGCTATTTCCAAGATGACCCAGGGCTGGGCAAAAGAGGAGATTACACAACTACGGCGAATCGTTCGATTCTATTGTTACTACCGAGATACGAATTGCATCCGGGTTGGCATATCGCCAGTCTCAGTGCACCAGGAAACAGCAAGTTCCATATGTGTTAGTTGTATATACTGGCATTCCCGAGGTGATTATTTCATCACAAGTGTGGATATCATACGGCTGCTTCAGTACCTTCTACAAAGATCCATCCCCCCAACCGAGAGGAGCCGGATCCGTCAAAATTTGAAAACAATACGTTCCCGTGTGGTCTCAAGGCATGAGCAAGAAACCAGCCAGCTTGCAGAAACTATCGAGGCTTTTGAATATCCGAAAGCTATTGGAGCTCCCAAGGCTATAAAGATATTCCACTGGAAAGATCTGGAGTTTGCGCTGACACGGATTTGCAAAAACTACTCTGTGAGACCTCACTTTTTCATGATGCATGGAATGGACAAGCTATTGGTCTCAACCCCCTCTTAGTTATTCGTGTTAAATGCAGCTTTTTATTTCGATAGTACCTTTGCCAGTATCGACTCGATCGCACTTCCTTCACTACTGAGTCCGCGTCCTTCGTAGCCTTGGCATTTGGGAGATGCAAACCCCCTGTTCTCTACCCATTCCATCTCAGCTTTTCTGGGACGTGGCCGTTAACTACAGAGACATGAAGTGGCGATGAGCCAGTGACCGACAAATTTGACTAGCTACCCCTAGGAGGCATACTCTGTGTATTAGCTAGAATGCAGTTGCAAATACTATTATTTGATTGGCTTTCAGTTGATATACTGTAACGGACTGTGCTTCAAGACCTGGCTGGGCAGTTTGTTCTACTGGTCGATTGTGAGCATCTTGTTATGGAGTTGTGAGGCTGTAAACGTAGCTTATTATCGTATTGCTCTATATATTCCTCGTTTAGAAACCATTCAAGGCCTGTAAATCAGGCCTGAATGGAACTGGCTTTCCTCATACGCTTTCTAGTCATAAGAACTACAACAAAGGAAATTGCATTAGGAGTATGAAAATCTAACTGTGACGATAGTATATGAATAGATTGCATGCCAGAGAACACTATTGAACAGTATGTAGGTGTTCTTATAGCGGGCATAGGTCCTGAGAGTTATACTCAGCAAGCTCAGTGCTGGCCAAGTGCTCATTTCAATACCATTTGCAGCTTACTTCAACCCGCATGTAGATGTACATCAGAATGAATTCATTGACATACATTTAACAACCTTGACCTCACAAACTAAGTGTGTGAAGTATTTCGGACAGGAGTACCGTTTTCTTGAAAATCCCAAAGGCCAAAAAATGGTCTAACGATATTCAAAGATTAGGTTAAGAGTCGGTCCCGCAAGCGGTATTGCATGTCGGGCCCGAGTCCCAAATTTTGCCACCAGTCACACCTGTGGCTTTGCCCTTACTATCCAGAAGAAAAGTGGAAACCCTACCTCAGGATACATGTAATGCTCGGAGTCACTCAACGGCGATTGTCCAGATCAAGAAATGACATAGTCTTCGGAAGTAAATCAAAACAACCCCACACCAGGTAGAACCAAAAGAGACATACGAATTGTTATGGCTGAGTACGCCCGGGAGAACTCTGCCAGCACAGTAAAGAGGGACATTGGCTAGGAACAGCAATAGCATTCAGAGCATTCTGGCATTTGTTTTGATTGGCGTGAATTCTGGACCCGCTGTCTAAGAATCTGGCTTCCAAGCCGTATTGATGTAGAATACTGACCAAGGCGGCTGGCAGGTCGCACCATCGAAAGAGCCTGACACTCTTACGAACTTTGAGTACTTCTGGATTTCGGAACTCAAAGATCCATTGAGCAAATTGGCAGGTTTCTGGATCGTACTTTGAGACTACCCAGGGGTGGAGTCGCTGCAGATTCTGGCGGATTCGATTTTTCTCGATTGTCGGAATGCTCTTCTGCAGAAGGACTTCCAGAAGACGTATAATGTCCGTGCTGGTGATAAAGAATTGATTTGTGGACGGCCAGTATATGCAGCTGATACAACCTACGTTGTATGACTGTCCAGTGTTAAATACCGGTTCGGCGCAGATATTGATATGGTTTGGGCCACGATGCTGATTGCGAAATTTTACAATTCGCCGTCTGCAAGAGGTCTCTTCTTTTGTCCAGCCAGTTGTCAGGTTGATAACTGAGAACCCTTGTTTTTTCAAAGATATTAGGTGCCTCATTGATGCCAAAGGGGCCACTGCACATGGCCCCAGTCCCTGATGAAAATCGATGGGTTCGCTCTCGTCAACCTGCATTAAGCCCCCAGCAGCTTTAGCGAGGGGATTGTGCGACGGTTTCCTTCCAGTGTCATGGTTATATGCGAAGATCTGTGTCGCCAGACATGAGCCTTGGTCTCCATATACTCGATATTCATGTGGCTTTGCCGTCTCCCGCAATGCACAGTCCTCGTCAGGAATGCAAAATCCGATTGGCTCAATTGCTGCTATGTCTGGCGATAGTTGTTCTGCCTGGGAGAGCGTCCTATACTCCTTGTCTTGTTGCGGCTGGACTTCTTCACTAATGTCTTCCACGCCAGACACTTCTGTTTGGTAGGTGAATAATCCCACGTAAACAGCTGTTTGTGCACTGGCTGCAGACTGACTAGGTTTGAACCATAGCGGAACACGGATAACAGTACCCTGTGGCATATGCTGAGAAGGAGCATAGGCACTCAACATGTACTTGTGCATGGAGCCTGTGAAACCCAGATATGAAAAGATACATTCCGCCCATACGTCGCCAAAGCCCAGTCTCCCTTCGGTTGCGACGTCTGGCAGCACAGAAGTGGCTTGGATACAGACAGACACCAGGGTTCCCTGAGATCCGTGATCAGGGAAGAAATAAGCAACCCCTGGCTGCAACATCACTTTTTGCACCAGGCGGGGTGTTAAGGATCGGTCACCACTATCCTCACTTTCGAGCCTGGGCATGTTATGTCAGTGTGGTGCAAGATCCAGGTGATTCTACAAGTACCGTACCCTGTTGATTTATCCAGCAAAATCCTGGCATGAGTTTATCTCTAAGCCTTTCGCACCTGTCAAAAAAGTATGTGCTGCTTTTGTAAAGATGAGTACGACCCGGTTGGTGGAAGCAATGCAGAGACATGGGAGCAGTTGGTATGTCACCTAGCGTGCAGCCCCATTCCTATATCAATAATAGGATCCACATTATGCGTTGCTAGCACATTACCATTGTAGTCCAGTAAATAACTTTTCACCCAGCCCCATTATTCACGAATCTTCCAGTAAAATCGGTAATGGATCCATGCTGTTATCCACTGAAAAGTTAGCCCACCTTGAATCTGAAGCAAGTGCCATAGCCAGTTTGCAAGGCTGAGAGATTCAGCCCGGTGAACTCCTTATTTATTAGCGGGACCGATGTCGGGCAGGATTGGTACAGCGCTGAAGTGAATTTGACCAAGTGGTATTCGAGGGTTTCATCGCAAGGCTGTTCCACCACGGATACCTCCCATGAAATCTTCTAACGACTTATCTTAGGCCCAAGCTTGTACTTTAGCTTTGTTATTCGTTGACACCAAGAAAAGACGGAAAGGTTTTACAATCGATAGGTCTTTTTACCCTTGTTTGGTCATTATTTTTTTTCCATATTTTCTAATTTATTCTACATTTAGTTCTTGGAGATATTATCATGCTATCCTCACAATTGGAATATAATTCCGTTGGGCTCATCCGCAAGGCTACTGCGCTAGATGAGTGGGTTGTTGTTTTATTGTGATGGTTAGTGGGCTGGAGTAATGGTTTCCAGCTAAGAAACGACTACTATTTAAGAGAAGCTTTCAAAAAAGCCTCAACGGCCAACTTCATAGTAGTATCTCTTATGTCTCCCGTGGCCATTGCATGATGTTAAAGACAGCTTGGGTCCTGATTACCGGCGTACCATGCTAGACGTTTCTCTTCGACTGGATCTGGTAGAATAAAGTAAAGTAGGTCTCGGCGTAGAGCGATTAAGGTTTTTGTTTTTCATAGATCCATAGATAAACATTGTAACAAAAAACATGGCTAGTGGTACGTCCTGTTGACTGCTTTTCAATGGATAAATGCCACGCTCATGAACAGGAGAGGACAATTCTTTTCAAATGGAGCTCGGGTCTGCTAGAAGGTCTCACGGAGCTTGACCAGCGACATGGTCGCATACACGTGTACTCTAGTATATTAACATTAGCAAACATGGACTAGTATCTGCGGATAATGCGTATCCTGGAAGGATATGAAGATATCCGAATTAGGTCACCCCCAAACCCGCCGGAACAGCCGAACCGTTTAAATATAGTGGACGACATTCAGCACTTCGTCTGGTGGGCCTGGCTACAATGTAGCCTTACCGAAAATGAAAACATAGGCAACACTAGAGGTTGGTAGATCGGCGGCCACCATCCAAGTAGAGTCCAGTTCCAGGAGTAGGGTACGTATGGTGTGGAGCATGAGAACTCGCTTTAAGATTAGAGCCCTGATTGGGAACAAAGTTGATAAGATCCCGGGTGGCGATGAATCTATTTCAGTGGGGAATTATGGTAATATGATTCACGTTGTAGAATACCATGGTAATGTTAATGTCATGAAGTAGTTCTATGTTACTTGTGATTGCTGCCAATTAATATAGTATACTACGTTGGGCTACAGGTGGTCGCAACAACCTCATTCTAAGAACTGATGTAAATACAACGCTGGATATAACATGCATTAGCCAACTTCTCTGCATCTTCCCCCGCATCCACAGTAGCCCTCATCAAGCGGTTCCATGACCAAGTAATTCAACCCGAAGATTAAGAATCGTACTCCAATTTACAGACTGTATAGACTTTCTCTGCTGATCGGGGGTTCTTGCCACCGTCACAAGCTTCAGATCTCAAACCTGAAGTCTGTTTTCTTTCTGGTCCCGAAGGCTCTGGTTTCTAGTTGAGAATTGAGAAATTTTGAGTGAAATTCAAAACGCCCCGCAATCTTCTAACACCCTGTTGGCTCCGTCCCTTGGTGGAGTCTTGCAAACAGACTTTTACCTTGGGGACGGCAGAGGACTCACAGCATCCTGAAAAACGGATCAACTGCCAAGCATAACGCAAACACCCTAGCCGTTAGCAATGCCAATGTGCTCTTTTTGCTCGTCTTGATTTCCTTCTTTAGCAAGCCCAGCTGAACACTCATCCGTAGTTTCGCCGCCTACATACAGCTACTTATGAGTAGAATAATGTAATTTTCTTCTTGATGTTAGAAGTACACAATACCAACCGCAGGAGGGACGACATCCAGGTAAGTTGTTCTACACGTATTGCCAAAGTTAAAAGCTTCCTGCGGTGTATTCAACACTGCTCCTTCTACGCCAATGGTCCAGGTAGAAAAAAAGGAGGTGGAGGATCAGAGGACAGGTCATACAGTCTTGATTGGTTTTTGCTAGTCTGAGAAGACATTGGGTGCCGATGAAAATCATAGCACAGAATCCCGAGGAAGAACATATGCATACGGCTGTAAAGAAGAGCACTCTGCCGATACTCACTCCAAGACGAACCCATTGCTTCCCTTGAACCAGATTGAACCTGGTATGTCTTACTCCGTTATATGCACGGTTTGTTGTGGAGGCTGGCCAAATAAGCCGGGCTGGCATTGGAACCGACCGCTTTACGAGCGCTGAGTGCATTGAAGCACACTGATCGTTGGAATAAAGTAATAGGCATTACATGGCCCGGCTGGCTGCCAACTTGTGAGCTATAACTAACATGATATAGTCGACCCTGACAGGTCAAACCCTACTCGATATCGATTTGAGCGCCCTTTAGAAACAATCATGTCTACCTGTGCCGACATTGACAGGACCTACGTAATCAGGTAGCGAGAACAAAGGCCTTACGGGCCTGAGCCTTGCAAATATGGTCAGCCACCGTTGGATACAAGTCAAATGGAAAATTTGAACGAGTAGAATGTCTGGGTAGCCTGAAAATAGCTCGTGTTGAACGTCGAAGGAAGATTAGGAATAGCTCAATCTACCTATATGACCATTCCAATAAAGGTGTTCCTGACCTAATATGGCAATCTCTAATGTACAGCATATAAGTGGGCCAGCGAGTTACTACATGTAGCCTGCTAAGGCAGGTACGATAACCCTAATCGATAGCCTTGGACAATATCATACTTGTGCCTTAGACCGGAGTCAAATCCGGGGAGGGGTTAGGGCAAATGAATTACACAAACCCTCGTTATTGAGGCGATTTCGAGGTAGGTTTTGTGGGATCTCCGATCAAGTCTAGTGATGATCAAGCACGAATGTTTTGAAGAACGAAAACCAAACCATACGCGATCAGCCAGCCTCTTACCGCCCAAGATATGCAGCTGAGAACTAAACTATAATCCTCAATCTGCCAGGTCAAACATGATTTTGGACGTACGATCTGAATACACGCAAGCCTTACTTCCGCACCACCAGAGAGTGAAGGCTAAAACGCCACCAAGCGGACGTCAAACGGTGCTAATGAAAGTAACGTACAATAGGGCCCGTGCTCTGCCCGGCCCGGTAAACTGTAGGGCTGCAGCCGGTGAACCGGTAGAGCGGTGCCCTCCCCAAAAAATAGGTTAGACCAGGTTAGGCTCAAATAGACCTTATTTTGGAGAAAACCTAAACCGCTGAATGTACAAACTAACCCACCCCTACCGTACAATTTATTCCTAAACCGGTTTCACCACCTTTATACCCTTAATTGTGCTTGAAACGCTAACCACAATCCAGTAACGTCTTCTCATATGCACGATGAATCTTCACCTGATCCGGTAGACGGATGGTCATCCCTTGTCTTTCCCTACCATGGTCACGTGTTTCAGAAGCAATCGAAATGCAGAAAGATAATAAAACCAGTTTTGGAAGCAAGTATGTACCTTCCGGATGCCTGGACAATGGTAGTTAATCTAAGCCTACAGAGCTTTGATAACCTTCACGCTCTAGATTTAGTGGAGCATTTTAACCGCTCTTGGATTAGAGTCACAATACTATGAAATGATTATCGGCGAGATTGTCTAAAGCTGCACGACTAGATCAACCGCTCCGTTTTGTCACACGTACTCTCAATTTCACATAGCTGTTAGGCGTAATAATAGAAAGAAGCGTCCTAGAGCATACAAGGCTATCTAAATGCTCAGCTTCGCTAGACGTCTTGGAGTAATCAGTAATGCGAGGATCGGGTAAGTCAATTCCCACAGGTTGTAACACCTCCCTATGTTTCTAAACCAATTAACGAATACACTTTCGATGGGCACGTTTTAGCTATAATTAGTTTATCCATTGTTGAATGGTGCCAGCACATCGTTCTTGCTCTCTGGGGCGTATGTTGCTTCGGTGCTGATCCACATGGAATGGCTTTGGTGTAGCATCAAGGCCTACCAAGGTCAGAATGCCTTGCAACTACATAAAATACAAATACACCGAAGCCATTTTCTACACGAAACGGTTGAAGGAGCCCCTCCAGATATCTCCTTCAAGCTATAACAAATTGATATAGCAATCGACGTTTTCTATCTCAATATACGAGATCAAGATCTGCGCTCACTGACAGTCCAACTTCTGTGACAATACCGCAAGATCGTTACCCAAATATCTATGGATATTAATATAGCTGCGGTTTCCAACTTCTAAAAAAGAATGAGCAGTGGAATTGAGGCTGGGAACTTCATCAATAGTCTAGCTCTTCAAGATGGTACTCCTATCCCGCGTCTTTATATCTGCCCTCACTGCAACCTGGCGGTCTGTCTCTGCCCATACCTAGAGAGCTGCGATACAGCCAAATGCCGACATGGGCATAATCAGTGTTAAGCTGAACTAACTTAGCAACACCACCGTTATAGCAAATATCGCAAATACGGAAAATCGGGATTTGCGTGTTGTAAAGGCTGTAGACATCTTGGATAATCGACCGACTCGCAAAGTCAATGTCTACCGCGGCAGTAGGATATCTGTTATATAGAGACATTTATGCTTGTTTGAATGCTGACTAGCCTGGACTACAGGTACTCTAATGAATTTCCAAAGAATTAACGTACCCTACGTGGCTTCCCATTTGATGCCGCTAGGCTTCTTGCACTACACGCCTATGAAACGATTGAGACTATATTTGACGTGGCCGGACTGTACAGTCAGTCATCTAGCAGCAAGTTCAACGTTGTAGCGTAAAGCGCATTGGAATATGCAGCATCCAACATGACGGACTCCTTTTCCCGGGCCTCATACAAGTCCAAAACTCTCAGCATTAATGTCCCCAAGTCAGAGGAGAAGTCCCTTCTTCAGAAGCGTGCCAAGTTAGGTGGCTGCAGTGGCGATAAAGCCCAAACAGTAAAGGACAGCATCGTATGCGCCGCAAAAATTGCAAGTGCCGGTGCGGATAGCGCTAAGAAGCCCTCGGATCTCTCCAGGACGTTTTTCAAGACAGACGAAAAATCTGCCCTGAAGCAGGTCTCAAGCCGCTTAGAAGTCATTGCAGAGGAAGCCAAAGCTGTAGCCTCAGGAACGTTTACTACCGCACACCATCGCCATCGTGTGCTGATGGATCGACCGCCTACTCTCAATATGATTGTATTGGCGGCAGCAGTACTCCAACCAATGTCAGAGTCTATAGCTGTTCTGCTTTTTGGTCGGTTCCTAAGGTTACTACTACATGATGGAATCTTGATCAAGCCGCTATCGCTATACATGAATATTTACATGAAATGTGGGCCAATCCTGGAGGTGGTGAACGAGAGACGTATGGATATGCTTCAATTACAAAACTGAGCTCTGAAGCCGCATTGTCCAGGAGAATCGAGAAGCTCGAGTCGGCGACCAAGGCTTAGGTCCGGGATGTACATTTGTAGCGGACCGGAACACCTGCATGTTATCGACTCTAATCGGGGCTTTGAAAGATCGCAGTCCATCACACGCGAGCACTTCCAAGGCGTCCTGCAACGCGTCTCGGGCACTGATGTCGTCGTCGAGGCGCTTCATCAGACTTCGTCATTCACCGATTGCTCGAAGCAAGCCACGGAATATCGCAGAGGACGAATTCTACTGGCCGGTGATAGGGCCCACATCCAACCCCCATTAGGCGCGCAAGGACTGAGTACCGGGATCGGCGATGCGATGAATCTTGGCTGGAAGCCAGCAGCGACGGTCAAGGGGCAGGCCTCCCCGCGGCTACTCGACACCTATCACCAAGAGCGGCATCCAGAGGATGCTGAGGTGCTCGACTGGACTCGTGCTCAGGAGGTCATATTACGCCCGGATTCTCATGGCCGGGCCGTTGCCAATATCATCTAGGACATGATCCATACCGAAGAAGGAACCTCTTATTTCGCCAATCGAGTATGGGGAATTTCTCAGCGCCATGACCTAGGTGACTCCCACCCCTTGTCGGTTGCAGTGCCCCGGATTTCAACTTTGATGACGGGCTGCGACTGGACAGGAAATTAAAGAACGGACGTTTTTTGGTTGTCGACTTCGAGAACAGCTCGTCCCTTGCAAGCTTTGTACAGTCCGTGCGCCCCATAGTCGACTACTGTGGGTCTAATGCAAAGGAGACTCTGGGACTCCGGGCATTGGTGGTGCGTCCAGTTGGGATTGTTGTATGGGTGCTCGAAGGTGAGAGATTTGGCAGGGTTGGAAGCTGCAATATCCCGTTGGTTGAGGCTTAAGTAGTAGAAGTAATATCAAAGTAATCTGCATCATAGGATGATTTGAGTAGATCAATCAATGAATGATGAAGTATACTCCTCTTTTCTCTCCTCTTCGAATCCTTGCTGACAGGAGAGAGAAGAAAATGACATTCATTCACTTAAACCCCAATGATGACAAGTGTTTCACTCTGTTCAAGTCCCTTACTCTTTTAGCTATATTCAATTTTCATAGTAATTTCTTCTGATGTTTTAGAACCTTGGAAGTTAGAATGAAATCCTTACATATTATATATAGCCGTGGGGTGCAACCCTAACATGGATATATATATATCATGAGTGTTACTACCTTCTACTCAACGATATAATAGGATTCAAACCCACAAAAAGAGTTTAAAAGAACTAGAAAAACCACGATAAGCCTCACACACCATTCATGAATTATTTAATTAATTTACTAATATTTTAGAACGGTCTTTTGAAGTGCCAGGAAGCGATATGACTAATGGAGGTTCAACCCACGTTCGCGGAAAGTAAACAAAGTGAAGCTTATGGACATGCCTACTGCAATCACCGCAGACGACCGTACAAAAAATGCATTGGCTATCGACTCAAACTACTATCTATTTTGAAGCCAGATGCACGCCTACTCACTCTACGCACACCTTTGCAGACAAAAACTCGCTACTAGGTGCCACTCTCCCCGCCAGTGTCGTAATCCCCGAATCGCCCAAGAGGTCCGCCGACGAGACGTTGACCCCGACATCCCTCTTGAACCAAGCCTTCAAATCGACAGTCACCAGTGAATCTACGCCATAGGATGCCAGCGACCGTTGTGGGTCAATCTCTTTGGCGGATAACGCCATCACCTTCGCCAACTTCCCTATGATCGCACGCGTAATAAGCTCCGTCGCGTTCTCGACCGACGTGGCCGTCTGCAAAGCTCGGGTAATGGGGAAGTCAGCCCCTTTCTCCTCGGTCTTGGACTCGCTGGCGAGCGCTCGAAGCGGTGAGAAAAGCGGGTAGGCCATGAATCCTGGTAGTGGGATGGACTGTCGAATGAAGTCCCGCGCAGACCGCACACCCGCGACCGTGTGGCATGTACTAGGACTCTGGGCGGCGCCCCAGCTGGGATCCATATGGTATTCGAGGATGGACAGCAACAGGCCCTCGGAGATCGCGCCGTAGGAGAGCGCAATGGGGAGTCGGTCTTGGTTCTCGGCCACCCAGCCGACTGAGAGGACGCTGCCGAGACTGATGGACGTGGCCGGGTAGCCGCGGGATACCAGGTGGGCGGCAAAGGCGTCAAGGAAAGCGTTGGCGGCAGAGTAGTTTGCCTGACCCCGATTTCCGATAATCCCAGCGGACGAGGACAGGAGGACGAGGAATTCCAAGTTGGACTTGACAGAAGACAGAACGGAGGCGATGTTGATAGTCCCTTGGACTTTCGGGGTGATAGCGTTGAGGAACTGGGTATGGGTCATATTGGAGAGCAAGGCATCCTGCTTCCTGTCAGCCTTGTCCCCTTCAAAGCGTGCCTTTTGCGATGGCATGTTTGGGATGTTATGGGTAGTGGAAGGGAAATGAACCTACTTCAAGAACCATAGAACACTGCATGCATCCTTTAATTGGAGGCATCGACAGCTGAGATTGCTCAATAGCTGTTGCAACAGCCTTCCTATCGGTGATATCACATTTAATATCAGACACACTGCAGCCAGCAGCCAGCAGATCAGTACATAGCTGCTTAGCAGGGACACTGTTTGCCCCGGACCGCGACAAGAAGACAAAGTTCCTAGCACCCCGGGTAAGCATCCACCGGGCGACACTTCGCCCGATTCCTCCAAACCCACCGACAAGGAGGTAGGAAGCGCACGGGTCGAAAGTGTGGCTCCCGACGGGCTTCATAGCGACCTTTTCACGGGTTAAACAATTGCGTTCACAAGGATCAGTAAAAAACCCAAGACTTACCGGGATGGCGTCGTTTGCCCGGGGTTCAAGAGCCCAAGGACCAGGACTACCCTGTCGGATATCGGATAGGGTGCTGTGAAGCTGGGAGTATCCGGCGAGCACTGGGGTGATTGGTCGGATGATATGCTGTGACAGAAGCCGGCTGATGGTCCGCATTATCTCATGCAAGGCCTCGGGCTTCGCCTGAGACATAGTCCTAATGTTCACAGTCGAGTAAGATCGATTCGTTGGGCCAGTGGTCCCAGCGTGCAGAATACCTTGGCCATGAAGGTCAACCAGACGGCCGAAAGGCGACAGACAGAAAATGTGCCTGTGTTCGATGCCTTGACGACTGAGGTTGAAGACAACATCCACACCTCGGTTGGCTGTCAGAGTGAAGGTTTTCTCTGCAAATGAGTCAAGATCCAGGATGTGGCTTTGCAAAATGCCATGTTGAGCCAGAGTCTTTCTCTGTGCCTCGCTCGAGACAGTAGCGTAAACCGTTGCACCTAGCATCCGAGCGATTTGGACCGCAGCCTGGCCGATTGCACCGACAGCGTGGTGAATGAGGATGGTGTCGTTGTGTCCTAATCGAACCACATTGACAAGACCGTGGTAAGCGGTAGCAAAAGGTAACGGAAGCGCTGCAGCATCTGATAGTTTGATGTCTTCTGGTGCCTTCGCAGCCGCCGAGTAATGAGTGCGGAAGAACGTCTGGAATGAACCACTATCTCCGGTTCTCAGAGCCATGACCGCATCACCAACCTGTATATCCTGCACTGCGTGTCCTGCCTCTACAACGACACCTGCAGCTTGGCTACAAATGCTCTCCCCTGGAATCAAGCGATTGATTTGCTCTGCATCGTTCTCGTCTAGCCCAACGGCACAGACCTGTATCTTTATTTCATGCGGCAAGAGCGGCTCTCCGGCTAGTTTATCCTCGACAAAATGTAAGCCATTCGGCTGATGAGGTCCGATGGAAGTTAGCTTGACAGGATAATTTATTTCCTGGAGCTTCACGTGCTTGGATCTCGCACGTGAACTCGACTCAATGCACTCGTTGATGCCCGTGGCTGGGAAGAGCCGGTTAGTGAGCAGTATCCCATCTTGAAGGCGGAATTCTGCGTTACGCGGTACTAGCTCGCGAGATAGGTATGCGTTGTCACAGACACGAACGATTTGCGCGACGATAGCTGAAGAACTCGGCATAGGATGGGAGATCCCCATCATAAGGAAGTTGACGCTGTCATGGTCCCTCTCCCAGCGGGCTGTTCGCACGAGTCCACTTGCCATGGCCGATTTTGGTACGCTGTCTGCATCGCATGTAACCCAGAGAAGGTTGCGGAATGAGCCCAGGATGAAGTTGATCTTCTCGTATTCTTGCCTGGAAAGCTCGGACAGATCTAGTGCCTGGAAGCCAAGAAGGACGATCCCAATTGTGTCGATATGCTCCGATGAGACATTAGCTAGGTCGACAAGAGTGGGTGCACCGCTTGATGAGAGGTTATGAGCAACTTGGGATGCTAGCTCATATTGCCCACTGTAGCTCGACGAGTAAATAACACTACAAACACGCTGCATGTTAGGGACCTCTGGCACTCGAGAAGCCACAAAGGCGGACATTTCATTGACCTCGGTGTCAGTATCTTTGATCAGAAGTCGAGTCTGGAGACCTGCATTCTGCAGCTCCTGGTCCCACTGAGGCTCAGTGATCAAAGGATTGGTCTGTCGATAAGGCTCGATACTACGCCACCAACCGGGGAGCAATCCAAAAGCCAGAGGCGAGCACATCAGGTTGGGTTGGGTGTTCTCGATCACAATTAGATCTCCGCCCCTGCAGTAACGTCAGCAATATTGCCTCCTAGAAAGTGCGCACGTACTCTTTGAGCAATCTTTTAATATTGCTTAAGCAAGCGTTTAAATTGGCAGTGGCGTGAAGAACCTGTCATCTTAGCTTCTGTCACTCGGGCGACCGGAGGGAAAGCGTACATGAGTAGCAATGACCAAATCATAAGATCCCATCTCAAACCCCTGTTCAGCGGGATCAAGCTCTATATTCAATACTTTGGGGCGCAAAATATCTGCCCAATCGTGGAAGCGAGTCTGTGCCTTCTCAAAGAACGCGGCCGAAATATCAGTGAAGTGGTACATCGAGACAGCAGAGACCAAGCCTCCTCCATCTTGTCTCGCTGTCGGCTTCAGGCTATCGAGGATGACTTTCGTAGCGCTTCCAGTACCTGCGCCGACCTCGAGGATCTTGATTCCGTTCTCTGCGTGGGCCAGACAATGCAGGTATCCTGCCAGAGCAGGCGCAATCTGGCCTGGGAGGCCCTCTTCGTATGTCCTATCCATGAGGTCATCCGGCCCGAACATGACTTCTAGACAGTCAATCTTCTGCTCCAGTATATGCACTATCTGGGTGCCCACCCGCACGAGAAGTTCTCCTCGTGCACTTTGCTTCGCAACCCTATCAAGCAGATCACGTCTGCGATCAGGGCTGGCGCGAATGCCTTCCAGCAGCGCTTTATCCAGCATGGGGGCCTTGTCGTTTGCGATAGATTCGCACTCCTGCTTCATCCACTTCATGAATGCTTGATGATGGTCTGGTAAAGATGGCAATCCGGTGCGATCTACATACTCCATCGTATCAAGGACAAAGACCGCCGATGCCAGTTGGAATCCTTCGTGCTCATCAAAAGTCGGCAGATGCTGTGCAACGTCAACGGGGGCTGAGTCTCTTAGCGCCTTCACAGACGTGAGAAGCTTCACATCCGGCTTCCACTTCACAACGTAAAAGGACTCCGCGTCAGATGCGTCTTCCTCGCTCGAAGGCAGCTGCACTAGATCGAGACCCTTGATGCCAATGCGCTGACTACCTGTATCAGACATTATGGTGATATCGGACCGCCACGCCGTGGACGAAGTCTGCTGCGTCTTGGCAATGAACTGAAAGCTAGGGGCTGGATTATCAATAGGATTTGATATCAAAACGTCCTCGATATAGTTAGTTACCATTGGGCTTTGCGAGGCTTGGCATAGATGCAACAGGGCGTGCAGCATGCTTTCGAATGTGCACGGATGCAGAACGTATTGATCATGGGCTTGGGCTGGTATGCTGGGGGCCGTGATGGAGGCAGTACAGGCTCTGTGGTCTGCCGAAAGTTTCATCTCTTTAATATTTTTCAAGTATTCGCCAAATTCCATACCTGCGGTGGCAAAGCCGCTATACATTTGAGAGATATCGACAGGATCGGTACACTTGTCCCGCAGCTCAGCAAGTGACTGGGAATTTTCCTGGTGGGTTTCGACTCGAACCGATCCGACACAATGCTCTACCCACACTTTTTCGGTAGTATCATACGAAACAACCCGGAAGGCAGAGTAGTCTGTTGGAGTATTCGCACGCACATCCATCGGGTAGATCGAAAAGAGAATCTCCACCCCCTCAGGGCTATCCGGAATTGGGAGAGGCGCCAACATTGATACATTCCCCAACCTGATGCCTTTGATGGCCTCTGCTGTACCGGCACGTTGCATAGCGGCTTCCATGGCCATCAGCAGATACGCCACGCCAGGAAAGTGAATGTCCCCCTTCATCTGTGACAGTCAGTTAAATCCTTAGCCTCATAAGGAGGGAATCTCACTCTGTTCATGCGCAGCCAAGGGATATCGTCTGGTCTTAGGATATTCCGCCATCGTTGCTCGAAGCAATTGCTGTCTTCGACTGGTACGCCCAGCAATTCATGTCTCTTGTAGGCCGGAAACTTCATGTGTTCAATTCTGCGGGTCTGTCCCCTCACCGACCGCGAGTGATCAAAGGCATAGAAGGGAAGGTTGGTGAGTAGTCGCGGCATTTTCTTAGCTCCAGTACGGCGGTCATTGATGGCAGCCAGGTTGATATCGTAGCCAGAGCAGACAAGCATACCGAAGGTGCGCAGGATAGTCGACCCATCCGTCTCAAAACGTTTCATCAAGCTGCCGTACTGGACAGATTGGAACTCGGGATAGTCCGCGAATGTCTCGCTGATCGCTGTACGAAGCGTGGAGTGCGGCCCAATCTCGATCAGCGCGTCTTCCTGCTTCGTCGCATCTGGACTATCCATGGACGTCAGTAGTGCCCTGGAAAACTGCACCGGCGAAACCAAATTCTTAACCCAGTATGATGCCTTCCCAACCTCGTCAGCTGAAGTAGTTTGTCCTGTCACGGAAGAGACCATGTTGATGCAGGCATCAGTATGGATCTTCTCGCCAAAGTCCAGATCACCTAACAGCTCCAAATACTCATGGGCAACATCCTCCATGTACTGTGAGTGATAGGCTACTTTGACCTGTAATAAGCGACTTAGAGCGCCGGCCTCATCCAATTCCTCTTTAGCCCGTAGAATATCCTCCTGTCTACCTGTCAGGGTATGGTTCTTTGGACTGTTATAGCACCCGATCTTGACTGGAGTAGATTGCCCCTTATTGACATGCGCAACGAGTCTCTCCAATTGGCCGGCGGGCATTGCAGTGGCCAGCATTCGCCCTTTGCCGCCTGTCTGTCTGGAGCATACTTGACCCCGATGGAAGGCTACTTTCCAAGCCGCTTGACGCGAGATCTTGCCCGAACAGTACGCAGCTGCAATCTCACCGGATGAGTGCCCAACTACCGTCTGTGGGATTACCTTCCAGCTGGCTAGGAGATCCACCAAAGCGACCTGTACTGCGACACAAGAGGACTGCGCATAGGTGGGCTCATTTAGATCTCCATGTTGCGAGGTAATGCGTTCTAACTCGTCAGTAAGTCCCTACAAAAGTATAGCGATGTAAGTCATACCAAAGAGATCCCAGGAACTTCCTAGTTCCTTCAGGAATGCAGCCGCCTCTTGAATGCGCCGCCGGAACAACGGATACACCATGAGATCCTCGGCCATGCCCGCCCAGTTGGCACCCTGACCCGTAAAGATAAACCGAACAACCTTGTTCGCGTGAGACCGTCGCACCGGACGTGCGTTTTTCAATGACCCGCGCAGGCTGTCGATGCTATCTGCAACATGGTAGCTGCGCCAATCAAAGTGGGTCCGTTTTTCATTCAGCGTGTGGCACAAATCGTGCAAGAATTCTTCCTCCCCATGAGGGTCTGCTCTACTGCGCAGAGAATCCAGGTGGGACACTAATGATGCAGCATTGCGCTGGATACCAGCCTCGTCAAATGAGGATATCACAAACAACCGGTTCTCGGAGAAAGACTTGGGCACAACATTCGCCATACTCACATTTGTGAGAGACTTTCCGGACAACGTTTTGGACACACTTGGTGTAGGCCAGGTCATTTGTAAGCCCTCATTTAGCTGCTGTCCCAGAAGATCAGTAAAGAATCCTTCTACATCGTCCAAAACAACGTGCGCATTTGTTCCACCAAACCCGAAAGAATTAATTGACGCTCGTCGAATATCGTCCCTCGGCCAGTCCGTTGCCCCTCTCGCAAATCTCACATACTCGTGCTTAGGGATCCTCGGATTCAGGGTCTGTAAACCTGCTACAGGTGGAATAGTCTTTGACTCCACCGCCATAGCTGCAGATATCAATCCCGCGATGCCTGCGCCTCCCTCCAAATGCCCAACAATTGACTTTACAGATCCGATAAATACTGGCGAGTCTCGTGAAACCCCTAATGTGGCGGAAATAGCCTGCACCTCGAGTGGATCTCCCACGGGCGTGCCAGTACCATGAGCCTCAACGTAGCCTGTTCGCGACGGGTCCAGATCTGCAGCTGCGTAAACCTCGCGGATAAGCCGCGCTTGGGCAGTAGGACTAGGGACAGTGATGCCGGGCGTCCGACCATCTTGGTTAGAGCCGGTGCTTCGGACGATGGCTCGAATACGGTTCCCATCCCGAAGCGCTGCACGGAGAGGCTTGACAATTACTGTGCCAAGGCCTTCACCTCGTCCGTATCCGTTTGCGCGTGCATCAAAACTCATACTCCGCCCATCCGGAGAGAGGACTCCCAGGCTGGAGAGGTACATTGTCGGCGCAGGGTGCTCGATGAGATTGATGCCGCTGATAATTGACTGTTACGCAATTAGCCAGTTCTCCAGGTTGCGCATAGGGTAATGGCAGAGAAAGCCCGCATACCATAGTAGACCTTCCGGCCTGAACATCCATGCACCCCTGATGAAAGGCCACCAAACTACTTGAACAAGCCGTATCAATGGTTTGACTCGTTCCTTGGAAGTCGTAAAACCAGCTAATTCGGTTGGCCAGGATGGATGGACTCGTCCCTGTGCCTTTTCCTTTGAGCGCCATGAGCAGGTCGGAATTCGCCAGGGCAAGATGGTCATTATTCGAGCAACCAACGAACACGGATGTGGATGACGAGATTGCCTCATTCAATGGTATGCCAGCTGTAGGTAGTAGTACCGTCAGGACTCTTGCAACCCGGAAGGTAATTGTAATTGTGTATAGGTAGCGTACCATTCTCGAGTGCATGATAAACATTCTCCAGCAGCATCTTCTGTTGGGCATCCATAGCTAGGACATCCATCTCCGAAAGCTGGAAGAACGGCGCATCAAACGCATTGATATCGGAATTCAGGAAGTATCCGCCTTTGGAGTATGTTGTGCCTGTTGCTTCCGAGGAAGGATGATAGTAGAAAAAGGCGTCCATGCGGGTGGACGGCATGGGGCCGTGCATAGACCGCGCAGCCATGACTTGCTCGTAGAGGTCATCGGGTGAGTCAATGCCATTGGCATATTTACATGCGAGGCCGACGATAGCCAGCGGCTCGAATTGGGGACTTAGAGTGAATGTCATAATGTTAGGATTTGAGTTGTTCGCGATCGTTGGTCTAGCATTCCAGCTGCTAGATAGAGGTAATTAAAGACTGTTGGTGGTACTGCAAGGATCAGCTCCACAATGCTTCGATGCGTGTAAACTAGATCTACACGTCATTAAGGACATTTCCACGTCAGCTAAGGGCAGGGGTCCTATATTTATTCTTGATGTTGGCCCCGGTCTACATCCTGACATGTGTGCATACTGAATCTCGTCACGATCTCTATCTAGATCCTCTACTTGCCTGAACAAATTAAGCAATCCCTACTTTCTATTGCAGAAGGCCAAAGATGGACCTTAAACAACGAGCTGAAACGTTCCTCACAGCGATCGTCAACAAGCGCGAAACCGCCTCTATCGAGGATATCCTCCATCCTGACATTCAATTCACGCACAACGACATGCCCCCAATGTCGAAGTCAGCATTCCTTGAGTTCTGGCCGCAGGTGCTCCATCGGAGCCCAAGGTTCAACGTGCAGATACGAGATGTTATTGCGGAAGGACTCCGGGTTTGGGTTTATTCACGTGTGGAAGGACGTTTTGGCGGTGGGGTGCTGGATGATGTGCATATGTTGCTTTTTGATGATCATGGGCTATTGATCAGAAGTAGGGGAATCCAGAGGGAGGTAGAGGGAAAAATGGACGGGAAAGATGCGAAACTAAGCTAGAGGTCTTGAATGTCTACTTGGTGATGGATGTTACTCAGGAGCCAGTGCTATGAATTGTCCCAATAGCTTCACCACGATGTCACTGTCAACTTCATAAGGACCGCAAAATACAGTCTTCTATCTAGGTTGTCAATCATTCCGCATAATAGCCAGTTCACCCAAAGTGTAAGTAAGCACATCTCCTGCATTGAAAGAAAACCCATCCTTTTTCGCCAGTGACGCCAAAGTAAGTGCTTGTAATGAGTCGCCTCCCATATCTGTGAACAGCTCATCCCGCGCAAACTGCCTCGTCTGTCGGAGATCTTTTACTCCTTCGAGCACGTAGTGAATTAAGGATTGAAGAGCCTTCTCATTCTCGCTGAAGTTGCTACCATGGTGCACACTGCCCTTCGGCACATCCTGCTTCTGTGACCCTAAGGTGCCGACGAGAATGTAGGTCTTGTATTGATCGGGGGAAAGGTGTTCTACAAGCCTTCGCAGTTGTGCTCTGTCTGTCTTCTTGGATGCTGAGAGAGGGATCCTCGTGAGAGGGATCCAAACCGTTGGTACCATGAAGGGCGGAAGCCGCGCTTCCATGATTTGTCGGACGTGTCTAAGCTGTACCTGCTGATCGGAGGTAATAGATAGCATAGTACAGTTTCCTTGATAGAGCTCTTGTTCCGTAAAGAACAGGGCCAATGCTGAGTGCTCTCCCCGGCTAACAACTTCAATAACGATATCCCATGGCCAGGTAATGGCACTACGGGCGTGGGATTCAACTTCAGCGAGCTCCAGTCTCTGACCGCGGATCTTCACCTGTGTGTCTTTGCGAGATATATACCGCAGTGACCCATCCATCTGTGGCGCGTACTGAACTATATCTCCTGTTTTGTATACCCTTCCAGGGTGGGCGGCGTCTCCTTCGTATTCTTTCATCCACGCTGGCGGATCAATGAACGCTGCTTTTGTTTGCTCTGTATTTCCAAGATATCCCCGTCCGACGATCGGCCCTTCAAGGACGAGCTCGCCAATCGCGCCAACAGGAGTGAGCTTCGTATGATCATCCCGATCCACAATCCAGGCATTAACTCCCATCGGGAGGCCGATATTCCGCTGGTCTGACGCCACAGTCAGAGTAGTCTGTAACGTAGCTAGAACAGAACATTCTGCCGGCCCGTACGCCTGCATCAAATGGACATAGTGACTCCACTTCTCAATCTCGGTCCTAGAGATCGGTTCACCCATTAGACAGATATTTTTGAGAGTGGGAAAGTCGCTGGGCTCGAGGGATCGCACTACGCTGGGCGTGAGCCATGTCCAATTTGCTTTACGCTCTGCCACAGCATCTGCCAAGGAGGATGTACGCTCCAAGTCGGAGATGATGCAGACGCAGCCACCAGCCATCAGGGTAGTGAGGTGCTCGATGATGCTGGCATCGAAGGCATAGGAGGAGAACTGCAGGACTCTGGCCGACGAGGTAATGGACGCGGGGATTGTGTGCGCTCGTGCTCCAGCACTGTATGACGCATGATCAATAAGCACACCTTTGGGGGTGCCCGTTGAACCAGATGTGAATATGGCATATAATGGGTCGTCGGGATGCACGACAGGCAGTTGGCCAGCCGACGGGATGAAATCCAGATCTGCATTGACAATAATGGTTTCTGGAGCTAATAGCTTCGCAAGGCTGCTGTGCCTTTGCGATGAAAGTAGAGTATACGCACCGATCTGGCCGCAGATTGACTGTAACCGAGCTTCTGGGAAGGTCGAGTCCAATAGCACGAATGCACCACCGGCTTTCATGACCGCCAACAGGGCAACAACCGTCCACTTGGACTTTTCGAATAGAAGCGGCACAAAGACACCTGGCTTGACTCCGTGCAAATGGAGCCTCGCTGCTAGATCCGATGAAAGTTTATCGAGTGCGGCATAGCTCAATGATCCATCCCATGAACAGACTGCCTCTGCCTCTGGGTGCCCAGAGCATTCCTTCTGAATAATCTCATGGACACATGCGTCCGTTGGTTTGTGGACGGTCTGCCATGCTAGCAAAAAAGCTTTGTCTCGTTGACTCAGAAAATTTATATCCTTCAGCTTACAGCATGGAGCCTCATTGACCTGCTGAACGACTTGCGCTAACTGTGCCAGAAGAGTTTCCACGTAGTCACAATGGATCATTATCGGATCAAAGAACGCCTGGATATCAACCAGGCCTGGGCCCAAGACCTCGCAGGACAGAGTTAGCCCGTAACTGAACAGCTCCGGCAACTGTTCATCTTTCATTTCGGCCATCAAGGTCATTTTGCTGTTTCCGTTTGGAGCATGCACAATAAGGAGATTTTCAAATTTGCAGGCCCTTTTCGCGTCTGGACCTAGCCGGGCAATATTCTGGACACCACGCTGCTCGTGTGGGAGAGTCGAAGCCGCATCTTCCTGCAGCGCCTGCAGTGCGTCTTCGACAGAACTATCGGGATCAACGCGGACGCGGAAAGGCACCGTCGCGAGTGTCGGACCGACCAAGCTCTCGATGCCCTCAACAGGTGCGCTGCGGCCTGTGGAGACAGCGCCAAACACGACGTCCGGGTTGGCGGTGTGTTGGGCTAGGAGGAGCGCCCAGGAGAGCCGCAGCTTGGTGGTAGCGGTAAAGTTACTTCGCGATGGGCTCAAGGTGATAGATTTACGAGTTGACCGACTTGGGTTCGGTCGATATGACTCTTGAGGGGGCTTGGGGAATTCAGTGTGGTTAACATCAGAGAGTCGGTCTTTCCAAAATCCGTCGTGCTCTTCAACGGGACGGGAGTAGATATAGGATACGAAGCTCTTAAAGCTCTGTGTTTCCACGGTCTGTCCCCGGTAAGCCTGATCAACCATCTTGAGAAGGAGAGAGGTAGACCAACGGTCAAAAATTGAGTGATGGGCTGTAAGTAGAAGACAAGTTGGTCGGGAGTCCGTCTGGAGCAGGGTGAACCGTGCCAATCGAGATCCCAGACCCATTGGATTCATCATATTCGACTGTCGGTACTCGGCTTCGCTGTTGACAGTGTTCCAGTCCAATGACTCCTTCACAACAACCTGACTGAACCCGTGTCTTCCCAGCTGCACGATACGCGTCCGTAGAATTGGGAGCGCCGTGACGACTGTCTGCCAGGCCTTAAGAAAGCGATCCAATTCGACAGCCGGAGGGATATCGTATGTCAGCTGGAGAACATAAGCCCCTGCCCTTTGTGCCGAAAGAGCCATTAAGCCCTCTTGCAATGATGTACAGGGGTACATATCTTCGATATCGTCGACGTCAACGCCACACAGTCTGGCAGCCTCCGGTTTGAGATCTTCCATAGAAAAGTTCGTCACCAAAAGAGAATTTGGTTCCTCCTCTGCCTGCTCACTTATATAAGCGACCAGCTCTCTCAGAGTCGGATGCTGAAAGACATCCATAACAGTCAGGAAAAGTCCATGCTGCCTAGCAATCGGCACCAACTGAATAGCCAGCACGGAATCCCCTCCAACGTGGAAGAAATTCTCATTCGCGCCAATGCTGTCGACCGGTACGCCTGTCAAATCAGACCACAAACTGCACATAATATGTTCCTTCTTTGACAAGGGGGACTTGGCCAATGTCTCACCAGTCGTGCTGAGCTGAACCAATTCAGCTCTACTCATCGACTCGGCTTGTTCGCGCAGCAACCGTCGATCTGTCTTGTTTGTGCGTGTCAGAGGGATTCGCGATATTGGCACAAATGCACTGGGAATCATGTAACTCGGCAGTGAATTCTCCAGCGCTGATAAAGCGTTGCCAACAACCCGTCGGAAGCTTTCATCAGCACGTTGGATGATGGAGCCATCTAACGGCTGCCGTTCTGGAGAAGACAGCAGAAAGGCAGTCAACAGGTCTACATGATCTACCGTGTGGATAACATCAACAACGGCCTCTGATATGCCACACGCCCGGCGTACATGATGCTCAACATCGTTGAGATTGATCCGATTTCCTCTAATCTTCGCATGCGCTTGCTTCCTCCCCACGAAACTGATTGATCCATCAGAGTTATGGCGCACGAGGTCATTCGTCCGATACAATCTCGTTTCTTCCCCAGGGCGGAATCGCGCCATCCATTTAGGATTCCGGATAAATTGCGCGGCGGTGCGCTCGCCATCGTGGAGATAGCCTTTCGCTAGGAAAGGGCCCTCGATCAACAGCTCGCCCACGGCACCCACAGGAACGAGTCTGTCAGGGCTATCTGGATGACTGATCCATGCTGCTGGGATAATTGGCTTTCCCAGGATCCGTGAGTCACTCGTTGGAGTTAGAGCCGGATTGATTAGACACCAGCCGCAGGTTTCAGTTGTGCCGTAGGATACATTCAACTGGCATCCACGCGCCCATTTGGATACTCTCTCTCGTGGAAGGCTTTCCCCGCCCACGGTGACACTTTTTAGGTCCGGTACATCGTCCGGTTCCAAACCCGCGAGGGATGTTGAGGTCAGCCAACAGAAGGAAGCTCGGAAGTCTCGCAACGCACCGGCGAGGTCGTCTAAGCGTTGCAAGTCTGATGGCATGCACAGGCAGCCCCCAGCGCTCATCGTTCCGAAGATGTCACATAAGCTGACAGTGAAGGTGAACGATGTGAATTGAAATGTCCGCGTCTGTGCAGTGAAGTGGCTCGCAGTTGCGTATGCTGTGATACTCATATAGAGACCAGCATGCTCCAGAACCACCCCTTTAGGATTGCCGGTACTCCCAGACGTCCACATTAGAAATGCTGCGCTTCGAGGTACCGCGCTGAGGCCAGACGGTGCCTCTTGCGGAAACGGGAGATTGATCACTTGAGAAGATGCAATAACCACGGCCACACCATCCCGCTGGAAGAGATATGCATACTTCTCCGTGGCTATGACTACTCTCGCGCCACAAGCTTCTACCATCGACAACAGCCGATCGCGTGGATGTGATGGTTCCAACGGGGAACACGCAGCCCCAGCCTTTAGGATAGCCAGTATAGCGACAACTGCCCAGGCAGACTTTTCCGCACAAAGTGGGACAAACGTCCTCGATACGCCCATGGATGCAAGATGTGTGGCGAGGGACGTCGAGTACATATCTAGTTCTCGATAGGTAAGTCTGCCATCCCAGGCGTCAACAGCAACTCGGTCACCGTTCTCGCGCGCCTGAGTCTTAAGGATGGCATGTAGACAGTCTTCCTGCTGTGCTCGAAGGACGACGTTGAACTTGTAGAGATGCGCTACATTCCGCTCGCTGAGCACGTCAATCCGGCCGATAGGGGTATTTGGGCCCTGGACAGCCTGTAAGATAGTATCAAACGTGCTGGCCACATTGGTGGCTTGTCCGTCACTGAGTAGACATGGACGATATACCAATGAAAGCGAGGAATGTGACCAATCAACCAAGGCTGCAAGTTGAACTCCCTAGTATAGTTAGTGACATGATATGGCCATGTTAAGGGACCTCCATACCTCTGGTATCTGCATTTCCTTCCCGTCGCAAATGCAGACGCCTGTGTTAATTTTTTCAAAATCGACGGCTCCCTCATTCCGCAATTGCAGGTCCTGCCATCCTACCTCATGGTTGATTTCAGTCCTGATCCAAGATTCCCGATCAGAATGCAGGAGACCGAAACTGACGGATTCGTTCTCATCGTACACGAATAGAAGAATACTCCATGCAATACTTAGAAGCCGTGTCCTTGCCTCTTCCTCCCGGGCAATTGACACGGCATGCTTCTCAAAGTCTATAGAAACCCATTTCAATGCATCGTCTTCGACAGGGACTCCGTCTGTGAGGCACGGGAATCGATAATCTGGCCTGGCCACCATTATGGATTTTCACGGGAACGGTATATTCGTGCAAGTGCATTTGGATTAACATCATGGGCCAGTGTTGCGCCTTGTATACCTTCACCTTGCTACAATCGGGTTGGTCCTCGGATTCAGTAAATGTGGGGACGAGGACCCTAGCCTTCTACACATCTTTACACGTCATTACGAATGCGCCTCCCGAGGTTCATTTGGGGTTCTCCACTATTCTGCCTTGCATCTGGACAGCCCTTCCTAAAGAAAAAATGGTCCATTAGCTTTTATCATTTGCGATATCTGATTTATGCTGGCCGCAAGCTGTTTTCGATCCCTCGTGCCTCTACACTGCCATGGTGATCGAGTGTTTTCCAGGTGATGTTAAATATACATACGAAAACCGAGTATCTATTATGCGAGATCATAGCACTTGTTTCTTGAGATATTTGAGTAGCTAGGCAACTATAGCAAGACATTAGTTAGCTGAAATGTTGCTATCTTGATTTATCTTAACTTCGTTAGAAGATGTCTAATGTGCATACAATGTAATAAAGAAACATCCATTGATACTACCTCCCTCCTACTGAAGATTTGGCAAAATATTCTATAGGCTACGCCTCGGTCTTCTCAGCTTTGTCAAGCCCTAGATTGCCTCGCTGAAGCCTAGCTTTCAATCCCTCGTGCACGTCTGTCGCCTTGTAGGCCCTAGCAAGATTATTCATGACTTTTCCAATCTCCTGCTGCTCACGAGTGAGAGCGTCGGGAGCCTTCTCAACCCAGGATGGATCTCTCTTCCCGTTGGTAGGCTGAACAACATTCGTGCTGAACGTGACGGCATCGTACACTTCCTGCTGGGGGATCTTTCCCTGGACGTCCGCAGTACCTTGAATAACTTCAGACGGCTTAATCAGTCGCACGTCATGGGGAAGGAGAATGTATAAACCTACCAGGTCTGATGATCGTAAAGGCATCGTCGAAACCATCCTCGCCCTCCTTGTTAAGAACAGGACTATCTCTGGCACGGATCTGCTTAGTTGCACCAAGCACGACTAGCAAGAATCGCCCATATCGGTTCGCAACACCTTGAGAATGCCACTTCCATGCAGTGCTCTCCTCGCAGTCGCCTCGCAGGGACGCTGCGATAGAGACGGCTGCGGACAATCCCCCGGATAGAGCGAGATGCACCCCCGAAGAGAAGTACGGATCAATAAATGCCCCGGCGTCGCCGACAATACGCAGATGCGGGCTACCGTACGAAGACGCATTGTAGGACCAGTCCGAGGCGTTCTTGATTTCCCCCCCTAGGGTGGCCGGCTCCAGCAACCGGGAGATGCCGCGCGCCCCTTGCACAGACTCGAGGTAGAAGGCACGGCTGGACGTCACATTGGAAAGCTTTTTCTTCTTTGTCGCCATTTCCTGGTTCATGACGACGCCCACGGAGGTAGTGCCATTGTGGAGAGGGATAAACCAGACCCAACCACTACCATCTAGTTGGGTAACATGAATATGTAGATCGCTATGGCGTGAAAGGTATACATACCTTGCAACGCTTCGAAGTACGGTTGTCCTTCTACGGGTGTTCCTACACCATATGGCGTGGCATCACGCCAATAGCCCCAGCTCGCGACATTTTTCAAGTAGGTATTGAACGTGCGGTTCTTGAGGTACTTGGTACTGGTGATACCGGCACGTCCACTTGCATCGACCAGGTAATCAAAGTCAATCGAGCCCGTAAGGCCATCCTTCGCCTTCCAACTGGCCGACACCGGTTTACCTGGGTTTCCACTGTTTGCGTCAGTGCCAGGGAGAAACTCGACGGCTGTAACTTTGACACCATCGAAGGTCTTCGCTCCGGAGATCGCGGCGTGCTTGAACATCAATTCATCGCATTCAGAGCGCACCACGTTCCATGCGAAAGTGTTTGCGCCGGGCTCCAGGATAAAGTCCGTGTCTAGGGGGTATTAGTTTCCATCCTACAAAGAAAGGGAGCATCTCACAAGCTTCTTTCTGGTTGTTTAACTTGAAGGCTGCGCCATTCTACGTTTGTCAGTTTGATGTTCATTCGCAAGATTGTCCATGAGTCACGAACCTTGCGAACAAATCCGTAGTTCACAAATGTGTCATCCAGGTCAATAAATTTGAGAAGGGGTCGGATAGAAGCGACAAGACTCTCTCCAATGTGATATCTATGTCGCATCAGCAACCTGTCTTGGATAGGACTCTTGCACTCACCGAGGAAACGTATCCGCCTCCAACAAGACCGTGTCGATGCCTTCTCGTGCAAGTGCCGAGGCAGCATAAGAGCCCCCTGGTCCACCGCCGATAACCAATACGGTTGCTTTCTGTGGGATCCCCATCTTTTATTCTGTTCGAGCTGCTTTCTTGGCGTAGATTGTGTATCGTACGCGAAATGGTGGATGTCCATCGTAGAGATAAGTACTACGCATGTGCCGAAGGCTTCGAGTGGCCGCCTCCACCGTCCAGAGAAGTATCAATAAATTACGTGTAGATTCACTGACTGACGTGTAGGGTGCCTGGAAGTCTCAGCCCGCCTCCTAATTGTCGTTTGGAGAAATCAGGGCTCGATGATATCACGAGGTTCCGCTCCACTATCGTCAATTAAATTCCGACGGTCTACTGCGTGCCCCTCGCCCTCATAGCCACTACAGCCTACGTTTATGCAGGTGAATTCCTCACTGGTAGGTCTAGTCTAGTCCATCCAGTCATTCTCGGGGATGACCGGCCAAGAACTTGGAACAACCCTGGTTAATAAGAGGAGTATTAAGATCTACAGAATGCTACGGATCCAGAACCCACGAAACCAGCGGGAATACAACTAGGGCGTACTAATTAGACTTTGCCTAACAGGTACTTGCTTGGGATTAGAGCCATAATTCTCTATAAGCAGGACAACAAAAGTACCTGCACATGCATGCCCAGGCCCAAGTGTGGTGATTTGGGAACAAGCCAGGAAATGATATTTTTTCTACACTAGATCCGGATAACTCAAAAATGAGGGCGGATGATTATTCCGTATGTCTCTATGCCGCAATATAATATGTGAAAAATAAACTAGTTAAGCTCTTCAAATGAATTCTGAGAGGTATGTAAGAAGCGGACAAAATGAAACACCCCTGACTATAGTACCCACGCATATAGCAGAGCTTTTGGACTAATAACCAGTCTAGTTTAGAAATATATGTCCGGCCCTTGGATACGTTAGTTTCCTGCACGCCAGAATCAGGTAATTATTACCAATAGATAAACTAAATTAATTTAGTATCTAGACCTTAATGCTAGAAATGGTAAATCCATGCACAACAGATTCCGAAGAGAAGTGGCAGTATATACTGCAATTTGTAATTCTTCTCTGTTTTTGAACTATTGCAGATCGAATAGCGATTCGGCCTGAGGATCGTACAATATACCCTGACCCATGAGCATAGACAAGTCGGCCCCTGAATGGCCGCCGATGAGGAATAATCGGACTACCCTATGGTTAGGCTGTCGATGGGGATCCTTGATCGTTTAGGCGTAGAGCCTTCAGCTATAAATTAGCGAATCGTTACTGGTAGTAGGAGGTCAAGAATTAGTCTCCTATCTGAATAGTATCTATTGCCTAGCATTGATCGTTCTATCTCCTTTGGCCTACATATGCTTTCCTAGTTGACAGGTCTTCTACCCTGAATAGTAGATACCGTTGACACAAATCATGATAGAATAGTATCTCTACACTATATCTAGACTGTCTCTATATCAAGGAATATTGGTTAAATTCGAAATAATCTAAATCGTATTAATAGACATGGGTATGCGGTTATAGCCCACATATAGTCCGCCGTATCCGCGCCGAAAAGTAGTGCAGAGAGAGGGATCAGCATCCCTGTCAAGGAGCTGAAAAAGGGAAGCAAAAAAAAGGAATGAAGGAATGAAGGAAAGAAGGGAAAAAAAGAACTGAACGCAAAGGAAAAGAAAAGAGAACGGTCGGAAATAGTAATATCTATTGCTGCTAGTATTCTACCCGGAATCGAAACCAAGCAGGTATGCAATTTATTTTATCATCATTGTATATAGATGTACAGGCCTTAACTCTAGTCCTGGTGACTGTTGGGAACCATCACTGGGGGCTCCAACGGCTGCCTTTCTAGATGTTGAATCGGATCTACAAAATCTGAGATTCACATTCTCGCTTTCAGAACCACCCGAACCCCCTGACTATCTGGCTTCGGGTGCGGGAGCATCATGTCGCTATGCAATTTGACATCATCGACCGTGGTGTCCCGCAATTCCATGTCGAATTTCCGGAAGAGAGTCGCCACGGCGAGATACAGCTCCGCAAAAGCCAGACTAGACGAGCTGAATCAGTCGAGAGTAGTCAAACGAAATAAACATATGGGGAGAGACTCACTTCATCCCGATACACTGCCGGGACCCCTTGCTGAACGAAACGAGATACTTGTTCAGTCTCTTCCGCTCGTCCGGACTGGACCATCGCTCCGGCAGGAACTCGTGTGACTGTGGGAAAATGGTCTCATCATGATGCATTAGGGCGCAGGACATTCCGACTGGGGTCTGGGTGGATCAGCTTCACACGGTTCCCTTCCAGGGGCAGATAGAAGTGCCTACATTTGGCGGAATGACTATGTCCTTGTACTGCAAAGGATCGATCGGGCTGATCCTCTGGAGGCGATGGGATAGACCGTAGGAGAGTCTAATTGCGTCAGTTCGGTTGTGGAAGCCATTGCAAGTGACTTACCGTAGTCCTTCGTAGATGACCCCAGTCTGGAAATGTCAGTGACGAGCGTTGCCGAACAACAGATTTATGGGGGAAGAGACATACTAAGTAAGGCAGCTGTTCAAGGGTTGCTAAATCCATCACCTCATCTCCAGGGAACCTTTGCTCCAATTCAGTGCGCAGCTTTCGCAGAATCGCTTCGTTATTGAGAATATAGAATGTACACACCGTCATGGTATGTGCGGTGGTCTCGGTCCCAGCGGCTACAATAGTGATATACTCATGTAGTACTCGAGCTTCGGTGATATCCGGCGTCATTGAAGCGCGACGGACCAGATCCTGGAATAACACTGGCTCGCTCGACTGTTTGTCGCTCGCCGCCTTGGCTGCCTGCTCAGGTTGATTCCACATAACGCTGACCTCCTGGGCACATTTCATCCGAAATGCCATCACAGGCAACAGTTTCGGACACACCAGTTTAATGAATCTCGTCCCTGTTCGTGCCAGCAGAGGGAAGAAACCGGGAAGATGGCGCGAGATCATCCCGATCTCCACCAGATTGCGAACGGTCTCGCTCCAAATGGGCACCATGTCGGATGTATCCAGATAGCCGAGGGAGCGATAGCTCGTGTACTCGGTGATTACGTCCGCGGTGAAGCAGTTATACGCAATGTCCACTTTGAGGACCTCCCCAGAGCGCACGTAGGCATTGAGCTGATCGGCTAATTTGTCAAGGTTCTTTTGAATCAGTGATTGCAAGCGCGTAACTCGAGCCTTTGCGAAGTACGGCGCGAGCTCCGCCCGGCGCGGCCGGTGAAGCCGATAGTCGAGCGTTGCGAAGGCCGACTCAGCGACGTCGAAGTGCGTCGTGAACCATGGGTCTTTGTTGCGAGGGGCGTTGAGGGCGTAGAGCGTTTCGTAGTACTCGGGGTCCCGGATGTGGACCTCGCGTGGACTGATCCGAATAATGGGTCCTACCTCTATCAGTGTTGTTCACTATGCAAGGAAAGGACTCGCCAGGCGGACCGTATTTATCATGCAGCTCTGCAATTTTAAACGTGTACCGCCCATGTCTGACTACATCGTAGTAAAACTCGTACAGTCGAGTGCAAGCGGCCAATTTGGGGCCAGGGATATGCGCCAAGGGAGAGAAGAAGAGCTCATAGATCGCCACAGTAACGAGGTAGAGGACCCCCGTGGCCAGTGCCAGCCAGATGGCATCGCCCGGGAAGACAAAATGATCCAAGGTCATAACTACGAAGATATTGAAGCACAGACGCCGCCACTCAGCACTGTGGCAGCTCTCCAAGGTCTCCTTATCTAGGTGCCGGGCGAGCTGTGTTTACTACTGAGACAGGAGGAGCACCATGAATGACGTGTAAAATCTCCCGCTGACGCGTTGAGGGAGAGCTGAACATGCACGATTAGCGCAATGCAGGCAGGCCGTCAAGAATCTGATACTACTGGTCAGCGGTGATTGATTCAATCGCTAAATTTATACCAGTGGTGTCAGTCACAAGATTGTTGGATACTCTATTGGATTCTCATAACCGATTTTCAACCTCGCATATCCAGCCTCGGAGCATAATTCTAGTGCACTCCTTCATGCACGGTTCAATTATCTGTATCCTATGATTGCGTTCGAATGAAATCACCGTCTACTACTAGATCACATGGGCAGCACATTCCCCGATCATAAGTTATTAGTTATTTTGCGGGTCAAGCATGGGCCACGTCTTGGCCTAACACTTTTTAATCAAGCCAGACCCTGGACAATTTACGCATGCTGCATGCGCTAATGCGGCACGTCAGGATGCTGGCAAGTCTTTTCAAATCCAGGAAGCTCAGATTTCAGCTCCCTGAAGATAGCTGCATACTACACGACCTAGTGGACTGGTAGGATGTCTCGCATATAGATTGTGTCTGCGGGTAGTACATTCCCAATTAAGCAGTGGGGACGGTTTGCCCCCAAAGTATTGATATAGTAAAGGATTGGAGACTCACCAAGACCGAGAACTGCGTTTCAAAGCTGTAGTACTGCTACTTTTTTTTTATTCCGTTTCATTTCTTCCTATTTGCCTTCATTGCAATGGATGACACTCTTTTGTCACCAGAGTCGCTGGACTGGGCGAGCTTCTTATCGCAATTGGAATCCCCTTCGACACCAGGGCCGGTTTCTACCCCCAAGGGTCTATTATCAGGGTATGCTGAGAGCTGTCAGTTGCTGTATATTACTGCTAATTACGGTTAGGACGGAGTCATTTCCTGGTACTACAGTGTCCAGCGACCTTGACATACTCGGTGAGACCGGCACCGCACAGTTCGAGCAGCTCGAGCGCATTCTCGGCTCGCAGACTGTTGCCAACCATGTCGACTTTACGGCAGACCCAACCGTCCTGTCAGCGGAGGCGTATAACGTATCCAAGGCCTCGTCAGATGCAGCATCACTCATGGTCGAACCGACAGAGCAACTACCCCCAGTGAGAACCCCTAATGCACAGCAGATTCCGACCAAGGCAGCATTCGAAAAGAGCATCGAGGTAACGCAATTACGGAAAAAGTACCATGAAAAGTATAAGGAACGGAATAGGCTAGCCGCGGGCAGGTCACGGCAGAAGCAGGTGGACCTGATCGAATTGTTGGAAGCAGAGCGGCGCGAAGAAGAGCGACGGCGTAAGGCACTAGAGGAGGAAATTCAACGCATTCAAAAGGAGCTTCTTGCCATGAAGGAGGAGCTGCGGCACCATATCCGAATATCAAATTGCATTAGTATGATGTCCCATGGTGCGCACTTACAGACACTTGGGTTTTTGGCGCACGATATGATGCGGTAGAGTGGTCCGTCCTAGATCTCGCGTAAAGCCTAAGTATCGTCAGGAAGGCTTGAATTTGGTGGGTTATAGCCGTGGACGCCTTCAGTGATTACGAGAATTTGGAAAATATCATACCACCTGTATAGCCTTGATGATTTCAGCCATTACCTACCTTCGGCGGAGACCAACCCACACATGATGCAGCTCCTGCGAGTAGTATTCTATCTCCTTGACCACCTCGAGCCATAGATAACATGCGGGGTCTCACCAACCATACCTTATGAGATAATTCATGAATGAAATTCTTCTTCAATTTACTACTTTTCCTCTATCTCCCTGACCCTTCTCCCTTCTCTTTGCTCTGGTTGGGCCGATATCACCAATAATCATGCTTATGGCGCTCACCACCTGCCAATCTTCTTAGTAGAGGTTATACATCACAGGGGTACTCATCCAATGTCCCAGCCTCCCGACGTTGCATTCGCAGGTTCGCCACCCACTAGAATGGGACCGAGCCTGGGTCCTCCATCCTCAGCCGAGGCCCGATCCAGTAAGTGGAGCATGCTAGCTGCAGCTTCTTTTACTGTTAGTGTAGGATCGCCGCAGGAGGGGCTTCTTGCTAACTCAGGTGTGGACAAATCACTGCCTGCAATGACGACGACCGTTAATGGAACGGTAATGATTCCCCTCAAGTGTTTCCGACGAGCAAAAGTTACAAGCTTCGCTGACCAAGAGATAGGGATCAACGTAACTTATACGTGCCAGGCCGCACTTTAATCTGAGGGCCATGAGATAAGGTCGGCGGTCGTGGTAGTCTCAGCTGTCTGGCCAAGAGGTTTGCTACATCAGTAGCTTTAGCTTCTATTAAGGCGCTATGCCATGATCATTTCATTCCAATGATGACCCTTATTCCCTCTATCCACAGCTATCCTACCACTAACTCCTAAACACTTGTCGGCCGGATCATCCTACTGGCCGGTCCAATCAGGACCGCCAGCCGGAATCCCCAGCCAACAGCTTCTCTGTAAATGTAGAATAGTCTGTCTCTTTCTTTGTTTCCTTTCTCTTCCTACTTCATTTTTGGGATCCTCCAATATATAGTTCTTTTTATTCATACTCCGTTTAATCCTACATATTATGATAGAGCTGGTGTAGCTCACGTGTGTGCGATTGATTGTCTTAAGGTCTAAGTCATTATTATTATTATTATTCCTCCGGCTGTGCACGGCCTTAGGCTGCATGTGGCCTTCTAAGCTAGCCTATCCTGACATAATCAGCTATATACACGTGACCTTCATTCTCTGTGGAAGCGAGTGTATGCTTGTCTTATTGGGTGGCCGGGACGGCAAAACTATCTAAATAACTAGCTTACTAAATGATGACTAAGCGAGATCGAACCAATAGGGCATACGGCGCAGGACGACCGTATGTTCCAACATTTTCCTCTGGTGGTGATTCAGTCATTTTTGTAAAGCCTTCCAGTTTTCTTAATAAATTGAAGTATAGCATTGACTATGTCTATGTTTGGAGCCTATCTATTATTCTGTTCTCTTGTTGCGAGTCTACTATCCCTGGTTTGGTTTGCTGTCCAGAGTCTGGGATAGATTTCTGTATTTTTAATTTATCAGTCATTTTATTTCCTTACGCATACCTTCCTATCAGTAGCAGTGGAAGAGAAAATATTTAATAGCCTCTGGTCCCTGCATACATTTATATGACTTGTTGTTGATTTTACTGACTCAGTGCAGGAATATATTCAATAAAATATGGCCTGTCTAGAGCTGTGCCAGTACTGCTGTTTAGTATCTTGTAAGTTAATTATATAGTCATAGAACATGATTTCCTGGTAGTGGAGAGTTAATCTTCTTAGTATAATTTTCTTCAGCTATCCTTTTGAATTTCTGGGTCCGTGCATGCTGGAGGGATTTGCGATTCCTTCACTAGGTAGAGAATCTTAAATAAGTAACTGTCTAGTTAGGTAGACAGAATAGCCAGTTTTCTCTGGTTATGTATACTGCTGCCTCTTTTATTAATTGTGTACTCTTCTTGTCACTGTCTGTAGAAAGCTATTAAAGCTAAAGCTAAATCCTTATTTTATATAGTTTCTGAAGCAGCTTATCAATTCTGATAATTAGGGCTTGCCTACTTTGATGGTGCAGTATATAAATAGATATTAATACAGTTTAACTATTAGTATATATAGTTATGTCTAGTATTCTTTTCAGGACAGGTAAAGATTCCAAAATCTGTTTAATTATCTCTAGCGCCTCCAGGAGTGCTCTGAGTTAAGCAAAGTATATATTAACATACTGGTAATGGCCAATAGTCTTGGAGTTAGTTCTGACCACTTGATTATTTACTATAGCTATTACACCAATACCAAGCCGCCCATAATGCCCTGACGCATGCGCATGGATTTCAAGTTGGGGATACTGGATTTCCTGTGTGCTGTCTAATTCTGTTTCCTCTATTAAGATAATGATGTTGTCCCATCCTGATCTATAAGAGCTAATTAAAAATGGCTGGGTTACATGTATAATCTCCGGATTAATTGGACAGATCTTGATTAATATAGTGAATAGTAATTTGTGTCTACTATTCTATTGCGCTGCTATCTTCTTGCACTGCCAGAATAGATAGTTTCTTGGAAGAATATGGCCGTTAATCCAATGCTTGATTATCTGTTTTCTAAGCTGGATTTCTAGTAGATCAATACCAGCTTCAGCTTCAGCAATATAGATTACTACTAAGCGGAAGGCTCCTGTAATGGTTTTTACAGCAGCTCTTTAGATAACTTCAAACGGTTTTATAATCCCATATGAAATTTCTGCATTCTTGTTGATTAATGCCCAGACTGATACAGCATACATGATTTTTGGCATCACTAGTAAGCTATACAGCTAGCGTGCAGTTTTAGTGGCCAGCCCATTTAGTCTAGCCAGTGCTTGGGCTGCCTTAATACCTCTCTTTGTGGCCCTTCCGATATGTCCTTTAAACAAGAGTTTTTGATCTAAAATCACCCCCAGGATCTTAGCTGATGGACTCGGGTAAATCACCTGTTGTCCCATCTTGAGCGGCAGGGCAGGGAGTTGTCGTTGGGCCAAGAGACATAACTACTCAGCCAAGGCTGCTAACAAGTCATTGCAACTGGTGTAAAGCAGCTTCGACAGGCCCGCTTGTTCAGGCCACTGCCCTGGTTTTCAGTCACTTAACTTTCGATGAGTGATCTCCAGATATTGAGGCCCCGCCCAAAATCTCTCACTCCAGGTGTCTCCAGGTTTGCTTCTTAAGCATATATCACCGGCATCCAGCTAGAACAATATCACTTTGGCTTCCTCAGCCTCAGATTATCAGTGCGAGCGAGATAGTAGAGATTCTTCTCTCATTCTCTACTAGGACAATACTACTTTGGCTGACTGACCTCGGGTTCTCTATGTGAGAGAGGTAACTGACTTCTATCGCTTTACACACCGACACACGCGTCTGTCCTTTAAAGCTATATAGACAGTCTTGTTAAACCTGCATGACTTGTCAGTCGCTGCCATTATATGCCACACTTTACAGGGAGATGTTTCCTGCTTTATATTACCAGTATTGATCTCTCTCCACTGGCCGACCGTGTCTTGTGAAGGCTGCTGTGGTATTTCTAGATATCCTGCAGAGTGCCATAACAGTCTCTCACTAACCAAACTTATATCCTTGGCTTTATAGGCCTCTCGAATATCTGTGACTATGTCTTAATGAATTCGCCGAGGTTTGTTGCTAGATCACACATCCCTGGCAGAGCAGACAGTCAGCATATTCAATCAAGGCTACCCGTCCGAGCCTTAATGGGGGACTTGTAACTAAACACCTGATATCTCTATACCAGTCTCGCACTATTCACTGCTTAACTGATTATATCCTCTCTCGCCGCGGGACGCCAATTCTAATTATATTTTTAAGCTATTGGATAACACATAATCTCAGAGAGTGTTCAAGCTCAGAGGTATCCTGTCTCCTGCCTAGATAATACCACATTCACTGGGAATACAAGTCCAGTTTCAGTCTTGAGTAGAAGTTAAGTAGATAATTATCAGATGGTTTTTATAACTCGTTTTCCTCTGATATTCACAGTCCATTCATATGTACCTCCTGTATCTCCCGTACAGGGAAGACGATCCCTCTGCACCGTTGCGTCAAGGTAGCTATCGGCACGGCACAATCTGTGTAATTCCTATTCATTTACTCGTAGTTAGGGTATAGTAATAATAATAACAGTGATGCATAAATTTCTCCCAGCGTTGATAACAGAGTGGTTGCCGTTAGAAGAAATATATACATCTTGATCCCGACCGATTCTCATGTCACCGTGGCCACGTGACTGCCTCCCTTGCGGGGAAGAAATAGATATTTGGTGACTATCTCTCCTTATCATATCTTGAGTCGAGATGCCAAAAGCACCACTCCGCAAAGGATTGGGATCTTCCCTGGGAGAGATACCGGTGGAATTTATACAGCTGGATGATCCTACCATCTCCACCGCTAAGAAGGATTATTCCACCTTGACATCTTATAATCTCCTCCCTAAGCGGGAGAGGAGTATGATCGTACCAGGTACATTTCTCCCAGGTCTATGTTCCTTTAGATCTCTAGGCTCACACCTAAAACTGAGGCACCCCATCGATCTGGAAGCTGGCTCCTGCTTGCAAAGTAAAACCCGATTCTGGAAAATACATCCAGGACCCAAATACTCTCGTCTTCCCCAAATGCTCACTCGAGCCTTTATTCCGGGCCATTGCAGTCACCAAGCCCACAATGAACCTGAACGATATTGACCTGATCAGTGACCGGCGGAATCTGCGGCTACTGTTGGCCTTGGTGAGCGGAAACAAGAAACCGTTCCGCATCAATATCGAGGTCGTCGCCTCGACCGTTCTCTTCACTACCTACGCGAACAGTAAAGTCAACTTTGTCCAGAACTTCGAGGGATATGGTCGGGAGTACGAGAAGGCGTCCACATGGACCCCCCGTCACGTCCGAGGGAGTATCACCCATAATCGGGTGGTCCGTTATACCCTGGGAGGCGTGAGAATTATGCTTCGTTTCGAAGTTGATGCGTGTATGCCTGCAAAGCCTTGCAATATGCCCGAATCGAGCAGTATGAAAACGCCGTCCGGCCTCACGGTGGTAAAAGCAGGCAGGTTGGTTGGACCATCCCGGATTGTGGAGATCAAAACGGGACCAGCCCGAAAGGCTCTAGACGTTTCAAAGAATCTATCGCAGATGTGGTTTTCCCAGACGCCAATATTGTGCATGGGGCAATATACCGAGGATGGGGCTTTTTTACCGGCGAGACAAATGAATGCGGAGAGAGAAGGGAAGCTGAGATTGTGGGAGAAGAATAATGAGGACAAGATACGAAGGCTTATCCGGGTGCTTCAGATGATTATGGAGCTCGTGAAACGGGGACCACCCATTTGCGCACTTATCCATGAGGGAGATGGTGTCCTAAGGGTTTATCAGGATATGAATATGGGCAAACGAGGTATTCCAGTGGATCTATTGCCCATGTGGACTATTACTCCAAAGACGACGGAGACACATAAGTAAATGATTGCAGGATATTCTACATGGCTCACTCAGCTCATGCCCAGGATATGTCCTGTGGATCTGGCGCAAAAGCGAATATTATCTGGAGGTTCAGCGCCTCATCACACACGTACATTCTTTCCAGATCTGCCATGACATTGAGAGCCTACATACATCGGGGACTCACAGAGGTACGACTTACATACCGGGAGGGAATCATCTTCAAGTAGGAGTCACGGCCGTAGTCAACATCTATACCGGAGCGATGTATGATGGACCTACGATTTACTACAAAGTGCCACTCGTACATACACCTTTGGTTCGGTTGGGGTAGGAAAATGATATGAAGTTCTTTCCATATGATAGTAAACTCCACAGCAAGCCATATATAACAGGAGATTTCACTGTTCCAGTATGAAGACCGTGTTATCACACATGCAGCCTCATTTGTGACCCCGCCCATTTACCGCGAGCTCATCCAATCAATACGGATGCCTGAACCTCGGTTATGCACGTCTCGCTCTGACCTCTGTTGGACAAAAATAGGATAAAACATCATAAGATCAAGAGGTGCGCATGAAAGTAACCGAAACGTAACTTATCACCTCTCCTCGCGACGCGTTTATTCTGTCGTAGACTATGGCGATCAGTTCTTCGAATTCGATCATCGCTCTCGCCGGCTTTAGCGGCGTGACCGCGCATGTATTTCTGTATCGCCACGGAGAATGGGACCTTAAGGGGCCGACGCTGGTGATCTCATACATCATTCTACTACTTGGTGCCATGGTTGTAGAGCAAACGGAGAGAGCGTCTGGTCTTGAACTGGGCTTGCCACGCCACTGGGCCCCCCAGGTAGTAGGATATCATATTCTGGGTATCTACGGGAGCATGCTCTTGTACAGAGCCTTTCTACACCGACTGGGAGGATTTCCGGGGCCAGTCCTTGCAAGATTGTCAAACTTTTACGTTTCTGCGTTATCCGCTCGAAGGTTTCATCTTTACGAGGAGACCCAGAGGCTCCATAAGCTGTACGGGGATTATGTGCGCTTAGGTGAGATGTGGCTTTCTCCCTCAATGGCTTCTGTCGTGTCTTGGCAATGTGAACTGATCGAATGGCCTGGATTGCTAGGGCCCACGGAGTTGTCCATTGCCGATCCCAACGCAGTCAATGCAATCTACAGTTCTCAGGCGAAGGTTTCGAAAGGCCCATGGTATACCGTGCTGGAACCACGAGTCTCTGTCCAAATGGTCCGGGACAAGGTGGAGCATGCGCGGCGGAGAAAGGTCTGGGACCAAGGTTTTAGCTCGCGAGGTATGAAGTCCACGTCAATTTGGGTAGGATATGGAAATCCAGTTCTGATAATGCTAGCCCTGCGTAACTACGAGCCGCGCGTTACCCACTACACGAACCAACTTATTCATGCCATTGAGCAGCGTCTGGAGAGCCCAATAGATGTCTCCCGGTGGTTTAACTATTATAGCTTTGACGTGATGGGCGATTTATCGTTTGGAAAGTCCTTCAACATGTTGATAGATGGAAAGGATGCTTATATTTTGAAGCAATTACATACTGACATGAAAGGTATTGGCCTTTTCAGTCATCTAACCTGGCTGTTCCCATTCTTCAAAAGAATTCCTGTGCTCAATGCCGATTACCTGAAATTTTGGAATTGGGTGGAAGGACGAGTGAAGGAGAGAATTCAGGTCAGCTAGTCCTTTCTCCATCACCGACGGAAGGCCAGCTTATGGGGTAACGAACTACAGGAATGTCCGGACCGTCTCGATGTGTTTTCCTGGCTTCTGGACGCGTATAAGCGGGGCCGCAAGACTAAGCAAGATACTCTTGACCTTCACGGCGACGCCTACCTAATTATTGTTGCTGGCAGGTACAGTGAACACTTGGACACTCTGTAGACTGTCAACTCCCCCTTGGTGTTGTAGGTGCCCAGAACATACTGATTCAATTCAAACAGTGACACTACCGCTGCAACCCTGACCAATGTCATGTTTCATCTGGCTGCGGACCGCAAGTTGTATCGAGCCCTCCAGGCGGAGCTCGATGCCTTGCCTGACCTTGCCTATGAGAAACTCCAGGGTGTGAGGTTACTCGATGCAGTGATAAATGAGACCCTCCGGCTGCATCCTGCTGTACCATCAGGCACGCAGCGCATGACTCCCCCAGAAGGCATGACTATCGGCAACACGTATATCCCAGGAGACGTCATGGTGTGCATCCCGCTACACACGCTCTTTAGAGGTAGGAAAAACATGTTATCTATTCTCTTGGACGGGACTACCTATCGCACGGAGTTAACAGTTACCAGATGAACGTGTCTTCGGCCACCCAGAGGATTTTATCCCTGAAAGATGGACTACTCAACCTGAACTAGTCAAAGATCCATCCGTATTCATTCCTTTCAACGGTGGTACGTTCCTAGCATTGGCCTACCCCTTCTCGGTCGCATCCTGCACACAGATAGATCAAACGTATAGGATTTCAGTTGCTAATCACGTTGGAAACTAGGCACGTATGCGTGTGTTGGAAAGCAGCTTGCCCTGATGGAGCTCCGTCGCGTGGTTGCTGAGATCCTCACGAGGTATGATGTCTCATTCGCACCCAATCAAACTGCGTCTGCCTTTACGGATGGAAAGGTCGATACATTTACGCTGGTCACAGCGCCACTGAAGCTGTTGTTCCAAAGGAGGGAAGATGGTAGGCCGTACAATGTCACAGACCAACCAAGTAGTTGATCTGGCCGCATGTAGCTTGGAGGCATTTGGGCAGAGATTGTCATACTTCGTGTAGAACTCGTTTGTTCGTCATATTGTGTATGATGCGATTGAAAGGCACCAAGCCTACTACTCCCTCTACGTGGCGCTGATTTGGTGAATTAAAGCGGAAAAAGGCAGGGGAGATTAATTCTATGTACTTTGTAATACGCTACGCCAAGAGGCTCAGAGATGAACAAGTCTCTTCTAGCTCCGGCCATTTGTTACAAACAGAAAATATCTTGAGAATCTGGCGGTTGTGTCAAAGCTATAATGGTTCCTTCTGTTCTGGAAAAAACAAATGGACCAAGGTAAACCAGGTGTAGTCACTTGACGTATTATCAACCTTGCTATCTTTACATCTGTACACACCACTTTGTGCTAGACACCTACACAAATGGGACTTCGGCCCAGGCTGATTAGATACTGGAATGGCAGTCTAAGCTTTGAGGCCGGCAACAAGCTTGTCACCAATCGACTTAATGCTGTCCTCGAAGTCCTCGGTCTTCTTAGCCTTCCAGTTGGCCTTCTTGCCAGGCACGGCGTCCTTGCCCTTGAATCCAATGTAGAGAACGTCGTTGCCGTCGTGGCCATGATCACCATCGGGATGCTCCTCGGGAAAGCAGAGCTCAGCTAGGGAGAGGGAGGCCTCACCCGTGGAAGTACCACCGTTGGTATCACCCCAGATACCGTAGTGCTAATGATGCCCCGTTAGCCAGGACCGTATCGGACGCAGAGGAATGCACATACCAGCTTGCCGTTACACACAATAGCCATGACACTCAAAGGCTCCATTCCGTGTTTCTGGGGATTGAACTTCGGGGAGTCGCCCTCATTCCCGAACACGACGTAGGGGTGGAGGTTGGCGTCCAGGTCGGAAATTCCGAAGTCCTTCACGTCATCCTTGAAAGCGGTTTCGCCCCGGCCGGACGGGTCATTGGAGCATTTGCCAGCAGAGTTGTTGGCTCCGTCGCAGTCGACATCCATGTTGGTATACTGCCCACCGTTCCGAGATGAATGCATGAAAATAGCCCCTGAGATGTCGTTGCAGTACTCAAAGGAGTTGCCATCGCTATGGTCACCATTAGTAAAACCCTTCTGCAGCACATCAGAGCATTTTCCCTAAGACAATGACGAGTATTAGGTCAGAATATTTGCAAGATGGGATGACAAGAGAAGAACGGGTGCGTACCTTGTGCTTCTCGTAGATCTGCTTCAAGTTGTCAGGAAGGTCATATGCGGTGGCACCAGTGACCAGAGCAACAGCAAGTATCTCAGACAGACGCATTATGTAACTGTGAGCAGGGTATAAAAGAGTATACACCTATAATTTTAGAATGATGCTTGTTGGTTTCCCAGTTTCTGACGGACAGTCGCGATCTTTTATATCTCGGTGGAATCCCTCTCAATCATACGCTACCTCTGGCCTGATAGACGTCGCATTTAGTGCAAAAGCGTTGCCCCCAAACTGATCGACATATTTTCGGAGAATGTAACCTTATTTTCAGGGGTAGAAAGTACCTCTCAGTCCTGAAGTAGTAGTTCTTCCGTGGTCATGGCTGACAATGCGTCTATGTCACCCACCTACGGCCCTCAACCTATAGCCCAGGGCTCGCACGGGCTGCATAACGTCTAGTATACCGAAAACAGAAGACAGCCTTGAAGAATCCTCGTTCGCTTAGAACAACTTAGGAGCTGCTTAGGCACAACGGATACCCCGGGTAACCCGGATCTGCAACCAGCCCGGTCTCAATACATCAATGACCCAGATCAATCGCCCCTGGACGATGTAACCTTAGATAGTGCGAGACGTCAACCTCCGAGGCAAGTTCATCTCAGCGCTGATTTCTCTGGGATAGATGACGGGGTACAAATCGCTATCACGTTCATCCTGGATTCAGCAATGTAATACCTCTAGGAATTCCGTTCGCCGAGTTGCGGACGTCCTCGAACTAAAGGGATCCAGACGGTAACCTATACGCATTATCCCTTTGTTGCGATACCTGTTGTGGCAAGGCGCATGATACCCCTTTCCACTGGGTAAGTCTACCTCTGTTGCCTGCAGTAGAGTTTGAATCTGTGAATATCCCTTCTTCTTCTGGGGAGTTGTATTCCTATACGCGATTCTAAAACAACGGATCGAGTGAGATCGACAACGACAGTCCGTCGGCTGCTGCCGATGCTTCGGTTGGCCGCCGATAGGGTTGGCGGCAGCTTGCCGATCTCTTCGGCTTTGCCGACACAGCAGTCGAGAAACATGGAACGACTGACTCACGGAGTTGTAGGTGTATTTGGTTTGACACGGGGAACATTATCGGACGGAGTGCTCGCTGGTGAAGAATTATGGCAGAAAAGTCATTGTACGTAAACGGAGCATCAGTCAACCGGAATGGCACTCTCGTCCACTGCTTACTACCTGAATCTCACGATGCTAATCAGGAGCTGGTAGTACTACATCCTTTGATAGAAAGTTGCTGACTCATAGAGAGATTACTGTAGGGAATATGGTAAGACTAGTGTAGTAAAGTAGGCAGAGTATGGTGTCTATCGACATCATTACTCTCGTCACCCAGGAGGTCATGTCTTTTTCGTTGCTTTTCTGACACTACCTTTCTTCGACGTTCGTTCCGCCGTTTTACTTTTAGATAATATAGTCGACTTTGCCTTCAGAGATGTACCCGGCGTCTTACCATCCGCGAGCATTCGTACGAGCGTCTCAATACGTTTCTCACGGCGCTGTGGAGCCGCCCACTGCAGTTGAACTAATAGGGAATACCGATCCGACCGGTTCAAACTTTCGAAGAAAGCGGCCGCTGGGGGTTTGCTCGCCAGCGCGGTTGCCAGATCATCCGGCACGGTGATACTAGCCGGACCATCGTATGCCCGCCCCCAGCGTCCATCGGCCTTTGCCGCTTCGACGACGGCTAACCCGGCTGGTCGCATGCGGCCCGCTTTCACCAGCGATTCAACAGTCATGACGTTTTTCTTGGACCAGATGCTCTTCGCACGTCGCGGTGTATATCGTACCAGCCACCAGTCCTCGTCGTACGCGTTCGCCCGACCGTCAATCCATCCGAAACACAACGCTGTCTCCACGGCCTCATCGCGAGAGACTGACGCGATCCCCGAGTTCTTCTTAGCTAGCTTCAAGTAGATCCCCGGGGCAGTCAAATGCTCCCGCTCAAGGAAGTGCTCGAACTCTTTGGCTGACCTAAAGGGGTGAATTGGGAGATCTGATGGTTCTGCTTTTGGCTTGGCTTTGGGGGGCATTGCCAGCGCGGTATACCCCTTCTGGGCTGTCGAGTGAATTATCCTGTGGGGGTATTTCTGCCAAACTATGCGTGTAACTGCAGAGAGCTGTTTGAGCAGGTGCATTGAGTGACGGGGTTTATCTGTAGTCGCGTCTGTAGTAGTCATGGATGGACGATAAAGCCAATTGTTGACATCGTGGTCGATCACCTGACATGCCCTCTGGGTCAGCTGATCTGTTCATCCTGACCGAGTCTCCTGTGGCGCAACCGTGGTGTGGCTGGTTAACCCTTTTATTTCCCGAATGAAAAGAAATACATATTTGCACAGGAGAGCACTCCAGAACTTCATATAAGTTCTCAATTTTGTCAGTATTCACCCTAATATCACGACAACCAGATGGTGGCACTGGCCAATAGGAACGCCTGGAATTATCTAGAAACTGCGTAGTGGTTGGATCGATGGAATACATTCCCCAGTATATATTTATATAAATCTTCCCCGAATACTTCAACAAGCAAACTACATTGGGCTTGGAATACTTTCTTTGGATGCCCAAGATGCGCGCCTAACGCTCTTGGCCAAGGCATCAGGGCAACTACACAAACAAACGGACAAGATCATTCACTTTCTTCACAAGACAGGTGCTAAGCAACTCTCGGGTCACGCGGGAGTGACCGCCGGCTATCTACTCTTGGATACTGGTCCAGCGCTCTATGAGATACAGACTACCGAGACGCCACACAAGCTCTTCGCCCTGGTATAGTACAATGTGGTCAATGTATAGATACTACAAGCACTGATTATAATATGCAGTCGACCAAGACAAACATGACCGTCATCGAGACGGCCAAAGCTCACGGGGTGCAGAGCTACATCTTCGCTCCGGGTCTGACATACGGGAAAGGTGAGGGTTTCGGAAACAAGACTTCTGTTCACGACCTAGACATTGTCAGGCCCGTAAAGGGGCTTCGACGGTTATGTAAGGCTGATAATGATGACCCGGAATGACTCTGTTCATCGCCACCTCCCCTGTACACATGCGCTGACGGCCCTACACAGTTCACCAGTGTGCCACATCGCGGATACCGCGGAATTGTACCCACAGCTCCTGCGGAAGCTTGTCTCTGATGATGAGCTCGGCTATGATGAACACGGTTTCTTCCTAGCATCATCGGGCCACCCGCCGCGAACTACTGTTTATAGTGCAATGGCTAAGAGCCTTGCGGGAAAGTCGATGGTGCCAAGGCTATACAAGCAGAGGACACCATTTTGGCTGATGGACATCCCGGCAATTTGAGAAGGAATCTGTATCTCAAAATAGATGCTGCCTGGCTGGCAGGGATGATCAAGTGCCCGCGGCCCTTTTTTTCCTCTGGCCAAAATTGTTCAAGAGCCTTTGAGTTAGCTGTGCAATGGCCGACCTATACCGCCTACTGGCACGATACATTGGGAAAATATGAGATCAATAATATATTTCCTCAACGCTATTGTGAAACTGCTGCCTGTGTTGACGGGCGAACTCTTGTGTACGGGCAGAGAGCATACCTCTGCCTCGCACGGAGCGAGAACTTCCTCTCTCGACAAGGCAAGCTTTTGCTGATGTCAGAAGCCGGTAAGATTGCTGGTGTGGTTATTGTGCCATCGTATTATGAAGCAACGCTTCGTGACGGCAATGTTGAACTCGTGGCCTTATCCATAGGTGATACCGATGGCCTCAACCTGAGACACGAATTGTATGATTTCGCACAGTTGATGGGTATGAGTGTGGATGAGTTCATGGAAGATGTTCTTTTCTATGATGCAAAGGGCGATCCGTTCCACCCCGAGAAACAACACATTTTTGGCAAAGCGTGAATGTATGATCATATTAAATGTCATGCTGATTGGAAGAGATCCAGATAGCAACATGGCTCGCAGGTTAGGGCTGGGATACGCATTCCTAAAAAGATGGGTCGAGGCAAAGCCAGAATTTTAAACACTTATTCTTGAATAGCTGTAAAATGTACATACTGATCATCCTTCTCTATCGATGATGTTACATCGATGCATGGCTCTCCGATGCTGCGACCTATGGGTATGCCGCTTTATCCAATTCTGCAGCATGGGATGTAGTTTGGGGAAGCCAAAGCCCAACCCGACAGGAATGGAAGATGGCAATACATTGGAGCTACACGCCCCTCGGTGTTGCAAATATTTCACTAGTATATTTTCAGCACAACCTTTACAGCGACGAACAGAACAAATGATGCGCCGCTTATGCAAGGCAATCACTTTGTTGCCCCGGTAAAGGAGCTTAGAAGATCAACAGAAGTACACCACGGCCATTTTCGGTTCTAGATTAGATCCACATAAGAAGTGGGTATTTTCAGGCCGTCAATGTTACCCGTTGTGGTGAAATAAGACAGCCTAGGGCCTTCAACCTCACCTATCGCCTTCTGTGGGTGGAGCTGAATTGAGTACCTTTGCATGCCAGGCTGAGTAAATCGACACTGACCGGCACCAAAACGGATCTCTTGCCAAACTGAACCTCGAATTATCTCGCCAGAGACAGCCGAATGAGAATGTCTGGGCGCCAAGGCTTTCAAAAGAAACCCTCATCGGTTTCCAGACTTATAGAATATCCTTTCGACCCAAACGACATGGAAAGTGCCTTTAATCTTCGCCAACAGGGTAGACCAAAAGTATATATCCACACAATTAGACTTGCTGAACAGCTTCTCAAGTATGACTGCCCACGAGATATTAAAATCCTACTGAATAAGCCGACAGTTGCCGAAGCGGATATAGAGGGAAACCCCTGGATTAGAAAGAGCCAATACTAGCCTAGAGTAGTCAGGATACTGGATGCATTACAGATCCTGTAATCATGCCACATTACGAAGGCTAGGATCCAGGATCGCGCCTTACCCACAATTATGAAACATGCAACGCCCTTGTAGAAAAGCCAAAAGAAAAGTCAGGAATGGTTTTTTTTTGTCAGAATTGTACTCTTTACCTGGTGGATCTGCACTACATAAATAGAGCCTCTTTTAGACTAATGGTCCAATTATAGCTATAGAGGGATATCTGGGGTCGATGAAACCGTTGGACGTCTCCTCCCTCCGGCAAACAGGAACGGATCGGAAACATATTCCGAAGGGTTGAAAGCCCAATGCAAGCGATCCACAAGATATACAGAAATCAATAATCGTTTACAACAAAGGCAGAATATCGTTTTCACTATGCTTGTATACAGGTGGTTGGACGTATGTGCGTATGATGTTGAAAGCATGTTATATGGAGTTCATTATTAGTCCAGCCCTGGCGGTACACGATTCAAGCTTGCAAGACTAGGCTCTTCTAGAGTCCGTCGGCCGAACTCGGTGATTAGCACAGTAGAGAAGAAGGCTAGCGAACCTATCCTAGGCTTTATGCAGAATATACGGGTAGAGATAAGATTGCATAGAGTTATTCCACGGGGTTCTAGAAGGCGAGGATGAAACCTAAGAGCGCGAGAGTGGCTGAGCAATATGGGAACATGTGGGAATGATGTTCTGGGTTTAATTTTTTTAAGAGCCGTCCTTGATTTGGCCTAATAACATAGCATTGAAGCTTTGGAGGCTCATATACCGACACTTTGTACGTAAAGGGGTGGCTTGGCAGGAGGGCTCATCCTAATCGCCAAGACAGTCATGAAAGGATTTGAGGTTACAGAACCCGAGGATGACAAGGACACCCAGATAACGTGGACAGAGACAACGGATGAAGCTGAATCATCCCCTCAATTAAACTCACTTACACCCAAGCGATGTTCACAGAGACCACGAAAACGTTTCTATGCCGATATACTTGCACTAGCAAAAGGAGTAGAGGATGTATGCTTGTCTGCTTTCTGCCATCACCCGTTCATGTTATCCGCTACCCTTTTCTATCCACTCAGCCCTATCCCTTTTCATATCAAAATTGAATACATCACACCTTAAAATATACCTCTACCCTTCCCCTTCGTCTTTTCAGGGCCTGCAGCGTGAGTCAGCGCGCGTTTCCAGCAAATAACCTAGCGTCTCTTGGCAATAGGGCTACGAAACAGTATGTAAGCCCGGGCGCCAATTTTGAACTTCAGTGTATACATTTTTGGTACAGACAGGCCTGAAACCTCCGTCCACCTTGAAGGAAACCGTCTCTTTTCGAACCCTAATCAGCTCCGCATTCGGTTAGCCTTAAACCTCTCACCCTAACAATATCTAATCTTAAGCCGCCCCTACAGCTATAAATATATTTAAACTTCCGGGATTAGGGTCTGAAAATCGATATCGACTCGAATGTACAACTGATCGGACATTTCTGGTGCGTCTTTAACTCTTGTTGGACGTAGGTATTACGGCACGTACTAGGCTATAGATTGCAACTTGACTATCAGAATGTAGCGGCGGTCGCGTATGAGGCGGCTTAGTATTATACTTAAGCACACTCGATGTTTCAGTGTGGGTGTGGAGATACTATAACACCGGATGGTGAATTACCATCGGGATGTTAAATTATCTATAGGCCGGAACGCCTTCCATGAGGCAATGGTTGGAACTGCTCTTCGCCGTTTAACTTGGGTAGTGCCACTGTGGATCGCTCTCGGACGAATATTTTGGAGTTGGTGGAATGATTACGTGCTGTAGATTCGAGGTCAACGGATTGTTCGGTACGCATATAGGCTACTCAATGCATCTGGATAGTGTTTTATAAAACGTGAACTAAAAGGAATCTGCCTATTGGGAACGGTACTGCAGTGGCAAGTGGTGCCAAAACAGTGAGGATAATGAAGGACCACAATTTCGTAACGATGCGTCACTAATGATACCGTGTTGATATAGATGAACCCTATTGAATCAACACTATTGAATGTATACTTAGGGGGGCTGGTTGATCGTACCCTTATATCTTTTTTAATGATGCTTGAAACTTTATCACTCTGTTAGACTGGAAATTATGTTTCAGAGTGGATAAGACTGATACTAAATATATTGATCATAGATGTGCTCTGCGCCGGTATAGGTGTACAGTTCCTATATTGTGAGGAAAAGATTGAAACCTTTTAGTAAATCTCATCCACGATGAAATATCCTTAGTCTAACGATCATATACCACCTCGCCAAGATTTGATGAGTGACCCGTACTGATATCTCCAAGTGCACTGGTGAAATGAGCGTGTTTCAGTTTTACGGTTCCTAGGAAAAGCATGAATAATCGCGTTAAAAATCAGACCTTTGTAATACCCACCATGACGCCGAGAACACTACCAATAGTAAAACCAACTAATTAGTCTTTACCAAGTTCCCTTTTCTTCCTAGTAAGATAAATAAGCCCGGTTTACTTGCCTGGCGTAGAGGCATTCTATAGACAAAGTAATTTCCAGCAAATAATGCAGCCAACCAGCTAACTAGTAGTGGAGCTTAGCAACATTTTAAATTGCTTTTAATAATTAAATTATACACCAGCAATATTCTCTTCTGCCAAGGAGTTTAGATACTTCCGCAGAGAGTCTAGATCATACTTTTTTAAGTAGAAGGGACAGCGTCAATATTACTGAGAACAGGATAATTACATAAAGTGACGATAAAAAGGTGAACCACGGGATTGGCACCACAACATAGAAGTACAGTAGCAGGTATATAAATAGGATTTAGTAGATGCTTCCGGGCCGGTTTTTCAAATCATACAAAACAGCTGTCCCCAACGTCTTTTCTGTAAAGGGAGCAGCAGCTCTGAATTTCTTTATAATCATGGCGTCATACATATTTATTTTCATAGCTACTTTGCTACCCTCATTTGCTGCTTCACAGCAAGATTCTATACCAGGACACCTCGCATACGTTGAGTGGAACATGCCTAATGTGCCCGCCCATGGTTTGAGAGACATCACATTTCCTATATCAGTGAAAGATGCTATCCACGAAGAAGGCTGGTACTTTGCACAGGATTTTCAATTTATTGGTACTTCTGATGTCGGGTACACAGGATTGCAGCCACGTCCGGATGTAGGATCTGAAACCTTTATCCACGCTGTGTTTTCGAGCTTTGTCAATGGCACCATCTCCCAGGACGCCAACTGCCATGATGGGGCTGATGGTGGCCCTGGTGTTAGCTGCGCTGTCGATTTACCCGGCAACTACTCAAACATGTATCACCTCCGAGTTCAAAATACGCGAGACACAACTTGGAATGGCACGTTGATCGATACTGTTACTGGCGTCGAGACACACATCGGGTCATATACACTACCAAAAGGCTCACTGGGTGTTCAGGGGAACCAGGTTGGGTTTGTTGAGTGGTGGCCTTTCAATAATGGGTTGCCTGCGACCTGTGACTCGCTTAGTCAAACTTCAGTGGTTTTTGGAGTACCCACAACTTCAACCAAAGGTGTCGGGCCTGGAGAATTGAAGAACGCATACGAGGTGTATGATTGTGCGGGCAAGCAAGACTTTAAGTCACAGAGGCTGTCGGATGGCGTTGAGGTCAAAGTTGGGTTTAAAAAGAGTCAGCCTTTATCAGAAACAATTTTCACCGTACCCTGGACCGTATCCAACGTGTCGACAGCTGGCCTTTCGGAACTTTCATTCCCTATTACAGTTAAGAAAACTGACAGTGATGGAATGTATAAATTGTCGCAATCATTTAATTTTGGCAATCTTTCTTACGGCGGGTCCCTGGTGTTCCAACCTTCCTCATTCAATGGAAGATCCAACTTTGACTATCTCCACGCAGAGTTCCATAGTTTTGTTATTGGTACTACGACAAATGACAAAAATTGCAGGCCTTACAATCATGGGTTATTGACTCGCTGCTCTGTTCTTTTCAGGGGGAATTCTTCTCACCCCTACCACTTGACAGTCCACAATAGTGGAGGTACAACTTGGGTCGGCACTGTGACTGACATTACCTCTGGCAGAAAGATTCATATTGGGTCTTACAAACTCCCTCCAGGAGGGGGTGGTATTACCGGTTTCCAAAATGGGTATGTAAAATTTGACATAGAGAACTTTCAACGACCCACTACTAGTAACTGCAGCTCAATGGCCAATATGTCGGTCGTCTTTGGGAAGCCCATTACATCGGTTGATTCGGCTGTTTCATCAGACCTTGGAGATGTACAAAGCTCCAGTGATTGCGCTCAATACGGCAGCAGAAAGGACATCGATGGAGTAGAGGTATACATCCATTCCGGGAATATTAGTGATGAAGGAAAAGTGAGTTACTACAGACTGCCCCTACTAGTCTACAGGAACTGACGCTGGTCTAGAACCAGGACACACCCCAAGAAAGCCCCAGCCCTGTTCAGCCAGCCCAGGCTGCGGCATAAACAAAGTTGCCGCCATCCGCTGCTGGGGGCAGACCTGGTGATGGACCGTGCCCTAAGCGCCAAGGCTTACGAGGGTCAGATGACCTACCGACCTACAATAGTGTGGGAATTAGGACGGAACGTTTAGTTTTTTTTTTTCTTATCCAGCATCAATTTAATGTCCGACACAGCGGCCTTCATATACATCTATGCAGTCAAACTAATAAAGAATCCTGGAATATAGATAAGATAGAGATTTAGTTTAAATACTTTATTTTCTAGTCTATTACTAAACACTGACCTACTTATAGCTAGTCTTATATCTACAAAATGATTTGAATATTTCTAGTTCTTTATATATATATATATATCTATTATTCTTATCACAGATAAAATAGCGATTCGGCCTGATGACCGTATAGGATACTCTGACCTAGTCACCTAGGTACATGGACAATCGGCTACTGATGAGGAACTTCAGGCCATACAACGATTTGGCTTTCAATGGGAATTCTGAATCTTTTAGGCGTAGAGTCTTCAGCTATATATTAGCGAATCGTTAGTAGCACTAGGAGGTCAAGAATCAGTCTCCTGTCTGAATAGTATCTACTGCCTGCCTTTGATCTTCCTCTCTCCTTTGGCCTACGTCTCCTTACCTAGTTGAAAGGTCTTCTACCCTCAATAGTACTAGATACCCTTGACAATTATATTTGGATAAGGGAACAGTTCTATCATTATTATTTTAATATCCTATATCTCTTTATTATAGCTTAGATATAATACTTTATATCTTTGTGAAACGCTTACTTACGTGGCTGTTATATAGCTGGCTAATTTTTATAGATTATGGTTACGGAACTTGCAACCTCACCCTATATATCAGAAATGAAAGGCGCGCGGAGGGGAAGAGGGAGCAATTGGAAAGGACATATTAGCCTTTGACCCCTATAGTGATTGCCCACGAATCATATGAATGAGTGTGGCGAGTAGCCTACGGGTAGATATGCCGGACGAGCGTTAAACTCCAAGTGCGCTGGTAAGCTTTTCGCAGGTGGTTAAATGTGTGGAAATGCCCCCTTACGCCAATTACCTTGCTGGATCAGCTGTGATGACCAAAGAATGTTCCAACGGAACGGAATACACCTGGAATTACTGATACAATTAGGGATGCTTCAAGCGCGACCTAGTTCCATTCTTACAGGGTCTTTCAACCCCGCTGCACCGATACTGCCTTCGCCCAGGCCCTCATGTGGGTAGCTTCGAGTGCAGTCCAATGTTCCCTTGCATGATTTATAAACTACTGGTGGTACCGAACCTACCTTTTGAGAACTCGCCTGTCGAGACTGAATTCTCCATCGGCATAGCCGTGATGGTTTATGGGTGATGGGGAATGGTCTCCTCTCCAGGTTAGGAAGGTCGGGAATGGGTGCAGATATAAAAGCGAGCGTGCCACCAGTTCTCACCAACGCAGAGGAATGCGTCTTTCGGGATACTGTTCACATCCGTCGTCCATCTCAGTGCTCTTTACCAATATCTCGTAAGAGGTTGTGTTTGTTCCTCATTTAAGTATGCATCTACCTAGAGCCACTCCGTTTATATGGATCCTGTTGGCTCCGCTAGCAACTGCCGCGCAGGTTAGCAACTCTACCACTTGTTGACTCGCGAGCCGGCACCTGCACGGCTGTGACTACATCTATGCCCTTGCTAAAATATATTCAGATTACCGGGTATACAAGCAAAGACTTCGTGGGCAAACCATCCACGGTTCTCTTCAGCATCGATCAGTGTACCTCATTTCCCGCGGTGTAGGTTACCATTCATGCTCACTCTTTAGAGGCAGTCGCTAATTGCCTGGGAGGTCAGGGTCCGCTCCCTTCGCGTGCCAGACGGTCTTGTGTGCACCATATACTAGTACGTTATTTTGTCTGTGATCATCCCATTTTCCACTTGTCTAAGTCTCCGCCTTAATTATTAGTGGAAGCGAGTGTACGGGGCCCATCCAATACTTGACCGAGCCCACAGGCACGCTAAGCTTCACGCCCCATTCCTTTCTATGCACTTCCATCTAACGGACGTTGATCGAGCCACGGGGTACGGAACCACAAAGTGCACATCGGTCTACTCTTGGATTAACTTAGGGGACGAACTATTGCTGCTAGATGGACGAGCGACCGTACAGCAGGCACGGTTGGATTTGCTTCGCAGTTCTTGAATATTGGGAATTGACGAAGAGCATCCTATTTTGTCGTCTACTATTATCATTCTTGTGACTGATGGATTATGTTCAGTTGATGGTTGACATTCCAGTAAAATCTGTTTTTCAGAATCCAGCTTATTTTATGTTGCATGACGCTCGCCGCCTCGCATGTCGATCTGGTAGAAAAGCGCTCGGACCGTCCTCGACTGTAAAGAAACCAGCTGAAAGAAGGGTCAAGCAGCTGGTAGCGGGGCTGTCAGAGAGGCATGTAAGAACTCTATAATCCTGCTCCTGGCATTCCTGGGACGTTGGTCGGAAAATTTAAGCCCATATTTTATGGGTCGAAACAAGGGGCTCGTATGGAACATGTTTAATTTATCTGATCGGAGGACTTGAACCTTGACGAATTTCTTTTCAGTGGTAACTCTTCAATGCTGTGGTACACCACGCACGTTGGGTGAGGGCTTCTATTCAGTCTGTCAGCCATAATCCACGTAGGAGACCAGAGAAGAGTGAAAAACGTTGGAAAGGTTCCCAGAAGTGGGAACAAATCTCACAAAGTGGATGAAATGGGATACGAACAGGGTTATCAGGTATTCTCTGGCCTAGACCATTGGATGTCCGAAAAGTCGGCTGGCAGAGGAAGCCACTTCCGGGAAATTCCTGGAATGTTGGACACAATGTGGCATGCTAGGGTTGTTGCCCAGTTCGAGACTACTACATATTATTCTCTGAGCGTGCATAATCCACTTGTGTCACGTGTACATTAGGAATGTATTTCTCACCAAAACGTCGTCTACCTGGCCTTAGCTCGAATATATCGCAGCGTGTTGTCATTCCGGTCGCTGCTGTCTACCAGCTGCCACGTCTACCCAACTGTCAACAAGCTACCTTGGGGTTAGAAACGCGTATTCCTCGCTAGCTAGAAAGGTCCATTCCCCCCCCTTGTTCGAGAATAGGTCAGGAAATTCAGAAGATCAGCTTGTCTATCATTGATATTTGCCAAGTCGGGTTTCTCTGTGGATCCGACAAAATATTGGACCTCCTGTGTTTGCCCCGAGCGTATGCATGACAGCTGGTCACTGTTCGAGTAATTATCATACGAGACTGAAGATCGAGCGATTAGCATTCGTTTCGCATTCTAACGATATCATGTCACCTAATCGTTCGATTTCAGTACCAAGTTCCGGATATCTGGATCCCCTCTCTTCATCTACTACTAGTCCATTAGTGTAAACTCTGGTATGGTTGCTGCCTTGACTTACCATCATGGACCTTGTAACAGAACAAGGAATCCGCATGCAGAAAGAATTCAATGTCCAGATTTAAGACCTGCCGGTTGGATGATGGGACATCTAGACGATATTATCCTACCATGAGATGTGTCGGATTGAAGAGAGCAACAATGTATTCGACCCGGGAAATAGGATGTTTTCTCGGCACGGAGGAAAAGTCAACTGGCGAGTGCGGTTAATCATCAGTCCCGAGAAAAATCTGAAACCTCGTTTACCACGGCGGTGTGGAGACATTGAATCCTTTTCGCAAATCCATAGACAGCAAAATCATGGATCAGGAACTCGACGACCCTTTAGTATCCAATAAGTTCTGCCCCCTATGCGGGGTGGTTCTCCTATGCGAAGGTTTTGAAGACATCCCCGAGACACGGCGGCCATGGTACGCCGAAGTACGTGCTGCGGCCAAGGAAGACCACAGCAACTATATCATGACGGGGGTAGGTTTTCTTGACTCCCGCGATACTCTCTGTGCTCCGTTGGACGAAGAGTTGGACTACCTCAACGCGACGGAGCTGGAGGAGGTGGAATTACTGCGAGCGGAATCGCATCTGCACGGCTTTGGTCTCCATGATTCGTGCTGGATGCTGCTGCAAGATCGTTTGTGGCATACGATTGACTCAGATGAAATTTCCCAATCTCTGTATGATCAGTTCTACTGTACCCCTTCGCCACTCCAGTCTAGTCTCCACTTCGGCCATGACTATGGGGGTGCTAAGCGTTGGCAAAGGGCGTATGGCACGCCCATGCCGGAGGACATGCCACTGCTCTTGCAGGCGGATCCATATGCGATTCCACTACTGGAAAAGCTCGAAGAGAACGCTCCGGATGTGGCTGTCGGATGGGAAAAGCAGACGGTGCATCATACGTCGTCTACCGATATTGATACTGGATACTGTAACTCCTTCGGCCGACTATCTTTAGAACTGCTCTATGAGGTTATATCGTATCTATCAGTCCCCGAGCTGCTAAATCTAAAGTGCACAAGTCGAGAACTTGCTCAACGCATCGTATTCTCCGGCCTACCACAATCCTTTTGGAAGAGACAGTTTACTCCAGGCTATGGAATGGATTTCCTCTTCCCTGATCTAGAGCAAAAACGGGACTGGCTTCGTTTATATCGTGGCACAATGTCGTTCCTTAAGGCTAAGGATCAATCGCCTGAAAGCCTCTCCTTGCTCAACCGCAGGAGAATCCGTGCGCTCTTGGAACCCATGGCATCCGTTGTAGAAGCGGACAGCAGAAGATCCAAAGACCCTCGCGGGCGCAGGGCTAACTGTCTTGAGTTTAGGCCTGGGCATTGGCTGGTGTCAGAGGGATTAACTCAATGGCGTGCGGAAAATATCTATACGGCATACATCAGTGTGGAGCCTGAGTTTCTTCCACATGGGTGTCATGTACCTCGCTATCGACTCAGTACTTTCCCTTACCGCATGTTGCATGGTGGTCAAATCAAAATATCAACTGTGCAACTAGGGGCACGGGCGTTCATTTCAGGTATCAACCATCATCCCCACGATTCACAAGCGAGAGCAGAACTGGCCGTCGGACATGGGGAGTTGACTGGTCAGACAACGATCAATGTGCCTGCTGGAGCCACGGCTGATCGGATCGAAGTTGCCTTTTGCCCTGAGGGCCTTCGAGGGATCCGCTTTCATTTTGGCGGAAACATTATATCTGACTGGGTTGGGGATACAAAAGATAAGGACATGAGCTATGGTGCCCTGCGAATCCCCCATTCTTCTAGCGGAATATGTCATATTCTTGCTGGTACAGATGTAAGCTCTCTTTCTATGGCGAATGACTTAGAGAACTAACGAGTGCAAGGCATATAAACTAACCGCTATTGGAACAATTCATGATGAGGCACGAGATGATACATCTAGCAACCCCTTTTACCATGACTATCCTCTGGATCTCACCCTTCCTGATTCATATCTCTGGCAGTCTCAACGACCCAGCTATGATAACCTACGGATTTATCAATTCCAGCCCGACAACGAAGGGACGCCCTATCGCCCCTTGATGAACATCGACTTCGGAGGACCCGATGGCAAATGGCTTGATTCACTTATTGGCATGGAGGTGCATGTCTCATCTGAGATCTCTCCGATCATTGGAATGACATTCAACTACACTGATAAATCCTTGCCATTCGGCACAGATGCCTCTGGAGAGACATTAACCTTTCAGATTGATGGGCCGGGGGGAGAGCGCATCACCGATGTTGTAGGGCGTATAACTGGTTCGAGCGACTCCAGCTGTATTTATGGCTTAACGGTGTGTATCCTGCCTTTCGGAGCCTATATTCCATATCTAACGCTACCCAGGTCAGGACAAATCTCGGCCGAGAAATGGAGTTCGAGCCTCGTAATCGATGTGACGGCTCCAGCAGCCCAGGCATATTTTGGCCTACTAGGGGAGGCCTTGATGAGCGGCCTCGGGAAAGCATTATTACTGGATTTATCGCCACACAGCACGTGAGTAAAATCATCCAAACTTTGGTGTTTTCAAGTGCTTACAGACAACAGTGGGGTGGGAATCACTTTGTAGAGTTGGGGATTCAAGTTCAATTGGTCGCTGGGTCTGACCAATGCTGAGGTGCATGACAGCTATACTGAAAGGCGGATCTAGCTGCTTAGATGCAATTTTAAAGTAGCATGATGCGGCTTAGCAGTCAATGCTACTAAAGGAGTGATCGGCATGCTCTCTTGGATGTTACCGTAACTACCTGTACTATTTATCAATTCTGGGCTGGAGATTAACAACACCCATGCGCGAATTCAACCCTAGATTATGTTTAATTCGAAACTAATCAAGATTTTGGAATTCAGAATAAAGCTTTCCCTCACACTAAGGTCGAGGATTCAGTCTCAATTGATTACACAACGTGAGCGATGTCCTACTCTTCCTGTATAGCGAATGGGCTCGGCTCGGCTCAGGGTTTCGCCCCAAATAGCTGCCCAGGCCATTGCTTGGATCCCTTTCGCCTTTTTCATAGGCCAATAGGTCAAATTTAGTCTTTCTTCCATTTCTCGCTATGAAACTTCAGCCGGAAGACCTATCGCAGATACATTATCCAAATCGACCAATCTAAACTATAGGTTCATTGGTCGGCTCGCTGGGTGCGGCGGAGCGCAAGATAACGCAGAGCACTGTTCACCGGATACAGAACAAAGAGGATACTACCCAAGATAGTATTCAGATCACTGTTCCGCTTCCGACATGTCGCTTTCTCAATTTCTTGATAGTAATAGCGGATAAGATACTCTGCCTGTGGAACAGTCGCAGCACAGATACCGGATCAAATCTTAATATTATTATTTTTATTCCATTTATCTCCACACTTCAAGGAGCTATAACAGGACTTATATAAACAGAATTCAGTCAGAAAGTTCATTCAGATACCCAAGAAAAGGTGTTGGATAAGCGTTCTGTGGAACTGCGGCCAAAGGTGAGGGCCTTTTTGCTAATCTGGTTGCATTCATGGTACATCGTAAGTATGAGGGAGCTCGGAGAAGAAAAATGTCGCAGTTATTATAGAGAATTTGGGGTCAGGGCGAGGACACGATATTTAAAAGGGCCTTGTTTATATACTCCGCTATGGCTTGCCAAGAAGAAGTGGGCCAGGCACCTAAGCCTAGCTTGGCATCACTATCTATGGATGCCTGCGGATCATTCGCATCTCATATCAACCTTGTGTCATACTGTCAGGGGTTCTTGTTGCAACGAAACGAGCGAGCAAACCAGGGGATAACGGTAGGGTATGGTCTAGCTTATCGTCTCGAGAACTGCTAAAGTATTTAGGTAGTATCTCAGGTATTCTTGATATCCTTGAAATATTACTTTTGTTAATTGCGGTTCAGGGAACCGCAGGTAGTAGGGGAATAGCGTGCTACAGAGCCGCAGATAGCAGGAGTGCAGATAGCAAGAGTAGGGGACTAGGTCTCCATTGAATGGTGTACTACCATATACAGAGGCTGACCACGGTTTCGTAAAGCTATTGGGGAGCGGTGAGGATTTTATCGGCGTGACCTCACGTGCTGCTATATCTACTGCAGGCGTTGTAAGGTGTGGCTAACAATCCTCCAGCGGAGGAGTGTCTGAAGAGAGAGTGGCCATCACTCTATGCGACCAATTAGCACTTTATGCAGCCAATGGTAGAGGGTTATTGCTTACGCGGCAGGGTACCGAGTCCCTTCAATCTCAACTTTCTCCGCCAGAGTCCTAATCTCTTGCACTTCTTCTTCACTCAACTGCAGCAGAGCAGATGCCGCATTCTCATCCATTCTAGCGGCCGATTTGGTACCTGGAATGGGAATAATATCTGGTCCATTCGCTAGCAGCCACGCAAGAGCAACCTGTGCTGGGGTAGTTCCATGTGCATTGGCTACATCTTTCAATGCCTGCACCAGCTTCAGGATTTCCGGAAAGTTCACTGCCGCGTACTTGGGATACATACGGCGCAGGTCACCCTCGGGGATATCTGCGCGAGATTGGAAATTGCCTGTCAGGATACCACGTCCGATTGGACTAAATGCCACGATCGCTATGCCTAGCTCGCGGCAGGTGCTTAGGGTTTCCGACGCCGATGACTCGACGTCCAATGTGAACAGGCTATATTCCACCTGTAAAGCGGTAATAGGATGGACAGCATGCGCCCGACGTAGCGTGGCTGCTGAGACATCCGATAGACCGAGATAGCGAATTTTTCCTTGGCTAAGTATCCGAAAGATCAATGGTCTCGTGCTTGTATGTTACATGAAGGCAGAACGTACTCTTTCAGCTCCACCATCGCTTCAACGGTCTTTTCAATAGGCGTGACTCCATCCACTCTATGACAGTAATACAGGTCAATGGTGTCGACGCCGAGTCTCTCAAGACTCTTTCCACAAGCAGCCTTGACATAATCGGGATCGGTCCGGAAGGTATGCTTTCCGTCAGGCTGCCGCTGGAGCCCAAATTTGGTGGCCAGGAAGACGTCATTGCGTTTACCAGATCGTTTGATCCATCCCCCCACGACATCCTCGCTATCCCCATATATGTCAGCCATATCCCAAAAGCGCAGTCCGGTGGCATGTGCGTGCTCCAGGAGGGCCATTCTTTTGTCAAGCGTACCAGCTGGCCCGTAGAATCCGGCAATACTGCCAAAACCAAGACCGATAGCGGAGACTAGAGGGCCATCTCGACCAAGGGTTCGTAGAGGGGGAGACATTTAGAGGTTGAGGGGACGTTGAGATGGAGAGAATCAAGAGTGGAATGCTTGCTACCTAAGTTCAAAAGCGATTACTGAATGTCGATGCGGGCTATAAAAAGATTGTATGCCGTCCATATTGAGCTTTACCCGTTCGGGTTCCCGACCATTCGTCAGCCTTCTTGGTGGCCTAAAAATATATGGCGACCGGTGCGATGATCTCCGGCCTTTTAAAAATATCTATTCTCTAGAATAAATGTTCCTGTCTACTGTACCCTGCCAGTTGGAATCTTATGTGTAGAATGCGATGACCCAAATTGAATATTAGTAAAGTTGCAACTGGGACGGCTTCGGGTACTCTATGCGCCTTGGAAAGCACCAAGCTCGGCATATCCACGAAACTTGTATTCCAGGGTAGATACTGCGCTGGTGAAAACATATTCATTTTGCCTTCCTCGTTTCACTTCTGCTTTCTGTAAAATTAAGGGCAAAGCTACAGCTCAAGATATCAAGACGACTGCTAGGGTTGAGCATGGGTTTGGCGTAACCAAGTTTGAGGGAGTGGAAAAATATTTACTGATCACAATCCCACATTTCCCCAACTACCTCCCTGCTGTTAATACGCATTTTCTAACTAACCAAGAGGTAACCTACTAAATTCAGCGAATTGTCAGTCTTAACTAAACCTAGATCCTTCCAATCCATCCCAAGCTGATCTCCAGATGAGCCCATTATGCATCTAGGTAGTGTCTATGACGTCTAATTTAGGATCCCAACGGCCGTTTGCAGACTATATATACCTACTTGGAACAATAGATCTTTCTTCCGAGCGATCCGTGTGACTGAAACCAAGGTACCTATCGGATTGAGTGAAGCGAACCATTGAACCGTGCAAGCTTAACCTCGTTTCCCGACATCATTTAGGGTTCTGGCGGAAACCACAACCAATCAATCATTCTCGAGTCACGCCACGATTCAAGCATTAGTAGAAAGAACTGACAGCCATTCTAAATGCGGACAATCTTTATAGACGAACGAAATGGGAATTACATCACGACTGTACTTGATTGAGGTCATGCTCGATCACTTGTTGGGGTCTTCTGAGCATAGATGCAAAGAACGTAAATAGGAGGGGGTCCCATAGACATTCGCAGTCCTCAAGCCTTCTGAAGTCCACATACCTTACTTCATTGCCATTGATTCCCACTACCCATCTCCAAACAAATCGATACCATGAAGTATTCTATGCTTTCAATTGTGGCCCTGGTCGCCCCTACCCTGGGCAATCCAGCCTACTACTGGAGACAATACCTCTCGCGCCCAATCCATCCAGCCAATGCTGGAGATGTCATTGTCCACAACTATATTTCATCCGATGTGGATGTGGATGTAGAACCACAAGGGATTCAATTCACTCTCCATCCCGGACAAGGACAATCAGTTCCCGGTGCCCCGGTCGCGGATGTGAAATTCAACCAGGAGGTGGAAGTCAGCTATGTTTCTGGTGATCAAGGCACGTTTAATTATGTTATTCAGCCAATTGGCGGGAACTTCGATGGTTGTGTCTATGTATCGCCGCAGGGATGCGGCACTCTGAGCTGGTGCTCTGGAGATCCCGCATCGAACCCAGTGACCTGTCCCGATGGAACAACCCTCCCAGTAAACTTGTATCCCTCTAGGTATATTTCCCAAACTCCACAATATCAAGTCCTTGCTAATCCTAAGCTTGCCAGATCCAGGGGGAGGAAGACTGCACATGAATTTCTGCTGTAATGGGAAGGCAGCATACCACTGATCGCACGCACAGCTATTCAACCAGCTGAGTTTGCGAGCGACGATCTATTCAACATAGCAGTCATCTGTAAGGAATTGTGGATAGCTTACCTCGTGTAATTGAATATAATGGTAAATCGGAAGAACTAAGAATGACACCCAGTTTCGACTAGTAAGTAATGGCTTTGCTGCGACATGTAAATGGGAGTGTAATACCTAAGCCATCTTAAAACATTCGTTGGAAGGTGTAAGATGAATCGTCATATTCAAAGTCCACGTTACTCTTGCAGAGCCTGAATTCCCCATGGCCGTCTTTTCTGGAGGTAGAAACACTATACACTGCGCCCATAGGGGAATCGTTCTCCAGTCCGTCACTTGGAGATAAAGGGTCGAATAGAGTGCCGAGAGACTTCAGACAACTTCCCGATCTGGGAAGTCTGTCTACGGATAAAGAATTAATAACCAATCAGCTCTATTAGCTCTAGATTGGTGGAAAACGGGGTTGGATCGATTCATGAGTCTATTACTTGAACCTCGATCCTTGTTACTTGGATGGATTGATTGGATGCACGCTATATTAGTCTTGCCTAGTGCTGAATATTGAAAGCTCAAGGGCTTACACTCCTTCCTTATATTGTTGGTTTCTCATGCGAATGATCCTCCTAGGCAGGAATCAACACTGGCTTCCAATCCCACTTGTCTGTCAAAAATACCGGCCGATATCTTTTGTGCCCGTCGGCTGGTCAAGGACATTGCTGAACAACATGACTACCTCGAAGAGACCATTCTCATGCTCATCTGACCACAAGCAGAAGATCGTGGAGTCTGTACAACAGTAGCGCCCGACTGGTCTTTGAACCAGTGCAGAACGCCGGTGATATTTCATACTCCAAGGCGAAACCCCTCTCGGCCATACTCTTCGTATCGTTCCGCGGTTATGGTCCACGAATTGTGAATAGATTATAACGAGGACGTCTTCTTCACCAAAACCTTGGTGGCGATCTATAACGTACCAAAAAAGTTCTAATAAAGGCGTAGATTCAAGCCAGTATTTTTCAACAGAGATAGGCAACTCTTACACCCAAATTTGGCAGAGATATCAAGGAAAAGCGCAAAAAAAAAAAAAAAAAATTTATACAACAGCCGGGTTCGCTGGTGGCCACCCACCCAACTACTAACCGGCCGGTGTGTGGCTTAAGCACCTAGTTCTCACGTTATCATAGAAGGGAGATATCTTCGGCTTTCCACTGTTGAAAACCTCGTTCGCTGTAATTCCATAAACTTCGACTGCCATGGTGTCCTGCCGCGTGCTCTTTCTCCCTAGCGCCTTTCTCATCCTCACGCCTGTCTCTTCATGGAATCTTTCGCCCGTCAAGTAAAATCGATATTCACTTTGATCGTTTACTGCCTTGTTCTCCATCCCGTTTCTTTTACCTTTTTCTATAGTCCACCTGACATCTGCTCGCCATGCGTCGCCCTTCGCGGCCTAGTTTGTCCGATGACGATACCTCCAAGAAGAGTAGTGTCGATTTAGACGATGATTCCGGCCAATCCACCCCATTATTCTTAGGATCGTTGTAGTACATAGGCTTATGAAGTGTCTTTTCGGGCTTTCTAGCCCACTTCAGCTATGGATCGTAGCCTTGCGCCGCATCCTATCCATCCTCTCTGCCTCAATCTTCTTTAAGGTCTTGATAAGCTTTGTCGGCATTGAACCCCAGGCGTCTTCCACAATTAGTAGGCCTAGTTGAATCCGCTGCCGGTTCAAACAGACTCTTTGCCGGGTTGCCGGAGGAAGTGGTGTGCCATATAAGTCAACAAAGAATTTATTACCCGGTGGCAGCTTAAGAAGAGTACCCGGGGAAAGTGAAGAGAGCCAGTCGACTAAATAGTGATACTGCATGTCAAGGTACCCATGGATACGTGTGTTGTAGCCAGGTCTCAATGTAGATTCAACAAGGGCATTGATCAGAGCTAGGTGTTGAGGGTTAGTATGAAATAATATTATTATTAAAGCTAGGGAGGACTGAGTAGGGGCATCTAGGACATAACCCATACCGTCTAGGTAAAATAGCCGCAATGGAAATCGGCATCGCGTAGTGGGATGTAAGAATATATTTTGCGAGAGACTCGCTTCTGAGAGGTCCATATGCCAGAAACTGGAGGGAATAAGGGAGACCCCGGGGGCGAGTAAACATACAAAAGGCCTCTTTAGTGTGTATGCTGGCCAGCCTAGAGGAGCAACTGTCGCGTCCCGGTCTATATAGGCAGCGGATTCTTGGCTTTGCTCAAGTCCTTGCTGTAGCATGATAGCAAAAGCATCTTTAGGTTGCTCATCCGCGACCACAAGATAAAGTTGACAAATTACCGGCGGGTGACCGGGATTCGTGAGGATAGTGTCGCCAGTGATACAGTGTTTAATACGGTGATCCTCAAGACATTCAGATAGCTGAAAGAGGTACCACTCTGGGAATTCTTGAAGGGGTTCTTGGCTTCGGAATCTGCCATTTTGCCGGATTGAAGAAGCGAGGGCGATGGGAAGTCGTAGAGAGGTTCGGTAGAAGAAGGTCAGGTTGTGAGAGATGAATGGCAAAAGATTAAGGTTATGGGTCTGGGTAAGGTCACATGGACTAGATACTAAGCCGACACTCAAGTCCATCTGGGTGCCTTCCCAGGTAGGGAAGGTACCTTGTAAATATACAGTACTCTGGCGGCATGGGGTTCTTCGTATGTTGACTCAGTTGGTGCAAAGTTCATGCGGCGCCATTCCGGCTTTCCAAGCGGAGGGAGTCGGTCAATGGAACCGGACGCTGCCTCTCTGTTGCTGCTGCTCTGAAACTGATCAGGGGAGGCAGTGTGGATGTAATCAAAGCCTTCCGCTTGCGTTACATGTTGAGCCAACGACGTTGTCACAGGCATAGTGTATACATGTGTCGGTATATATGGAATTTTTAGCGACCCGGCTGTATCATGTGCGGGATACAGTTCAGAGAACCCCGTTATTCTGTACTGGCACGGGTACCGTGCTTCACTTGTAGATAATATTATATATTCTTAAATATAATTTGGCATGGCCGATTTTGTAGGAGATATCGCTGCTGGCTATAGGAAAGCTCGGATTTTATCTACACAGTATCTGATACTTGGCTGATAACTCCTTTCACCTCTCTCAGTCTCGTTGCTGAGGACAGCTCTAGTGTCGCCTTTGTACAGCGGATAGGTCAAGGGAGAGCAAATGAGGCACTCCTTCTTGGCAGAAAGGTTCCTGTCAGTAAGTTGGCTTAGGTTGGTTTTGTGAACAAGGTCTTCGAAAGCAAAGGCAACTTCTGTAAGCAGGTGATGGGATACCTGCAGCAGACTTTCGGCAAACATTTGGTGAAGTCAAGCCTTCTAGGGACAAAGGCTTTGATGCGTCGTCACTTAGTTCGGGAGCAGGACGAACAGGCGCCGCTCGAGATGTTTGGTGGCCTCGACCGTTTCTGCCAGGGTATCCCACAGGCAAAAATGGGAGAGGCTTTCATCGACAACAGTCGATACCTTAGAATTTATCCAGATTTGTCTCTTCACCAACTCTGCTTCCATCGATTCCGTTGTCTTTCGACAAAGTTCGACCAGAGCGAGCAGATCTTGATCTCAAACATCAGAGTATCCGCGGTCGGAGGCAAACAAGCCATTTTGCTTCGTTTGCAACAGTATAGAAGGGGTGGCCATGTTTTCTTCGCTTCCAATTTGGCGAGAAAGGGTTTTGACGCAGTGAGGGAGAAGATGTGGTCGGTCCTGCTGATCGATTGTGAACATCTGCCTGGGCTTCTGGGGGTAAGCTGGGGCTGACGTAACAATCAATAAACACACTCCATGTGGTCACGTGGGACAATCATGATCTCTGACATTGTGCTTCTTTCGGGCCAGGAAACGCGACTCTTTATACCTCCCACCTACAGACACGTATCGACCTATATCCGCCCGACGGTCTTCTGTCATGTGGAAAATGTTTGACTCTTTCATTCCCGCCATCTTACGGCCGGACTTTACCTGGCCACGACCAACGCCGTCTACAATTTCGGAGACAACACCGCCCTTGCCCCATATTTCCAGCAGGAATGTCAGGGTAGCATGGGGCGTTGTGCACAAGTCTCTTTACTACTTTTCCCAGCGGTATTGCTCCTGGTTCGGAATCACATTCAACGCCAATATCGTCCAATTGCCGTTTGGACTCGTCATGAAATGGACAGATCGGACCAGCATTGAAGAAGTGGTTTCAATGCAAATGGCAGGTGCCGCCGGAATTCCTGTTCCCAGGGTACTAAATTACGGCGAACATCTAAAGGCTCCATTCAACAGGAAGATATCGATCTTGATGACCAGGCTGCCTGGAGTTACCCTGGAAAATTCGTATGATGAGCTGCAGGTCGACCTAGAAGAACCATGGCTAGAGGAACTCAACAAATGTGTGCGTTCAATGCGTTCGTGGCTCCCACCTAACCACCATTCCATCTGCTCCCCTATCGGAACGCCTCTGCGGAGTCCGCGGGTCCCTGGACATATAATGGGGCCCTTCACCGATCACACGCAACTTCTTGAATATTTGATTTCGCCCGCTTCACCTCATGGCTTTAAAACTATGGTTGAATACGAGGACACCCTAGCGCGTGCAAAAAAGCTCAAGCAACGTGATTATCGGATTACATTCACCCACGGGGACTTCAAAGCTCACAATATTTTAGTCGGCGACGATGGGCATCTATCTGGGTTCTTGGATTGGGAATCTGCTGGGTGGTATCCGGAATACTGGGAATACACAACAGCAATGCGGTTTGGCAAAGGTAGCTGGTGGTTTCAAGTGGCCTCTTGGATGGGAGGTGACCGATACTTGGGTGAACTGGCTTCAGACATCGCCCTTAACCTTCTAACGGTCGACTCATACATAGCAATCTAATGGTTCAATGATGTAGACATGAATCATTGTAGCTTCAAGTTTCTGTTTAAAACCGAATCCTTGAATAAATATAACGGCTGGTTATTCGAAAGAATGATATGTACTAATCGTAGATAGCTAACTCATGGCAAGGCAGACAAAGCTCAACATACCCATTTATCCAAGAGCACCGGTGTTGAACAAACCAAACGAGGGACAAGGTGAACAATAACAAAAAGCAGCAAGAGCTCAGGCATACCATAACGAACGACAGATGGTGCTCAGACAGATGTTAGGAGGCTGGCTTGCTCATTACCCCCGCTCAAAGACACATCCGCGATCTGACAACGGGCCGCGGCTGGGTATTGGTTGCAGCACCAGCGCTGTATTGATTTCCGAAAGCCATGCACTCCTGTTGCAATGCTTCAACACTGCTACAACGGACTACTCCGGCCTGAATCAACGCTTGCAAGATGACCACCACCAACCAGACACGGCATGTGACACCAGGAATAGAATTGACATCTCGATCGCGAGACCTCATGACTTGGTCAAGCTGGCTGTGCTTCGCTGGAGGAACGCTTGCGATCTGAATAAGAACACACAGAAAATTGGATTTGAATACACCACCAGTTGAGCCATGGTCTGGTATCCACCCAGCACCCAAGTTTCTCATATGGTACTTCAGTCCACCTTGCGGGCTTGTGTGGGAGTAGTAGCCCCAGTGAAAGTCGTTCGGTTGGGGTGGATCTGATCGTATCCAGAGGACGATGTATAGGGTATTGAGAGGCAGGCGAGCCAGTGCGTCTTCTTGCGCTTTTCTAATTGCAAGAGCTCTTTCACGGGCACTCACTGTGCGGCTAGCAGTACCAGGAGCGGAGGCCTTCGACATTCTAGGTGATGGCGTAGATGAATCTATTAGACAGTATCTGGTGATTTGAGAGAATATGGAGAGTTCTGTTCTTGTAGACGAAAAAGAGGATTTGCAAAGCATTTATGTCCATGCTCACCCGAAATATCATATTTTCGCCTTGTGACGGGCCAGTTTTGCCGCTGAGATGTGATAGTATATTTCCTTGACCTCGCCCAATCTCGGCGCGTATGCGGATGTGACGAGGTTCGACGGCGCTTTGGCCTCGAATGGCTGGTAACAAATGTACTCGGCGCGTACTACGCACGGGCGTTAGTGGATGGGCATTGACGGTGCAAACCTGTCAAAAGGACGCCATATTGGTCCCATATCCGGCCAAACTAAGCCCTAGCTACCTCCAAAAAAGGCCCAAAATACCCCCCAACTGCCCCCCAACTGCCCCTCCAACTCCTACCAACTCTCAGCCAATTGCTCACCAACTTTTTGCTTATTGGTTACCAACTGCTCCCCAACTGCTCGCGCAATCCAGCCCTTGTCATATCTGAATCTGTATAAGGCCCCAAATTGGTAGCAGGTTTGGATAAAGTCTTACAAGCGGCCGGCGTGGATATAGACCTCACTTTCGATCAAGTCAGATGGTTTCATTGTATATAATAAGCACATAAATCGGAACCAAGTATTAGTCGCAGACAAGCCTACAGGTCGCTCTACAAGTGTACAGGGCTCTTACCCTGCATCTACAAACCTTCCGCGCTACGTTCAACCATTTTGAACGATGGAGTGCTTCGCCGGCTTCGTTCCGTTCTGGATTAGACAATGGATAGCTCCAAGCTCAAGGAACATCCAAAAGCAGGAGGTCAGCAACCTGTCCGCTCTGTATCCGTTACGCTAACTAAAAAAAAAAAACAAAACTTCAGTCCATATTTTTCTTGGACGCGGAAAGGGCTATGGGAGTAGATGACCTGGTGGTAACGTTCCGGCGCAACTTCGTCCTCGACCGCTACCCTTGGAGCGAGTACAAATCAATTGGGTCAGAAGCGACATCTGCAGTAGTCGAGGCTGGATGGAGCTGCAGTGAATTGGATCGGATAGCAGCATTTCTTCACGTAGGAATATTCGACAAACGAAAATTGGATCGACTTCGACAGCAAGCAAGAAACAACCGGCGCCGCATTTCCTCCGGTAAACCTGCCGGTTACCCCAGCGTTCTTGAATGAGCCGAGACGCAACTTGGCAGGATCCATTGGCTTCGGTGTACTCGCGTTGTGCATTAGCTCGAGGCTGTTGACAGCATGCAAGAGAGTTGGACTGTTCAGGGATGTTGTTCCTTCTGTAGTAGTTATTGAGGATCAAACAGTCGGATTGCTTGTAAGACTCAACGTACTTTGTAGTATATGATAGGGGGTAAAAATTGTTCTGACCAGCACAGCAGCAGCTCATATGAGCTGCGTAGTATATAACCGTCCAGATCTCTAATGAAATGGTTCAAACCTGAACCGCTGTCCTTCTCTCATCGAACACATCATGGCTAGCTTGCAAAGGGAAAAAGAGACGCTCAAGTCAATTATCCGGAACTCACCTCATCGCTACATTTGTCCCCCATGCTTTAAATTATTTCCTCGAGAGGACCTTCTAAATCGCCACATCTCCGAGCAGAGGGATGATACGCATGCATGGCTGCGCAAGGGAGACTTGAAGGAACGAACCGACGCGGAAGAATTTCTCGTCTATTACCGACAGTCAGTCAATACATCAGTGGCCGCCGCAGACATCCCCCCAGCCCCAGACTGTTTTAGTGTTAACTTTGTGGTCGAACATTACCATTCCTTCCCGCACGCAAGGGCTAGCCTGCAAAGGAGGGTAGAGACTCTGAAGAAAATTATCCAAGTCTCGTACATTGATTTTGTCTGCCCCATATGCCTCGAAGGCTTTCCTCGACCCGCCGTTTTATACGACCACTTCCGGAAGCAGGGAGAAGATACTCATGCACGGCCGGCGGAGATAACTGCAAAGGAACAATGGGAGATGGAAATGCATGCAGGGCTGGCGAAAAGAACGTCGAGGAAGCAATGGGATATGGAAGATTTTCTTACCTGCTACCGCCAGTCCGTCAGAACATCCATAGCTGTCGAAGATATATCCCTCCAAACTCGCACTGTTTTGAGGTTAACTTTGTGGTCGAGCACTACGCAGAGAACACTGGAAGTCAACATTGAGTATATCCGATCACGATTGTCCATCAACAGGTATGCCGCACTATGCCAGCTGGAAGGTTAGTAATCGTGAAAGGCTTTAGGATTTATATCTCTGCTGACGACTGTCTTGTAGGCTGCTGTACGGCTTCTCGAAACTTGGTGATAGCGGGAGGAGCATGACTTGGATTCACTGGGTGAGGAGCTAGGATGTCGAACAAAGTCTTGCTTGTCTTTCCTTCTGAACGCGTTTTTCCCTTTCCCGTTGTCGAATAACCCGTCGAAGATCACCCGGGTAGGAAAGTTCGGTGCTATGTAGGTTGAGCTGAGAGACCTTGTTACATTCATTGGTGGAAGTGTTCGGGCCGAAGCGTCCCGTCACCCCACCAGGCGGGAGATCTGATCTTATCTTTCTTCAACCAGCTTGATATCATATCTGCTTGCTTGTCTCTAACATGTCTGAACTGGAAAGACAGTTTCACACTCTTACAATAAAATATAACACTCTTCTAAGAATTGTGCAAAATTCCCCGATCGATCTTGTTTGCCCCCAATGCCTTCGCGGGTTCCCTCGCTCGGATGTCCTGTATGCGCATTTCCGAAACAAGAAGAGAGACCCAATCCATCAGGGGCTCGATCAAAGAAAGACCAACTTTCGAAACTTCCTCACTTGCTATAATTTAGCTCTTGGGGCATCGATACGGCCCGAGGAGCTGCCTATGGGTCACCATTGTTTCAAGTGGCAGTACGTGCTTGAGCATAACCGTGCGGAATCGCAGAGATTCACTGATGAGGGTATTAGACTAGAGCCTAGTAATGCCTCCCTGATCTGAAACACTGAGCTGACGCGCTGACATTTTCCCTTCCAGGCCGACTCTATTCGCCATCAGAACATCTCGGCTCACGTGGGATCGCTTCTGGTCATCAACTAAACTACACTGCTCCCGTCTACTCGGACAAAGAGCCGCGAGGCGTGCACTGCAGTGACAGTGAAGTAGAGCCTGGGCTATGTGCTTTTACAGTGCCGGACAATCGTACACATCTGCAGTTTCTTGATAACGAGGAAGTGGAAGCAAGAATCATCGCACTGATCCCCCAGATGGAAAGTTGGTTATATGGCGCGCTGCCCATCCCAGACAAGGTTGACAGCCAGATAAATAATTCAGGAGTTGTCTTTCCTACCACGGAGATTGACCTTCCCCTTATTCCAGTGCGGGATCTGCTATACAAAGGTGTAAGTCTGGTATGTCCACCGTGGACTGTTCTCAAACTGACCGTACGTACCACGAAGATTGGAACGTTCACTCTCCTCCGCACCTACAAAGAAACCACCACTCCATATAACTTTGCCCAGGGTATCTGCACAGTTCTGCGGGTAAATAGAGTGGGTAAAATTGGCCAACAAGAAATTGGATCAGCCAAGTCCATCTGGGTTGGTCGCCAGACTGCCTTGTCGGCTGGCCTTATCCTTTTGATAACTCGTCCACCTGGTATGGTCGCTGGGAAAGACCCCGAGTGAGAAAGACAACTCCTCTCGGTCATGAACTTTTCCCGGATTACGATCGCTGAGGGGTTCCAACGGCTATCTGTCATGAGGCTCACGTCGCGTAGCCGACATACGACAGGAAGATCTTCAGTTTCGCTCAGAGCTAGTTGAATATGAAAGACGAAATGAGAGTGTGCTCGTTTGGATGACGTATGCTTGCCAGGGATATGGTACAATTAACGGACTATACTTCCCTAGGGAGGACAAAGAAAACGAAGAAATCCCTCCGTCATAAGACCAATAAGCCTCTTAAACTTTGTTGTGAAAACCTCCAACGATGTTTCGCGGCCTGAAGAGTGGGTATAGCCGTTCCATAGGATCTCGCACAGTTCTTCGTCGTTTCTCGATATAATGAAATACAGCAGAAGAGACGAGGGAGGCAAGAGTGTCGTCGGAAAATTGCGTAGCGAAGCATCGAAGTGCCAAGTAACCAGAGAAAAGATGAGAAGGGCATCGTCACTGAGCTTATCCAAGAAAAAGTTGGCGTAGTCCTCGAAGATCCCGTGGGTGTCGAGTCGGACCATGACGCTTTCACGGAAATCGTCTATCAGAAGATCACAAAATACGCGCACAAGCGATCGGGCACTGTGATTCAGGAACTCTACCGTATCCTGGCACTCAAAACAGAGCACGCCAAGACATCGTGCCTGGATGCCCTTCAAGGCCGGCTGGGCGGCGACGCGAAGAATGGAGCGGTGTAATGGAATCGGGAGCTGCCACTGTTAGCGTCGTAGGAAGCTCGGGAACAGACGGGGAACCAACCTTGGCCGTCGAACGCATTTTGTCCAGTCCTCGGATTGCAATGAGAATGTGTTAGAGAACAGTCCCTCCATCGCAGGTTTGGGAGCGGCAGAGTCCATTTATGGATGCAGCATCTTGCCGAGCTTGGGGAACTTCTTCCCTTGCCTATGGCTCAGGGGCAGAAAAGGGCAAGCATTCACGAGGGAGTGCCATATTCTCCTACAAGGGGCGGATTTTCTGGACCGACATGCCGTGTCTGACACTGTCTCCACTTCCAACATATTTTGGTGTACTGAAATATACGGATCGACCAAAAGGAGAACAGGTTCAGAGCAATGACGTGACTCATATTGCCTGGCAAATCGGGTACTAGTCGCTCTATCGGACAACGTGTAATACCAGCAGAGCATGATGGTTTCACTGTGCGTTGGATGGTGAGCACCGGCCTCCCAATCTTGGAGGCAGATGTAGCTAGCTCCAGTATCTTTCCCTTCCATAAGAGGTGAATGTATCAGAGATCAGCCTCTCAGTGATCAGAATCTGTTTGCACATTGGAATGTGCCCATGCTCTAGATTCAAGTGATGTATACATGCAACGAATCCGAGGGTTGGTAAGTAGTGAGGGGGGGAAGGCCACACGAAAAGCCGCCAAGTGCTTACGGCGAATGAGAGGATATGCGGATCATCGCATCCCGGATCCGACGCAGAGACTCGAAAAGACACCGATAGCGCTCAGTCGGCATGACGTGTTTGATTGTTGTACATGCTTCTCTCGTGGTTTGCGGACAGGAGTACCCGTGTGTGCTGAGCCCCACTTTGGACGTATTTTGGCGTACTGTAACAGGGCCTCGGCTTGGCTGCCTCCTGAATTGGGCGCCGATGCCCTCACCCCCTGCAGTGTGCGTACGCATGTTGGCCTCGGAGGACGAACAGATTGGATGAAGCGCCATGCGGGTCAATAGTGAAACTGGACGCACAAGGCTGGAGACGGGGGGCTCAGGCGAGTGATCTAATGCAAGCCACACGCAGAATAGTCACAATGGATTCCGCATATGACGGCGCGAGATATTCGAGCCTTGTTGAAGTAGGTAACCATGTACGGTCCAGGTAGAGAGGTTCCCTAGTTCACTGCTGAGGTTTATAAGGCGCATATTATTCCCCGTCAGCTCAGGAACTTCAATTGTCTTCAAAGGATATGTTCAGAATGAGCTCACCTAACCTTACATCCGATCAAGAAAACTAACATCCTGGAGTCACCATGGTGGGAGATCTGTCTCTCTTTGTTCTTAAGGAACTGTGGTCAGTCGTGGCGCTTTGGCAGGAGGAAATAATGCGGTCCAAAAGAGTGCACCAAGCTATCCATGCCGTCGTCCGTAGCGAAAGATCTAGACTCTCCTTCTAGGTTCGTGGCGTAGACCCCTCGTTGGTGCCTGCATCAGGCTGTCTCTTCCTGAGCTGATGGTGAGAGACTAAGCTGGGTGGGCGCTTTCTCCCACTGCCCGGGACTAGTACACAACGGTATATATGGATGGGCCCCCTTGGAAGAGATCTATCTTTACAGACACACCCAAACAAATTTTTCTCTCTCTCCAAATTGGTTTTTCGGATCCAGCCTACGCTGCAGGCATGACAGATATTAGCCATACCTAGCAATTTTCGATCTCGCAAGCCAACATTCAGCGTCCGGAGCGCTGCACTCGCCTCGCCACGAACTTACAACTCAGCTAAGCACAACGTCCAACAAAGGAATCCGGAGTATATATCGCGGCTTCGTCACAGCATTGGGCTATCCAAGTCCATCCTATCTTTATGTCGTTAAACTTCCACGGCAGCAGCTATGGCGCCCAAAAACGCAGCAGACTCAACGCCGATGCACTTTCTCTCCCACCAAGACTCGTCTTTACTGGCAACCAGGCGTCTACCATTACCGACTCCATCCTATCCCGCCTCGTCGTCACCTACCCGACTGGTAGGCCCTGGTGTACCTGCTTCCTGGGAGTGTATTGCATCCCAATCACCTCTCACTGAGGTGTCACGGCCTGGGCCGTCGCCAGAGAGAACGTATATAGCACCCACGGCGTCCAAGCCATTTTCGGGAAGTGTGCCATGCGTGCCAGTCGGCTTTCAGCCCACGCCAAATTCTAGACCGAACCCACATTCCCAAGATATTATCCCTCCGACGTGTATCTCAACGTACAGCCGCTTCAAACGGTCCTCTCCAGCTATCTCTGACCCCGGGAACCCTCATCCACCGTTCAAAATAATGGACCTGGCCCACGCATCCCCTGGGATCGTGAGTGGGAGAATCTCGAGGGAAGAGACACCATGGACAGGGGTAACCGCACCGCCTGAGAATCCGCTGCCCGAGAACCCGCCGCTACTTGGGATGATCCCGTGTATTCTAGACCTGAAGTCGGGATTGTCCAGTAAGGCGAAGAAGCGCAAGGCCAGCAAAGATTCGTCGCGGCGGTACCGCAACCGGAAGCGAAACGAGATGCAGATAGAGCAGAAGATCACAGCCCAGCAGTGCGAGATCAGAATGCAGTTGGACGCCCTGCAACGGCAGGCGCAGGAGATCCAGGCGTTGCAGCAAGAGCGCGACTTTTACCGAGCAGAGTGTGATTCCTACCGCGAGCATATTGCTCGACTGGATCCCGCCAACCAGCTTCCGGCCCGGCCCGCATCATCCCAGCAGTCCAACAAGGCATTCTGCTCGTCGCTGGAGAATGGCCGTAACCCTGCGGGGGAGCTCGCGCCTGTGTCTTTGTATCAGCCAGCCGAGATACTGGCAGGCCAGCCCGTCCCGCCGACACGTTCCCTGGGGCCGTGGCGCTCCGCGCCGTCATAATGTTCGGCGAGGCAACCGAATACGGAGCGCTGTTCTCTAGCTGACGATCTGGTATAAAAACACAGGTATATGGGCTTGTTTGATGAGCACGTCCAGAAGGATCGCACAGTCACAGAGGCGGCATAGCATGGAAAGGCTTGGTGGACAGACGACGTTGGGCCTACACCTGCCGTACAGGGCCCTTCCATGGGGAACCCTTTGAAACAAGAGGTCATTAATCCATTCTATAAGTCCACCATGTGCGATAGCATTGAGGTTAAACCAATTACCCGCTAAAAGTTTTCTTCCTGCGCAGGTTCTTGTCGTTGAATCTGCTTTGCGTCTGTTGTTCGCATAATCATTTATGTTTGCTTCTGCGATCTATATTCTCTGTTTCTATAATATTAAGCTGAACACGATCTTCTGCATAATCTGTTGGTGTTTAAGCGAGAGTGATCGTAATATCCCCATCATGCTACAGAGCTGGGCGAGCAGATTTCTTCTGAGCTGGTTGACATGTAGAACGTATTATACAATAGCGTTGTGCATATTATATGTATAATTTTGATTGCTTGACAAATGGCTTTGTGCATATGGTTCGAGCCAAATCATCTAGCTTTTGCCCATCCCCAGATCTGTTCACCCAGGTCCCGCGGGCGATATCAGCCATGTGCCAGACCTACCAACCCGTGTCCCAGCCTGACTTCTGTCCTTACCCTACGGCCGTTGGAATCTCTACTATTGCTCAATTGACCGAAATCTGCGGGTTTGTCAAAGGGGTCTACTTAGCCGACGGACGACGGATAGTAACGTACAAAGGAGACCGACTGTGCCCGTCAACAAGTCCACTCAGTAAGACAAACCAGCCATAAGAGTAATGTGAAGCTTCACGTCCACACTGTCCATGATCTTCTTGCACTCGGAGAACGTATGTCGAACTTCCCACACCTGAGTCCTCCATGGTTTGGGCTCACGATACTCTGACGTATGAAGCTTGTCGATATGTCTCCGTTGTTCGTTTTCTGACAGTCCTTCAGAGCACTCCTCACACAAAGTTGAGATATAAGTTCGCCGTTTATTCCGCAACACTCGAGAGGATGAAGCCGCCATCTGCGCACACAAGCCATACGGGACAAAGGAACATTGCCAATCACGCGTGGCACTGTTTCTGCACCGCAGACATTCCCAAGAGATGATGCCGCTCATACTTTGAACGAATAGCTTGTGAGCCCTCGAACCTTTTGTACAAGTAGCTTACCTTGTAGTCACTTAGTGCAGGGCGAAGGACGAGAAGGACTAGCCAAGCGAGAAGTATAGCTCCCTATAGGCGTGAGTGGTTCTCTATAAGTATCCGACAAAAAAGGACCCACCGACCTGCATGGGAAGACTCTACCACAAAACTTCCGACTAGCGGTAATTACTGACATGGGTCGAGAAGTAATCAACAATCAGACAGGGGCCTGCGCAGGAAACCGTGTTGAAATTTTGGGTGGCCATGGTTTCAGAGCATTTCTCCACGCCGAGGTCTTGTTTTTTCAATAATACCACACGCACACTTGGGTCCTGACAAATAATTTAACCTGATCATTCAGAAGATCTACTGGGAAGCCTTTTCATGTCAAGTTGGCTGGGGGTACACAACAGTGGTAGTGATGGTAGTGAGAACAACTGAATGCTGTATCGTCTCATGGTATTCACTCCACTGAGACCCTGGGTTCAAAGCGAAGTGCGCAGGGGGGTAACAATGGAGAAGCTCTTGGTTCCGACTTCCCAGAAACCACATAGGTGCGGTATCATTCACTCGGATCAGCACATGTCGATGCGCGTCATCCCCAAATCGTGCAAGGGGGATACAGGGTTCATTAAGAGTGGTGTTGTAGATCGCGAAGGAGCCATAGGGTGCGTCAACTGTGTAGAACCACACTGTATCTCCGACTGAGACATCAAGGGATTGTGGCGAGAATTCAACCGCTTCTCCGAGGCCCACACTAACCATCTGAGTGGATGGCCTGGGGGCAGTGGGTGAACAAGTAGATAATGAGGAGGCACTTGTGATGCCCAGAGGTAACAACGAAGACGGCGGAGTTGAGAGCGATAGCGATATCAGGATGGATGAAGAGGACTCAGTGGATAGAGTGGGCGTCCCCATCTTGCTGTTTCCTGAACTCGGCCACCTCAGTCCCGGCTGGGAGGAAGATGCCACACTCACCCTAGATTTTTGACGAGACGATTCAGTACTGAATGCAATTACGGAACTGGATCCTGTGCCGGGGGACTCTCCGGACTGTGAGGATAGGAGATGCTCGCTAGATGAGGGTACACCTAGAGCGGGTTGGCTGTTGGCAGATGTGGGTGGCTGGCGCCCTGTTTCCGACCGCTGACTTTCCGCGCCGTGCGAGGGTGATTGCTCTTGAATAGGCTTAGTGATTTCGATATCGAAGCATGAAGTGTATAACTGGTGTGGTCAAACTCTCATCCTTTCGTGCACCTTAGAGCAGGAAAATACCTGGAAGACCAAACCATCCCCCACAATCTGCGTGGTGTTCCACATCCAGTATATAGTATACAAACTGGCGGGCTTGGTATCATGTGGGATTCGGAAGGAGTCAGAGCACTGGTAGTTAACGGTAGACCGATGCGGATAGACAGCCAGCTCTGTATGTCCATAAGCCTCGCATCCTGCTTATCAGCGGTGCGTACTACCTTTGATGTCCTTGCCGTAGCTTAGGACATCCGCTAAGCTCAGCTTGTCTGAGGCTTTTGAGTCTGGTGACCCATACCAGCGGACGAGCCCATGTTGGATCCTGTCAGTTGTGTCGAACGAATAAAGACGGCATACCAAAGCTCCCGCCGGGGCTTTGAGGCGAAGCAGGTATTGTCTTTGTCGAGAGGTCTCTTCGAGCTCCCTGCAAAATGTTGCAGAGGTGTCGTGGTCGAGGATTCCGTGTGCTCGGAGATCAACAGGGTGGTAGCCTGTTTCTTTCGATTAGCTCACGCCTCACTCATGTCCACACCGGCAAGTTGAGCAGCTCACTGAGATCTCGCGAGTCGCTCAATCTCCCACCAATATGGCCGGTTTCCGGTCCTAGCACGTGTAGTCCCCTGATCTGGACAGTAGTCAATAGGAGAGCAAGCCGCAAGACCAGTATGGCCATGGTGAAATACCTGCACCCAAGCCTCGCACCATGTCGCATGAATGACTGGGGAAAGTAGGAGAGCGGATCTATGCACCATTCTCCCAGAATAATTTATGAGACGGTGTGCTCGTGTATACTCTCCTATGTTAATCTTAATGATGGATCGGGAGAGTGAACAGTTTTTGAAGTGTGATGCTCAAGCGCAATGATGGTCTCTGGAGCTAACGGTGGAGAAAGGAAGTATATATATATCTATCCATAATGGACCTCTCGGTGCCTCTCTGAGCGCTGCTATCTTTGATCAGGATGAGGCTTCATAACATCTGGTACTTCACCATCTGAGACACATGGGTCGCCTTCATCGCCAAGCCAAGGCACTGGAAGCGATAAAATACCGTAAGGCTTTTCTTGAGCCAATGTTTCCATTGTGCTGGGGCTCCTCCTATTCGACCGCTCGGCCAAGCCGGACCCACTGCGAGGGACTATGCTCTTTTTGATGAATTACAACACAGACGCTGAAATTTTGACCTCCATCCTTGTTCCATCTTACACCGGGTCAAAGCATGATGGGAAGTATTATCGATACATAGTTCCAATCGAAAAATGAAAAAAAGTGAATTAGAGGGGCTTTCTCAGCCTGGCTATGACCAGTTTGTTTCTAAGTCCCAATACGGTGTACTGCTTTCCCTACATGCCTTCCTTGCCAATTTATAGTCATCTTCAAACAAAGATATATTCCCACGGGGGGAAGAACATGCAAGCACTCCCCCATGATTCTCAATCACATCATCTATCGCTCCATTAACAATCGAACCCTTCTGTCAGTCTAATATCACTTACCAAGATCAACTGTACTCCCCCGGCTATTATCCTTGGTACCATCAAGTGGGCACATGCAGCTCAGGATGTGACCATCATTTAGATCGCAGTTATAACATCCGTTGACTCCAAACCCGTCGCCGCTATGACAGTGTCAAGATAGAGCCAACAGAACCATCATAAAGTGTCTGAAAGAAGGGAGGAGAGAATATTCATATTCTTCTAACTTACTCTTCCTTTATAATAAGGCTTCCGTCTTCTTCATTCGCGTAGCAAAGAGAAAGGTCCAACTCTGTCGTAATTACTTTGCCTTTAAAGTCAAGGCAGTCTGCAAGCAGATATCGCTCATCACGCAATCTTACCTTTCCACAGCTGTGAGAATAATCACCAGCTGCCATGACTAACCCCGCGGCTCTAAGGACCAATGTCCATCCAAAGCACTTCCAGAATCTCATTGGTTAGACTTGACTGGGACCAACAGTACTGTAGAAGATGTTGTTTTCGTCGCCTGTGATTCATGGAATGATAGATGGTTGATTTTATGTACTGGATCCGGGTCCCAACCTCCTTTATATCTTATACAATTTCCCTGGAGACGGCTTCACAGCTACTCTTTTTCTTTCGAACCCCGAAGTTTCATATATTTCAGATTATTCTCGATCATTGAATGTCTTAGGTCGTAACATACAGGGCTAGCCTTAATCTGGTGGGATCTGGAAGTCACCAGGCACCATGCCCATCATTGTAAAATACGGGGAAAAGAAGCCAATAAAGGATGAAAAATAAGATACCACTAATTAGAGTCTTAGAGCACTGTAAATTATCATGTAAATAAAAGTGTTTGCCTCTCAATGGTCCACAAGGCCTCAGCCAGGCTTTAGCCGGTATTTTTGGTGCTGGCGATAGGATCCCACTATGCTCCTCTTTGTCTCTACACCATCTGTGGGCCCTGCAAGTTACGACCCAGCTATATTTCGTGCTGATGATCCCTAAGCCGAAGAGGCACCTCGGAAAGCGAATAGTGGTAGGTCATGGAAAGGCCACCCCACAGGTCGTCCACGGTCTAGATTTACAGGACCCGTTGTCCAGGAGCCTCCGCGCTCGTAGACAGTGCCGAAGAGCGTAACGGCCGGTTGCGCGGTCTCTGGGCAGTGCATGAAGTATGAATCTGCGCTTTTAAAGCTGCCCGAGTTGCTACAGACATTTGAAAGAGGCATAGTGTGGAAGGTCGCGACCCTTACCTGTCTACGGCATGCGCATGCGCATGTGAAAGAGTATGGAAACTATCCTGTCTGGGAGTAGCCGTTAGGACGAATCCCCCTCCATAGGTGAACACATTAGGCTGGTAGACTTCTGTTGGATTGTTTGGCTGGAACGCCGAACTAATGTTGACTTTTCTCGAAGCGTGCAGTGACTACCTGGTTGTTAAGCTTGCTGCTTGTGGCCATTGAGCAGCTAGCTACTAAACTCATGGCTATCGGCAAGCAGCTTATCTTATCTCGAGATATGCCACGATGTGAGCCCTGCCTGATGGTAACTGCGTCATAAACGGGCAAGTTGGAGCCAGGCCCAGTTCACAAGGACAAGCCGACAGCTCTGATCGAGCTCCAACGAGGGGACATGAGGGCTACACCTTGACCATGTTGCTTTCATACGACCATTGGAATCGATATCGGGTTAATCCTCCATCATGTCAACGTCTGTGAGTCTGGTGCTACGGACTTAGGAAAATACTGACAGGTGATCCTAAAAGATCTGCGGGCTGAAATGGTCAGAAGATTCAACTAAATAGGGGAAAGATGGTTCCGCTCAAGCGAGCCATGCGATTCTACCCTAAAGTACACAGAAGGTATCAACTAAGCTAGTAAATGTCCGAGTGTTGGCAGTTTCTCACCACTTAAATACTGCGCCTCCAACGTTGGCTGGTCGACAATCATCGACGACAACATAGAAGTGTCACAGGTGGCCGTATCGCCCGGTGTAAAAGCGGCTTGACTCCGGTCACCTTGCTTGTCGCTCCGCACGGCTCTTCCCAGTGAGTCTGGATAAACGCGCTCCGTCTCGGACATTGCTCCTGCCACCTGTGGAGGGATATATGAATGCCGGGGGACTTGGGACATGACGAGTTGGTTTGTCTCACGGCGTCTCCGAGTCTTCCGAGCCCCGTGCAGCCAGCCATGCTGAATACGCCGCGCCTTAGCCTTAAGGGCGAGTTCTTTCCAGTAGATACCAGCATAGCGAAAATACGCTTGCTCGATCTCGGGACCGCTTAGATGTTTATGAGCGTCCAAGAAAGGCAGTAGCCGAGACGACTCCTCTGGTGACCAACGGCGAAACCTGTTGGTCGGTGAGGGCCGAGGAGAGCGATCTATGCTTGACCCGGTTTCGCTTCCCTCCGAAGATCCCTCACTGACCTGGTAGTCTTCGTCCCCACGACACTCATAATTGCTGGCTTCGGAGGATTGATCTGTGCCGTTGGCCACTTCTGGACAAGAATCCTGCATATTGACTGGAACGTTCGATGTGACATCCCCATTCTGTTCGTCTGGCTTCATCAAGTTTCCTGCCTCGCTGGCAGCAACAGAAGCAACGGAGTTGCGGGGTCTGCTAGGCTTTGGAGAGGAGTTCTGCGCCGCATGCCCAAGGAGTAGGTTTAGCCGGCTCTGCAGGATACGCGAGAGAGCAACATCTTCTTGGAGTGCTGTTACAGTGAATTTAGCTCTGGGGAGCATCTAGGTGGCGGTCCTGCGTACCTTTCATGACTCTTGTTTCCAAGCTGACAGGCGATCCAGAGTGGACCTCAGGACTCCACCTCTAACTGGAGATCTCTTGGATGCGGCCAGGGATCGAGTAGCTTCTGAAGGAGACCAGTCCGGATAATACTGCTGTCTGAACTCGGCAAGTCAATCACTGCTCCTCGAACATGGCAGCGCTGGCTGCCACATAGGTCCGGCTGTAATTGTGCTGGGTCAACATTCCGGAGGACGTCAGTCCATCCTGGTGGCGATATGCGAGCAGGTGAGGAGATCAAAGACGGCTTCCGAGTGCTAAACATCTTGCTGAACCCACCCTCGAGATAACCACCTCTGGAGGGTGCGCTGAGATAGATCGATAATGCGTCTTTTTGCTCAAGTATCAGCCGGTATTTCTGCGATAGATTACGGTGAGCGGCCACTCCCTCATTGCTGAACTGGGGTAACGGCGTGCTGTCCAAAGGTGTGGTAAAATTAAGGTCCGAGACTCGAAAGGTTTGATCCCAAGCTTGATTTGGCTCTAATGGAGAGGCCATCACGGTTCATGGATTTCACAAGCATAAAGTCCTCCGCTTGCTTAGAGATCTAAGGCAATATTTTCTGGCTTAAGTACTTTAGGAGTTAGTGTTCGCTTAGTCGGGATATGGCGCTGGGGTTGGTTTCGGCTGCATTGGTACTAGCCATATATTCGAGAGAGCCGAGACACTTCACGATTTTGTAATGTAATAAAGTCGTGAATGACACATGTCTGTCATTTCCACGTCTGATACCGTCCAGTAATGAGGGCGATCTAATTTCCGAGCTGGCACCTGGGTATGGCCGGCCCACATTCGAATGAAGTATAATGGATGGGGGCAACGAGGCTTTCCAGATTGATCTAATAAGAAGCCTACGTCAACACACCGTCCTGACAAAGAACAAAGCTCGCATTGGATAGTTCCCGACCTATGTCCGAGTAAGAAAGGCACCTGGAGGATATAACGCCTGCTTATACAACTTCGTCCCCTGCCATATCCTACGGTTATGTCGTTGTATTTGCATCTACCTGGACCCAGTCGTTGAACACTTTAATCGACCCCTGCTAATCACAATTAAATGAGGATCACAGCGACTAGAGCCAAACGACAGAGGGCCGGGAGGTAGACCTCCTTCTCGGGAGATTAGAATAGCGTTTGCCCTCAATGCTACCTTTGATCTTTCGGGTTTGGTTATTTTGTTGATACTGGAATCTGGCTGCACCGATGTGCAGGCCTAGTGAGAAAGCTTCCATTACAAACCATTTGGTTGAGGCCAAGAGGCTCCTCACCCCCCGACCCGCCTTCCCTCAACCCAGGCGAAACATCAGGCAAACCCCATCAATAGACTTTCATTACCGGGACTGTCGCAAAGCATGGGAGTAGGAACCAATTCCATTCACCAAGGCTCAATATTATGACCCGTCGTCTCCAATCTCGAGGAATACCGGAGTTTAGGACGTATTATGGTATTATGGATGATCTAGACCCTGCCGGGAGTCCCAAAAAAAAGAGAATGGATGGCCTTTTTAACCATTCCGAATATTCGAGAATCGTCCAGCGGTCCCATGAGAGGGTCAATAAAATGATCCATGCTTGCCTAGTTTTATAACCAAAAATTACAACTACTTGAGCCGGCATATAGTGGCGTGGCTTGGAGACCGTTGAACTTTCCTGTTGATTTATTACACGGTGGACCTGCCGGTATTCTTTCCTGACGGTTGACCCCCCTGACGGCTCGGCCCGGCAGTCTGGATCAGACCCACAATAGGTGGGATACACGCTCCGCAGTGTATTATTACGATCACACATAGTGAAATACTTCTCCGGAGCTCCCGATTTACCTGAACTCGAGCCTTGGTAAGGGCTACTGCGTCTAGATTAGATTTGTAAGCGTGAAAGCTGTCTATCCTTCCAGTACAATCCATCGTCCTCAATGGCCTTCTGGTCGGATAATACTTCTCTTCCGCGTATTTTAATCGGTATCGTCTCGTTCCGTTCGACCTGGCGCTTTAAGCTTAGTGGTAATGAGGGAGGGGGCCAGAAAGTTGGGTTGATGTTCGATTCAGCGCAATTGGTGTCTAGATGGATATGTCCATTCCAACGATTCTGGAGTCCAGCACGGAGAGCGGCCATATCTGGACCCCTTCTCCTTGAGATGAAATAGTGATATCCAAGTTCACCTACATCATGGAGTTAGGAAGGGTATGCCATACACCAATTGACGCTGATGACTTGGATATATACGACGACAGTCCCGGGCAATTAGTGCAGTGTGTTACTGCGTTGTTGTTGGTTGTCTTGATGGTAGCATCTGTATTGGGAGCTCTGGCAGGCGACGGCCACATTTCTATTGGTTGATTGAAGGTGCCGTGGACTTCATTGCCTCAAGGATACATTAAAATAATATTAGATGTATCTAATTTATCTTATCTCGTAAGATCACTGGACATGAAAGGGGGATATCAGACACTGATATTGGAATTCCATGTACTGACTACTCCTTGCTCTATATACTAATGTGTCACGTCAATATTCCAATAATCTAGCAATACCCTGTGCTGAGGGTCTTCTTGAGCCCATCTGCCTTGATATCAGATATGTTGCCACGGAAGGCATAATGATTTTCAATTAAGTATGCACAATATAGCCATCATTATGGAATTTCCCACATTGTTAAATCATATTTTCCGTTCCCCCTGCCTCAGGACTCAGTCCCCAGATGCTAAGGTAGCGCTGCTCTGCCTCCTGGAGACGAGTATTCACCTGCACGAGCGCATCTTCCATCCTGTGAAAGATATGATACATCTGCTCCTGGAAGGGAGGAGAGCTTGCTTAGACTCCACATGCCACGCCAACTCAGCTTTCAAATAACTGACTTCGTATGCCAGGTCCTCGATCTGTTTCCTGGTACTTCGGGTGGGTGTCTTGGCCCGCTGTAGACGTGAAGGAAGACGCTCGATATTCGACGACGTCCCTCCATGGCGTAAGATCTGATAATCTTGGGGATTGATCTCCTCTGTAATCGAATAAAGCGAAGTCGGTGAGAATCGATCCATATTTGCCGCCAGGACCACTGGCTTGAGTAGGGAGTGATTATAGTTGGCCCGACGTCGTCCTCCGGCACGGACAGGTTGTAGAGAACGGTAGAAGGTTTATTATCAGGGATGCGAAGTTATATGTACGCCTCGCCAGTGCACACCAAGCCAGACTCTACCCTAGCAGGGATCATATAAGAGTATACTTAAACAATAATTGCTGCCACAATACGACGACAGATGTCCTCTGGTAATTCCTCGCCTTGCAGACAAAGAACCTCATCAAGGTCTATGTCCTGGAGTCCAGCCCTGATGTGAGCTAGGGAGACCTTGTGAGGCGCCTTGTATTTGATAATAAAGGCCGGAACCTTTCCCTCCGGGCCCTGCTGTAAACACAAAATTTGTCTCCTCGGGGTCGAGAAGTCAGTGGTCGTGTAGCTTTCTGATCTCCCCGTGGCGGCCGTGCTGACAGGCAAGCTTTGCTGCAATTTGCGGTCAAGCAGTTGCAACGACGTGGTTGTATCTAAGACAGGCTGAGGAGTCCATCTCTGCAACGACGTTTGACTCATCCGTCAAGGTGTTTGAGTGATTTTTGAATGTGATATTCCAGTTGAAACAGAAGACTTGCCGAAGTCGGAGTTTCGCGTGTAGCTGTTCCACAGCGGTGGCGACACCCAATCCACGGAATGTCTTTGAAAGTAGCCCAAGTCCAGCTCGGAGCTTACTATCCTATCGCGCGCCTTCTTCCCATATTCACTTAATACTCCGACGCATTATCCTTCATCTAGTAGCTGTAAAATGTCCATCACCATGCAGTTGGAATCCGACTGGCACCCTAGTTCCGAAACGCACATCCCGCGCCTCAGAGTAGCTCCGCGTAGACTCGATAATCCCAGCAGCAGTATCGCATGGAGTAGACTGCCCTGCGCCCTGGATCCTACTGGTTGGATGTAGTTTAGAACTGCCATGAATAGGAGAGTCCATAAGACCACGCTGCTTCCTGTCGGATATTTGGCCCTCTGAGAAAGCCATCCGTTGATGAATAGCTAGACTTGGCAGTGATAGAGTACTCCCGGCGGCCGCGGTCTTATCCGACGGGCTTTTGCGGTGCATCTCTAATAGACTTGGCTGCGGGGAAGCATCGCTGACATTATTTGAATTTCGAGATTTCCTTGTGTGTGACCGCGCTTCTGGAACAGCTCCTGACCGAAATGTTGGGAGAGAAATGTTCGTTGACCGTGCTGCCAAGTACTCTTGGATGTCCTAGTCAGTAACACCGTGCAGTTTGAGCAGCGACCGGAGGTGAGTATTTTCCACTACCACCTTTCGTCCCGCGGCTTGAACTTCTTGTGTCGCCTGGACCCCGAGGACCTCGAACCTGTGTAGGCGTTGCTCGAGGTTTTGGATATATTCTTTGCGGCGTGCACGCGAACGCCGCTGGTTATCACGGATGCGTTGAGAGAGGTCGATATCTGATTTGCCTGGGATATTGTTAGCTCCTCCGTACGAGACTGAGAGGCATGCCTTGCTTTTCATGAAATTGCTGACTTTGGTTGTCATCGGACGTTCATTAGGATGGTGGGTCTCCATTGCAGGTAAGTGCCTCGCTAGACCAAAGATGTAAGATCTCGCCGAGGCCCTTGATGAGATACCGCCTGATAATAACTTTCGTTTTGGTTCTTCTGTGGTAGCCAGGGATACGTCGACCATGGGCGCGGGCAGTCTCCTGGCAAACATAAGTGAGTGCGGTTGCGACCGGGTGATTGGACTACCTAGCAATTGCATCCTATCTCCTTAGTTGGACGGTAATCATATCCGCGGAAAGGGTGGTCCTCTATATATGGCTTTGGCGCCCATAACCCAACGCGCTGACAGGGATCAAATATTTAGCCAACAAATTATAGTGCTAGGCAAACAAAGTATCATGCCAGTCATATTCCATTATCCTTCTAAGGTGCTATTCGGTCTGATATGGCGAGAGCAAACAATATATCCTATCATGTACCATCCACCACCGCATAATAAACTTTACCGTGTATCGGATGTCGCTGCCGAGCCTACTAAGTTGAGCAGCATCTTGAATAGTGTCAATACCCTTTTCTCATGCACCTACTCGACAAAGATGCTCCCAGGTTGCTTGCTTGGTGTAGCCAGAGCTGGGATTCGGCACAACGTGCTACATATATGGTCCATCTAATAAAAGCCATTTGCTGTTTATCGCAGCCGACATCTTCGTCTGGATTATACATATATTTCCGTAAGAATGGAAGTCGGCTTTGCTGCAGTTGCAGGGACAAGACGTATTACCAACCACGGATATTTAACTATATGTCGAGGTACACTCTGTGTTATTAACGTACCAGGGAGACAGATAACCCCGAAGTCACATTTAACCCGTTGGCCCGCTCTTGTCACCCAGCGTACGTATTCGCTTATTATGTGGAGCGACCTCGTATAGATTCGTAATTTGTTGACCAGGTTATATCGAGCGCTCCGTGAACATTATCATGCACGTTATTGACCTTTCTGTTCCCCTAAACTAGCCTGGGTTAAGTTAGTCGGGTGTGGGGCTTGGGCTGAGATTCTCTACTAATGCCTATATGTTACTGTCTGATCTAAACGGGTATACGAGGTAGCCCTAAAAGAGTGACGTCATTGGCTCTAGGCGAGTACGAACTCTTACTCTACTGGGACTATATCCTGTCTCCCATATCCCATAGACAGAGCATATAAAGCGCACCAGGATGGCACAAGCCCTTGCCTCTAGTAGAAAGCTAGAATAAATGCAATATCAAGACATATTGAACATGTGCTCGAGTCTGGCATTATTCTCCCTGTGCATTATCTCTTCCATCATTAGCACAACAGCTGCCCAGCAGTTTCCCCTCGTGGACCTTGGGTATGCGACCCATGCCCCAACATACATCAACACCACTGCATCTGGCACCCGAGTTAGCCTGTACAATAACATCCGTTTTGCACAACCACCCACTGGTGCCCTACGGTTCCGAAAACCAAGCACACCCCCACCGAGTCAAAAGGGTATCCAAGATGGCAGGGACCGACTGTTTTCAACTGACTGTGTAAATGCTGCGCCCGAAATGGTTCCATTCCCGGGACTCAATGGCTCCGCATGGGGACAAGAGGATTGTCTGTTTCTAAACGTGTGGGTGCCTGAGGGTGTCCGTCCCGGGGATAATGTCCCGGTTATTCATTGGTTGCATGGCAGTGCGTATGCATTTGGAAGTAAGGATCTTCTTATAAATGCGATGGGATTGATGGATCTCATTCAGAAGCCGGTGGATCGCTTTATCTTTGTGGCTAGTAATTACAGGTTAGGGAGCCTATTCAAGCAAAGAGATTATTATCAACATTGACTAATACCTATAATAGACTGGGTCTATATGGATGGGCATCATCTCCATACGAAGATATGGATGCCAATGTTGGTCTCCATGATGGTGTTGCTGCGTTGCAATGGACCAAGGACTACATCTCTCATTTTGGCGGCGATACAAATAATATTACTGCTATCGGCGAGAGTGCAGGAGGTGCAATGATTGCACTAATGCTCGTGGCGAACGGGGGAACGGGACCCTTCCATTCCAGAAGGTGAGAGATCAGCAAACTCTTCCCTCTTTACTCAGGCTGACTGTCGCAGGCATTCATATCATCGCCCGCTATTCTGCCGAGAAGAAACGTATCAGCGCGCCGCGAGGAGGTTTATAATCACATCCTACAAACTGCAAATTGTTCATCCCTCGAATGTCTTCGCAATGCCCCATCGTCTCTCCTATTTGATGTTAATAAACAGCTCCTCATCGACACTTACGGTGGTGGCGGCGGTGACACCTTTGGCCCGGGGGTTGGTTTTGGCCCACTTCCAGATGGAAAATACATCCCTGACGCTATGACCATCCTGTTCAACCAGGGCCGTTATAACAAAGGCATCAAAGCTGTAGTATCTGGCAATATGGCAGCAGAAGGATTTGCCACAACACCAGACATTGGCACGCCTGAAGAACTTAGCTCACTGATCCGCAAGGTTCTGCCAGGAGCAAGTAATACTACTGTCCAGCGCATTAGGGATATGTATCCCTACCCAGATTCACAGGCACAGAAAATCGCCCAGGACTGGACAACAGACAGTGTGTGGGCTTGTAATTCGCAGGCTATCGCGAATGCATACGCGAATAAGACCCAGCGATATGTCTTCTCTGTGCCTCCATCATCGCATGGATTGGATGTAAACTGTATGTTGTTTCTCTACACCCTTTCCTGCCGATGATTTGCTCTTTATATTGACCAACTGCAGATATGTTTTTCAAAGACAATACTTCATCCCCAGTCTCGAGTGTTTCCCTTGCAAGACTGTTTCAATCGGAAATACTTAAGTTCTCAAAGGAGGATATTACAATGAGAAACACTACGACCTGGCCTTTGTATTCCACCGGGTCGAGGACTGCCAACATCACACTCGCAGGTTTAGAGACAAGCATTGATCCTTGGGCTACAAAGCCAAACTGCGACATTATTATGAAGGCTATTATGGATAAGAGGAATGGAGCTTGAGAATTACTTTCATACGAGGTCAAACATCTTTGGCCCCTTGGTATGCACATATCCCTGTAGCTATTTCGGGGCCATTCTCTGCTAGCCAAGTTTTTGTTAATCTCTTTCATTGCTGAGTTGTCTAGATAGTTGAATTTGTTATTGTGGGAGACCCAGTCAATGATACCAGTGGCAATGTAGCAGCCACTAATGTCAAGATCCTATTTACCATGATATTGCCAGTCCTGATATCACCATGGGTAAAAAAAAAAAAAAAAAAAAAAAAACCCTGTAAGGTAGAATTATCATATTCGGAAAAGAAACGAAGGAACCTAACATATGAGGTACCACCATGGTACTGGGCGGGAAATAATAAGCCGTTGAGCTCTGCGGCTGTAGTGGCGGCTTTAAATAAGGAATGTGAGTTAATCCTCCGCGATCACCGAGAGCGTCTGGGAATGTGAGAGGAGCCGTCATCCATTTTAAATATGAACGGAATATTGCTATCACCCATCGCAGTAAAATACAAGAGGAATATGGGCATATTTTCTCTTACAGCCCATATTGGAGAGAGGTCAATGTAGTAAACAATGATAACATGACAATGCCACCATAGGAAATTCACGGGCGTTAGCAGATCAGATCACACAGCAGATTCTTGGCAGATTTTCGAATAATTATCGAATATTCGGATACGAAAAGCCTTTTCGTATTTTTGAAGTCGAATAAAGGAATCCTTATTCGATTCCAGCCCTACTGTTGCTATACGGTACATTAAGAAAACAGTGCGTAAGTGCTATATAAATCCCCCTCCTACTATAGGAACGCGCAACATAGATGTAAAAGACTTTCCTAATCATTATCCTGCCTAGGCACCGTAGGCGGGATATATGACATCAGTTTGTCACTAGGCAAGGTAGCTTTAGTCTTGAAAATGGAATGAAGGCTATTTTTAATTTTGGCACGTATAGATCGTCTATGGAGCGCCTAGACTGTTCAGGACTGCAATGATGAGACTACGCCGCCTTTTTCAAAAACCTCTTTCTTTTCTTATTTAGAACCCTTACGAGGTTTACATTTTCGTTTGGCTTGCTCTATATCTCCCATAGTTAATCACCGTTGGTTAGTCTGTCTTTATTCTAAGTCAACAACTTATGCTATAATTACAGTGCCATATTAGGAAGTGAACACTTTTTCATTAGGGTCCGCTATGTGACTTAGATAGAAAAACCGCTCCTGTATGACTTAAAAGTCAGTGTATGATTTTAAAAGACAGTGGTAGATTAGAAGACGTCGTCAGCAATTTTAGAGCGATTGGCCACCGCATGCGGATGTCGTGATGCTCAATAGAGGATATTCTAAGTAGAGGATATAATTAAAAGACGGTAGGTGAGCCGGCTTAGAAAGGAAATGAGAAGGAAAACCGGACCAATTTCTGGGGAGTCAGCAGGAAACTATGGGTAATCAAATTAACCAGCGATCAACCAACGAGCATAGCTGTCCGTCGTAAGTATGACCGCTGACGGGAAACGAATTGTTGATTTGGTACCGGGCTCGTAATACAGTACGTCGTGGTCGAACCTCATATGGATAGCTCAAGAGCTTTTAGGCGCTTGTTGGCTACTGCACAACTAGGGCTCAATTAGTTAAGTGTCGTCTATAAATTGTAGCCTCCGGTATATACCTGAATTTAGATTATAGTACATCGGGCTTTTGGGAATTATTTACTAAACACGGAGACTGCGGGAACAATGTTCTATTGCAGTACACAATGGAAATATATTTTAACGATTTTACCTTTATTTAATATAATTTACTGGCTGATGAGGCTTCTTTAAGCATCATTTCACAGCAGTATTGCTCAGAATACAGATGATAAGTTTTAGCCTTGAGTCAATACCCCTTTCACATAATTGGAAGGAACAATACTTACAAAGAATTGGTAGTTTTCATCTAGGTTGGCTCTGGATGGTTCGTTGTCTTTCTTTGTCTGCAACGATATCAATGACTTGTTACGGGATATGGCTCATATACAGTTACTGGACTACGGGAAAAGAGGGAATATAAAAGAACACAACAATAGAGGAGAGCATGTCCACCCCTTGTATCATAAATCTTCCAGATTAAGTTTGGCATATTGACCCACAAACTCATCGAACAGCTTGTTTAGTCCGAGCAGATTCAAGGGGTCCTTGTCATCCTTTTCATCCATGAAGCACAGCATGTTATGGATGTCAAAACTGATAGCCAGCATATACCCGTATTCGGATTCTAGGAACACCTGTTCTGCGGTATCTGAATCACCAGTCGATTTGTTCCACTGCGTGGCATATTCCTCACAAAAGTGCCTCTTCTCCTCTTCCGTATATTTCCTGCACTTCGCTATCTTGCTCCCCTCGTCAAACCATTTGAACATCTTTTGCATGAAGTGCCCACCAATGTCAAATGCTCTATAATTCTGCATCACGAACTCAAAATCGATCAAGGCGACTTTACTCTCCCCCTCCTTTGGGTCATTCTTCACCATGGTGTTCATGAACTGAACATCATGAATACACCATCCTGGCTTTCCTCCTATGGATGCCAGCTTGTCCACCACTTTTCCCAGTCTCGTCCCAAAGTCGTAGTCAACCAGTTTGTCGATATCGACACCTCCTTCTCTCCCAAGTGCTTTCAACTTGTCCATCTTGTGGTATTTCCTGAGTCCATTGATGGCGGCTTCATAGTATGAATCCACTGTCGTTCTTTCCAGAGACGTCTTTAAGACATGGAAGGTTGCCAGCCCTTTCGCAACATCCGCTCGGATGATCGGATTCTCCACATCCTTCGGTTCCATGTTCCGTGCATCTAGGAATTCATCGATCCTCCCGAGTGTGCCGTCCAATGTCTTGAAGAATCCATAGACTTTGGCTCCTAGTCCGGACCGACCGTACTCGTAGCAGAGGAGCGCTTCCTCATGCTTGCTTGGCGCTAGATGCTTAAAAATATCCAGGACTCCCCCGGTGTCATTATGGAATTTGATGAACACCTTCAAGGTCTCAGTAGGTGTGCCAATAGCCGGCTTTGGCCGCTCCACGGGACAGTGGGCGTTCGCAAATGATGCATGGTATGACATGGTCAGGGTCTCCGGGTCCACGGACTGCCATTCCTTTGTCAGGAAAGCGCCGACAATATCTCTGACATTTCTTTTAGTCGGGACTTTGTCTTTGGGAAGAGTTACAGGGACAGGAGTCAAGCTGGCCATCTTGGTTTAATGTGTGAATGGGTGATTAAGACGGTGAGGAGAGAAGCAAAGATATGTTTGGGGTAAAACATCTGCTAGCAATAATTTACCAAGAAGGATATGTAGTTCTTGAATGTCTGTGTCACGCATTAGCTGCAGAAATCCTTGTTTCGGCGCGAAAGCTTTGGATTTGGGATCGACAGGAAGGGTTTCGGGGTCTCAAAGTTGCCTAGCGCCAAATCGGGGCCCGCCACCTCAAGTCAGATACTAGTTAGTGATTTTGAATTGACCGCGTGTCTATCACTAATATTTATTGTCAGAGCCTATGGAAGCCTAAGGCAGAGACCACGTGACCTGACCACAACACCAAGGAATCTCTGTAGAGTAGATTTAGACCTTAGGACAATCAATCCCATACACGTGAGCAGCACCAGCTCCATCATTTATCAACCTCTTACCGCTAGATTATGCGGATATTCTGGTCGCACATGGGTTGAGGCTATACGGGGATGGAGAGCAGATCGTGGTAAAAGTGGAACACATTTTCGGGGTCCCATTTCTTCAGCCGCTACAGGCGCGAAACTTTGCTTCCGAACATTTGGTTCAGAGCCTCGTCGCTGTTCGCATAACTTACATAGACGGCGAGTTTATTGTAGCCTGAGGTGGCTACATATTTATCTGGGACTGCCTCTGCCATGGCCGCACTGGCTTGCATAGTGGTTGGCGTGGTTCCACCGAACGAGATCCCACTGTTTCTATTTTCTCGAGGGGTAGAAGGGGAATTCACGAGTGGCCCAACGATTCGCACCAGGAATACGCTGTGGCTTCAGCTACAGTGACTTCCTCCGCCTAAGGCGCAGCCACCATCTCGACACTGCTGTCACCACCATCCAAATTCTGGACGTAGGAATCACTCAGCATCTGACTACCCCCCTAGTAGGTCAACATGGAGAGGTTGCGCTAGAGCAAGAATGCTCTCGAAGCGATACCAAAACTAGATAGCATGATCCAAGAACCGCAATGATCTAAATTTCTTCGTGGTGACAGCCCCGAATCCCATGGTGTTTAACCCCAAGGGGATTACGATACTCTCCGCGGTTCACACCCCCAAGGGCGCAATAATATGTCTGCCATCCTACTCCATCGTGCGAGATCAAGATCTCTATTCAGACCCGGATAGCTTCAAGTCGTTTCGATATGTGGAAAGGCGTAGGCATTGAGTTGGGGGAGGGCCAGTCGTACGTCCGGACAGCTACCAGCCCAGAATATCCGGCATCTGGATATGGGTAGTACGCATGTTTGGGTCGCTGCTTTGATTTCACTTTGTTGTAGCCTATTTTGGCATATATTCTTGTGAACTATGACTTTCAGTTCCAGGAGCAACGGGCGGAGAATATGAGGATTGGATCGAATGGGGGACCACCGATGAAAGCTCCCATTATAATCAAGAGGAGGACAGAGATTTGATGAAAAGTAGAATATACATAGACGCTTGCCTTGCCTTCTGTCTATCTATGTACAGAAAGAACAGCCTAAAGCCTCACGGGTGAAGCTTGTAAAGCATGGGTACTTCTGTCTGGTAGGCGTGCAGGCAGGGGTACACACAAAGGGCCTCGAGAGGCAATGCCTAATGTGTTGGAGACATCAGCCAATGATGTGAAGTAAGTCTCGTCTCAAGATTTATCCACAGCTTCTCTATGTATCTTGGAATACTGAACCTGCAGAGACGCCTGGGTCCGATGCTTAACGTGTTTCGCAACCTCCCTCCATGGCCGACCCCGCTGACTTCTCAACTCGAGGTTTGAGTTATGTAAGGTTAACAACTAAAGCCCAGAACCCTTACGGGGACCCATGGGTTACACTCCATATTCTATAAAAAAAGAGTGGCTAAGCCACGTGTCTTCAGTTGGCTCCAGCTGAAAACAAACAGCTGCAGGCGGCAGCTGCTTGTTCCTACTAGTATGGTTTAAAAACGCTAATTGCAGCAATCGCCCTCGAAAGCTGTAATACCCTCCAGGAAGCAAAAGCCAATATGGAGAATCTACGGAATGAACCGCTCGTATCGATTGGGGAGTATGCCAGAGACGGACAGTTTATATGCCTTAACTTTGTGCTCTCGGCGATTCTACGCTGTGTTCCAACATCTCCTTTATTCCGACATCCGCATCGTCTGCAATTACCACCGCTATGTTCCTTTGATTATGCGGTTCTGGCGAGATCTCGATCTCACCAGCCGCGTGCGTCATCTGTCGCTGTACTGGTCGCACTGTCGTCTCGATGAGGATGATTTTGCGGATATGGGCAAAATACCCCGCGGCCGAATACACCGATGACACACTGAACGAGATATTCAGCCCAGATTGGGAAGAAGAGGACGAAGTAGAAGAGTGGAAACAACATCTATGAGGCTTATGTCAGGAGGCTTGGCTAAGTTATATGCTCGTTCCTTTGACACATCTAGAAACGATCGCGTTTGAGTATGAAGATTCCCACTTTCTTAGTGATATTCTGTGTAAGGCAGCTAAGCGGGAGAGACCGATTTATAAAACCCTTCCTTTTCCGCACCTGACAACCGTCGTCCCATATAATCCACAATAAGGTTATCCAATTTATGCAGATTTGATCACGCCGTTTTGTTACTTTCCGGCTGTTCAGATGATCAGGGGTAGGGGTATCGTTGAATTCACGGAACAGAAGAGGGATAGCAGAGATAGGCCAGCATTAGATCTGGCGGAGATCAGCCACACGTCCCGTCCAGTTAAGCAGATTATCGCCTTAGAAGTTTGGTATGATTCTATCAAGCAACTTCAAGGCACGAAGCACACAACAACGGGGCGGCTAGCCATTGTCACAATACATCAAATGGTAGAGCCAGATCCCA